AATTTTAAAAGTTGATTTTAATATGAATGTTATGTTTATATCTAGATCTTACTTCGAAATTGAAATTTAATATTTGAATCAATTTTAGAGTATGCCTCAAAAGTTAATGCTTTTCCAATTTTTCGTTTTTTAGTAAACGTATAATGGGGTGAATAATATCAGCAAAGTTCAATATTAATGTTCTATAGTAATTTATTATTCCTAAGAACCTTTGTAGCTGGTTCTGGTTGCGGGTGATTCATAATTCTAATGTATGTTTGTATTTGTATCTTAAAGTTGTAGAATATTAACTCTAGAAAAACTGTATAGTATTATAAATTTCAGGAAAAGTATTTAGGCTCTCTAGTTTAGTTCAAATTTTTTATCATAACTTACCTCGTTTCCAGAACATTAATAATAGAGATGTGATGATAAAGTGTTGTTTTTCAAATTGTTTCATTAACTTAAGTGAATATCAATTATTTTTCTATATTAGACTTGAGGTTAATTACGTCTATAATTAAAATTAAATAACTAATTAGGTCAAAACACAAAGTGATTGAGTTTCGTAAAAAAACGTTAACTTGATAATTTCTTTTTTCTTCAATACTATCATACAGGTAACTTTTCTTTTTAAGTTAATGTTAAGTTCGACGTGGAAAATCAGTCGCTTCTTCATTCTTAGGTTGCAATACAATTACTACCAAAATTGTGCTTATTTAATTTGTTCAATATAGGAAATAAGTTCATTTTAAGAGTAAATTTGTCTTGATTTATTGATTCCTAATTTGAATCATCGCAAATAAGAGAGTGAAGCTAGAGTTTCAGAACTCTTTAATTTAATATATAATAACTCTTATGTATATAATTTATTTCAAACTTGCTTGATTTTAAGTAAGAAAAATTCAAGGAAAATGCAAGTTATTTACATAATTATTCTATAATTCGAAAATATAGTAATAATAAGTCGTCTAATAAATAATAAATTTTAGACAAGAAGTGACAGAAACTATTAAATTTAAATACAGCGACTTTGTAGTGAGTGACATTCGCTCTACAATTTTTTTTTTATCTTAAATGGACCCTGTTAAATCAGTTTTCATATTAATTTGTTTATAAAACTAATTCTTTGAGATTAATTATTATGTGGAGTTTGTTTTTTGTTTGACATTTTGCAAATTGTACAGTTTTTGATTTGGTGTATATCGGAATCACATCATATTACATTCCAACTACATTTTTATGAATCAACAATTAAAAAAAAAAATTTATTTTCATCTTACAAATAATTAATTTTAAAACAACACATCAAGTTGTTGATTTCCAAATTTGATTTGTTAATAATCTGAACTTTGGTTCTTGCTATTTAAAGAAATCAATTTGATAATATACTTTTGGATGAGTGAGGGTATTGGTTCTTTTTGAATGAGCCAATTATATTGCTTCATTTGATTAGTTCTTGATATTAAAGAAAATTTATTGAGTCAAATGTGATTTAAAAACTAGAGTTTTGAGTTCATAATTGATTTTAAAAATTAATTACTCATTCCGAATCTTATTAAATCGCTTGTGTTTGGTGCGTATTTTTACACAATTCATTGGTTGGTTCTTGAGTTCAATTTTACTAACATTCTGGTAAGGGAGTTCTGGAGCATTATCTGATCTAAAAAATAGTATTTTATTATCTTGAAATTTGTTGTTCCATCGTTTTAGTATATTAATGAGTCCACTATTGACAGATTTGGTATCAGTTACTATAAGTTCAGTAACAAATTTTACCTGATAAATTTTTTACAAACAAAATATCAATTGTTCATTTTTAAATTTGGTTATATTTTGGATAAAATTTTCCACAATGTAAATTGATGGTATATGTCGGGATGAATGATAATATTGGTTCTTCTTAAATGAGCCAATCAAATTGCTTCATTTGATTAGTCCTTAAAATGAAAGAAAGTTTATTGATTCAAACGTGATTGAAAACTAGAGTTTTTATTTCATAGTTGATTCTGAACTTTAATCATTCATTTCGAATCTTACAGTCTTTTGATAATTATAATCTGTTGAATATTGAGTACGTATTTTTGCACAATTTATTCGTCGATTTTGAAGTTTAATTTTATTAACAAAATAAACTTTCAAATAAAGTATTCAAGCGTAATTACGTTTTAGCTACAAGTTTGTCAAATTCTGCCTTCTGGATTGTTATAAATATAATCAAAAGTGAATTTTTCTTTAATATATTCATCTAGTAATTTTTTAATTAAATCAATTGGTGCAAATAATATCAAAATTATGACAAACTAGGCTTATAGAGTTTGGTAACATTTAGGTAATGTAATTACAATTGGAATTGATAATAATTCAAGAATGGATAACGGGTGTTATGAATGGATATAATATCTAATGTCATTTTGGATGTAATTGTTTGTTTGTATTTTTTATGTGCATTCAAAGCTAAATTCATTGAAATGATTTTAAAAACAAGATTATGTCAAAAGATAGATTGATGAAATTATAGTTTCAAAATTTGACTCTTTGAAAGTTAATTTTGGTTGTCTTTTTGAATGTGTTAAATCTATTTGATGCATTTGATTAGTTGATGAAAAGTGATAGGAAGTTGATCACATTCTGAAATTAGTTCATCAACTTCTGCCTTATTATTAAAAGGAAGGTGTATATGTATGACTACTAGCATATTTTTGATTGATTTTATAACTGTAAATGTCTTGGATTTTACAATATTGTTAGGTCGGAGATAGAAGAGGTTATGTTAATTTATAGCATAATACTTGTATTAATCAATTTTAAAACTTGATTTAAATATAATTATTATGTTTACAACTGGATCTTAGTTTGAAATTGAATTTTAATGTTTGATTCAATTTTAGAGTATGACTCAAAAGTTAATGCTCTTTTAATTTTTCAGTTTTTAATAGATATATAAATGGTTGCATTATACCTGCAAAGTTTGGTATAAGGTTTCGTTAATAGTTGCGTATGCCAATAAAGCGTTGTAACTGAGTCTTACTAATTGGTTTTTAATGTATGTTTGTATTTGTATACTAAACTTGTAGAATTTCAACTCTAGAGAGATTATATAAATCTTACCATTATAATTTTTTCTGAAATGAATTTAGGCTTTCCGATTTAGTTCAACTTTTTAAAACTTATCTAGTTTTCAGAAAATAGATAATAGAGATGTGATGATAAAGTGTTGTTTTTGATTATGCTTTTGTAAATTGTTTCATTAATTTAAATCAACTATTTTTCTTTATTAGACTTGACGATAATTTCGTCTATAATTATAAAATTAAAAAATTAATTAGGCCAAAACACAAAGCGATTGAGTTTCGTAAAAAAACGTTAAATTAAAATTCTTTCTTTATTTTTCAGGACTTCATATTTTTATTAATTTTACGTCTAGCTTGTTAAATATATAGAATTAAACTAAATTTGAGAAGGCGTCAGGTAATCTATCTACATTCACTTATGCTATCATTAAATTTTTGCCAAAATTCCATTTTTAATGGTTTCATTGTTGTTCTAATTTATGTTTTGTTTTCAATAATGGAAATCAATACTTTAAATAATTTTGTTTCTAGAAATTAAAGAATAAAAAAAATATAAAGTTTTAGACGATAATTGAATACTCATTATCTATCTTTTTAATCAATAAAACAATCAATAATAAGTATACATAATAATGATATAGTTGTAAATCTTTTTAATTTATATAATTTAATATTACTAAATTTGGATATAATTTCAATATATTTGAATTATAATAATAATAATCATTTGATTTTGTACTATTTAGTTAAAAAAATCGTAACTGAAACATAAACAAAAAAAACTTAATTTTAAAAATATTTTTGATTTTGTGTTATAATAAATTTGATTTCATTATTGATTAATTCCATTTTATTGTTTTTAACAATAATAAGAATAAGAATTTAAAGAAATCAGTTGATTTTAACACCGATAATTATAATTATATAAGTTTTTACATTCTTTTACCAAACACTAATATTACACAGTATTACCAAATAACAAGTCAATATACTTCTAAATTAATCGCATAAATACGAAATTTAGTTTCTTGGCCAATGATCTATTGGTTACTTATTAATGGTGTAGTATTAAGTTTAGAAACTTAAAAACTGACTTAAGACTAACTCACAACAGAGATCATCATAAAGGTTAAAAGTAGGTGAAAAAATTCTATAAAATTAGTAAAATTTCTAGAAAATAAAATCAACTCCGAGGAACATACTAAACTTTACAAGTAATTGTTGAAATTGATAACTAATTATGAGATGGTTCAATTCAAACTTTAATAAAATGTGAATTAATAATAAGATTACAATGAAAAAAGAGTAAAAATAAAAAACCTTTAATAAATCAATTGTAAATCAAATTTGAATATTTTTTCTTATCTTTCAATTCAATTATATAAATTAAACGTCATTTTTTATTGTTCAACCCCTCAAATTACCCCTTTAATTATTTATAGAAAATAAATTTGTAACACAAAAATATAAATGATTAAATTATTTTATAAAGTATAAAAGTATAAAAGTATAAATATAAATAAAAGACCAATAATAATTTTTTACAACCAATTTTTTTCTTTGTTGATTTTACAATCAAATTTCTATTGAATCAACTGTTATAACTAGCCCAGGAACTAGTCATTTGATCAATCAAATATATCATATAGCATTATAATATATCACTTAAAACATTCAACTTAAAAAATATTGCATTTATAAATCATTTTTATCCTTTGTTTAAATTTTTATTTTTTTTTAGTATATTTTATTATCTCCTTTTTAAATAATAAATACAAGTATAGCATAACCATTTAAATAACTTAGTCATTTTATTTACATTACAACCAAATTTTATATACTTCAATACGTGTCAACTGTTTCAGATTTCATTATTAGCTTTTTAAAACTGTGAAAACTTTCATTAAATAGTTACTCATCATATACTTTATTTGAATAAAAAAAGTTATGATTCAAACATCAACAATTATAAATAATCCATCAACATCAAATTCATCTACTTTAAAATCAAATAATTTTGAATCATCATCATTTAATTCTATTCACTCATCTTCATCATCTAAAATGACATTAAAGGCTATAAGTTCAGATCAAGATAATAATATTGAAACTGTGGGTAATTATAAACATCAAAAAAATCAACCACAGTCATCATTAACACGTCCTAAATCTACATCAAATGTATCATCATCATCATCATCACCATTAGCACAACAACAATCACAACAACAGCCACGAAACAATCTTACCATAACTACAAGTAATACTACCAATTTGAAAATTCTAGATACAAATTTTAATCAAGATCACGGATGTTTTGCAATTGGTCATGAAAATGGATTTTTAGTATATAATACAGATCCAATAGATTTACGAGTGAAAAGAAATTTTAATACCAACTTAAATCAACAACAATCAGTTCCAAGAAATATTTCATCTTCTACTTTTAATGGTGGTTCAGGTATTGGTCATATTACAATGTTACATAGAACTAATTATTTAGCATTAGTTGGTGGTGGTTTAAATCCAAAATTTCCAGAAAATAAATTAATTATATGGGATGATTTAAAAAGAAAAATTAGTTTAAGTCTTGAATTTGATCAACCTATTCAAAAAGTGTTATTATCAAGAATTAAAATTGTTGTTGTATTAAAAAATCAAATTATAATATATGGCTTTACATCACCACCTAAAAAATTAATGTCATTTGAAACTTCACAAAATGATTTTGGAATAGCTGACTTATCTGTATTAATTACTACAACTACAAAGGATTCATCCTCATTGAGACCACAGATATCAAATAATCATACTTCAAGAGGTAGTTATGGATCAGTATCAAGTAATTCATCAAATAATTCAGTTGGTTCAAATACTTCAATAACTAGTATAATAAATCACAACAATTATTTAAATCAACAACAGCAAAGTACAATATTAGCATTTCCAGGTAAAGCAATAGGACAAATACAAATAGTAGATATTGGACAATCCTCACCCAAATCAAACACTTCAATAAAAACAACTAACAACACAACAACTACAACACCACCATTACAATCCTCTATAATAAAAGCTCATAAATCACAAATTAGAAATTTTTGTTTAAATAAAGATGGAACATTGATAGCACTGGCATCAATATTAGGAACAATTATACGAGTTCATTGTACAAAAACTACAAATTTATTATACGAATTTAGAAGAGGAATAGATAAAGCAGATATAACATCAATTAAATTTAATCATGATAGTACCAAAATAGCAGTATTATCAGATAAATATACATTGCATATTTTCAACTTACAATCTCCACCAACACCAACACAAGAATCAAAGATTTTCAGTTTCATTCCCAACCCTATAATCCCACAATATTTTAAAAGTATTTGGAGTAATTATAGTATAAATACTTCGAAATTCCATACTAATGAAAATGAATTAGATGTTGGAGAAATTGGATGGATAAATAATTCTCAATTATGTATTATATGGCAAAAGAAAAAAATTTGGGAAAAATATTCCATAGTTGAAAAAATTACTAATGATAAAAATGTGGAATATGAAATTGTAAGAGGTAGTTGGAAATCATTAGATAATGAATAAAACAAATAAGCATTCAAAAAAGTCAATAACTACAATAGTATTTTTAAGTTTCTCTTTTTTTGTATAAATTAGAAAATAAACAATTTCAGATAATTTCACAAATTAAAGGACCATAATCTTTCTTTTCCATTACATTTCCAAAATGTTGTAAAAAATTCCATTGTTTTAAACCATTAAAATTAAGCCAAAATCTATTAACATCATCAATATTTGTAAAATTTAATTTTATTATATTAATACCTAAATTAATATTTGAATAAATTTGATCAAGTGGTTCTGAAGTTAAATTATAATTCCAAAGAAATTTTTCAATAGTTGATTTTTTTAAACCAAATGGCCAATTTTTAATAAGTATTGATTTTGAATTTTGGTCAAAGTTAAATAATTGCTGAAGTGTTTTATAATTTAATTCATCTTTTTGTAATATTTCTTCTATTTGTGTGTTTGGTTCTTCTGATATTGTAGTGGGTATCAATTTTTTAATTAATTTGGGATTTGTTGATATTAATTGATGAGGGTAAGTAGCTATAAGTTCTTTCAAAATTGCTGAATCTTGATATTGTTGGAATTTTAATGGAACACCATTTAAAATTTTTTGATTAATTTCATTTATATAAGTTAAACAAAACATTCGATTTTTGAAAAATAAAAAATATTCATTTTCAAAAACTAAGTGATCATTTCTTTTTTTCAATATTTCAAATTGATTTATGGGATTTTGATCATACTTTAAATATTTCTCAAATGGTAAAAAATTTTGAAAATCTTTTAAGTTTAAAAAAGAATTCTCAATCTTAATACTTAAAAACGGCAAAGTTTTTAAATTACCAGCTAGTAGGTTGTGTGCATTTTGTTTTCTCTTTGTTGATATGTTGTTCAAAAAATCTAATTCGTATGATTCGTTAGTGGTTGAATATAATTGATTTGATAAGGTGGGATGTAATTGTGATGATGATGATGAAGATGTTGCTGGGTTGCGAGAGGCTGTTTCTTTGTATAGTAGGTTCATCAAGCTTTTAGATGCATTCGTAGTAGGTTTCAGCATTTTTGAGGCAGTAGTTGTTGCGATTTGTTATATGATTTGATTCGTGATTTTGGTAGTAGCATTGAACTACGAATATCCGTTTTTTAATCTTTCAGTTTTATAGCCGTGTCCATAGCTACCACTTGATTTCGGATTTTTTTTTTAACTTTCTGCAAATTTCCAATTCGTAAATTTTCGTAAAACTTTAATTTAATGTCGATTTAAAATTTGGTTTCAATACATCATAATTAAATTGAGAAAGCTATGAAAATCAGTTATGATAACAAAACATGTCAATATCTTAATGAAAAACAACTAAATTGACCATAAGGAAATAACAAAAATGAAAAAGGTTCAACACTCACTAACTCCTTATAATTTGGAAACACCTTAACCCCTTAATTCTCCGACTCAAATAGTCATGTTTTTCAAATTTGATAGTTTTGAAGCCGTACCAAATTTTAACAAATTGAAAAGTGATTTTAGTTTGGTGGCAAAGTGAACCAGAAGAATATAACCAATGATACGATTGAATTTTACACGTTTTGCTTATTACCATAAATTTAAATACAATGCAGAGATTAGTATTTAAACCATTGGGTTTCCTATATCAGTTTTTAAAGAAATATTATCATATCAAGTGTCCAAGATTTGTACAACTAATATATCAAAGTCATGGAATTTGTAAGTACATAAATCCAATACAGGCAGCTTACTCACTGTTGATTTCGTAAACTAACTCAAATTTAGGTTTCAGTCATTTTCCAAAATCATTGGAAATTAATTGCGAGTACATTCACAATTAGTAAATTTTTATGGGATTTTTATTTACATAATAGACAATTGAAAAAAGTTGAACAAACAGAAGTTCAATTTTCAACTGAACAAACTGATTTAGTAGTCAATGATAAATCAAGTCAAGCTTTGTCTAATCTCAAGGATTTGTTAAGATTACATACTGATAAATTGGGTTTTGATTTAATTAGAAATTTAATTATTATTAATTTTAACGTGTACCATAAAATTTGGACAGTAAGCGGTACAATCAACGAGTTGTTATCATTTATATTACCTATTAACTCAGTATCTCAAACTGTTTTATTTTCGGTTGTTTCGAATGGGTTATTGTTTAGTTGGGGTATACCTATACAATTTTATAGTGAATATTTTGTATCAAAATTTCCTAAACAAGAACCACCCTTGAAATGGTTAGTGTATAATTTTTCAAAATTTGTTTTGAAATGTATTGGAGATTCATTTAAAATATTTGGGTTTTTAATGTTAGCTAAATTTGCTAAATCTTTTCCAATCTGGCAAATCTCTTTAGGTTTTTTGGTTTATACCATTGTCAAAGTATCTTTAACTCCGTTGTTTGTTAAGATTGTATTTCCTGGATATTTGAAACCACTTCCAAAAGGTGAATTAAAAGATGAATTAACAAAAGTTTGTGCTGAAGTTGGTTATGATCCTGAATCAATTTATTTATCTGATTTTTTCGGTGGAATTGGTTATAATTATTTACCAAATTGTGTTTTAGCAAATGAAAGATTAATTGATAAATTTACAACAAAAGAATATTCGTCAAAAGTTTTGCTGGTGATATTTACAATTACTTTAAATGCTAATCTCAACCAAAAATTAAGGGAAACTGCTGAGCTATATGTTAATTTATTATTTTTTGATTATTTTTTTATAAATGATAACACCATATTAACACAATTTGGATTTACTGGAAATCAAGATGATTTAATTTTCATCAAGTATTTGATATTCAATCAAATTTTCTTACCTTTCAACCTAGTTATAAAATCATTACAAAAGTACATTGATAGATTACATAATCAACAACTTGATGAAGAAACTTACGAAATTTATAAACAAATATTTATTAATAGTTTGAAAAAAACTCAAAATAATAATGATTTACTTGTCTTTGAAAGTGATTATTTGTATAATATATATTATACAAATTTACCAGATATTGGTAGAAGAATTAAGTATTTGGAACAACTTGATAAAGTTGAGAAAATTGATTGAAATTTGTTAAAAGAAATGCGTTCTTGTAAATAGTTTAATTGTACATTTATAGTTACTATTTTTATATTCTACCAATTCGTAAATACTCGTAAATCTTCACCCTGATTCAAAATTTAGTTACATTACATCAACGTATGACAATCAAAGTGACAACGAATTTATCAATAAGATAAACTTATTAAATATCTAAATGTAAGCTCTGAAGGGCTTTAATTGTGCTGACATAATTGAACAGTCTGCAGATACAGTCTACAGATACTCATAAGCTGATCTTATATACCCCTTTAGCTTTGAAAAAATCTAAATAAAATATTATAAAACCATGCAACTTATAAATAAAATTAAATTATAATATTGCATTTATTTGATGGCAAAATAAACTGTAAACTAAAAAATATAAAATTTACCGAATCAGTATTATTTATTGCTTTTAGTCTTTAATTTTGATTTTTGATAATTAAGCAATTTTTTACAAAACCTCAGGATGAAATTTGTATGTAAATTTGGAGTATAGTCATTAAAGGTTTCAACTACTGACAAATATCGATAGGTTTCAGATCTTTTTCAAAACCATTGGAAAGTACTTGCAAGTACATTCACAATTGGAAAATTTTTATGGGAATTTTATTTACATAATAGACAGCTTAAAAAAGTTGAATTAGCGGAGTCAGAGTTAACAACACAAAAATATGATTTGGTAGTTAATGATAAATCAAAACAAGCTTTGTTCAACCTTAAGGACTTATTAAAGTTGAATATTGACAAATTAGGATTTGACTTAATTAGAAACTTAATCGTTATAAATTTTAATGTTCACCAAAAAATTTGGACAGTAAGTGGAGCTTTCAACCGATTATTGTCATTTGTTTTACCAATTAATTCCATATCTCAATCTATTTTATTTTCAATTGTTTCAAATGGATTGTTGTTTAGTTGGGGTACACCTATTCATTTCTATAGTGAATATATTGTATCAAAATTTCCCCAAAAACAACCACCTTCAATTTGGTTTCTAAATAGTGTTACAAGATTAATTTTGAAAAGCATTTCAGATCTGTTTAAAATATTTGGATTTTTGATGTTAGCTAAATTTGCTCAAAGATTGCCCATTTGGCAAATTTCTTTAGGATTTATGATTTGGTTAGTGATTAAAGCATCATTAGTGCCTTTATTTTTCAAATATATGTTCCCTGGATTTTTGAAGCCAGTTCCAAAAGGTGAATTAAGAGATGAATTGACAAAAGTTTGTTCACAAGTGAATTATAATCCCGATACAATATATTTATCTGAAATTTTCATGGGCGTTGGTTATAACTATTTACCCAATCGTGTTACAATAAACAAAAGAATCACTGATAAATTTACTCCAAAAGAATATTCATCTAGAGTTTTACTGGCCATTTATTCAATTAAATTAAATTCAAATCTTAAACAGGATCTAAGACAAGTTGCTGAATTATATCTTAATTTAGTAATTTTTGACAGCTTTTTAATGAATGATAACACAATATTAACACAATTTGGATTCTTAGAAAATCAAGATGGTTTGTTGTTTATCAAATACTTGTTATTTAATCAAATTTTCATACCCTTAAATTTGGTTATTTTGTCATTACAAAGATACTTTAACAAATTGAGTACTCAACAAATTGATGAAGAAACTTTTAAAATTTACAAACAAGATTATATCAATTACTTGAAGAAGTCTACAATTAATAGTGATTTAGAATTTTTTGAAAATGATTGTCTTTATGAATTTTATTATTCAAAAGTTCCAGGTACTGCCAAAAGAATCAAACACTTGACAGAAAATATCAAGACTAATAATACTAACAAATAACTATGAATTATTTTCCACTTGTATATTGATTTATGAATGTATATGACTTTATTGAATGTATCTTTAAATAATATTGAAATTATTATAGAGTTAAGCTACCACGTGATGTTGTTTCAAATTTGATTTTCAGCTAAAAAAATCGGGACCAAATAATTTTTTTTTGTTTGATTTTGTGAGTGGAATATTACGGAATTTTAGATTAATTAATAAAACATGTCAAACTAATGTTACAATAGATCAATATTTTTTTCAAATGATTAAGTCTAGACAGCTCTATAACATCATATTAAACAGCCTCAAAGTATTCGAGCTCCAAGGACTCAAATTTCATTTTGATCAGTACTGACACATTAATAGATACTTTAATAGTTCAATGATTTAAAGTTTTCAAGAATTTCCATATTGAGTTTATTATTTTATTTTAAGCTTTGGTAATCATTATTTTATAATTTATAATAATCATTCTAATTCTTAAATTATATAATTTAATTTTCTTCCATACAACTTTAAAATTAAAATTTTATTAGTTGATAATAAAAAAAAAAAAATTGTGCGAAAATTTCACAAATTGAAAAAAAATTTGAATCCTTTTTTTTTTAAATTAATTATCACTCAACAAATTAATACAATCAACTGGAATTCATATATACAATAAACTTATAAAACAACATTAACTATAGCATTAGCTTAGACAATATACAATAGACAATACACACATATATAAAATTTAAATTATAAAAGACATTCTACAATCCACAATACTAAATCCAAAATTCTGTATAAATTGCCATCTGGTTATTATTGAAAACTAGATTTCAAAAACTTGTAAATAATAAAAATCATTTCTTTCAATTTCAGTATATAATATCAACAAATCTGTAAATAGCTAATATTTGAAAGATATATATATCAATAATCACCAACTCACAAGACATTTCCATAAAATTTGTATATAAAAGTTCATTAGACTAAAAAAAATTACTGTATAATAATAATAACCACGTTTTTTTCCGTTTTAAGTATAAACAAAAGATATAACAACCACAATCGAAAACAATGCCAACAGAAACTATATGGTCAAGTGCAAACACTTCACCAATCACTACTCAACCACTGTTAACTCCACTTACAAATAACTCAAATTTAAATTCAAATTCAACTACATATGGATCCAAAACTCAATTTAAATCAGTTTTAGATCAAGTTGATCCAGAAGTTGCAAAATTTTTACAAAATACAAATCCATTAGAATCTTTAACTTCTCAAAATAATGAAAGAAGATTTTCATTTAATGATGGTAGTGATATTGATGATAATTCATTTTTTGGATTTAAAAGAGGTACATTATCTGCTATAACTGCACCAGTTGGAAATTATAATAATAATAATAATCAATTAAATGGTAATAAAAATAATTCACCTTTAAATAATGGGAATCAAAGAATTAATTTTGGTACTGCATCAATTAGTGGAGGTATTGCATCAAGACATCCACCACAAGAAAGTTTTTTACAAAAATTTTCAAATGTAGCTGATGCAACTAGAGAAATTGAATTTGGGAAATTAAAATTGGATGATAATCAACATAATTCAAGAAGAACAAGTTTTAATAATGAATTTTCTGGTGAATTAAATATGCCAGCTCCAAGAAGTACTTCAAGACATCAATCAATAAGTGAAAAAATTGATAACTACAACAATAATTCTCCAATTCAAACTAATGCTGCATTATCAATAAATTCAGATTTAAATAGTTCAGAAAATTTAAATATACTTCATCAAAATAATCAACAAAATAATACAATTAATGGTGCTCAAAATTTTTGGAATCCAGCTGCTGCTACTTCATTTACACCAGCAACAAATTATTTTATGGATAATAATGGATTTCCAATTCCAACTCCTCCACCATCTCATCAAATGCAAAATTTTTATAATCGTCAAGGTGCTCCAATTCCACCTATAAGTCCTCCACCATTTATGATTCCTTCACCACCGCCTCCACAGTTTATGGATCCTTCAATTTATAGTATGATGTATGGTAATTTACCACCATTCCCACCACCTCCACCTCAATCACAATCACAACAAGATGATAGGAAATCACATGTTGATGAAGATGATAAAAAATCAAATGAAATTAAAGCAAGTGGTAGTGGACCAATAGGAGTTGGATTAATGAATAGACAATTTTCACCTGCTTCCTTTATGTTTCATCCTTTTAATCCTTATTATCAACAAGGTCCATTAACCCCAGATATTTTGAAAACAATGTCACCACCACCTCCTCCACAAATGATGGTTCCACCTCCACAACAACCCCAACAACCACCTCAGCAGCAGCAACAACAACAATCACAATCAGCACCAAAACAACCATCGAAGTCTACATCACCACCACCTAAAGATTCCAAGAAGAAATCAAAAACCAAAAACACATTTATTTATAGATCACCATTATTAGAAGAAGTAAGATCAAACACCAAAAATTTCAAATTAGGTGATATATATGGTCATGCAATAGAATTCACAAAAGATCAATATGGATCAAGATTTATACAACAAAAATTACCAGAAGCTACTGAAGTTGAAAAAGAAATGGTATTTAATGAAATAAGAGATATTTCATATGAATTAATGACAGATGTATTTGGAAATTATGTTATACAAAAATATTTTGAATATGGATCTACTACACAAAAACAAATTTTATTGGAAAAAATGATTGGTCATATTTATGAATTATCATTACAAATGTATGGATGTAGAGTTGTTCAAAGAGCTTTAGAAAGTTTAGAGCAAACTGATGATCAATTAAAAATTATTAATGAATTACGTGATTATATTTTGATTTGTTCAAAGGATCAAAATGCAAATCATGTTATTCAAAAAGCTATTGAAATGATAAAACCATTTGATAAGATTAAATTCATTTTAGAAGCTTTAACTAATCATATTTATAATTTAACTACTGATGCATATGGATGTAGAATTATACAAAGATTATTAAAAAGTTCAAATCCAAATGATCAAGTTAAAATCATAGATGAATTAAACTCATATATTTATTACATAATTCAAGATTCTTATGGTAACTATGTTGTACAATATATGTTAGAAAATGGATCATCTCAAGAAAAAAATAAAATATTAGATATTATATTAGAAGGAGATAATTTATTAATTTTTTCAAAACATAAATTTGCATCAAATGTAATTGAAAAAGCAATAAAATATGGAGATTTAAAACAACGTAAAAAAATTTTAAACAAAGTAATGGAATCTCCTACTGAAAATTTGGAAGAACAAACTATTATTATATTAATGTTAAAAGATCAATATGCAAATTATGTAATTCAAAAATTAATTGAATATCTTGAAGAAAATGAAGATAAACAACGTTTAATTTCGAAATTGAAAAATTATTTACAACAATCTTCTAAAAATGGAAATCAGGTTGGTGGGAAACAATTGGCATCTGTTGAGAAATTGAAATCTTTAATTGGTCAATAAAATTTTTGTATAAAATTCTTGTGTATATAGTTTGTTCGTATAGTTGTTTAATATGTAATAAGAAAATAACCCAGTTTGCAGTTTGTACTTTAGTAAAATTAAACAATAATAACGTGAGTTTTAAGTGTAAAAGCTTTTACAAAAATAAGAATAAAACATCAAAACATATGTAATAAAAAGTCTATAATAAAACCACATAAAATATTGTCTAAAAAAAATCATAAAATACAAAAATCATCAAAAAAAATAAATGTCTAAAAACATATAGAGTCTCTATTTAAAAGAACGTAACAATACCCATTTAAATTTACTCCAATTTTCACAACTTGTTTCTTCTTTCTTGGTATCATCATCAAAACAACAAATTTTTTTATAGAGTAATTTAACTGATTCAATATCGATAGTTAAATCATCAATTTTTATTAAATCAAAAAATAAAATATATTTTAATAATTCAATCTCCTTGAGATTTAATATTTCTTCATGATTTATAATTTTAATTTTTTTGGATGTAGGTGATGATTTATGATTAAATTTTAATTCAAGACTTGATAAATTATCTTCTTCTCTAGTTGAAAATTTTTTCAAACTTAAACTATCATACAGTGTCAGGTTAGAACTAATTGAATAATTTTTTTGTTGTTCGTCAACTTCTTCTTTTTTATTAAAAGGTTTAAATTTTGAAAATTCCATTGATAAACTAGATCCAATTGATCCACCGGGATGTTTTTTAGAAAATTTATGTTTTCTTTTTGTTAAATCTGATTCTAAAATTTCTGAAAGTGATAAAACTAATGAATCTGCTAGTATTAAAGAAATTGTATATGATACTGTTGGAGCTGGAATTCCATGAATACTTAATTCATTATGAGTTGTTGATAAATCTGCAAATATTAAACTTGAAATTCTTTTATTTTGTGATAAAATTGATTTTGATTTATTTGTTAATAATAATATAGGAATATGATCTGGTATATGTTGTAAAATATTTATTAATTCATCTGAATTACCTGAAGATGATATAAATATTAATATATCATTATTATGAATCATACCTAAATCTCCATGTAATGCTTCTGATGGATGTAAAACTGATGAATGTATAGATAAAGAATTTAAAGTTGCTTCTAATTTTAAAGCTAATTTAAAAGATTTCCCAATACCTGTAAGAATAATTTTACCTTTTTTAAATTGATGACAATTATACATTATTTCTAAAGATTTATTTAATTGATTTATCGAAAATTCATCATTTTGATATTGATTATATAAATTTGAAACGGCTTCACTTTCAAATTTTAATGTATTTAGTATTGATTTTTGAGTTTGTTGTTTGAAATCGGATGAATCTATTGAATTATTTGTTAATTTAGTATCGTTTAATGAAGTTGATGATGGATATGAAGTTGCAAAAATTGGTAAATCTGACTCGAATACTGATGTTGGTGAAGTTGGTGAAGTTGTTGGTGATATTGTTGAGTCTTTATGATTTATCGCGGGTATAGTTGTCATTATATGTTATTATTAATTGTCTATTAGTGTTTTGAATAGTTTATAAATGAGTAAAGTCTTCGAATATTTGTTGTAGTTCCTATTGTCTTTTAATATTAATGATTAATGTTCTTGTATATATTAGTAAGCGATTCAAGATCTCTTAATAATTAAAGTTTTAGATTCGAAAAAATAAACAATTAACCAGTTTTTTTGTTAGATTTGAAGAAAAAAGCCACTTAGTAAGACAATGAATAGATTAGATCTATATCGAATATATATAAGTTTGATATAATAGTATCTTCAAGTTAACTGAAATGAACACTTTTTTGAAATAAATATTAATATTGAAAAATATGAAAGTTCTTTTATATATAATATTTTATTTTTTAAATAATTCTAAATTGAAAAATAATAAATTCTAAAAATCAATTAACCATTTCAGTAGAGTAAATAAATAACTACCTTAGCAAATAGAAGTCAAATATAAGAAAGCGGAGTTTATTATTTACATACACCTTTCAATTCTAATATTAAATTTTGGTCCTCGATCAATTACGGTGTTTTGTTTGATTATTAAGTATAATTATCAAATTAATAATTAAAATATCTTAATCATTAATTAATAATCTTTGTAATAGTAATTAAATAAAAAAGGCGTAAAATTTCAAAGCAATATTTGAACATTACTTAAACGATCTTACAGAAATGAAAAAGAAAAAAAACAAATTTATTCAAAGGCAGGTTAATAACGAAGATAATGCTACATGGTTTAAATTTTACATCAATGATATTCTCGGATAATTTTTTTTTTTCATCTTCCTTTCAACTTATCAATTTAATCATTTATCTTTCTAGAGTGTCAACTTTAATTGTGGCATTATTATTGTAACTCGTAATCTCCTATTACCCAATTAACTTGACAGATAAAAAAAAATCGGAATCGAGATAAATCATACAAACTTAAACCCGTTTATAAAGTATTTACGTATATTACAAAAGTAAAACATTGATATATGAGGTGCATATATTACGCATGTATCAAAGTTTCATCTATAATTGGAGTTGATTTAAAGCAAGAGAAGCAAGATTATTTGTTAAATGATATTGATTTTTATGACCTAATCTCTAACAAATATTACTTAATAGTAAAAGGACTCAATGCTTTAAATTAAATTTGTCCTATAAGTCTTTCCATCCCCCCCCTAGGCTTTAAATAAGTGATGTCATACGATCAACGCACAGCAAATGATAGGTATTAAAATTTATTCGGTCTTTGCTATTTTTGATCTTTAAAATAAACTGAAAAAAAAGAAAAGAACTGCCCTTTTATCAAAAAATGATAAGAAATTAAACTCCATTATTTTTAAATGGATATAAATTAAAGCCGCTTAAAGATCATTGGAATTGAAAAAACGTTTTTACAAGATATTAACTATCTTCTTGTTTATTGTATTAAGCTTATAAATTATTATAGTATTGTATCTATCAACTCATGCAATTTGTCTTTATGACAATAAATTCAATAGAGCAAGATTGTATTTTATTATTTTCATTTTTATTACAAAATAAGTAGAAAAATTATGTAAACGATTTACTTCTGGAATCACGTGCCTTAATAATCCTTAATAATAATTAGTTGAAGAGAAAAGTTTTACCAGTAAAAAAATTAAATTTCCATCGACAATTCTGAACGATTTTTTTTAGCAATATAGAGCAAAATTCGTGGTGGGCAATGGAATTGATCATGAAATTTTCTAACATAAATGCAAAACAAATTGGGAGAGAGAATACAGTGAATGTTATGGCAGCATCTTAGTTTTTTACCTTTAGTGTTGTGAAGTCTACTATAATAGATTTTCCAGAAATAGTCTTCATACAAGTGTGTAGACTATTCATATTCGATTTTTTTAATGGCGAGAATTTAATAATTTAAGGATTCTTTAATCATTATACAATTCTTTAATGAGATTGTATAATTTAAAATGATTTTAGTTTTTTTTTATTATTCAATGTTATTAATTTTTTACCATTTATTCCATCGATTATTTTGAAGTTATAGTCCATCTGCATAATTTATAGCATAATTTACAGCATAATTTGTTATCAAAGTCGTTTATATATTAAGGATTCTTTAATCATTATACAATCCTTCAATGAGATTGTATGATTTAAAATGATTTTAGTTTTTTTATTATTCAACATCATCAAAACTTTGATAAAAAAAGATGTGTAGACCATCAAGTTTGGATAGAAATTGATATAATGGGTTATTTAAAGTTAAATCTAAAATGAATTTACCAAGTTCAATAAATGATCTTGGTTTAATCTTTCTACCTTGTATTTGTTGCAAAAAGATTAATAAGGATTGATGCAATATAGCAACAGTTTTGTTTTAAATTGTTGTGATTTCTTTTTCAAAAATTTTGAGTTTTGGTTGTTAAGTGATGACTTTATATACATTTGAATCGATCGTATAACCTATGATGAAAACTTTTATCAAGTCCTCTTTTTGTCATATGGTGTTGTCATTTGGTTAATTTTAAGTTTTAAGAATAGTGGTATCTGATTTGAAATATTTTCTATTGAGAGTAGGTTGCAACTAACTACTTATGTTTCATAATTCGGATGCACTAATTAATAAATCATCTACATATAGTGTTAATATGATTCGTGAATCGAATATTGTATTTTTTGTATTTTGTAATAATTATTATTACTTTTATTAATTTGTAGAATAAATTCTCTAGGCTAACTGTAAAATGTTTAAATCCTTGTAAGGCACCAAAATTTATTTTGATTTTTGTGCTTTATAATTTTTGGTTTATTTCGTAAATAATTCCGCTTTTATATGGAATATTTGAAATTTCAAGAGTATAATATAATATATTTCATAATATATAAATTAATGAAATATTCAACAATAATGTTAGAGAAAGAAGTTGTTATATTCAAATTACCGAGAGCTTTGAAATATGAAGATTTTGTCAATTGCTGTCTTAGCTTGCCTATTTTCTGGTAAACTAAATGCGTTAACAGTTCCAAATCCAATTAATTTTCAACAACCATTGAATTTGAAATTTGATAAATTGATAAAAGAAAATAATTATTATAATATAATTTCAAATTTACTCAATGCACCTTTGGAAGAATTAAATGAAGAAAGAAAACTAATTTGGAAAGAATTGGAGAATAATTCAAAATTTAATGATTATATGAAATTTTTAACTACTTCAACAAAAATAAAAATTTCTACTACTACTCAAAATTTTGACTATCATGTAAAAGATGATAGATTTCCACAACACCAATTAAGAGTTAAAAATATACCAGAAAGTTTAGGAGTTGATTCAGTAAAACAATATTCAGGTTATTTAGATATTGAAAAAGAAGATAAACATTTTTTCTTTTGGACATTTGAAAGTAGAAATGATCCAAAAACAGATCCAATAATTTTATGGTTAAATGGAGGTCCAGGTGGTTCATCATCTATAGGATTATTTTTTGAATTAGGACCATCTTCAATTGATAAAAATTTAAATCCAAAATATAATCCATATTCTTGGAATTCAAATGCTACTGTTATATTTTTAGATCAACCTGTTAATGTTGGATATTCTTATTCTTCAAAACAAGTATCAAATTCCATAACTGCTGGTGAAGATTTTTATATATTTTTGGAATTATTTTTCAAAAAATATCCTCAATTCAAAAACTTAAATTTTCATATCACTGGTGAATCTTATGCTGGTCATTATATTCCAGTTTTTGCTACTGAAATATTAAAACATAAAGATAGATCTTTTAATTTATCATCAGTTTTAATTGGTAATGGATTAACTGATCCTTTAAATCAATATGAATTTTATGAACCAATGGCATGTGGTAAAGGTGGTTCACCAAGTGTTTTACCTGAATCAGATTGTAAAAAAATGAGAGATGCTATACCAAAATGTAAATCATTAATTTCGAAATGTTATAATACATCATCTATTTGGGACTGTGTACCTGCTACTGTTTATTGTAATGATAATGAATTTGGACCTTATGGAACTTCAGGTAATAATGATTATGATGTTAGAAAACCTTGTGATGAAGGTGCTGATTTATGTTATGAAGAAGCTAATTATATAAATGATTATTTAAATAAACCAGAAGTTTTAAAAGCATTAGGTGTAGAAGTTGAAAATTGGAATTCAGTAAATAAAGAATTAAATGGTGCATTTTTATATACCGGTGATTGGATGAAACCATATATTAATAATGTTGTAACTTTATTAGAAAATAATATTCCAGTTTTAATTTATGCTGGTGATAAAGATTTTATATGTAATTGGTTAGGTATTCAAGCTTGGACTAATAGATTGGAATGGTCAGGATCAAAAGAATTTAATAAAGCATCAATTAGAAAATGGAAAGTTAATGATAAATATGTTGGAGATGTTAAAAATTTTAATCATTTTACATTTCTAAGAGTATTTGATGCTGGTCATATGGTTCCATATGATCAACCTGAAAATTCGTTGGTAATGTTGAATAATTGGCTACAAGGTGATTATAAATTTTAAAGTCTTTTTTTTTTCAAACTGAATCCTCAGAAGTAGTACTCAAATCAAAGCGGAATTAAATAACTACTATCTATGTAATCTGTATAACGTTTAATTTAGAAATTTAAAACTTGAAGGTCTAATCACTAACTGTTTTGTTGTGCTTTTGTATCATAATAAATTTTTTACTGATTTGATAAAGTACTGTAGTTCAGAGGGAAAAAATAAAAACAAGTGAGATAAAACATATTTCAGGAAGTTGTTTTATTTATTTTTGGAGAGTTGAGTGGAGTGTTAAAGTTTTTATAAACACTGGTTAATTATCTTCCCAATCTCGCAATTTAAAGGTAAAATTATGATAATGATTGTAAAATCGTCAAAATTAAAGAAATAGAGAATGATGTTGAAAGGTAAATCTTAATTAATCAATTTTTGTAGTCACTGAAATTGCTAAATGATTCAAAGATTTAGAGGGTCAAATGTCAAATTAAATACTATAAATTATGGTAATGACCCAGAATCTGACTTATGGTAATGAAGGTGTATTTAGTGATAATGGATTAGAAGAATTAACAATACATGAAAATCAAAATCACAATGCAACCTCATCTGTAGCTACAGTGGCGGCGAATGCAGCTATAGTTTCTACTGGGTTTATGAGTTCATGACTTTCAATATCAAATAAATAAATAGAACCTGATATATTTTTTATGGACAAGAAGAGTTATATTGATGATTTGGAATTTAACTTAAAACAATTTTTCGAAAACTATAGAATTAATAGGTATTCAAAGGCTGGACATGATTACAATATTAGAGGAAATAGCAATAACATTAGAACAATTATCAACGTTTGAAATAAGTAAAACAACAAGTGATTTATTGAATGCATTTAGTCAAGTTGAATTCAAAAAGTAATTTAGATAGATTGAACCTATCAGATCAACTATAGGGTATACAATTGAAGAATATTTGAGTATAATAGAATCAATAAACTATGTTTTTTAAACAAGAATCAAAATCCATCTACTGTTATCAACTATAGCGTCTTAAATTGAAAAACTTTCCCAATGAACAACCAATATCCAGTGAACGATCATTCGAGACAGGTAAATTAAAAGAAAGACAATCACAATTACAAAAGGAATTTGATGAGATAAGTTTTACAGTCAAGACTGAATTACACCAATTTGAATTGGGTAGAGTTGATGATTTTAGAAATAATGTTGAAATATATGTTGAAAGTTTTATTAAAGCTCAAAAGGAAACTATTGAATTGTATGAAACTTTTTATCAAAAGCATATTGTTTAAATTATGAAGATATGTATATGAATCAATAAGTGGGATTTTTCACGATGTCATACTAAATTGTCATTTTTTACTCTGATTTTACTTTGTTTTTCAATCTTCATAACTTGTTAAATGATATAGATTAATTTGAAATCAAATGTGCGGCTCTTTTTTCCTTTTATGTGCTATTTGTAATTATGATTCTTAAACATATCAGAAAATAAAATTTATGTTTTTTTTGATTTTTACTACTATTGTTATTACTAGTCAATAAAGTCAATCATATCATAGTCAATAAAGTCAATCAAATTATGGACAATAAAGTCAATCATATCATTAGCCAATAAGGTTAAAGATACACTACAATTTATTTAAAAATATATCAATTGATATTTGGAATTCACAAGAATTACTCAAATCATATTGATTCTGGCTAATTTTAATGGATTTTGAACTGTGAAGTTGGTTGAGTTAGTCTTCACAGACTGGATTTTGAGTCTTTTATTTTTGTTTATTTCGTCCCTTTGGTTGGAAGGGCCTCTTGGATATTCCACTTGGATATTTTCCATGGTTTTGTTGGTGGAGTTTCTTATGACTTTTTTTCAATTTTTATTGGGCTGGATTTTGGAGTGCTCGCATGTTCATCACTCTTATTTATTACTGTTTATCTATTGTTGTTTATTTATTATTGTTGAGCTCAATTGAATTACAACTACAACTTCATTCACGATTCACAATCAAGAATTTACTACTACCACTACTACCAACACCAATTCACAATTTACTACTAATACTACTATCACTTCAATAATTCACTACTACTACTACTACTAATGTCAATTCACAATTTACTACTACTACTACTACCACTACCAATTCACAATTTAATACTACTACTACTACTACTATCAAGTCACAATCAACAACTCCCAATACTACTACCACTACCAAGTCACAATCAACAATTTACTACTACTACTACTACCACTACCAATTCACAATTTACTACTACTACTACTACCACTACCAATTCACAATTTACTACTACTACTACTACTACTATCAAGTCACAATCAACAATTTACACCCAATACTACTACCACTACCAATTCACAATTTACTACTACTACTACTACCACTACCAATTCACAATTTAATACTACTACTACTACTACTATCAAGTCACAATCAACAATTTACTCCCAATACTACTACCACTACCAATTCACAATAAGTCACTAACACTATAAATTCATTAATTTACTACTACTACTACTACTACTACTACTACTACTACTACTACTACTACTACTACTACTACTACTACTACTACTACTACTACTACTACTAAGATCAATTCACAATTTACAATTTACTACTACTACTACTACTACCCATTCACAATTTGTCACTAACACTACAAATCCACCAACTACAATATACAATATACCATTAACCAGTTACTGCTGACATTTACAACTTGCCAATTACAATTTACAATTTGGTTCCACTAAGTTTTTATTGATCTTTTTATGTCAATAAAACATTGCAAATATTGTTTTTATTGATTCTTTTTTATGGTCAATAAGGCATTACTAACAATTACAGAGAGAGTCTGGTACTTAGGGGCTCTATAAACACAACTAAGACTTTATTTAAAATACAGCTACCTTTCTGTTTTTATTGATCTTTTTATGTCAATAAAACGTTGCAAATATTGTTTTTATTGATTCTTTTTTATGGTCAATAAGGCATTATTAACAATTACAGAGAGAGTCTGGTACTTAGGGGCTCTATAAACACAACTAAGACTTTATTTAAAATACAGTTACCTTTTTGTTTTTATTGATCTTTTTATGTCAATAAAACATTGCAAATATTGTTTTTATTGATTCTTTTTTATGGTCAATAAGGCATTATTAACAATAGAGAGAGAGTCCTCGAGCAGGTGCTCTATAAAGAACAGAGTCTGGTACTTAGGGGCTCTATAAACACAACTAAGACTTTATTTAAAATACAGTTACCATTTTGTTTTTATTGATCTTTTTATGTCAATAAAACGTTGCAAATATTGTTTTTATTGATTCTTTTTTATGGTCAATAAGGCATTATTAACAATAGAGAGAGAGTCCTCGAGCAGGGCTCTATAAAGAACAGAGTCTGGTACTTAGGGGCTCTATAAACACAACTAAGACTTTATTTAAAATACAGTTACCATTTCGTTTTTATTGATCTTTTTATGTCAATAAAACATTAACAATTTTGTTTTTATTGATTCTTTTTGCGTCAATAAAACATTGAGAAAAGAGACCGAGAGAGTCTGGTCTTTATGGGCTCTATAAATAACAATAAGACTTTTAGTTACTTATCCAGTGACTAATTTTTTACTTTTTTTAGCTGATCAACATTATTAACAAGGTTCATTTATTGTCGAGGTTTTGATCAGTTAAAATGTTTCTTTATTTTCAATTTTTGTATCAGGTGCTTTGACAATGTTGCATTAACAACTTTTAAATCAGGAATTAAATAATTAAGTACTCAATTTAAGATCAAAGGACCTAGTATAAGAGGTTTTATGTCAACGAAATATCAATATACTAGTCAGACATAAAAAAAGGTACATTTATCATATACAAATTCTTGGAGCTGCAATATAAAGATGTGCACCAATTGAGCGTTAGTCTCATACAATTGAAAAGCTGTTCTAGTGGTGCTATAATGAATCAACTTAAAGGTTTTTGGTCTTGATTATACAGCTCTTGTTTAAGATATTGTTACTTTAAATTTAGACAAGTTATATATCGACATTATGGATCAGATTACTAATCATTATAGAAGATGTACCATCAGACCTAAATCTGAAACAATTAAATAGTATCGGGCATTTAGAGTTTTAGATAACGTAAAATATTAAAATCACAAGTTTCAAAATAACCGGTTCTTAGACAAAATGTTTCAGTAAAAACACACGGAATCAGAAATTGTTTCAGGAAAACTGAATCAGGAAATTTTTCAAAGGGCTTTAATAACTACTAAATATTTTAACGGAAATATTTACTTTATTCTGAATATGTACAGATTGATTAATTCGATTATCGGATTTCTAAATAAATAAAAAATAAAATTCAATTGACTCTGAAGCTAAATTAAATTAGTCCGAAATAGAATAAGAATTGTATATTAGATTTTCAACAATGCTCGCAAAATGGAAATTAGAACCATTAATGTGTATTATATATAAACAAATTTTTCTATGCAGTAATTACATTCTTTATATCATTAGTCGAAGAAGATTTCTTTATAACAGTATTACTTATTGTTTTTTCTTTATTAATTTTTTCACCTTTAACAATTTTATCCATTTCTTCTTTAGTTAAAGTTTCATATTCTAATAATCCTTCAGCTAATCTTTTCAATTCTGTAGATTTTTTTTGTAATAAATCTCTTGTTCTAACTTCTGAATCTACTAAAAATGATCGTACTTCATTATCAGCTAAATTTTTAATTTGTGGACTCCATGATTCCCAATCATCACTTAATTTAACTGGTCCTATTTTATCAGACATTCCATAACTTAAAACCATTGCTCTTGCTACTCCTGTTGCATTTGATAAATCTGATGAACAACCACTTGTAACATTTTCAGCTCCATTAATCATTTCTTCTGCTATTTTACCACCCATACATACATCAAGTCTTGCAAAACATTCCTTTTTTGACATATCTACTTTATCCATTTCTGGTAATTGGAAAGTTATACCTAATGCTCTACCTCTTGGTAATATAGTTGCTTTATATAATGGTGTAGCACCTGGTGAAAACATAGCCATTATTGCATGACCTGCTTCATGATATGCGGTATTAATTCTAGATTCTTCAGTTATAACCATTTTCTTTTTAGCTGCTCCCATTAAAATTTTATCTTTTGCCCATTCAAAATGTAACATATCAACTGCTGGTGCAGATAATTGTGATGCATGGACTGCTGCTTGATTAACTAAATTCATTAATTCAGCACCAGATAATCCAGGAGTACCTCTTGCAATAATTGATGGATCAACATCATCAGCAGTTTCAACATTTTGCATATGATGTTTTAAAATATCAACTCTACCTCTAACATCTGGTAAATCAACTATAACTTCTTTATCAAATCTACCAGGTCTTGTTAATGCTTTATCCAAAGATTCTGGGAAATTTGTTGCACCAATTATAATTATACCTGAAGTTTGACTAAATCCATCTAACTCAACCAACAATTGATTCAATGTTTGTTTTGCATATGCTTGATCTTTTGGATTTCTTTTACCTCCAATTGCATCTAGTTCATCAATGAAAATTATAGCTGGTGATTTTTCTCTTGCTTGACTGAAAAGTTCTCTAATTCTTTTTGCTCCCACACCAACATATAATTCATCAAATTCTGAACCACTCATGAAAAAAAAAGGTACACCTGCCTCTCCAGCTGTTGCTCTTGCTAATAAAGTTTTACCAGTACCTGGTGGACCAGTCAATAAAACACCTTTTGGTAATTTCCCACCTAATCCAGTAAATTTTGATGGATCTTTTAAAAAATCAACAATTTCTTCTAATTCAGCTCTTGCTTCATCACAACCTTGAACATCTGTAAACCTTACTGTACTTTGACTAACATCAACTGATTTATCATTAACTTCTGCATTTTTAAAAATTGTACCATTTTCAACAAGATAATTAAAAGCATTTGTTGCTCCATATGTTATTAATGCAACTGGTACTAACCATTTAAGCCATTTTGATAATATAGTTAATAAAGATTCACTTACAACAACATGTACTGGTTCATATCGTGATCCAAATCCATGAGGAAATCCATTATTATTACTATTACTATTAGTATTTTGATGTGAATTATTATGATAACTTGAATTTAATGCATTTGCCACTTGTTCTGCTTTTCCCTTTTTACCAATTTTATTTAATGCTTCTATATATAATTGAGTACAATCATTTGATGCTGCAATACCTGGAGTTTCATATCTTTGTACAACAATATGAGGATAATTATTTGCTAAAAGTGATTTATAAAATTCATATTGTGCAGTAGTATTATTTAAATCGTTATTTGCCAATTGTTCCTGTGATTGTAGTAAGTTTATTGTTGAATTTGAGACTGATCTTATAAAATTTTTTGAATTTGCCTTTGATTTATATAAATTAAAATGTTGTTTTGTAGATCTAGATATAATAGTTGATAATGATCTTTTTATAAGATAATTTGTATTTGTTTTGGTTATACCTTGAGTTAAGGGTATTAGTTTAGTAAGTTTATTCATGTATTGTATATCTGATGATTAGTGATATTGATAAGTTGTGGTAAATTTCAAATATATTAATCAAAACTAAAATTTAGTTTTTTAAACACTCGGATTATAAATTTTTTTTATTAAATAAATAGAAATTATTAGAGAGAAAAGAAAGAAATAAAAATTAATTTGTAAATTTGTATTAAAGAAAGACATAAAATTCTTCATAGTATTTTGAATGATAATAGTTCAAGTATTACCGATAATCAAAAGATCACTTGAACTTGTTTTAAATTTGTAAATATTGGTTGAAAAATGTTGTAGAATAATATATTAAAATGGATTATAAAATACCGTTAGACCAAAATTAAATTATGTGACCGATTTTGTAAATTTATGACTAGACATGTCATACTCATTTAGATAGTTTCAAATGTTTCAAGATAGATACCATTAGTAGTTGTATATATTTGAGAGAATAATAATGATTGAGCAACTCAAACTGAAAATACTAAACCCTTGAGTATCATCGACCTAGTTATTTTGCTGAAAAAATCTCATATTTGTTAAAATTTGCATCAAAATCAAAACTAATAAACCCTTGATAATTAATCTCTTTTAAAAATAATCTATTCAGGTGTACTGTATTTCCAAAGTAAAAAGTATTATTTGAAGCTACAAAATTCAGTCATAATTTAATGGAAAACAGAAAGATGGGTTTATTTTCAATAGTAATGAATAGAATTGTTAAAATTTTACAATTTCCTAACAATTCAATGTCAAAGTCATAAATTTATTTTCTGTGTAATCCTTTAGTAAATTAATATTTACATAATAAACAAAAATCAAAATAAATAATAATAAAAACAAAAAAATAATAAATTTGTAAACATTTAATTTACAACCAAATAATATATTATTAATAATTTTTAATTTCAATCTACAATATAATGTCAGCACAAGTACTACCGAAGAAAAGAACAAAATCTGGTGGATCAAGGCTACCTAGCATTAATAGTCCTATTCATTCACATACATCATCATCAAGACAACCACCACCAAGAATATTATCAAATAATTCAAATCATTCACACATTTCACATTATAATAACAATAATTCACGTAATAGAATACTACTGAACAGAACTACTCAACATCAACAACAATCTCGTCATGTAAGTCGGAGTATAGCACAAGACGATGCAGATGATGAATCATTAGAAGATGGAGGGATTGGTTTTAATGAAAATAGAAATCAAATATTATCAAATTTTGAAGAATGGATAAGAATGTCAACTGATAATAAGATAAATATAAAAAATTCATGGCAATTTGCATTAATTGATTATTTTCATGATTTAAATGTTATAAAAGATGGTGATCAAATTAATTTTCAAAAAGCTTCTGCTACATTAGATGGTTGTGTTAAAATTTATTCAAGTAGAATTGATTCTGCAGCTACTGAAACTGGAAAATTATTAAGTGGATTAGCTGCAAAACCAAATGATAGAGGAGAATTTCCAGGTGGTGATAATGAATTAAACATATCAGACAATGAAGAACATGAGGAAGATGGTAGGAAAAAGAAAAAAGCAAATAGAGTTGTTGAATCTACATTAGTAAGTTTTGAAAGTATACGGATCAAAAAATTGGATCAAGAATTAGCTATAGATCCTTTATTTAAAAAGGCATTAGCAGAGTTCGATGAAGGAGGTGCAAAAAGTTTGTTGCTAAATACATTAAATATTGATTCAACCGGTCGGGTGGTGTTCGATGCAACTACTAATCCAGTTCAAGAAGAAAAATCACGAAATAATTTCGAAGAAGATACAAGTGAAGTTGATCTACAAGATCTTGAAAAGATATTATATGAAGATGATCCCACACCTATTGAAGAGAAAACCATATGTCCCTCACTAAATGAATTTCAATCTGCTTTAGAAGATGTTAATGGTGCAAAAAGAAGATTAAATGATTTCAATAGCAGAATGGCAGCACAAGACGATCCAGAACCAACACCACAAGGAGCAGAAGATTACGGTATGGATTTTGATTTTGATGCACCAGAACCAGAACAAGATGATCAAGACCTAGATCAATCGCCAGAAGAATCACCCAATGAAAGTGAGGAAATTATAAATCAAAGTATAATGCAAAATTTATTTGCCGAAAAAAGTGATGCATATATTCAATCTAAAACAAGTGCTGTTTTATTAGATGAGGATTTAATGAATTATTTTGATGAGAAATTGAAAATCAATTGGACTGGTCCTGAACATTGGAAAGTTTCTGCATTCAAAAAGGCAAATAATATAGATCAAGCTCCTAAAATTGAAAAAAAACCTGATCAAATTAAAAAGAAAAAAGATTCAACTATTAATTTCTTTGATTTACCGAATGAAGATGAAGATGTATTATTTAAAGTTCACAAGGATCCAAATTTTATAAATCTTAAAACTAAAAACATTTTGGAGATTTATGAGGAGGAAGAGTTTCAAGAATTAAAAGAAAAGAATTTACTACCTGATGATATAAAATTTACATCTTCAAGATTAGTCAATCTAATACAAAAACCAAATATTCCAATAATGTACTACCCAAAAAGAATGAAAAACCTACCACAATCCCAACAATCCCAACAAAACCTAGATATACCAGCAGATTCGAATTTCTTTGCGGAACAATACAAAGAAAGAGAAGCATTGGAACAAGAACAAGACGCGAACAAGACAAATGGATCAAATGATGATCGAGATCGATTAGCTAATTCTTTCCATCAAGCAGAATATGATGATTTTGATAATGATTTTAATGGAATTGACTTCAATGATGCTTTAGAACCTGAAATTGAACAACCTGTATCTCAAATCACAGGTATAATAAATAGAAGAAAATCTGAATATGTGAATTTCTCAAGAGTCGCCAAAAGAGTAGATATTAAATTACTAAAAGATAATATTTGGGATGTTATACAACAAGAAAAAGAAGTTGAAGAAACTATCAATTTTAATCTTGTGATGAATAAAGTTAAAAATATGTACACTACAGAACAAGCTAATGATTTATCTATTAGTTTTTGCTTCATTTGTGTCTTGCATTTGGCTAATGAACATGGATTAACTATTGAAAGTAATGAAGTTAATGATAATTTAAAAATTATATTTTGAAATATATATATAAAGTGCTATCTTTTTCTTTTTTTGAATTTTGATTTTCCTTGATTATTTATTTTATCTATCTCCGATTGTGATATTACTAATCCATTTCTTGTAGATTTCCCAATTCCATTAATTTTCAAACCTCTATCTCTTTTAACAACTTTATTCTTTTTTAAACCATTACCTAATCTATCTGAAGATGATGTTGAACCTTTTCCAGCATTTAAATCTCTAACTTCTCCCTTTTTCAATTTTGATAAAACAATACCTGCATCTCTTGCATCTTTTTCATATTTTGCAATACGTGAATCTCTTTTGGTTATCATATTTTGTCTCATTTTCATTGGCATTGATTCTAATTTCTTATTTTTAACTCTGTTTGTACCTGATAATTCTTCTATTCTTGAACTTAATATTCGTTTTCTACTCTTACCTGTGGGATCATCATAATTTATAGTTTTCAAAGTTAAATCAACTCCACTGTATTGGTTATTGTTTGCTAAAATGTGAGATTCTTTTAATAATCTTTGTAATTTTAAATCATTTTCTAAATTTTCTGAATCTTCTTTTTGGGATTTTTGTAATTGTTTTGCAGTTTGCTTTGAAACTAAATCATTGTGTTTGTTGATCTCGGAGATTGTTGCTGCTCGTCCTGATTTTAGTAGTTTTTTATCATCTTTTGTATTTATTATTGGTGTTTGATCTGTTGATGAGTTTAATTTAATAATTTTGGGTTTCTGTATGTGTTCCATAAGGTCTTCTTCGTCTTCAAAGTCATCTATCTCGGAGTCACTTGTGAAGTCCAGTTCTTGTGAATTTTCAGATAAGTCCATCTCATCTGATTTCTCCAGATTTTCAGAATCAAATCCATTAAATTCTTCTTCTTCTTCTTCTTCCTGTGTGGTTTTATCTTCATATCCCAAATCTTCTATTGATCCAAATTGTGCTTCAAAATTCTTTCGCTGTATCTCTAAAGCTCTTTTATATTCTTCATCTTCGTTACTCATTTCTTGGTGATGTTTTAGTGTTTGAAAAAAGTGGTTTCAGATATCTCAAACATATTTTTCTCTCTTAAATATTTCAATTCACCAGTTAAACTTACCATACAAATAATGACCAAATTTAGAGGTTGTATAGATATACATTCAGGTCAAGTGAAACAAATAGTAGGTGGAACACTAACATCGAACGAACAAGATTCCAGCACTAAAGAAAATTTCGTATCAACAAAACCATCATCATACTATGCACAATTATATAAAGATCATAATCTAAAAGGTTGTCATGTCATTAAACTAGGGTCCAGTCAAGCCAATGATGAAGCTGCGGAATTGGCATGCAAAACATGGCCAAATGGATTACAAGTTGGTGGAGGGATCAATTTAGATAATGCACAAGATTGGTTAAATAAAGGAGCTTCACAAATTATTATAACGAGTTGGTTATTTAGCGACAACAATGGTACAATGGAGTTGGATTTTAATAAACTTGCTCAAATAAGTAAGAGGGTGGGGAAAGATAAGTTGATTGTTGATCTAAGTTGTAGAACAGTTGGTGAAAATGAATGGTATGTTGCAATGAATAAATGGCAAACTACTACAGGAAATAAATTAAGTAAAGAATTTTTGGAGAAAGTTAGTCAATATTGTGATGAATTGCTAATACATGCAGCTGACGTTGAGGGATTATGTAAAGGAATAGATGAAAAATTAGTGGAAAAATTAGGTAAATGGTGTCCTGAAAATTGTAGTATAGTTTACGCTGGTGGTGCAAAATCAATAGACGATTTACAACTAGTCAATGAATTGAGTGATGGTAAAGTTGATCTTACATTTGGAAGTGCATTAGATATATTTGGTGGTAAATTAGTTAAATTTGATGATTTAATTAAATGGAATCTAAATAATTAGTAGTTTTGTTTATTTAATATAATACATGTACCTATATAATTTCGTTTTAATTCCAAGCAGTTCCTCCATAATTACCAGTATCTCCATAACTATTTGATCCGAATTGAGTACCATAAGGAGTAGTAGCACCAGGAGTTTCACCACCTCCATAATCTGTTCTTCCATAAGTTGTAAATCCACCAGCTGCTGCATCATTACTTTCAACATTTTCTTTTCTTAATTCAATAGAAATAGCAGCTAATTTATGTTGTAATGCTATTATCCCTTGAGTGACAACATCTTTTGGTGGTAAATTCCCCACCGTTTCAACATTAAAATAATATGTTGATGGTTTAGCTTTATAATCAAATTTAGCTTCTGGATCTGGTGGATCTTCCCATGTACAATTTTCAGATTTGGGCCATTCTTCATTAGCATCAACTTCATACCAATAATCTGTATGTTTTAATTTATTCCATGGATCATATTCAAATCCAACAGCTGAACAAGGTGACCACTTGGCATGTTCTTTAGCTATTCCCTTTTTAGCAATACAAGTGATATTTAATTCTTGATGTTTTCTTAATTTACATATAATTGGACCTCTCCCCAAAGGATCTCTTATAACTGGATCTCCCAATTTAGACCCATTATGAAATTTAGCTAAATCTGATGCATAAACATTCATTGTTGAATCAGTATCACATTTAGCTGTAAGATTTAATTTTACTGAACATTTTGGACAATAATTATCACAAGTACAATCTCTTGAATATGATAAATTTTCAATACCTTCACTAACTAAAGGTATTAGTCCCAATCTATGTGATAAAAATTCATCTGCTAATACTGATGTATTTACATCTATTTCAACTAAATCTATTGATAAGGTGGGAACTTCTGCTAACATTGTTCTTCTTATTGAATTTGCCATTGCTAAATCTACATCATTTAGTACGAAATCTACTCGATCTTTTTCTGTATCTCGTATAGTTATTGATGGGCCACTCATTTTGTATTATGAATATGATGGGATTGGGTATTAAGTGGTTGATGATGTATGATATTGATTTGTAATTGATGTTTGAATAATATTGAAAAATTATTTTTGTTTGTGTTTTTATTTTTTTATTTCTGGTGATGTTTTTATTTTAAGACAACTAGAATTACAAATTTGACTTATCAACTGAAAAATACAAAAGATCTCAGGTACCAGATCCAATTACAATCATGTCATATACAATACCAGATTTAAGATTTGAACAAGGGTTCATGAGACAATTAAATAATTATGCAGGTAATAAAAAGGAAGAACAAAAACCATCATTATTTAATAAACGAAATTATGATCCAATTCCACAAATAACAGATGCTGAATTAAAAAAATTAAATCAACAATTAGATGAAGATGAAGAAGAATATTTAGAAAAACCAGAACCTTTATTTCCCATTACACCAAATATTGTAATATATGCTTTAATAAAAGATCAAATTATAATGCCATTATTACAAGGGTTTTTCTGGACTGGTTTTCTCATATCTATACGACCATTCTTGGGGTTGATTGTTAAACAAGGTCAAATTGCTGGTCATTGGCTTTCAAGTTTAATTGGATTAAATAGATTAACACAACCAAAAACTAGATATTCATTGTGATTGAATATAATTATGTATATATTAAAGAGATAAATTTAACGACTTGATGACCTAAAAAATATAATACTTTACTCTGTCTAACATTTGATACAAAATCTATATTTGGATCTTCTAATCGAATAAGCTTAAACTAGCGATTGTATAAGTATCATATGATAAAACTATTAAACTAATACACTATGAATATATAATAGTACTTTAAGTAGTAGTGTAATTATCATCAAAAATGTTAAAGTAGCAGCAATGTAAATTTTGAAATTTAAATCGCAACAATTCAATATTGAATTTGTTCTATTTATATATTTTATTTTAATTCAGAATAAAATTAAAAATTATAACCTTTTACCTTTAAATATACAGTTAAATTGAATTAAAATTATTATATTTCACCAGAATATATCAATTGAGTCAAAATAATTCCTCAAGTAAATGTTTACAAGAAGAAGAACAACTAATCAACCGCAGCAAAATGTATATAAGGGGGTAGGAATTAATAATAATACCAATCCAGGAGCATTAGCTGCTGCAAAAACAATTGGAAATGCGATGAAACAAAAGAATACTAGCAATAATACAGCAAATGTAAATATACCAAGATCACAATCATTTCAACAACCATCAACGAATATAAACTCAAATGGAAGTCTTTTAAAACGAGGTTCAAGGTCTAGTTTCCAACAACCACAACAGCAACAACAACAACAATCTCGTAGATTTTCAAATGGTTCTTTTTCATCGTCAACTTCAAATAATTCACCAATGACAAATGATTCATATAATAGACCAATAGTATATGATATAGATGATAGTTTTAATGATTCATATTTAGATGAAATTACTGAAGAATCAACTCAAGTTTATTTAAATAATAAAAAAAATTTACAAGATTTAAAATTACCACTGCATCAAACTGAAATTCAAAAACCAGTTAAAATGATTAAAAAATATATTCCAAGTCCAACTGGTATTAAAGTGATTGAAGTTCCAGAATCAAGTTTTGAAAAAGAAATAGCAAGACATAATTCAATGAGATCAAATTCATTAATGTCAAGATCAAATTCAATGAGAAATGTTTCACAAAAAAAATCAACTTCAAGATCTTCATCATTAACTAATAAACAACAAAAACCAATTCAACAGAAAAGAGCAGTAAGTTCACCATTAAAAATGCAATCAATGAATGAAAATGTTGATTTAGAAGAAAAATTAGGTAAAACTCAAGAAAAACAAGCACAAGAAGCTAAATTAAAAGCTTTAGAACAAGAAATTGAACGTGAAAAACAATTAGCAAAAGATTTGGAATTGAAAAGATTAGAATATGAAAGATTGAAAAAGGAAAGACTTGAAAATGAAAAGAGAATGCAAGAATTACAATTGAAAGAAGCTCAAAATTATATAGAGCAAGATTCAATCTATGAAGAAGATGAAGATGAGGAAGATGAACCAATTAACAAGCCAAATGGTGCAGTTAATGAATTGGATAAAATAAAAGAAGAAGAAGTAGGCAAGGATTATAAACATGAAGAAGAAGTTGGAGATGATACATTAGAAGATTATACTGAAAGTTCTGTTAGAATATCAGTACCAGTTAAAGCCGAAACTATTGAAAGACCACAATTAGCAAAATTAAATTCAGAATACACAAATAGTGAAGCTACTGAATCAAATTTGGATTTGACTGATTTTAAAAGTTTGGATCCACGTGGTTCAACTACCGAATTAGGTGTAATTAATCAATATAGTGAATTAAAAGGTTCAGATTTAGAAGAAGAAGATGATGATGATGAAATTGTCGACATACCAGAAGCTGTAAATGAAACTTTCGAATCACAAGTTGAACCAGAAATTCAACTACAAAAAGTAGTAGATGAATCAGAACTTGAACATAATCAAGAGTCACAAACGTTTAAAACACCACAAGAATCAAATATAACCACTAGTTCAAAAGCTGAAAGTTCAGATACTTTATTACCACCAGTAATTGCTACTGCAACAAATTCAAGTTCAAAATCATCAGTTTATTCTGGTGATTCAAATAAGAGACCAATGAAATCAGCAATGAAATCATCAACTTCATTCACTCAATTACCCCAACAACAACAACCCAATAACGCAGCCAAATCAAATGCAGCACATCAAGCTTATTTATCATTAACAACAGCAGAAAATACAAGATTAAATTCAAAATTATCAAATTCTCAATTGGCTAGTCAAAATCCAATTCCAAATCAAGTACAAGGTCAACATCAACATCAACAGCAGCAACAACAACAACATCCAGATATTTCATCGAACGATCTTTATTCAAGTGGTGCTGGAGGTGCATATCCACAATTTGCTGCATCACAATTTCAAAAACAACCAATGAAAAGATTGTCACAACAAACATTAAGAAAAGCTCCACCACCTCAACAACAACAAACACAACAACCACAACAACAAGAATATAGATTATCAATGAGACCACAACAGCAACAACAACAACAACAAGTTCAACAGCAACAACCACAACAAAGATTATCAATGAGAGCACCCCCTCAACAACAACAAAAACAACCTCAAGGAATGAGTAATAGATCATTACGTCCAAATTCTCAAGTTCAACCAATTGCTCCTCATCCAGCATTACAACCAGGTTACATTTCCCCATCAAAAATAAAAGCACAAGAATTATATTCAAAAGCTCAACAAAGACCTTATTCAAATTTTAATCCACCTGCAAGAAATCCAAATAGACCTAAATCAACAACAAAAGAACCAAGAATTACATTAAGAGATTCTCAACCACCTTCAGCTACTCAAAATAATGGTTCTACTCCAATATATCCCCAAACTCAAACTCAAGAACAACAACCTTCTGGTAGTGGTGATGGATTCAAATCTAGATTTGCTGATTCTGATGATGATTTACCTTTGAAAAAGACATTTGGTTCAAGATTTAATGATTCTGATGAAGATTTACCAAAATCCAATTCAAATAATTTTCAAAATTCTTTCAATCAACCACCACCACTGCAACAACAACAACAACAACAGCAAATATATAATTCTCAACCTCAATTAAAAGAGAAGAAGAAATTTGGGGGTAAATTAAAGAAATTATTTTCTAAAAAGTAATATTAAAAAAAAAGAAAAAAAATATTGTATATTTTATTTTAATTTAAATAATTTCGTAATTATAATAGACATAATAATAATTTAATTTTAAAAATTTTAAGTTTCAAATTCTATTAAATTTTCAGATTTTTTATTATTTGATTCAGGTAAATCATGCAATTGTTTAATTCTTTCTTGAGTTGAGCCTCTTTTTATAGGATCTTTTAAAGATTGAGCTTCAGTAGCTAATATCAAATCTTTATCTTTTTCATCAATTGTTAAAATTCCAAAATCATCATCTCTTTCATCATCTTCATCTTCTTCTTTTGGTGATGTTTTAGATTTTATAGATGATGATCCACTTGAATTTGTTAATTGTGAAGCTCTTGAATCCATTCTCATTCTTACTTTTGTTGCAACTTTTTTACCATCAGCTAATAATCCATCAAACATATCTCTTAAATTTCTTATAAATTTTAAATCATTTAATTCTCGATCTAAATGTATTGAATCTCTAAATGTGGTACTAAATAATAATTCATAAGTTTCATCTGCTAATATTACCATTCTAAATGTAGGTAAATTTAAATAAACTGGATGATTTGGATCTAATGCTACATTATGTATTATTTTTTCATCTATTGCTAAATCTTTTATTAATAATTCTTCTTCTTCTGGTTGTGCATATTCAAATGATCTATTTATAAAATTACTAGCTGCTTGTAAATATCTTTCTGCTTGTTGTGATGCAATTTTTTCTCTATCTACTTCCATGTGAGGTGGTAAATCTATTATATCTCCATTTTTGGTAGTGGTTTTATCTTGTTGTTGTTTGATTAAATTTTCCGCTACTTCATCATCTACTGCTGCTCTAGTTATATCATCTAATAAATGGCCCTCTTTCCATGGTGTTGTTATATCTAATAAATCTTCTGATATTTTTAAAATTTGTTCACGATCTATTTTACCATTATGTTTTATATCATATAATTCAAAAAAATTAGACATTGAAGTCATTAAATCTGGTTCAACTAATGTATTTAACCCCATGACTAAATCTGAAAAAGTTAATTGATTTTGTTTTTCAGAATCCCAATATTTAAATAATCTTTGTAAAAAATTACAATCTTCTTCAACCCAATCACAGATTTCTGACATAAATTTTAAAAACCCTTTGTAATCCATAGTACTTGATCCTGAATTTTTTATTTTATTTTTTTCAACCAGTGAATAAAATCTATCATATAAAATATCAAGATATTGTTGTGGTATATTTTTTGTTTTAGGTAAATGTCTAATTTCTGTTCTTTTAACAAATGTAGAAATATTTTGCATTATTGAATCTCTATGTCTATTTCTATGACTATTTATAACTTCATCAGTTATAGTTGAAAATTCTTTGAAAGAAACCAATAAAAGTTCTTGAAATTTTGTTGTATTTCTATATTTCAATTGTGGTGAATTGGGGTATGCTGATTTATCTAATGTTTGAAAATATTCTTTTATAATAGATATAAAAGTTCCATCATCTTCAGTTTTCAATAACTCTTCTCCATTTACTTTTAATATAGCTAATGCAACTTGAAATAATGTTTTTGGACCTTGCATTGTGAAAATATCCATAATCCTAAAAGCAAATACTAATGGAAGTGATGAAAAATATAATGATAAAAACCAAGGTAATGAAACAACTGATAATTGTATATCATTTTTTGTGATATGATCCCATAACATTGGCATTGTTTGTTGTACTAATGATTCAAATACTCTTTGATCTAATAATGTTCCAAACATTGTTTTTGAATAATAACCAGGAAGTATTCTTTCACATATAACATTTAAATACCAAAATGCTTGTTCTTCTGACATATATATTAATAATGCAGCTGTTATAATATTCATTGCTTGACAATATCCAACTTCTGGATTTTTCCATGAAAATGCAACCAATACATTTTTTAATTTATTTATACCTATTGAATTTTGATAAGCTGCATATTCTGGTAATGATCTATTTAAATCTTTTTCAATTTCTTCTATTGCAAATGAAGTTTTATTTTTATTTATTTCTAATAAATTTTGATATTCTCCTTGATTTTCAAATCTTAAATACATTGATCCACTACATAATTCCCAAACTTCACCTCTTAATTTATTTGGTAAACCTACTCGAATTAATTTATAAAACATATTATTTTTTATCATTGATAAATTTCTACCATTTGCAATATATTCATCAAACCATAATTTTAATTTTGTTTTATCTCTTGCTTCTTTTGAATTACCAGGGAATTTAAATTCTAATCCAAGTCCACCTTCTGGTAAAGTTTCAATTTTTTCATTTGACATATTGTTTTTTGATAAAATATATTCGGAATAACAGGTTTTTAAAAATGGATGTAATTTCTTTATATTTGGTTGATTCTTTTTCAATGAATTTGATAAACTTTGAGCAAATCTTTCATCTTCAAATTTTATACCATTGAAAAATAATTTTATTTGAATTTTACTTATTGTTGTTAAAACTAATATAAAATTAATACCACCAATAAAAGATCTAGTTTCTCTTTCAACTTTTTTAATAGTTGATAAATGTAAAGTAAAAGTACAATCTCTTGGATCAGTAAAATCTTTAAAAATTAAAAATTGTTGAGTTAAATATATTTTACCTTCAAATTTAAAATCTTCTTGATCATCATATCTTGATGAATTTAATTCCGAATTATATATTAATTGAATATTACTTTCATTAATTAATTGTTGAGTATCAGGTATTTTAAATTTTTTACAAAATTGTTGTTCTTTTGTTAATCCTTCTCCATCAATTTTTTTATCTAATATAACTTCATTAAATGTATTTATAGCTTTATCTTTTAATATTTCAAAAAAGGCCATATTTGAAGCCAATCATAAAATTTATATGATGGATAATTTGGAAAAGGTGATTAAATGAAAAATGAATGGATTACGTTGGCTGATTAATTTTGAGATAAAGTTGAGATTGAGTTGTTAAATTATTGAAATATATTGAATCAATTGGTTGATAACTGTAAAAATGCTTGGTCCTGGTTAAAATAATAGTAAATTATTAAATATATTACTTACGATTTAATACTATGAAGAATACTGTATATAAACTGAGTTATTTTTGTATTTTAACCTTGTCTTCCAATATTAATTTTAGACTGAATGTCTTTAAATTAAATGTTATGACAAAAAAGATAAAGATAAGCTTTTTATGACAAAAGAGAAAAAAGAATCTGATTTAAATTTTGTGTCGTTGAATTGGTAGCGATGAATTTTGTTTCAAATTGTTTCAAATCTATATTTATACATTTCACATGTATGAAAATGATCATAACATGTGCATACTAAAGTTATTATTTGGGTCATTTCAAAAATATTAACGTTATGGAGGGTCCAGGCTCATAATTTTAAAACTTTTGAATAGAGTTCTGTTTCCCTTGAGTCGAGCTATGATCAAAAAATCTTTCAATAATCAGTCATGCTCAAATCTAACGAAACTTCCAGCAACTTCATCTATGAAAAAAAAAGAAATCAATGTAAACTTCTTCTTATTAATGTGGAATAAGATGACAAGAATTTAATTCTAATATTTTCTATGTGATTGTAGAAATTGATATTATTTAAAATGAATTGTGTGTTTGTACAAATTAGGAACCATTTACGAAGTATTATTATAACTATGATTAAGGCCGAGAAAATAATATTTAATTTTTGACATATTTTTTAAAGAGATTCTCATCAAATCTTAGATTCCTTTTATCTAATCAATAGATATCAATTCTTTAATGTTACAATTTATCTTTTAATCTTTTAATATTAAATCAGTACTAAAGTCTGATTATATAAACATTTAAGTTCTTTAATCTACCAATAATATTTTATAGTTCTTGAAGTCATAATATTATAAATCTAAATTTAAAAGTTATTAAAAATGGAAATGTTGAAATATAATTTTTTTTCCGAACAGTTCCATTTTTATATTCTTTATTTTCTATTGCTTAATTAGAAATTATTAAAGATCTTAATATATTTAAAACAAAAAAGAAAGGATATTTTTATTGATTGATTTCTCTATTAGTTTCTTTAGATTAATTGATTGTAGCTGGCTTTAGTATTCTCTATTAATACCAATCTCTTTTGTATCTCTAATTTTACTTATGGATTGGTAATTATCTAAAAAAGATAAAAAATCTAACGGATATTTGAATTTTTGTATTTTTTATATTTGTACTTTTATTTCAAATTTCAAATTTATAAATTTATAAATTTACAACCCAAATTAAATTTACACACTTTTATTGATCTATTTTATCATTTATCAGATACAACAACCTATTCATCTATTCAATTCAATTTGAGACCAAATTCATTACAAATAATATCTCTTAATTGAGAATATAAAAAAGTAGTAATGCCAAATTTATATTTATTATTAACTTGGTTTGCAATAATATATGGAATACTATTATTTTTAATAAATCTTATACCTAATGTATCAATTAAATATATTGGATTATTATCATTAAGAGGAATAACTATTAAATTAAAAACTACTGAAATAAAAATAGAAAAAATTAACTTAATTATAAATATATTGAGAATTTTTGATAAAAATTCAAATGTTAAAGTAATCACATTAGATATTTGTGATATTGGAGTAACATGTTTAAGGGATAAATCAAAACCAAGATTTAAAAAATCAAATCCACATAGAGAACCACTTTATAAAAAATCAATAAAGGAAGAATTATTTTTTAAAGTCCCATTATTTATACATCAAATTTTAATTCGTACGAAAATTATTAATAGAATAAATTTACAACTTTTCAGATTATCATTATATCATCAAGAAACTCATGAAGATTATTGTATATCTTTGGAATTTTTAAGATTAGAAACTCATATATCAAAAGATAATAATTTAAGATTTACTGCAACTTCATTTAATGGAACTATATACGAAAATAATAATGAAGATAATAAAGTTGAATTTTTTAGAAATGTTGAATTTTTTATAAATTGTAATTTTATAAATGCTTGTCCAATAAATGTTAAAGATAAAATTACTTTATTTTTTGAAAATTTTGAAACTTCATTATCAATTGGAAGATTAAATATTCCATTAGAATATTTTGTACAAAAAAATAATAAATCAGTTAAGAAAATATTTCATGATAATAATAATAATAATAATAATGATAATAATAATAATGATAATGTTGAGGAGCCTCATAAAATTCCAAATGTTTTACAATATACAGATCTTGTTAAAGAATTAATTTCAATATATTCAACTACAAATATACGACTTGAAGATCTTACAATATCTCATGAAAATTTAAAAGTTAATTTATCAAACTTATCATGGTCTTTAGATAAAGTCGAAAAACCAAATGGTAATCATCATATGAAAATTTTGATGTATTTAACATCTTTCAAATTTTATCATATGGAATCAAAATGTTTTGAATTGCCATCAGGTACCATAACTTATCAAGTTTGTCCATTGGAAATGTTGAGAGTTTCACAAGCCTTATTGAATCACGATGAATCATCAAAAGAATTTATTAATTTTGATACCAGCATTACATTAACTAATCCAATTTTTGATATATATTATGATCAACAAGATATATTATTTCAATTTATAAGGAATCAAATGATGTCGAGAAGGGTTAAAAAAATGAGATCAGCAGCAGGTGTTCAAAAAAAGGAAGAAGCTTTAATAAAATTAAAAATTGCATCAAAATTAATAAAAACTATTTCAAGTAAAATAATTATAGTTGATACTAATTTAAATCTTCATATGCCTAAAATTGGAGAAAATAAAGAAAATGAATTTAATAGATTTGCTAAAACTAATACAATTTTAAAATTTTCTGCATCTGGTTTTATACATAGACTTTATACTAGATCTCATAATAATGGTAAACATACTATTAATTCATTAATAATATTAAAAAATATAAAAGGTGAAGAAGCAGGTAATATTATTCATTTATCTAAAATTAATATACTAGCAGCTTATGATTTGTCTAAAGGTAAATTAGGTTTGAGATTATCAAGTAAAAAAATAAAAATTAGATCAGTTAATGATATTTTTTTCTATTTGGTAAGACAATTTAGAAATCAAGAAATAATTTATTCTAACAAGAAGTTTGATGTATTAAAAGAAAAAGATCAAATAAAATTGGTGGAACCAAATCCTATTGATGAAGAGAAGGGGCATGCAGATGGTGGTGATCATTTCATTAAATTCTTTGAAATTTTACCTTCATTTATTTCATCTATAAAATTAAATATTTCATCAATACTATTAGATATAGTATGTAAAGAAGGACTACCTAGTCATAAAATATTTGATAAAGAATTAAATCAAGAAGTTGATCTTAAAGATTTTAGAAGAGGTATCTCATTAAACATTGAAGAAGTTGCAGCTGGATATAAATTATCAAAAGAACTTGTTGAAACATCGGTCAAATCTGTACAAGTTTTTACATTAAGTGAATATTCAAGTGAATATATGGATGATTTTAATAAAGTAACTGAAATGCAAGTGACTGATTCCGAATTAGATGATATGTCAAGTATAAATTCATTAGCTTCAAATCCAGTATCATCAGATGATTATAATAATGATTCAGGTAGTAAAAGAATTAAAACTGTTTTAACTATAAATGATATTTATGTCACTAATGATTCAGTAAAAGAAGATCGTGATGTAAATAAATTGACATTAACTATACCTGAAGTTGATGGTCGTATTGATATGTTTTTCCTTTGGTGTATGTTTTATGCTAAAACCATGTTGGAAAGATTTGCACCAACTGTGGCAAGAAAATGTACCAAACAAGATCTTAAAAAAATGACTGGACCTAGAAAAAAAGTGAAATTAGATATTTTGATAGATAATTTTGCAACTGTTATTAGGTTACCAAATAAAGTTGATGTCCTCTTAGAGTTTGAGTTCACTAGAATAAATAATGCACTTGTTTTAAAAAATGCAGATGTTAGGAATATAAGATTATATGTTGTACAACCAGCTACAAAATTATGGGCAAGATTATTAGTTATTAAAGAACCACAATTTAGTCTTGATTTTTCCAAAACTATACATGATGCAAGTTTTGAATTATTAGCAAAATCAGTAAGGTTTAATATTCCTTTTCAATTTATGTTTTTCACAGTTATTGATAATACATTATCTTTTGCTAAAGCTATTAAACAATTAAATCATAATTTTACTTATTTTAATTATGGAGCTGATGAATTTGAAACAATTTACCCACATGCAGTAGAAGCTTTTAAATTTCCTCACATTAATTTAAAAACTTCAGTTTTAGGTTTAGGATTGGAGAATGATCCTTTGGAAAATGAACTAGAATTAATTTATGAATTAGGAAGTATTGAACAAAAGGAAAGATTACGTAAAATGAGAGCTTTTGATATAAAAGCTAAAGAAATTTTAGCAAATGCTGAACCAGATATTGATGATAAAATTGAACTATCCGAATCTCCTGCACCAAGACCTCCACCAGTACAACAACAAGATAGTAAATGTAAGTTTAAAAGTCCTTTGAGACATGAATCAAAAACAAGTGTAATTGGTCATGAGAATGGTGGACATAAATTCAAAGACACTTTCATGAAACTTAAACGAAATCATTCAGCAAATAAACATATAGATGATAATGACACGACGGATTCAACAACACCACAACAACAAAAACGAAAACTCACAAGATCTCAAGCAGAAGAAGAAATTAAAAAAGCTAGAGATAGATTAAATGAAAATTTTTCATTATCATGGATTAGAAAATTTGATCTTCTCAAAAAAGTTAGAACACGTACATGGCGTCAAAGAGCTGAAGGAGTTTGGGGTAAAGATAAATTAACAAATACAATGAAGAATAAATTTGATATAGTTGATTATGCAAGTGGTCCTCCAATAGCAGGTGCAGTTTTTAGAGATGTTAATTTAACATTGGATAGATTTAGGGGTGGAGATGTTGATGAATTTTTATACAAGTATGCTAAACATCAACCAAAATTAAAATATTCCATTTTAATTCCGATGTATCTTAATTTAAAATCGAGAAAATTTTATATGATTTTAAGAGATTATCCATTACCTTTAGCATCTTTCCCCACAGCAAGTAATCCTCAAAATCCAACAATTAATATCACAGCCAATATAATTATTAATGAACATTTATTTTCAAGAAAAGAAGAATTAAGATATGTTTTTGTTCCATATTCATTAGCTACCACTGATCCAGAAACTGCTGAGAATTTTTATTCAGTAAATATTCCAAGAACTTTAACACCAGTAAAAGTTGCTGCTGATTTTGTATGTGATTTAGTAACGGATAGAGCATGTACTATAAGTTGGTGTAAAGCTTATCAACCAGCTTTAGGAGCTATGGGTCAAGCATTTGAAAATTTCACTAAACCTGCTATTGATGATAGTCCAATTGGATTTTGGGATAAAGTTCCATTAATTGCACATGGAAAATATCAATTTAATATTGCAAATGAATTATGTTTCTTAATGAAAAGTGGTACATCACCTACTAAATTAGTTGGAAGAGATTCAGGTTTTGCATTTTGTTGGAAAAGTAATGTATCACTTTGTATTGATGGTACTATAGATCCAAAAGATTTAATTGTTATAACCAGTGATGATTTTATATTTGCAATACCTAATTATTCAATTGAGGAGAAAAATGTATGGAGTTTATTTTATGATGGTGCTGATGTTACAACACCAGATTATGAATTAGAAGCTAAGAAATTTTTAAAAAAAGTTATAAAATTAACTACAAATGATAGAGTTAAATGGATTTTGGGATTTATGTTTGAAAGAAATAAATTAGATTCTAAAAAATTAGATGATGAAGAACCAAGAATTAGAACTTTTAAACCTCATTATGATGTTGTTATTACAAACCCTGCAAATAAGTACCATCCAGATTCTTATGAAGGTTATAGATCAGATTATGTTCATATGGCATTATCAGTTATATCAAAATCTCATGATAATGAAGCTTATAATGCAGCATATTTAACCCCGTTAACTTTCCATCATTTCTTTTATTGGTGGGATACGGTTGCTCATTATTCTCCATTACCAACAAGAAATGGTAAATTATTTGCAGAAGAAGGTAAAAAGAAAGTTAGTATTAAATTTAGTCCTCATATTTTTACTGTTAAATATTTAATGGTTTTTAATCCAGTTACTATATCTCATTTATATATTCATTCAAGTAATGAAATGCACAACAAGAAAAATAGAGTTGCATTTACAGGTTTGAAAGGTAAATTTGCCATTTGTGAAATTGATTTACATCAAAGAAAAGAGTTAATGACTTATGTTAATAAGAAATTAAATAGGAAAACAAATGTTAAACATTTAAAGATGAATCAAGCAGAAGTAAATATTGAAGAAGCTGATGTTAGAGTATTAAATGCATTATTCAATGATCAATCAGTAAGTGGTAAATTAATGACATATCTTACAGGTGATTTACAATCTTCAAATTCTTCAATAAATTCAAATAATCAAAAATTTTCTAAATGGATAGAAAGTATTGAAATTCCAGATGGTGATTATTCATGGGTCGATCCAGAAGATTTTATTGAATTAGAAGTTGAACCATTATCACCAAATCCTAAAATAAGAATTTTCCCATTTTTCCATACTCCAAATTTTAGTTATTTCAGAGAATTTACTTTGAAAAAAGATGGTCCTTTCCCATTTGGTAATGAACCTATTCATGATTGTATAATGGATTTAGAGAAACCTTCCGCTGTTCAAATTAGAATTTTGGAAAGTAGAATAGAAACTTTGAAAAAAGAAGTTGATAAATTGAAAAATGATTTATCAACCACCGTTTCTGAAAATGATAAAAATTTAAAAAAGGAAATAGATTTATTTGAAGAAAAAATCCAAGTTTTAAAAGAAGCTCGTAATAATTTTACAGAAAGTGATTTTAAATTAACTCAATCAGTTGATGAAGATGAACATTTAAATTTGAAAAAGGAAATGTCTAGATTATCTGCATATAGTAGTCATACATCACAAAGTGAATTAATAGATGCTTCAAATGTTGTAGCAGTTGCTGAATTTCATAATAGATTCATATTACATAATTTAAAATTAATATGGGATGATGATTTAAGAGAATATTTTATGAATTATTTGGAAAGAATAAGTGAACGTAAAAATCATGTTTATTATATGACTAAAACTGCAGTTGATTTAGTTCAAAGTGTTATAAATGAAAAAGGTCCAACTGATGATTCTTCAATTGATATTGATGATAAACCTTTTAAAAGTACTTTTAATAATGTACGAGAAGTTATGGAAAGTTTTAATGAACAAATGGAACAAGTTGATAATAATGATGAAGAACCAGAATTTAAATATTTGATCAAATTAATTAATCCACAAATTCAAATGACTAGTAAAAAAGTTCCAGATTCTTGTGTGTTATTAACAGCAAGAGATTTAGATATTAGAATTATTGATATAAATGTTAAAGATATGCAAAATATAATGACTGATTCTTCAGATATGATTTGTAAAATAGAATCAAGAATTGGGGTATTATTTAAAGATGAACAAATTTTTGTAATTTCAAAAGATGATATAATTTATCAAAATCTTAATTCAAAACTTGCTAAAAATGGATATATGTCAACACAAGATAATTGGCCACCATGGTTTGAATGTGAAGTATGTTATGATGGATCATGGGCTCAAGAATTTTTAGTTTCTGAAAGAAATACAGTTGCATTAATTCATAAAAATCCAAATCAATTATTTTTAAGTAATAATCATAAGGATAAAAGTAGTGGTAATGAAATTAAAGTCTACTTAGCCAAAATTGTTATTGATGCAACATCAGCTCAATATTCTTCAATTTATTATGTTATAACAGAATTATTAATATCAAATGGTAAAAAAGACTCAATTAATGAAAGATTATCCAGAATTATATCTTTAACTGATAATAAAGATTTCCAAGGATTAGATTTAAAAGTACAAGATTTACAATCAACAATAAGAGAATTTAATGATATTTTATTAAATTTTGATCAAAGAGGTGGTATATTAACTGATGATGAAAAAAAATATTTAAAAATATTAGAACTTGAAATGGAAAAAAGTAAATTAGAATTATTAATGATTTTTAAAACTGTTAAAATGAAAAATAAAAAGAAAGAAGGTAGACATTGGTATTTTAATGTTCATGAATTTATATGGCATATGTTGGATGATTTTAGAAATCCTTATTTAGATATAGCATCTTCAAATGCTTCTTATAATAGAATTGAATCAGTTGATGGTACAAATATAAATTCATTTGAAGTATCAATGATGCAAATGTTTAATTTACAAAATAATTCAAGTCATCCAATAATTTTAAGTCCTTTGAATCCTTCAATAACTCCGATTATTAAATTTTCATGGGAAATGTTAGCAAACGTTGGTGGAATACCATTAGTTAAAGATTGTAAATTATCATTACAAGGATTAATAATTGATTTAAATTATAATGTTGGTAAACAAATTCATAATTATTTATTTCCTGAAAAAGTTGAAAGTGAAGAAGATAGTGATAGTGATAGTGATGATGAAGAATCAATATTATCTGATGATAACGTATCTACATCTTCACAATCTACAAGATCTTCAAGTCCATGGAGAAAAATGACCAAAAATGGAAGTTCATTATTTAGTTCTATGAAATCCCCTAATTCATCAGTTTTAAATTTTAGAGAGAAAAAAGCACAATCAAGAGTTAATGATTCTTTCAAACGTAATCCAAATCAAGATGAATTAGATATTTTAATAAATAGATCATTAAAATATAAATCAATTATAAATTTTACAATTGATAAAATGGATTTAGAAATTACAATAACAGGAGCAAATATTTTAAATTGTGATAAATTAAAATTACAAATTCCCAAAATTCAAATAAATAATCAAATATTAAGTATTGAAGAATTTACAAACATACTAAAGAACAATGTCATAAAAATCATTTTAAAAAATTCAACTAAAATAATAAACAATAAATTAAAATTCCTGAAACGTGACCATCCTACAAAACCAATTGGTCAAATCAACAATTACACTGGGTTCAAGACATTAGAAGATTTACAAAATGAGGGAGAAAGAATAAGAGATAAAGTTGTACATTATCATCCCCATTTACAAAAACATAAATCAAGACCTCATATTTCTAAACATATATCTCATGTAAATGATGGTGATATTTATGATAATGTTGATGGTGATATCATTGATCCTTCTAAAGATAAAGTCGAAGGTGATGTTGATGCTGCTTAGTTGTGTATGATTTTGTATCATATAACTGTTTTATAATATATTATTTATTAAGTTAAAAACTGGGTATTATGTTGTTTTTTTTTATTTTCTTTTAATTTTAACATGTATATTTAAATCTTCTATATACTATGTAGACAACTATTGTGACGGGGATATTATAAATAATATGTTGTAAAAATTTTAATTTGCTTGTTGAAAGTACCTACAGAAAACGAGCGTATGGAAATTGGTCATTGGTGTTTTTATGTAGATAAGTGGTGTGGTTATATTTGTAAATCGAATTTAAGCCAGTCTAATCTCTTCCCTCAATCTAATCTGTAGATTATGTGGTCGAAATTGGATCTCCCCTAACACCATTCTTAATTACTTCTTGAGTAATCTGAAATGATATGTTTACTCCCTAAAGCCGTCTGATAAACCAATATGGCAAGAAAGTGAAATTCAAAATTCAACTTTACAAATTTTTATTTGAAAAAGAGTCTCAAATGTGACTAGAGTAAAAAACAGTGTTACCTAAGGATTTATTAGCATACTTTCTTTGAGCTGACTTGCTCATAGATTTCTCGAGTATTTTTATTTCGTCTTGATGAAGTAGTACCTACTTTTAGAAACGTTCGAAGGATAAAAAAAGTAGTTGTTTGTGTATAAGTATTCAATTAACTCAATCAGGTATCGAAATTAATTGAACTGATGGGATTGTACGGTACTTCATCTATTTTTGGGATTTAAGGGCCCTGGAAATAAAGAATTATTTTAAAAAACTATTTTTGAAATTTTCTGGAGTATTATTTTGTGCGTAAAGTTTAATTATACATTTTACTGAATAGAGAAACTTGTATAAATGTACGTATAGAAAACAAACAACAATTATTACAGCTAGACGAACTTTTGTATTAGCTTTTCTATTGTAATTAAAATTAAATTCAATAAACGTACATGCCTAATTTTATAAGTAGAGGAATATCTATTTTACTTCAACACTCATTTTTCTTGACCAGAATTAGTATTTTATTTCAACTAAAAATCTCCAAAATTTAATATATTTACTAAATCAATTATAATATCAATTCCCCTTATTTTGTAAACTTCCGAGAAAAATTAAATGTAGGAGAAACTATTTTTAGACATATTATTTATAAATTTAAAGTTCGGTTAGGATATTTTGATTTTTATCTACAATCAATCTGGAGTTAATCACTTTGTATAACTCCTTTGTATGTTTATATTGTGTGAGTTTTACCTTACTTTCGCTCAAGATTTTAGGTAGGCAAGTACATTCAATGTTTTTACTTTAAAAGTTTACTTTGATTAAGACTCCACATTCAAATATTTTTCCATCCATTCTTCTGGTAAAATTGATAATTTTACAACTTACAATAATAATGTAAATTTACATTTGTAAAAGGATATAAATATCTCAAACGTATTTCAAGATGAATTTGTTTATTAAAAAATAATCCATTTAAAATCTCTGGAGTTAAAAAAAGATCTGGATCTTCATAGTAAAGAAAATTGAAAGAAATTACTGTTTTAGGAAATCAAATTGTTTTAAAACAATATTTTGTTTTGTGTAATTTATTTCGATCTTTTTGCAACTTATGGTTAGAAAGAATGTGTCAAATTATATCATTAAGTAAACTAACATATTAATAAAACAATTTAATTACTCAAGATAGTAATTTAGCTCATAACTTAGATTGAAAGGGTTTACAAAGTTAATTAAAATCTGAAGATGGCTTTTTTCATATAAAAACAACTAGATTCTTCAATGATTCTACTATCAGAAATTTACATTACTTTTTTATTTTAAAGCCATTAATCTATAACAACACATTTTAATCAATTAATAACTAATACACTCACTTAGATCTCAAAAATGAAGTTAAACTTAGCCACTGCCACCTTAGTTTTAGCTGCTCTTTCACAAGCTGCTGTTATGCCAGCAGCAACAGTTGAATATTCATTAACTACAAGAGAATTAGAAACTGTTAACAATGCTTTAGCTAATTTACAAACTTTCAATAGAAAAAGATCAATAATGTCACCACAAGATTTAGCAAAAAGAGAATCACAAATTGTTACTGATATTTTAACAATTGTTAAAGATACAAATTTAGCTCCAACTGTATTGGAATGGTTTATTAGTGATCCAACATTATCTAAAATTGCAATTGATGTTATTGTATCAGCTATTAAAAATGGTTGGATTAATCTTGGTACTTTATTAAAATCATTAAATGATTCAGGTTTAGCAGTTAGTGTTATTCAAGATTTAATTAATGATTGTGCATTTTATGCTCAAATTTTTAAAATTGTTGGTGAAGTTTTAGCTGATTTACCAAATATAATTGGTAATTTATTAGGTTTAAATCAACAACAAGTTACTGAAGGTGTTAATAAAGCTAAAAGAGAATATTTAGAAGCTGTTCAAGCTGCTGAATTAGCTAAAAGAGAAGAACCAGTTCAAGTTTATTCAAGAGATACTCAAGAGATTTTAACATCATTATTTGAATCTTTAAAAAATTCAGGATTAGCTAACCAAGTTGTTGAAGCATTAGTTGTTGATGATGATTTCTACACATTTGGTGCTAATTTAATTGAAGAATTATTTAAACAGAACGCAATTTCATTAAGTGAATTATTAAGTGATTTAATTGATTCTGGTTTAATTCCATCATTAATTAAAGCTTTCTTAAATATTGATACTTTAAAAACTATTATTGTTAATGCTTTAGCTGCTGCTTTTGGTAATTGTAAAGATACAACAACTACATCAACTTTCGCTACTACCCCAACAGGTTCTGCAGCTCCAACTATTACTACTGGTACTCCAGATGCTTCAATTACTTCATTATTATCAATTACAACTACCGGTGGTCCATCAAAATGTAAAAAGAAAAGAAGAGCATACTAAGTAAAGTAAAATTATTGCGGGTCAACTTTTTATTTCATTAATTTCATACCTTCTTCCTTTCTCACGTTATTTATACATTTAAAATAAAATTAAAATAGTTTCTTATAGTTTTCTTATTAATAAATAAAATAATCTTGTTGTTTTAAAATTTCATTCTTTCTGTATATGTGTTCGCGCTACCTAAATTGTTTTTTGTTGTAGATCATAAAAAGATTTAAAAATTTCCAAAAACGTAAACAAACAAACAAACAACACGTAAATTACATAACGATGCCAGGGTATGTACAAATCATTAATGTAATGAGATTTTTTGACAACAATACTAACGATTTTTACCAGAGAAACAATAACGCTACAAGTTGGACAATGTGGAAATCAAGTTGGACTACAGTATTGGCAACAATTAGCTCAAGAACATAATATAAATCCAAATGGTACACAAACAACCACAAATCAATCAGAACATCCAGAATTATTTTTCACAATATCAGATTCAAATAAATATACTCCAAGAGCAATACTAATAGATTTAGAACCATCAGTTATTACAAAATCTATGAATGCACTACCTATGTTTAATCAAAGAAATGTACATTTAAGTGAAGATAGTGGTGGAGCTGGGAATAATTTTGTAAATGGATATAAATATGGGACTCGATATACTGAAGATTTAATGAATTTAATAGATAGGGAACTAGATAAATGTGATAATTTATCACAATTTCAAATGATTCATAGTGTTGCTGGGGGTACTGGATCTGGTTGTGGTTCAAAAATATTGGAGATATTACAAGATAGATATACGACTAAAAAATTGATAACTACAACTTCAATTTTCCCATCAAATGATAAAACTAGTGATGTTGTTGTACAACCTTATAATAGTGTATTAACATTACAAAAATTAATTGAATATAGTAATGCGACATTTGTTTTCCATAATGACTCGTTGAATAATATAGAAAATGCAATAACTCAAACTACAAGTGATTCATATCAAGGAACAAATAAAATTATAGCCAATATATTAGCAACTATAAGTAATCCATTACGTTTTCCAAGTTATATGTATAGTTCAATTGAATCCATTATAGCAAATTTAGTCCCCACACCAGATTTAAAATTTTTAACAACATCGATAGCTCCATTTAAAACAAATAATGAATATGATATGTTTATAGAATTATCAGACGATAGATACAAATCCATTACACCAGTTTCAGATATATCATATATAAGTCTAATGAATTACCTAGTAAGTGGGCAAAATCTAGATCGAAAAGATATACGCAAAGGAATACTCAAAATCCAATCAAGAACAAAATTTGTACCGTGGACATCAAAATCAATAGCAGTAGTTCATGGAAAAAAACCCAACTCAGAATTAAAAGGTATACAAATTTCAAACAATACATCAATAGTAGATACATTCTCCAAAATAGTAAATCAATATGAACTACTAGTTAAAAGAAAAGCTTATTTAAACACATATACTGAGAATAACTCAATAGAAGAAATGGATCATATGGTTGATGTATTTAATCAAGCTAAAGAGGATATTGTTAAAATTATACAAACTTATAAAAATTGTAGTTCTATTGATTATTTAGATTGAATGTATAAGTATTAGTAAGAGAACAAAATCAAACTTTCACTAATTCAGGGTACGTTTCAATGTAAATTTCTGTATATTAAAGTATGGCTCGAAAACTTAACTCAAAATTCACAAAATACTTCAAAAATAGCGAAACGGAATTTATACGGAATTTAGATAAGAAGTGGCTCTCTCTGAAACAAAAAACTTATAATTAGTAAGCTTTCTTTCAATTGATCTCGAAAAGTTAATATTTAATAAACATTAATTCTTGAATTTTTCCATCGACATATATCTATTTGGTCAATTGATTTTCAGCAATGACGGGAATATCACATCTTATTTCAAAAAGAGCAAAATCAAGAGTTAGTTCACATTTCGCAAATGCACCAAGTGATCAACCACCAAAGGGATTTAAACCTCATGAAAAACCATTATTATTATCTTACGGTACTCCTAATGATGGTTTCTTTCCTATTGATTCAATTGATGTAAATCTAGTTGAATTTCCATTTGAACATCAGGTGAAATTTAACAATTCCATGGAAAACTTATCACTCAATGAACAGAAAAAAAACTCAATTCATATAGAAAGACACTCCACAAAGCCCAATTTATTAGATTTATCAAGAGGTTTACAATATGCAAATGTTGAAGGTCATAAACCATTAATTGAATTCACTGAAGATTTTATTAAAAGAACTCATCCACCTGCTTATGATAATTGGTCACTGATTTTAACTACTGGAGCAAGTGATGGATTAAACAAAGCTTGTGATGCCTTATTTGATCCTGGTGATGTTGTATTAGTTGAAGAATTCACTTTTACACCATTTTTAAGATTTTCTCAAAATGCTGGTGCAATTGCTGTCCCTGTAAAAATTGATTTATCTAATGATTCTAATGGGATTGATTTTGATTATTTGGAAAATTTACTTAAAAATTGGGATACTTCAAAGTTACCAAAACCTAAAGCTCTTTATACAATAGCTACTGGGCAAAATCCAACTGGTTTTACTCAAACTTTAGAATTTAGAAAAAAAATTTACAAATTAGCTACTGATTACGATTTTATTATTATTGAAGATGATCCTTATGGATATTTGACATTACCAAAATATCAACCACCTAAGAAAAACCAATTTGATTTAAAAGATCATTTAACTTTAGATGACTATTTAAAGAACCACTTGACTCCTTCCTATTTAGAGATAGATGATATTGGAAGAGTAATAAGAGTAGAAACATTTTCCAAATTATTTGCACCTGGTTTAAGATTGGGATTCATTATTGCAGAAAATTCAATTGTAAAAGTTATCAAAAATTATGGAGAGACAGTTAATAGAGGTGCATCAGGATTAGCTCAAACTGTAGTTAACAATGTGATTAGAGATAAATTAGGTGGTGTTGATGGTTGGTTAGAATGGGTTTTGAAAATGAGAGCTACTTATTCTCATAGAAAAGATTTATTATTACATACTATATACGAATCAGAAGCATATAAAAAGGGATTAGTTGACGTAATTGATCCAAAAGCAGGTATGTTTGTAACATTCAAGATTGAATTTTTACAAAATGATCCAAACATCGTTGCCAAAATGAAAGAACTTTTGTGGAAAGTTATAAGTTATGGAGTTTCAGTAGTACCTGGACATAATATGACTGTTGATCAATCTTTTAGTACAGAGAGGAGTAATTTCTTTAGATTATGTTATGCACCAGCAAACAATGATTTTGAAATTGTTGAAAGTGGGAAAAGATTAACTGATGCAGTTTTGGAATTTTATGAAAATGGTGAAAAATTTTAAAGTAAAAAGTTGAGGAGATCAAGATATATATTTATAATCGAACGATTTTTGAAAATATATAACTCAGCGTGGCTTACTTTTATTTTCACTTATCAGATTAATCTCTATAGAATCTCCTCAAGCCACGTTGCAACCCTTTGTAGTTGATTCCTAATTCAGCGACATATTCTTTTCATGAAATATAATAATTTTGGCGGAGAAATTTTCTACCCCCAAAGACCACCTTAATTCTTGACCCAAAATCAAAAATGTTTCAGGACTCGGAACTTTGAATGCATAATGACCCGAGTAAATGGAAATTTGATCGTTGGTCTCGATAGTCCAAACTGATTTGTAGAAATCATACTATATAGGTTCCCTTCAGTAATCTTGATGCCTCGATGCCCTAAATCTTTCTTTTCCAGGGTTCTATTTTCCTTTCGAAATTGGATCAATTGTCTCGATAGTACTAAAAAAAGTGAATGTCAGATTATCTAGTCTTTACATAAAACTAAACTCATTATTTCAGTTCAGATCCAAACACGTTGCAAAGTATCAAATTCAAGTACGTTAGTATTAATTTTATAAAATTTATCTTTGAAGATCGTTAATGTTAAGTAATAAATTTTCTAATGCATAATTGTGAAGTAAAATAAGGCACAAAATAAAATTATTGTTGGAAAAAATTATTACTTTTTCAAGCGTTTAGCCGTTTTAACATATCAACAAAATTTGGACTACAGAGTCAAATATTCATCACAATTTAAGGAAGATGTTGATCTTGATATATATTATTGTTGATCTAAAGAGGAAAATTTGGCTATACCCAAATCGAATTAAAATGGACCCAACCGACGATAAAAAAAATTGGAATTAAATGTCAAAGACAAGAAAAATAAAAAACTGACATAAACACGTGCGTTATCTTTAAGGTACTATTAGTTTTGTACTGCATATTTATCAAATCTTTTATTAAAGTCTTTTGCAACTTAAAAATAGAAGTTAAAATAAAAAATTTCATTTTTTTAATTGAACAATACAAAAGAATCTTATTTGCCTTAGAGTTTAGTAGATTTTGCTCCAATTTCTTACTAAATTTACTGACGTAATTTTAGTCGACCCATTACCTTTAGCCTTTAGCTTCTCTCCAATTATTTTTGACTTCTAAATATTTTAAGAATATGAAAAAATTGAAAATATTTTTGTATGATAATTAAAAAAATAATTAAATTTGTTAAGTAGTCTAAATAGAAAAAATAAAAATAAAAATAAAAATAAAAATAATTTTTTAATAGTTAGGTAATGAAAATTAATATACAATTATAATACAAGATTTAATATAGACTAGAAAATCATATAAACTAAGAAGGAATTATTCATTTGTATAATAAAGCATTAGAAGTTCAATATAATAATCAAACATCCATAAAATTTACAAATTTATCATCAAGTGTCAACAAATTAAATTATCACAAAATTCCCACTTATCAATTTCAACATATAATATCCATTTAATTCAAGATAATGGAACTGCAAAATTGGTTTTCACCACCAAATGGGAAATCACCATATTTTCAAGATTTGGATAATAATAATCAGCCTTCAAATCAACATCAACAACAACAACAACAACAATCACAATTATCAAATCATTCAACACCGAACAATCAACATAATAAACCATTGACACCTCATAATCTACATAATACTCCTATCTTTGCAGAAGAACAAATGTTTTTATCACAACTACTTGAAAATCAAGAATATTATGAAAGGAATTCAAATCATCCAACCCCAAATCAACAACATCATCATTTACATTCACAACCACTACAACATAATCAAAATAATATGGATCTACATAATCATCAATTTGATAATAGAAATAATCATCATCCAAATCATATGACTCCAAATGTTTTACCTCAACAACATAATTTTGAATTTGGTTTGGAATTTATAGTACCTGAAGATTTAAATTTTAATGGTTCTTCTGCTTTTCCACCAAATATAGTAGATGAAAATACTCCAATACTACCAACTCAGAATTATTCTTTCCAACAACAACATCATCAGCAACAACATCACAATCAACATAATCAACCACCTCCTCCTCAACAAAATCTAAATTTCGAGCCATTAACATCACCGGCATTGAATGCTCAACAACCTTCAATTAATGATAAACGAAGATCGACATCATCAGCTTTTGCACCACCAGAAGAACAAAAGCAACATAAGAGAAGAACACCTCATGGTACCCCAATATTACAAGCAAATAATCAAAAAAGTTATGTATCACCATCAGTAAAACCTAAAAACTCAACACCTTTTAATAATTTTGAAAAATTACCAGAACTGTCAATATCAGAACCATCTATAAAAAAAGAAGATTCTCAACCACCAGAAGAAGATATGTTACCACCAATTGGTAAACCTTTAGAAATCAAAAGCAGTACAAACACACCATTAATGGGTTTCACAATGGGTAAATTAGCTGAAGAAGAACAAAACCAACAACAACAAAACAAAAAACAACCATTAAAACGATCAAAATCCCAAACCAGAAAACCATCAATATCAAGATCAAAATCATCATCATCATCAGCAGAAAGTAGTTCAACTTCATCCCCTAAACTCACAAAAAAACCAGAGAAATTAGCCACTAAAAAAGCCAGTCATAAATTAGCAGAACAAGGTAGAAGAAATAGAATGAATACTGCGGTAGCTGAATTAGGTGCTTTAATACCTCAACAATATCATGATGAAGTTACTATACCTTCAAAAGCTACTACTGTTGAATTAGCCTCGAAATATATTAATGCTTTACTTGATGAAATTAATGATTTGAAATCCAAGGAAATTTCGATTACGATTAAAAAAGAATAGCATTGTTTAACAGAAGTCTTTAAAATAAATTTCAATTCTTCAGGATTATAATGTCTGTTCTTAGTTACAATTTACTGGTTTATTACATATTTCAAATAGATTCAACTTTTAGTTGATTAAAGTATCTAGTTAATTATGTCCTATAAATAAAACAATTTTTTAATGCTCTGTATAATTCAAGTTGGTTAGCTCAACCTCTATGTTACTTTTTTAAAATCTACTTTGAAGTGAGAGCTGATTTCATTAATCAATTTTAGTTTTAAACATATTTGCGTCTAATCTTGTTAAAAGTAACAAATTTTGCGGGCAGAAAAAGTCAATCAAAGTATAGAAATGAGATGAAGCTCATTTATATTTACACTAAATAAATCGAGTCTCTAAACCTTTAGTGTAATTTTACTTCTGCAGGGGAAGATTTACCTTACTATTGTTTATGATTGGAATTAGAAGGTACTGATAATTTGCAACCTCATAGTATGATAAAACATCCTTACCGCAATACTTTCTTAATTCTCGTGATAATTTTCGAATTTATTTTTCAGTTTCGCTGTCAATTCAAAAGATTTAAAAACAATCAATCTCCACATTCAAACTTCACAACTTTCAATCAACTACAACCATCACTACCAAACCACAATCACCGTCAACAACAATGAATTTTGAAGAAGCAGAAGATATCAATGGTGTTAGATTTGCATGGAATGCATTTCCATCAACAAAAACAGAAGCAGCTAAAATTGTTGTCCCCACAGGTGCATTATATACACCATTAAAACAAAGAGAAGATTTACCGTTAGCGGCATATGATCCAGTATATTGTTCAAATCAAAGTTGTAAATCTATATTAAATCCATATTGTGCAGTTGATCCTAATGGGTTTTGGAGATGTCCTTTATGTCAAGGTAGAAATTCATTACCTGCTCATTATCATGGTATAAGTGGTGATAATTTACCTTTGGAATTACAAAATACATCATCTACTATTGAATATGTTACGGCTAGACCTGTACAAAATCCACCAATTTTTTTATTTGTTGTTGATTTATGTCAAGATGAAGAAAATTTAAAAGCTCTTATTGAATCAATTATAGTTAGTTTTAATTATATTCCACCAAATGCATTAATTGGATTAATTACTTTTGGAACAATGGTACAAGTTCATGATTTGGGTTCTGAAAAAATCAATAAAAGTTTTATATTTAGAGGTGATAAAATTTATGAAAGTAAACAAATTGAACAAATGATGGGATCAAAAATTTTTCAAAATCAACAAATTACAAATAGTTTAGCTAGATTTTTTTTACCTTTAGAAGATGTTGAATTTCAATTAACTTCAATTTTGGAAAATATAAATAAAGATCCTTGGTCAGTTGCTCATGGATCAAGAGCTTTAAGATCTACTGGATCTGCATTAAATGTTGCTGTTAATTTATTAGGTTTAACTTTCCCTGGATTTGGAGCTAGAATTATGTTATTTTCAGCAGGACCATGTACTTTAAATCCAGGAATGATTGTTGGGAATCAATTAAAAGAAGCAATTAGATCACATTCAGATATTGATAAAGATAATGCAAAACATTTTAAAAAATCAACTAAATTTTATGAAGAAATAGCAGCAAAGGCAGTTAAAAATGGTCATACTGTTGATATTTTCACTGGTTGTTTAGATCAATTGGGACTTTTAGAAATGAGAGATTTAACTCATAAAACAGCTGGTAATTTAGTATTAGCTGATGCTTTTAATACTTCAATTTTTAAACAAACTTTTTTAAGAATGTTTGCACAAGATGAAGAAGGTTTTTTACAAATGGGTTTCAATGGTTCATTAGAAATTAGAACTTCAAAAGAATTAAAAGTTAGTGGTGTTATTGGTCATGCTGATTCTTTAGGAGTTAAAACTAATAATGTATCAGATCAAGAATTAGGTATTGGTGGTTCTTCTCATTATAGATTATGTTCATTAACTCCAAGAAATACTTATGGTGTATTTTTTGATGTTGTAAATACTCAACAATTACCACCAACTGCACAAAGTTATATACAATTTATAACTCATTATCAACATTCAAGTGGGTCCTATAGGATAAGAGTAACAACAGTATCTAATTATCTAACAAGTGATGAACAATCATTAACCAACTCATTTGATCAAGAAGCAGCCGCTGTCTTAATGGCAAGAATCACCCTTTTCAAAGCAGAACAAGATGATGGAGCAGATGTTTTAAGATGGGTTGATAGAATGTTAATTAGATTATGTCAAAAATTTGCAGATTATAGAAAAGAAAGTGTTGAATCATTTAGATTAGGTCCTCAATTCCAATTATATCCTCAATTTATTTATTATTTAAGAAGATCACAATTTTTACAAGTTTTTAATAATTCACCAGATGAAACTGCATTTTATAGACATGTATTATTAACTGAAGATTGTAATAATTCATTAATTATGATTCAACCAACATTAACTTCATTCACATTAGATTCAGAACCAGAAGCAGTATTATTAGATTCAGTATCTATAAAAGATGATAGAATTTTATTATTGGATACTTTTTTCCATATTTTAATTTTCCATGGTAAAACAATTGCACAATGGAGAAGACAAGGTTTCCAAGATCAAGAAGAATATTCAAATTTAAGAGAATTATTAGCTGAACCAAGACAAGAAGCTGCTGAATTATTATCAGAACGTTTTCCATTACCAAGATTTATTGATACTGAAGAAGGTGGATCACAAGCGAGATTTTTAATGGCAAAATTAAATCCAAGTACTACTTATTCAAATGATACTATTGGAATTGGTGGTGGTGCTGGTGGTGCTATTGTATTAACTGATGATGTAAGTTTACAAGTATTTATGAGTCATTTACAAAAATTAGTTGTTAGTGGATCAAATTAAATAGAAAGGTAGTTGTTAGTTTAATAAATAAAAGTTAAATTCATTTCGTCGATCTCTTGGATTTTGTTACAGCTCGAATTAAATTATCACACCCTGCAATTTTTCTTAGTTTACATAATCTCTACCCCCACGCAAGTTTTTAAGGATATTAGGCCCTTGTTCAATAGCAAGTATAATCAATAGAGTAAACAAATCAATAAAGATCTCGGACAAAACGCTTGTTCAAAGTAAGAATGTAGCTTTATAAGTCTAAACTAAAGAGCTAAATTTTAGGTTTTATAAGTTTAAAGTGAAGATATCAAATTAAGATTAATAATACATTATTAAATTTAATCAATTTGGAGATTAATCTTACTAAGCAGATTATCAACCTTACTTAAGTCTGTCCTCACAATCATTCACATGAATTCGATAATCACTGAAAAATTTCAAAAGAATTTCATCTTGATTAATAAAAAATGGATTTGTGGAAATTAATTGCACCAAGACACCAAGTGAGAACCACGAATGAAACTTACAAATGATCTTATCAATAAAACAAAATTTAAAGTCTGTAACATTCTAGAACTATTTTTCTAATAGCACAATATAAGTTTCATCTCTACTTAATAAAAAGCTTAAATATAACTTGAAACAAATTTCAAGTCTCATTACACTAAAAAATAGTTTGAATATTTGAAACATGAAAATTAAGTTCTTGTGATATTTTTATTTTTCTTCATGCATCGTGTATTATTATAAGTATTGGCTATGTGAGCAAAGATATAATATTTGACATTTTATAATATGTCAAATCATCAATCATAAACGGTTCTAGAAATAGTTCCGATGAACAGCCGTAAGTTCTCATCAACTCAAACAATTGCGTTAACACAACTATGAAAATATGAATAGAGGTATAGAAAACGGATTTTTAGTATAAACCACATTCAACTAAAAATTTGATTTGCGTTATTATTCGAAGGGTCTAAGGGGAATCGATGACTTAAGAAGAAAATAAAACAATAAGTCTCAAAACTCATATGAAATTTTAAATCGAAAAATTTAATATATTAATGCAAATCAACTTAAAATAAATATGAAAGATAAAAAGCAAGAACAATCGATTTAATTGCAAATCTATTAAATTAATAAATTCAAATCTTGCTTTTATTATTTTAATTTTGATTCTATCACAGAATATAATATTATACTTGAACAAAGGAAATATGAAATCTTGATTGGTATTATATTTCAGATATTCGTATAATTTTGGAAATGAGGTTAGTAAAACCGATGGAAATTTAAAGTTTAATTATTTATTTTTTTTAAGCTTATGGTTTTGATAATTTTTTAATTAGTTCCTGTTCCTGTTAAGTCAATTTTTAGTCTGATCTCGTCGATTTTAAATTATTTTTTCTTATCGATCTGATACGAACTAATTATAATTTGGGGGTGGGCTAGATAATTAAATATCTCTTTTCCCTCATAGCAATAGAAGTGATATCTCATAAATTAATAGATAAGGCACAATAATATATCAGTTAATTTTTTCAATTTGCTATGTAAAAATCAAGTTGAATTTTTGAATTTATTAGGAAGTTAGAAAATTGTAAATAACAAACGTTTGATTCTACAAAAAAAAAATAAAATCTGAAACATCAATAAGAACAATAAAAAAGTTTAAAATTGAAATATAGATTTAATTGAACCAATAACATTATAAATTATTAAGATTCAAATTTATAAGCTAGTCAAAACAGTTTATTAGTGAGTGTAATAACCTAAAAGTAATAAACTTACGTTAAAATAAAATATTATTAAGAAAAAACCAATAAAAAAGTATGGAATTAGAATTTAGCCAATTATTTTTATTGACTTTACAACATAATATATAAATAATAAAAAGATCATTTCAATTAATAATAATATGGAAATTAGATTCAAAATAGAATCTATTAATTTTATTTGCTTTAATTAATAAATAATAAACAAATAACAAATTCCCGCATAATATTTGATTGACTTCTTTCTTATTATTAAATAATAATAATAAATTATTATTATATCTCCATTTTTTATGAAGTTATACATTAAAAAATAATCAATGCAATAAAATTATTATAATTCTATATTTTGAATAATTTTTGATTTATTGTTTTTTTTTCAATTTCTATTTAAATTAAAGATTTTTAAAAAGATTCTTAATTTTATTTAATTTTTTTCTTTTTTTTTTTTAAAATTTGTTTCAAGTTTGATCTACTGATTTAAAAATTAACATTACATATTTAAAATGAATTAACAACAAATTTAATTAATACATTTAATTTTGAGCGTTAAATAACAACACATTTAATTCAATAATAGTTTCTTATATAAGTTCTTTTAAATTCCAATTTACTGTTATAATTTTATATTTTTTTTAACTTAATTCTTGATTTTTTCAAAAACAGTACTGATTAGTATTTAAAATAATAACACAACTTTAATAAGTTCAACAAGAAAAATTATTAGTCCTTCATAAATATTTAATTAAAGTCTTTCATTTTTGTCAGTATTCAACCACAACTTCAAAATTTCGTATAAGATATCCTAATTTGGTTTTAATATTTATGTTTAATTTCTTTATATTTTGAATTTGATAAAAACTTACATCAATTAAACAGTTAATAAATTAAGGAACTTAAAAACTTAATTTCTTTTTTGAATTCAAAAAATAAACAATATTTGGACCAAATAAGAAATATAGTCAAAAATAAATAAATAAAATAATATCGTCAAAAAATCGTTTGATAATTAATTATTTTTTAAACAACTTTGGTGGGTTTATTTTTTATTCTTAATTTATGATTTATTTCAAATCTTACTACTATTAATATTAAATACTTTATTAAATAAATAATAATATTTTTTTTTATAAACTACTGGAAATATGATAAATAATAATAATACAAGTACAACAACAACAACAACAACTTTAAATAATAATCAAATTCAAAAGAATAATACTTTTAATAATAATACTATAAATAATAATCATTTCCATTTAAATAATAATAATAATCATAATCAAAATAATAATAATTTATCATCAATATCAACAAATAGATTAAATTTAAATTTATCTAATAGTGGTTCAGCCTTACCATTAACTACTTCAAATAGTTCATTGCATAACCACCAAACTCATAACAATAATTCAATAAATAGCATATTAGATTTACCATTCACTCCTTTAATTTCAACTCAAAGTAGTCGAGAATTTTCATTTGCATTACCACAACCAATACAACAACCTTCGCAACAACAACAACAACAACAACCTCAACAACAACAACAACAACAAAATCCTTTTAAATCAAATTATAAATTACAATCATCAACTGAAAAACATTCATTATCTTCATCAATATCATCATCTACTACATCATCAACAACATCATCATCTTCTTCTACAAATAATACTTCAAATACAAGTTTAAGTTCAATAGATTCCTTAAATTCATATTTAAATAAAGATATGACATTTAATGGAGTTTCATCAAATACTAGTATAAAAACAACAAATAACGGAGGTAATAATATATATTTACAACCACAACAAACATCAGAATTTTATAATATATCATCAACAAATCAACAACCACCCCCACAACAACAACAACAAAATACAATAATGCCTACAATGATTCAAAATGGTGCTTCATCAAATCCTCCAACTACAAATCATTTAATTAGTTCAAAATTTTCAAATAATGACATTCAAATATTAAGACAATTATTAATTTCAGGTGAAAAACATAAATGGAAACAAATAACAAAAGAAATTAATTCAAGTGCAAATCATTCAAATCATATAATACAAGCCATTAAAAAAAATGAAGAAAGATTACGTACATCACCACAACAACAACATCAACAACAACATAATAATTTAAATTTACCACATTTAAATCATCATCATCATCATCAAGGACAAAATCTACAACTACAACCACCTCAATTTTCATATATGCATCAACAACAACAACAACAACAACAATTACCTTCTCCTCAACAAATACCGCAGATCAAAAAATCTTCGAATAATCAACAAATTTCAACTAATATACCTTTAAAAAATGTATCACCTACTTTTGTTGCAAAACAATATACTCAATTATTAGGTTTCCCGAATAATCTGATATATTTTGGCTCATTAGGTTCTAGTTTACCTTATGTTGTTGCAGCTAATGGATGGAATGATATTGATCGTGAGGCTTATAATTATCCTTTTAATGATGATGATAGTGATTAATGAAGAAAAATAAAAAGAGAGAAAATATAACTCCTTAAAAAGTTTTTATACTATACTATATGATATGATATGATGTTTTTTTATACTGTTTTTTATATTTGTTTGATTTTTTTATTTATTTTGTTTAGTTTACGTTTTATGTATTATTTAAAATTTAATGTTATTAATTTATTAATGTTTGAAACTTATATTGAAAACTTAATTCTTGATTGAATTCTTGTTACCTGGGAATTATCAATGCACGGCTTGTTCAAAATTTACCCTATAATCTTGCAAAAGAAAGTTCTACTTCAAAGCTAAAGCCATTTAAACTAACACGTACCCTTTGTTTACTTCAACGGTTTTTTTTCATTTGATCTTAAGCATAGTCTAAATTTAAGATACCCTTGAGAATAACTTGGCAGAAATTTAAGTTCTCGGATAACTCTCTGATCCCTAATTTTATACATGGGAAAGTAATTTGATGTACATCAATGTCTAAATTTTATATGTTTAAGGGGGTAATTAAATGAACTTTATTGTTGATAAAATTTGTTAGCTGAATTGACATTGACATATTTTGAACCTCCTTTGGTAATATTTCACCTAAATGAATTAATCAAAAATTCACAATTCCTTTTTAAATGAGGGCAACCTTTCTTCAGTATCAAATGTTGAGCAAATTACTCAATCAAATATGTTCCTAAATCTCAAAACAATAGTCAGTCTATTGATACCTTTCATCCTTATGATTTATCACTAAAATTGAGCTTTGATCATCAAGTTTCAAAACTTGCCAGCCGGTTATTCTTCTTTCTTACACTCAATACAATCCTTTTCATCATTATAATCATCATCATCAACTCCACCATCGTTCAATAACGTCCCAACACCACGACTCAAATGTTCACCTACAACATCACTACTAATAGAATCCCATTCTTCTAATTTTTGTTTAATCAAATTTTTCAATAATTTAGCATCAGGAAACCCTTCATACGTTACTTTTTTTTCCTTTTCACTTAATCCAAAATCTTGTTTCATTTTCCGTCTATACAATAATTCTTCATGAGTACGTGAAATATATACTTCAAATGTTCCTGGATTTATGATTTCTGGAACTAGTGATACTTCAGAAATGGTTGGTGGGGAAAAAGTTTGTAGGATTTCTTGAGTATACCATATTGCTCTGTTTGTCCATTTGCATTTGGTGCAGTATTTGATTTTGATTTTGGTTGTAGGGGTGGTGGATTCAATTGACATTTGTTAATTGATCAATGTTTTTGGTTGTAAAAACTATAACCTATACCTAGAGATTTTTGGAGATTTTTTTTGTTGCACAAATTATTTACACAGTTTTCAACTACGGTACGAGTTTTCATCATTACTCTATTATTAATATTTTATTACTTTATTAATTCATTAATATTCTATATAAATGTATATTCAGTAATTTAACCAATCATATTCATTTCTGATAGTCACTAAATCTTCATCATTACTATTACTACCATGATTAATTGGTGGAATTTCAACAACACCACCTAAATTATTTGAATTACTTATATTTAAAACATTTGTGTTCCCATTATTAACATTTAAATTATTTAGAAAATTGGTACTTAATGACTCACTTACTTTTGTTTTGGATTTGTTACGTTTAAAACTTGGTCTTCTTGATTTGGTTATTCCATTAGTTGTTGATGTTGGTGTTGTGGTAGTAATAGGTTTCTTATTATCGTTTATTGATGTTGGATTTAAATCATCTCCATCTTCAACTGAATTTTTACCATTACCTCTTTGTCTCTTTTTTATAACGTCTGTTTTTAAAGAAAGTGGTCTTACAACTCCATGTAATTTTAGAAATAAACCACATGCGTTACATAACGGTTGACCTTCTGGATTTCTTCTCCATAATGGGGTTGTATTTGTGTGACAGTTTGTACAACTTGTTGTTGAATTTGTTGCATTTATTTGTTGTGTTGTGGTTGTTGTTGTTGTTGATGTTGTAGCTTCTGGAGTCAAACCCTTTTTTTGTTGTTTTATTTTTGTTTGTTTTGGCTTGCGTTTTTTAGGTTCTTCTTGTAGCTGTTGTTGTTGTTGTTGATCTTGAGAAGGTAATGTAAATTGTACATCTTGTTGATTTATAAATGATTCGTTATGATTATTTAAACTATGTGATATAGGTGTTTGTGAAGTTGATCTATCTAAATACGTATCATTTAAAAATTGATGATTAGAAAAATTTAAACTTGAAGGATGGAAATTTGAATTAGGATGATGATTTTGATTAAATTCTGGTAATGATATTAAAGATTCTTGTCTTAATATATTTGTAGGAGTAGTCATTGAATTTCTTTGATTATTTATAAATTGAGTATTTTGTGGTATAATAGTTGATAATGAAGATGGAGCAGTATTTATAGGAGTATTAAAATCATCAAATATAGGTTTTTCAAAAGATGATGTTAAACTATCTTGAAATGATGAATGTAAATTTATATCTGTAAAATTATTATTAGGACCTTCAAAAGCTAAAGGATCTAATGAAAATTCAAAAGATGAAGGATGAGGATAATCTATGTCATTATTGTGATGATGATGATGAAAATGTTGTGGATGATTTGGGTGTGGTTGATGTGGATGATTAAATTTATTAAATTCATTTAATTGTTGAGATAATTGTGACATTGGTTTGGTTGTGGGTGAATAATGAGCTTGTCTTTTCTTGGGGATTGCCGTTATTGAAGTCATACCACTCAGGCTTTTATTGGTGTTATTATTATTGGTGCTATGATTATTATTGCTATTATCAAAATCTTGTTGTAAATTATTAAATTCGTTATGAGAATCCATTAAATTAGTTGAACCAATTTTTTTAATATGTGCAACATAATCAAAATCATCAGCTCCAGGATCAATACTATCAAAATGTAGTTGTTGATTAGGTGATTGGTTTAAATGATTTGGTAAAGGTTGTGGTTGTTGTTTAAAATTATGTGGCGTAATTAAATTTGAATTATTTGTTTCTCCATAATTTTTAGAAGAATTTATATTATAAATATTATTATTTGTTAAATACATCATTCTCCAAGTTAAATTTTCCATTCTTGATTTATAAGGTAATGAATCTCTTGCTTTATTATATAATTTCCATAAATTTTCTATATTATTAATTTCATTTGATAAAAGGTGTGATAATTTTATACTATTATTATTTGTTGATGAATCTTTATTTAGATTAAATTTAAATTTTGGTTGTGATTTAGAATTTGAGGAGTGAAAAGTATTGATATTTTGATGTGATTGAGTTGTATTAAATTGAGGTCTATTTTGTGATTGTGATTGTTGATGTTGTTGATTATTTTGAAATATATTTGAGTTTGGATAACTTGAACTTAATGAAGATGGTGAATTTAAATATATTGGAGATGAATGGGATGTACTATTATTATTATTATTATAATGATGATGGTGATGATGATGTATAAGATGATTGTTTTGATTAATATTATGATTGTTATTACCTGATAAACCAGGTGAATGATGATTTATATTCATATGATAATTCCAAAAAAGAATGTTAGACTGATAATAAACTAATTAATGTTCTTTTAAACAGTAATTTAATTAAATGATGAACAATATAATAAATTTGGTTGTAATGTAAAGTAAAGAGAAGTAATATGTAAATAATTAAACCAATATGAAATTGTTAATAATGGAAATTAAAACGTCCAAATTGTATAAAGATATATATAATTATTCTTTAACTTTTTGTGAATTAAAAATCAATTGGAAAAAATATTTCTTTAATTTATTTATTTGTTTTAATAAATTTTTAGTGATAATTTTATTTTTTATTAATTCCTATAATAATATATAAATTAACGTCTTTATCGATTATTATCAACAATATACAAACAAGAAAAAGTAACTGAATTATTATTTAATTTACTAAGCTTGTTTCAAAAAAGGGTCAATTGTAGATAATCATAGTAACTTATTCCAAATTATAAATTATTCATATAAAATAAAAAAACAGTTCATAAATTTTACTTAAATTTGACATTTTCAAATTTTAAAACTTTAAAATAATTTTTAAAAGTTTATTGGTCTTCTTCTTCTTGTCTTTTTGTTATTATTCAATTCTAATTACTAAATTTATAAACGGATAAATTTTATAGAATATTTTTCACACAAAAGAAAGCAAACCATTCTTTCGGTTTAACTTTTCATTTCTAGTTACAAATATTATATGTATTTATTCAATAAATTTCATAAGATTATAAAAGACTTTGAAACTTCGCTAAAATTGAAATTATTAAAAGTTTCAAATTAATATAAAAATCAAATAGTTAATCCGACCAATTAAACTATTTGGATCATCTGTTTCAATTGTACTTTCTACTTCCCGGGATTTCAAATCACAAAGAACTTCCATCTTTTTTTATCGTTAAGGGGTATTATAGATTTTGACATTATCTAAGTTTTTAAGTTTTTATGAATAGTAAATTTTTATTGTTCCAACTATAATTAAACAGCTATTTAAGTTAAACAATCTTATTTAGCTCAATTGTTCATATAAATAAGCCAATTCTATTGTCATCTTAACATTGTTTTTACTTCATTAAAACTTTCATCTAAAATTTAAACAATACCTCTTAAAGTTATTCAAAATTTAATTAATGTTTCAAATAATTAAAAATTTAAAAATATAAAATAATTAATTTTAATTGGACGATAAGAAAGTTATAAATTAGTTTATCAATAATTGAATTATATACAGGTACTTTTTGCATTTTTTTCGGATTAATACACAAAATTGGAAATATCTATAGCCGTTTGTCTCAAATAAGTAAATACCGACAATACTCAGCTGACATCAAAGCTACCAAACTGTTTTGAATTAATTTTCTTATTTCCCCGCTGAATTTTTACAACCAAAATATAGATTTTTGCAGAATATTAATTCTAAGCTTCAACCAGATATGTCACGAGTTTAGGGATTATCCAATGTATCAAGAAGTTGTCTAAGAGCATAAAAATAATCTAATTGGATCAACAGAAAAGAAATTACAAGTGCCAGAGGAGTTGCAACATTTCCATTATCCGGTGATTGAAATCCTATATAAAAATCAAGTAATAATTTGATCCTTAATTTTAAAGCGATGGAACCCTTTGTATATGGTCATTCATATAAATCGAAATCTTTTGAGGTATAATTTCGTATAAATTTAAGACTTTTATATTAAATAAAATGCCTCTAGATTTGTAAGTCAATTAGGTTGCACCCTTCGTAAAACCACAATTAATTTTACATGAGATTGGCTGAAAATCATAACTGTAGATTTATAAAAACTTAATTCAATGCTCAATCAAGTGAATTTATTTACTTTTTCATTTAAAATTTATGATGTATTATAACATGCCACTAACTTAAACTTTTAAAACCTTAAAATCTTCAAAGAGGATTTATTCATTATATGTTACAAAACTTAGAAATTATTCAATTTACTCAGTCTCATGTAACAATTACTCAATTTCAAATAATATTATGCACATAATTAAATGGTATGGTTTTTCTAAGAGTTTATTCATCTCAAAAGCTTAATATAAACCTTATTTTTGAGTACTATGTTACATTTACGAGATTCATAAACTAGCCGTTCTACCAAGCTAGAGATGCTTTATATATGTAAAGTGGCCATCATGAATAAGGAAATACATGGTTTTATCAATCCAAAACTACAAACATAATGCGGTTTATTACAGTATTCACATTAGTCTGGTTAATTAAAAATGTTTTAACTGCTGATGTCACACACAATACAATTACAAGAGGTCAAGTTGGTGTTGAATTTACTGGTGTAACTATTGCGCCAAATGTATTTTGGTCTGTCATTGATAATTATATTTTAGAAATTTTTGGTAACGTGAAAGTCAACACTGGTGCTGGATTTTATGTTCAAAGTAATTCGAATACAATTGCATTAAGAATTGCTTTATTAGGATTGATTTATAATATTGAAAATGATGGAATTATATCATTCAATGCAGCAAATTCATTGGTTGCTCCATCTTATAGATTATTGGGTGCTTCATTTATAAATAATGGAGAATTTTATATGTCAGGAGATGCTACTTTAGGTATTCCAAATTATGAAATTCAAGCACTTACTTGGGGAAATACTGGATTAATGGTATTATCACAAAATTTTAGAACAAATGCAAAAACAATTTTAGGAACTACTGGTTCAAGTGTTATAAATCCTGGTACTATATGTTTAAACAATATTGAATATCAACAAACAACTTCTGTCTTTGGAAGTGGATGTTTTGTATTACAAAGAAAATCTACATTACTATTACCAAATGCATTGCTAGTATTTGGAACTACTCAAAATATTTTAATGGAAAATTCAGAAAGTTCAGTAATTGTGGAAGCTTTATCTACCCCTCAGACTTTTAGAGTTTATGGTTTTGGTTCAAATAATAAACTTGCATTAACTACTACTTTAGCAGGTACATTATTACATGGGTCTTATTATTATGATTCTAGCTCTGGTATTTTAACGTTATATTCATTGGCATTACTGCAAAGATTCAATATTGGTTTAGGTTATAATAGTAATTTATTTTATATAACAACAGATAATAGTGGTTTAGTCCCCACTGTAAACAATGCTGTTGGATATTCAGGAGCTCCACCATCAACTGCAAGACCTTCTTCATGTATGGCATGTAAATCACAACCAGAAACTCCAGGTAATAAACCAGTTAATTTTGAAACTACAATAACTCAAACTTCAGACACTCAAACCTTGACAAGAACTGCTCAGGTTGTTGTCTCCACTAATTCTTTAGGTACTTGGTTTACTTCAACTTCATATTATTCTACACCCACGACAATTAGTTCACGCACTTATACTACTTATTTTCATGAAATTTCAAATCATCAAATTGTTACAAGAAGTGGGCTTGTTTTTGTTGGATCAGAAACTGCTTGGTATACTAGTACTTCAACTTTTGCATTATTATCGTTCCAAGATTATACAACTACAAATACTGATGGTACATTAGTTAGAATAATAGTAACAACCACAACTTCAAATCAGTGGGTAACTCAAACAAGTACAATTACACCTGAATACACTCATTTTACAACAACTTTATCAATTACTGATGGTGGCTCAACTAGTTATGACGCAGTTGAAATCTTTGTAACTACAAATTCAGATGGTTCTTGGACAACAATCACAAGTGATCTTCCAGAAGCATATACAATCTATACTACAACATTATATGGATTTGACACTGAAAGAAGGACAAGAACGGAACAAGCTTGGCAAGTTGTAATTTCAACCAACAGTGGTGGTCATTGGTACACAACCTCAAATATGATCGGTCCAACTTTTACAGAGTATACACATACTCAAACTGTAATCACAGATGGTCAAATGAGTGTCACTACAAATATAAGGATAGTAACTACAAATTCTGATGGTAGTTGGACAACTATAACAAGATCAATTGATCCATCTTTCCAGAATTATGCAACAACTTATTTAACTACAAACGAACAAGGTGGGTATGAAACTGTTACTGCTTCTGTTGTTGTTTCAACTGATGATCAAAATCAATGGTACACTACTACTTATAAACAACAATACACTACATACACTACAACTTTTGTTAGTGTTGATTCAGATAGCGATGGTGGTACTCAAACTATCTCCGCAGTAGTAATTGTAACTGATGATACAGATTCAAATTGGTATACCACAACATCAATAATCCCACAATCAGCAACAAACTATACATCTTTGGTTGTATACACAGAAAACAGTTCGACAGTTACGTCAGTAGTTGAAGTTTACGTCACAACAAACTCGGATAATGAATGGGAAACAACAACTAACATTCCGGAAAATGAACCAATATCTTCAGATGCACCAATCACTTATTATTTCTCATATTCTGGTGAAGTTTACGTCATTGTTGTAGCAGTTGATTCAAATGGTAATGTTCATACTCAAGTTGCCCCAATAAATAACTTTTTTACATCGTATACAACAATAATAACTTCACGATCAACTACTTATCAAGCGGTTATAGTTGAGACTTCAAATAGTGCTCATTCATTATATAGATCAACTTCCATAATCCCACCACCAACAGTCACAAGATACACGACAATATTCACAACAACAGATTCAATAGGAAATTTAGAAACAGATGTTGGGGAAATTTTAATAACTAGAAATTCAAATGGGGTTTGGACAACTATTTCAACTCCCTTACCTACATCATTAACTAATTTCATTTTTCCTTATTCGGAATCTTCAACATCATTTCAAGTTAGTGTTTTAATAACTACAAACATTTATGGGGAATGGTTTACAGGTATATATAGAATTTGGACTACTTTACTTACATCTATTAATGCCTTGGGGAGTTCTACTACTGATACTGTTGTTATTACTGAGACTATCAGTGATGTTGAAAGTAGTAGTCTCAGTTCTGAATATATTTCTAGTACATATAATTCAGAATACATTTCCAGTACATATAATTCAGAATATATTTCAAGTACATATAATTCAGTATATGAGTCCTCAACATCAGAATTTGAATCCACTACATCAGAATACGAATCCACTACATCTAGCTCAGACTATGAATCAACCACAGAAAATTCAGAATTTTCAAATGAAAGTACTAGTGATATTTATAGTAATAGCTCAGAATTTGAATCAACTAGTGATGAAAATTATAGTTCAGAATATGAATCAGGTGCATCTCAATCAGAATACACAAGTGAAACTGAAAGTAGTTTATTCACATCTGCTGATGCATCAGATAATTTAAGTACATATGAATCAGAATCTATTACGGAAACTACAAGTGATGAAAACATTTATAGTTCAGAATTTCAATCAAGTACATACGAATCAGAAACTTTAAGTGAAAGTCAAAGTGAGACCGAAAGTAGTTTATTCACATCTGTTGATGCATCAGATAATTTAAGTACATATGATTCAGGATATATTACGGAAACTACAAGTGATGAAAACATTTATAGTTCAGAATTTGAATTAAGTACGTACGAATCAGAAACTATAAGTGGTAGTCAAAGTGAGGATGAAAGTAGTTTATTTACATCTGTTGATGCATCAGGTAATTCAAGTACATATGAATCAGGATTAACAAGTGAACCAACAAGTGATGAAAGCGTTTATAGCTCAGACTTTGAATCAAGTGCATATGATTCAGGATCTACCAGTGAAACTACAAGTGATGAAAATATTTATAGTTCAGAAAACCAATCAAGTGCATATGAATCAAGTACATATGAATCAGAATCTACCAGTGAAACTACAAGTGATGAAAATATTCATAGTTCAGAATATGAATCAAGTACACATGAATCAGAAACTATAAGTGAAAGTCCAAATGAGAATGAAAGTAGTTCATTCACATCTATTGATGCATCAGATATTGCAAGTACAAATTCATCAGAGTCTACTAGTGAAACTACAAGTGACGAAAATATTTATAGTTCAGAATATCAATCAAGTGCATACGAATCGGAAGCTATAAGTGAAAATTCAAGTGAGGATGAAAGAAATTCATTTACAACTGTTGATGCATCAGAAATTGCAAGTACATATGACTCAGAATCTACAAGTGAGACTACAAGTGATGAAAGTATTTATAGTTCAGAGTATGAATCAAGTACTTATGAATCAGAATCTACCAGTGAAACTACAAGTGGTGAAAGTATTCATAGTTCAGAATTTGAATCAAGCACATACGAATCGGAAGCTATAAGTGAGAATTCAAGTGAGGATGAAAGCAATTCATTTACATCTGTTGATGCATCAGGCAGTTTAAGTACATATGATACAGAATCTGCAAGTGAGACTACAAGTGATGAAAGTATTTATAGCTCAGAAATTGAATCTACAACAAATGAATCAGAATCAACTAGTAGAGCTACAAGTGATGAAAGTATTCATAGTTCAGAGTATGAATCAAGTACATATGAATCAGAATCTACCAGTGAAACTACAAGTGATGAAAGTATTTATAGTTCAGAATTTGAATCAAGTACGTACGAATCAGAAACTATAAGTGGTAGTCAAAGTGAGGTTGAAAGTAGTTTATTTACATCTGTTGATGCATCAGGTAATTCAAGTACATATGAATCACAATTAACAAGTGAACCAACAAGTGATGAAAGTGTTTATAGCTCAGACTTTGAATCAAGTGCATATGATTCAGGATCTGCCAGTGAAACTACAAGTGATGAAAATATTCATAGTTCAGAATATCAATCAAGTGCATATGAATCAGAAACTATAAAAGATAGTCAAAGTGAAGATGGAAGTACTTTCTTTGCTTCTGTTGATGCTTCAGGTAACGCAAGTACATATAATTCAGAATCTAACACGGAAACTACAAGTAAAGAAAGTATTATTAGTTCAGAAATTGAATCTACAACAAATGAAGCAGCATCAACTTCTGGAAGTACAGGTGATGAGAGTGGCAGTAGCTCAGAATTAGAATCTACAATCCATGGTAGTAGTAATGGAGGTAGTTCTACTTCAGAAGTTGAATCTACCGCTGAGAGTGCAAGCGATGAAAGCAACACTACTTCAGAATCGGAATCAGCAAGTGAAATCACAAGTGATGAAAGTTTGAGTAGTTCAGATATCGTATCTGCTTCAAATGAATTAGAATCTACAGCAGAAATTACAAGTGATGAGAGCAGCACTAGTTCGGAGCTGGAACCAACAAGTGAAAGTACAATTGATGAAAGTAATAATAGCAATATTTCAGAGTTCGAGTCATCTACATACAATTCGGAATATGAATCAAGCACATCTAATTCTGAGTATGAATCCTCCACGAATACCTCAGATTCTTCAACTGAAACTACAAGTGATGAAATTAGTATTTCAGAATATGAATCAAGCATAAATCAAACAGAATCTACATCAGTATTTACAGGCGAAGGTGTAAGTGAAGCCACAAGTAATGTAGACAGTAATCATTCAGATTCTGAATCAAGCGTATATCAATCCGAGTTCACAGCACAATCTGCAAGTGCAAGTAATGGAAGTAGTCTTACTTCAGAATTTGACTCCACTACATCATACGAAATAGAATTTAGTAATGAATCTATAAGTGATGAACCTAGCAATAGTTCAAAATTAGAATCAACTGTAAAAACCATGAGTGATGAATTTAGTACTAGCTTAGAAAATGAGCTTGTTTCATATAATTTAGAATCTGCAAGTGATAATTCAGAACCTACAAGTGATAGTCCAGAATCTACAATTGACAACTCAGAGTCTACTAATGAGATTACAATTGTTGATAAAAGTAGCTATAGCTCAGAGGCTGAGTCTACTGAATACAGCTCAGAATCTTTCAGTGGGACTACAGGTGATAATGGTTTTAGCTCAGAACTTGAATCTACTGCAAATTATTTGGAATTTTCAAGTGAATTTGTGAGTGATGTTGAGAGCAGTTCTAAATCAGACTTTGAATCTACCTTAAATAGCCCGCAATCGACCAGTGAGACCGTAAATGTCAGCTCGGAATTTGAGTCCACTATTGAACCTACAAGTGAAACTGAGAGTGCTGGTGAAACAAATTTGGGATTTACTTCATCAAGTCTAGACTCCACTGGCGAGACTTTAAGCGATGGTGGTGTTTATACTTCAAAATATGAAATAAGCAGCAATAGCTCAGAAGTTAGCGAAGAGGCTGCAATTAATCTGGAGACGCTTAATGAAACAGCAAGTGAAATTACAAGTGATTCAATTACTGCTAATTCGGAGAGTAGTGGAGAAATCACAAGTGATTCGGAGAGTACAAGTATCGCCACAAGTGATAATTTAAAAACTAGTATTGAGTTTGAGAGTTTTGGAACTTCATCAAGTGACATATTGGAGTTTAGTGAAAAATTTACAAATGAGGAGGTACAATCAAGTGCAAGTACTTTGGAGCCATCAGAAAATGAGTCAACTTCAACTGAAAATGGTAATGAGTCAGAATCAACATCCAAAAATGACTCAGAATTTACAAATGAGACAACAACTAATTCATATGAATCAGAAATAGTAGAAATAAGTGTTGCAGGCGTTGTTCTGACTACCACTAACGAACTGGGAATAATTACAGAAGCAGTTGAGAATATTGTCGAATCCACGACGACCAGCACTTATGCTTCATTACCGTATAATCTGGAAGAATCCAAATTGGCTGAATCATTGTACCAATCAACTGAAATTAGTATTGACTTGGAAAGTTCCGTATCTGTGAGTGAAATAATTTTTAGTCCCTCAGATGGTGAAACCGAGCCATATGTATCATCCAGCAAAATTAACACTGAATCATCAAGTAGCCAATATAATGTTGAAAGTGGTATTGGAAGTGAAGTTGTGGAAGAGTCTGTTGAAGAGACAAATACATACTATAGCGGACCAAATGTTGCATCAAGTGTTGCTATTACATATAGTTCATCAGAAAGTTTTGTGACATCCGCTGATTCTAGGTCAATTGATCGTTTAACGTCCCTATTAAATTCTAATTTAATATTTTCTTCAATTGGATTATTATCAGAAACCACACAGGAGTCATCGATTGAAGAATCAAGTGCAGAACCCGAGCCAAGTATAGCATCATTTTTCAATACCACAAATCCAACTTTAGCTAGTTCAGAAACTTCGACTAGTGTGCTGCAAACCTCATCAATACAACAATCGAGTTCTTTAAGTAATCAAACAAGCTCACTATCACAAACTTCAAGTCTTTCAGAAATTTTTTCAACAAATTCGTATTCAATTGATGGTGCTGATGCAAGATACTCCAGCTCGGTAGATGGTTCGGATTCCACTTACTCAACTCATATAAGTTCTGGCTCTTCAAATGATTATTCATCCAATTCATATTCAATAGACGGTGCCGATGGAGGATACTCAATTGATGGCGCAGACTCCAAGTATTCAAGTTATCCAAGTTCGGTAGATCAATATTTGGAATCATATGCTGAATCTGGTTCAACTACCATAGGTGGTGTAGTAACTTATTTCAGTTCAATTGATGTAGCAGAGGGCCCATTTACCGGTTCTGAGTTTACTACTGACAACAATATTACATTGGAAATTGTAACCAGTACAATTATAATTACTGAAAGTCAATCTGAAGGTTTCACAGAAGGTGCAGAATCAGGAATTAGTGCTTCAGATAGTAGTGATAAGTTATCGTCAATTGATGGTGAAGGTCCAACTGCAACTGCAAATGTGATAACTCAAATTGTGGCAAATACAGATAATTCATTAGTTGTTCAAAAAGTGGAGATTAGAACAGATGAAAGTGTTACATCAACTACTACAATGTCATTTGGAACAAACTTAACTTCATTCATATTAAATTACACAAGTGTTGATGGTCAAGAAAATGGATTTTATCAGGTAATCATTTCTACTGATCTGTTTGGTCAATTATATACCCTGATAGACACTTTAGATTCTTCAACGTTAGGATTAATTTCGACACAAGCAAAGCCAACCCAGTCTGTTAACACCATTTCAAAGTCAATTATCGACGAGTCAATAGATGGAACAAATTCATTCTTCACACAAATCGTTACAACCACAGCTAATTCATTGATTGTACAAAGAGTGGAAATTACCACGAACGAGAATGCTACATCTACTATTACAAAGTTGTTTGGAACAGATTTTACTTCATTTAGATTGAATTATACGAGTGTTGATGGTCAAGAAATTGGTCCAGTCTATCAAGTTATTATTTCTACAAATTCATCTGGTCAATTATATACACTGATTGATACATTAGACGCTTCAGTAGCAGGAGCAGTTACTATTTACACAGTTTTAACGGAGCCTACTAGTACTGGTATAAGTTCAATTATTGATGAGTCCATTGATGGAACCAATTCAACGTATCATTCAAATGGTTTTGCTACAGCTTATAATGTGGTCTATTCTCTGGTAGGCTCTGATGGAGATACAACCACGCAAACCTTGCAAGTTGAGCTTAGCGTCGAGGGGAATTCCACACACATCTTTACAACGAATGCACAACAAAACCTATCATTGAGTTTGAATCCAAATTTCCAAGGTTATAATACAAGAATTAATTCCGATGGAGCATCAACAGTGATTGCATACTCTAACGGGTTCATCCTACAGACAGCAAATGAGCATCAGTTGCCTTCAAGTGGCCGTTTATTTTCAGCTGATGGTAATGAAGGTGCTAAAACTGAAACACATGAGAGCTCAATTGATGTCTATTCATCTGCTGCTGCAGAAGATAAAAATTCTGAATTAGTTGACCCAGATTATTCTACCTCAATTGATCAAGTTTCAGATATATCAGTTAACCCTGAATTCAATCCGTCAATCACAAATTCAATATCTGAATCAATAGCAGCAAATTCAACTGAATTTTGGAGTGGTTCAAATGCTAACATTCCTTCATTACTTATATCATTTTTAATATCTATAGTTATAGTAGCTATATGAGAGTGTAACAAACGTTTGTATAAATTATAGTTTTATAAATCATAATTTAGTCGTATATGCAATATTTATTTCTATGTAAGTATATCTACAATTGAGATTTTTGATCTTATAGGTTCAACAACAGGAACGTTTAATGACAGTTCATCAATGATATTTGGTTTATATACATTTTTTAATTTATCATTTTGATCTTTAATACCATAGTTTTCACCATTCAAGGGTGCTGATAATAACTCTTTAATTGGTTCTTCTTCTCCATCTTCGGTGCTTGGAGAGTTTTGAGACTTATGATGACATGATTTACAAATGTTTGATTCGTACCACATTGGTGAACTGTCAGTTGAACAAATCGAACATTTTTTGATGTGACCATTAGATGTGATATTGACATTGGAGTTTTGATCATTGTTGTAAAACAAATTACAATTTTTAACGTAATTTAATGATCTTGCGTGAGGTCCACTGAATTGAGCTTTATTAGTCTTGAGTAAATCCTCAAGAAATAGTTTTATTATTGGTTTTGGTTCCGAATCTTTTGAGCTCATTCTTTTGCCCAATGTCCTAAAATTCAAAATGGTATTACTCGTTTGATCATGTTTTGGACAGATCATAATACACTTTAACAACCCAACATTCTCATTAACTTTGACAAGTTGTGATGATTTAACTCCTGATACTAATTTAAAACCTAATTTATAATTTGGAGTATCTTGAGCACAAGTTGGATGGTAATAACAAGGCTCATCACATAAATCACATTTCACCAATGAACCATTATTAGATTGACATATTTCACATTTTAAATTATGATTATTTAAATAAATTTTGCTAACATTTTCAATTGATAAAGTACAATTATTAACATTTTTATTTTTCAGAACTTGAATGAATTCACTATTGAAAACTGAACATAATAAATGACACCAACTACCTTCTGACGTTGGTTTTAGGAAATCTGGCCTTACATTAGGGGAACCTAGTATTGATAGTTCATAATTAGTTTCATTTGCCATACACAAAGAACATGAATAAATAGCAGTATGTATTGGTCTTAAGTCATTTATGCATGGTTCACATAACCATTCTTTTGTAGATTCTTTTTCATGTAAAGAGTAAGCAGCACAAGATGCATGAACGTTAACACCACATGATGAACATATCAACATTTCTTGTAATGAAGCTTTTGATGTGTCATGTTCACGACATATACAACATTTTCTTTCATGTGGTTTAAATGGTAACTCTATAGATGTAAGATGAGGTGTCTGAAAATTGACTAACGGAGCACTGACATCACCTAACTGTATTTCTCTATAATGATCCATAAAGGTGGTTAGTTCATTTGGTGCTTCACTTTTGATCAATTTTTTGCTCAATCCATAAGCTTTAGGTGTTTCATAGTTTGGATTGAAAAGTAATGATCTTGTATGCTGACCTAGCGATGAACCAACAACTTCATCAATTGATCGAAATGTAACAGTTTGTATTTCTTGAACTTTAGGAACTTTCTCTTTTTTCTCAACTTTGACTTCTGTTTTAACTTTTTTAGCTTTCGGAGTTGGTGATTCAGTTGGTGATGATGAGGTTGGTTTTCTTTTGGATGATTCTTTCTTATCTGGAGAAGGTTTAGCAGGTGATAGTTGATTAACTAGTTTTGGATCATAGGTTACAGCTATACCCAATGACAATGCATGCTCTAGTATTAAACTTGAATCTTGTAGTAATTCCGGTTCAATTTTCTTTTTCCATCCATTTGATTTACCACTTCTTTTTTGGACTTCCTCTGCGTCTTGCCATATTACTGCGTATCTTCTCCATAATTTTGCACATCTGAAACATAACGCTACAACCGAGTCCAGCTCGGAATTTGCATCATGTGTATTGGTGATTTTAAACCATTGAGTTGAGTATTTTGAGTTACAATGTTTACAAATAAATTTGGTATTTTTGGATTTGATTTTTTCTTCTTCATACGATGAATCATCTTCAGGATTAGTAATGTCATCATTGATGTGTGGTTTATGATTGTTTTCTTCCTTGGTATTGTGTGATTTTTTAGGAGCTCTTCCTTCGTAATTACCCCATATTTGCTTCCCATTCTTGGTTTTCTTCCAAAGATAATAGAATCTAACAACTTGAGTCAATGGTTGTGATTTAACTCTTTTTTGAACATGGAATAATTCATTTCCAAATTCTTTGACTCCGGCTTCAAACCTTTTTATTTCTTCTCTATTGAAAACAGGTTCATTCAATTTCTTTTTGGTTAATTTTTGTACTTCATCAAATGCTTTGTCAACATCTCCAGTATTTTTCATATACAGTAAAACCACAGCATCAACAAAATTTGGAGAATTTGGTGATAATCCTAAACCTTCAGCTATAACATCACAAGTTGCAATAAATTTATCCATATGTTCAAAATTGTCATCGATATCTTTAGGGGAGGTTTTCCATAATAATGTACAAGTTGTACCTTCACCATCATCAACTCCTCTCTCTATGTAGCCTTTTGGTCTCGGTTGCAACCATTCAGGATAGTCTTTGACTTCAAAATCTTCAAATTCTTTAGGAACCTCTAGTTTTGCTATTTCCTCTACTTTCTCCTTCGGTTTAGCTTTTGATTTCTTTTTTACAACTTTCTCTGCATCATAATACACTATTGGATGACCATTACATTCTGGGATATATATAGCTTGATGTTTCGCACCAATTCTTGTAGATGCTCTTGGGTATGGTGATTTATCATCTAAATCAACACCTTCTTCTAATTTGGCATTTAAACCTAAATATCTCATACACCATTCTTCTTTAATTCTTCTGTCTTCGAGTGAAATTTTTGAATCATTGACCAAAAATTGTTTTGCCATAACTTCGTATTTGGGTAGTACAGTTTCAACGTCAGTAGATTGATCCATATTTTTAACATCAGCTTCCAAAGAACTTAATGCAGCTAGTTCATCAGCTAGGGAATCTTGATTTGAAGATTTGTTATCATGCAGTAGCATCAAGATTTTTTTCTGGTGGTATTCAATTTCATGCTTTTTTGTACAAGATGCACAAGTCCAAGAAAATCCTCGACTTGGTTTTTTTAAAAGTGGTGGATCCAAACAAAGCATGTGAAATAATTTTTTACATTCAAAACAACTTATAGAATCATTATGATCCGACCATAATCCACAGGTGAAACATGTTGAATTATCATTTTTGAATGAATTAATTAACGATTTTGTTCTTGTAGATTCACAAAATATATAGCTAAATCTTTTGTTCAATGCTATTAGATAGTTTTTGGATTTGCTATCCTTTTCTGCATACTGTAATAAGTTTTGAGTCAGTAGTACATCATAAGATCTAATCATATAACGATCATATAACTTATCAAAATAAAAACAATTTGGACTTTGGGCATATGCTTCTATTGGAGTGAAACCTGGAGATAGTTGTTTTCTCAGTTTCTCAATATAGGAATCTTCTATATCTCGTTTTAATTCAACTGTAACTAAACCTCTGAAACTACTCAATGGACAAACGTCTGAATCCATAGTTGCATATAATAATCTTGAATCTGCTGAATTTTTTGTAATATCTCTGGGTCTATAAAACCAATTTACTATGAAAAAATAACCTTCTGCAGGTACCATTTTGTCTTCTTTATCATCGATTCCAATTTCTTCATATTTATGATTTCTTTTATTTGTAAAACCTCTAATTCTTCCAATATAATAGGGCTCGCCTGGAGGTTCACTAATCATATATATGCATTGACCTTTTGATAATGTTAAAGACTTGCCATTCTTATATTTACATTTTAATGTCATTTTCTTTAAGTTTATTGTTGCTCCTGAAAGGTCTAGACGGTTGGAGAAATGATCTTGTGGCGTGGGGGTTGGTTGCCAATTATATGGTACAACATTGGACCCATTAGTAGTAATATCATGACCATTCTTGATTGGTTCTTTCTTTTTAGTTTGTGGTTGTGATTTTTTGCCATTTGAATCTGAAATATCTTCTAGTTTGGATAATTCTATCGAGTCGTCATAAGTTTTATTAATAGTAGCTTTCCTTTTAGGTCGAGCATTTGTAGACATAATTTAATGTAGATGCATATGTGAAAATTTGAATTTCGAAATAGTACTTTTGAGAATGATTTTATATCTGTTATATATCTTCTATGAATACTTTAATAAGTTAAATAAAAATCTTAGATATAAGTTGGTTGCAAAATCTTGTGGTTGTTCCTTTCTTGTAAAGTAATGAAAAAAATTTCGAGATATTTGAAGTAGAATTATTTTTTACAACCAGATTTTAAACATCATTTTAAGACATTATAATATTACAATCTACAGGTATTTACAAGATCATTCATTATCTATCAAATTCTATATTACACCTTCTCGTAAAGCTGTTTCTATCTTCTCAATTTCTTCTATACTATCACAATTTTGTAACTTTGACAATAACTCTTTCTTCTCTTGATCAGTCAATTTCTTAACGACTGTATTCATCTGTTTTTCATCTTTGGAGACTCCATTTGAAATAGTATTAAACTTGTTGATCATTTTCTCTGCTTTTACTCCGAATTGAATTCTATTTTCACCATACAATTTTTCACTTTCTTCTTTTTCTTTTGGTTTCACTTTTTCCAAGTCTAGTACTTTCAAACTCGGCACTAACCAAATCATAAATAATCTGTAATTCTCCAAATTTGTTATTGGATTACCTAATAGTATCAAATTCTCGAGATTTTGAAATTTGTCGTAAAAACATTTCTGAAATCTGTAGATGTTGTTATTCATTAATGATATTGACTTGATGTGGTTTTCCAGTGGGAAGTATTCTTCATCGATGTACGTTATATTATTATTTGCTAACAATAGCGTTTCTAGATTATCAAAATTTTTGGGTATATTATCTAACTTGATTAAATCATTGTTTGTTAAATCTATCACTTGAAATTTATTGTTGGTTATTTGTAGGTTATTGATTTCCGTGATGTTGAGATTCCGTAGTAGTAATGTTAATTTATTCTCAATATTTAGTATTATAGGAGCATCATTTATCTGCTGTGATGTCAATTTCATTTACTTGTAGCAGATGATGATGATCTTTATGATAATGGTTCCAAATTGTGTTGTAAAAACAAAAATACGAAAAAAGAAAATCTCAAAACCTAATTATAGTACCTGAAAAATTCACAAAATTCAAACACCATCAGGCCGACAACCAACCATCATATCATCATGATTCAGTTGGAAGAACGAGATATACCAGTGATACCCGGCACCAAGCTAGACGAAGAAGAAACAAGAGAATTACGTCTAATGGTTGCTGAATTATTAGGTAGAAGAAGTGTTATGTTTCCAGGATCTCAACCAATTTCATTTGAAAGAAAACATCTTGAAGAAACATTAATGCAAAAGGATTATTTTGTTTGTGAGAAATCAGATGGATTAAGATGTCTCTTGTTCATTATAAATGATCCAGATAAAGGTGAAGGTGTATTTTTAATAACTCGTGAAAATGATTATTACTACATTCCAAATATACATTTTCCTTTGACTACTTCATCAAGTCCAACATATCATCATGGAACTTTATTAGATGGGGAATTAGTATTGGAAAATAAAAATGTAAGTGAAGCAGTACTTCGGTATTGTTTATTCGATGCTTTGGTGATAAATGGTAAATGTATAACAGATAGAATACTACCTAAACGATTAGGTTATATAACGGAAAATGTAATGAAACCATTTGATCAATTTAAAAAAAATAACCCAGCAGTGGTAAACTCACCAAACTTCCCATTCAAAGTTGGTTTTAAAAGTATGGTATTCGCTCAAGATTCAGGAAAGGTATTGCAAAAAATGGATCAATTATTTCACTCATCAGATGGTTTAATTTATACATGTGCGGAAACTCCATATGTTTTTGGAACTGATCAAACACTATTGAAATGGAAACCAGCCAACGAAAACACTATAGATTTTCAATTAGAATTTGTATATAATAAATATGAAGATCCAGACATGGACCCGAGAGATCCAAGTTCATCATATTTAGATTATGATTCTAAACCAGAATTAATCAAATTAAGAGTTTGGCAAGGTTCAAATGTACATACCGATTTTGCACAATTGGATTTATTAGACTCAGACTGGGAAAGATTAAAAGAATTGGGTCAACCACTACAAGGTAAAATAGCTGAATGTAGACAATCGACTACAAAAAGAGGGTATTGGGAAATGTTGAGATTTAGAAATGATAAAAGTAATGGTAATCATATAAGTGTTGTTGAAAAAATATTGTTGTCTATAAAAGATGGTGTCACGGAGGAAGAGTTAGTCACAAAATGTCCTGAAATTGGAGCTGCTTGGAAAGAAAGAGAAATGGAAAGAAGAAACAAACATTCAAATAACGGACATCATTCAAGTGAACCACCTACTAAGAGAATTAAGACTGAACAACTGCCACCAAAGCAACACCAACCACCTCCACCTCAACCACAACAAAATCAACTTGATGAAATACCGACCTACGAAGATAGCGATGATGATTGAAATGACTTGTATTAATATATATTAAAACCTATTTAACGTGACTAACTACCATTTTCCTCTTCGTTTTCCTCATCTTCATCATCTTCTTCAGTACTCTTGACATTCCATTGACAACTGACATCCCATCTTGAACCCTTTGCATTAATACTGACATATTTAACAAATTTTAAAACTGACGGATCTCTAACCATTAAAGTTAATGAATTCCACTTACATTGATTAGTACATAATACACTATCATCATCAGAATCTTTATTTGATTTGTATATTGCAGGATCATCATCTTCACCGTCTTCAGTTGCTTGAGCCATACATAATTCATAACCTCCAAAGTCACCAGATTCCCAATTTTGTGAGTTTTCAGCAGTTGGAGTTAAATTTAAAGTCGCCTCTAATAATACATTTTCTTCTGTTTCATTTCTTGCAATTTCTTGATCTGTGGTTGTAGCTAATATAAAATCGTGACCCGGTCTAAATCTACGTAACAAGATTTGTTCAGTTGTTGGTGTTAGTTTTGTAACTTTTCTTAACCATTTTTTAAATGCTATTGATTTTAAAAATTCGGCAATTTCAACCAATAGAGTATCTGATTGTTCTTTAGTTTGCAAAAGACTAAAATTTGGAAGTTCTTGTGGTCCTGTATTATTTACAAATTCAATTTCTTCTTTTGTTGGAGTAAAATCTGATTTCCCATCTATGTACAAGTATCTTTGTTTATGAGGAGGTATTGCTATTTTCCAAGGATGTAGTATATCTGAAGATTTTTGTGGAGTTGAAGTATTTATCTCAGTTTTCCTTATTTGTTTATGAAGTTCATCTGCAAATTCTTTTTTGAAAATATCTTTCAATTCTATTAATGATTCGTTGATAAAAAAATCACTTAATTGTTTAAATACATCATCTTTAAGATATTTTGGATTTAAGTATTTACTTAAATACTCTATTTGATCACTAGTTAATTCATCAGACTCTATCTTCTTCAATTCAATTGAATTTATCTCATCTCTTATATTTTTAGGAAAATCATAATCCTGTAATTCTTTACTTTGCAATTGTTGTAAAGTAGATAATGCTTCAGTTTTAGCTTGTTCACCTTCAACAAATCCATCTTCTCCAGGTTGGGGAATATGAAACCAACCCTGAATAGATAATCTATGTCTATCCTCCCTGACTTCTTCAACATCATGAAAACTTAATCCAGGTTGAACTGTGAAAAATGCAATTTGATTAAATTGTGGAACTAATTTACATTCAAAATCAGTTTGTGGTACATTGGGTACTATAGCGGGGAATAATCTTAATGCTCCTCCATATGCTGGCTTCCAAACTTTATCAGGTTCTGGCAAATATAATATAAAACTAACTCTTCTACTACCAATAACATCATCATGAGTTAATAAATGACATCCTTTTGTATATGTATTAATTGACATATCCGTTTTAACTCCACTCAATTTCCCACTACCTGTTACTTTTGAAATCACATCTCTAAATTCTTGACTATATATCGCAGCTCTTAATTTGAATAATGATGGTAATTTTGATAAATCATCCCAATCTAAACCCGAAAGATTAGCTAAATCTCCCAGTTGATAAACTTTATAAATATCTGTTTCTTTTTTTGTAAATGCAATTTGTGATAACACTTCCTCCCTGACCTTTCTCAACAATGTGTCATCCATTAAATTTTTGATTGTACCCCATTTATAGGGGGAACTGTTCTTGACTTCTTCTTCTTTAGTGTTTTGAAACTCCGACTGCCAAATTTGATCGTTGAAAAAATATGCAATATCTTCTTTAGTGAACTCTGTTTTTATTTTCTTACTTGTAAGGTCAGTTTCGACCTCATTCATCCTTTTCATTCTGATTGGCTTCGTTCATTCGATGTAGTTAAAATTGAAAAATTATTAAATCAATTCATAAAAATCATCTGATGATATAGATCAAAACAACAAAGCCGCACAGCTTGATGTAACCCGTTCTAAAAAGCTACCAAATCGACCTGGGCCGTTATCGTTCTTTTGTGCTAATTCTGTACCGAATAACACAAAGAAAAGAAATTTTTCAATTTGACTCACTTTTTAAATTTAGACTCAAAGCTTTAAATATAACGTGAAATTTTTCAATAAACGTTCAAACTAAATAACAATACTTGAATCACTTTTAACTACATACATAAGTAGTCCTACCGCAAATGTCACAATCAGCTAGTCTATCTAGTACTTTCAACTCAGTACTAGACTTAAAATCAACAATATCATCAGCGGATCAAAAAGGATGGGTTATACAAAAATTTGGAGGTACATCAGTTGGTAAATTTTCAGAAGAAATAGTTGATAATATAGTTAAAGAATTTCAAAAACTGAATAGAGTAGCTGTTGTATGTTCTGCAAGATCATCAAATACCAAGAGTGAAGGTACAACCTCAAGATTAATTCGACTGGCGGATTTAGCTTCAGATAATTCAGATTTCAATTCACTATTGGATGTTATAGAAGAAGATCATATCAAAAATTGTGGTTCAAAAATAAAGTCTGACGTTATAAGGAAGCAATTAGTGGAAGATATCAAAAATGAAATGAAGCACGGAAAAGAATTATTACATGCTTGTCAAATTATTGGGGAAATAAGTCCAAGATCACTAGATTCAATAATGTCAATTGGTGAAAAATTATCTTGTATATATATGACATCATTAATGAAAGATCATGAACTTAACGCAGTTTATATAGATTTATCAGATTTAATTCCAATAAGTTATGATTTTAATAATGGATTTGATGATTCATTTTATAAATTTTTATCAAGAGAAATTGGAAGTAGAATCCAAGAAGCTACTCAAGGAGATGATACTATAATACCCGTAATTACTGGATATTTTGGTGTTGTACCTGGTGGATTGTTAAATGGAGTTGGTAGAGGTTATACTGATTTATGTGCTGCATTAGCTGCAGTTGGAATGGGAGCTGATGAATTACAGATTTGGAAAGAAGTTGATGGTATATTTACAGCTGATCCAAGAAAAGTTCCAAATGCAAGATTACTAGATAGTGTTACTCCAGAAGAAGCAGCAGAATTAACCTATTACGGTAGTGAAGTTATTCATCCATTTACAATGGAACAAGTTATAAAAGCCAAGATTCCAATAAGAATTAAAAATGTTGAAAATCCTCAAGGTAAAGGTACTATTATATATCCTGATAATATAGCAAGAAGAGGAGAAGATACACCACCACATCCACCAGCAGCTTATGAAACATTACCAATAAGTTATATAACTTCACATAAAAAAAGATCGGCTACTGCTATTACTGCAAAACAAGATATAGTAGTTATTAACATACATTCAAACAAGAAAACCTTGAGTCATGGGTTTTTGGCTCATATTTTCACAACTTTGGATAAATATAAATTAGTGGTTGATTTAATATCAACCTCAGAAGTTCATGTATCAATGGCATTACTGGTTCAACCAGATCAAGAACTACAATTAAAACATGCATTAACAGAATTATCTAAAATGGGAACAGTTGACGTTACTAAAAAGATGACAATTGTTTCATTGGTGGGAAAACAAATGGTAAATTTTATAGGTATTGCAGGTAATATGTTTAAAGTATTAGCTGATGAAAGAATTAATATAGAGATGATAAGTCAAGGAGCTAATGAAATTAATATAAGTGCAGTTATAAATGAAAAAGACACTATAAGAGCATTACAGTCCATACATGCGAAATTATTAGAAGGTAATCAATTTTATGATCATGAGTCAGCAGTTGATTCTAGATTAGAAGCATTAAGAGTACAAAGTTAGATTCAAAAAGCTATTTATATAAAACGAAAAAAAACTTATACCCAGTTACAATAATACTTCAATAATAGACAATCACTTTTAATATTTAAATATCAAATTCTCCACTTTCTCTACTATTTGCATTTTTTGACCCCATATTCAATTTATTTTGTTCTTCAATCAAATTATCAAATTCTCCAACCATACCACCTAAAATCTCAGAAGCTAATTTATGATAAGCTAATTGAGCCTTTATTAACTCTAAAAATTCCTGTAAAGGTTTAGCATTTTCAATAACATTTTGCATAATATTAATAGCATCTTCAACAGTATTTGCAAATTCATCTTCTGCATTTTCCATATCAACTCTTAATTTTGATTCTTTTGTTGGATTATTACAATTAGTTAAATTATATCTACTTAAATCATAATCAATTCTTTTTTCTTCAACTTTTTTTTGAATATTATTTGATTGAGAAATTAATGATCTTAATGTTGTTGTTAAAGGTTTATTAAATTTTGATTTAATTAATTGATCTTGTCCTAATCTTGCATTTGCAATCTTGTTTAAATTTGATGAATATAAATCTAATCCTTTAATTAATGGATCATTAGCTTCTGATGAAATATCTGTCTTGTTGGTTAATATACTTGCATTTGATGCTCTACTTAATGCATGATATAAAGTTTTTGGTTGTTTTGCAATTTCAGAGTTTGAATTAATTAAAGCAGCTTGAGCTTCAGCTGTAGTGGTAGCTTTACTTAAATTATTAAATCTTGTAGTAATATTTGAACTAATTTCAGAAAAAGATTCTTGTAAATTTGTTGGATAATCATAAGATTCAGACTCGTAGTTGGAAGTTATTTTTAAAACATTTTTATATAATTTTTCAATATTATTACATTTTGTAGCTAATTCAATATATTCACTAGGTAATTGAGATATTTCATCTTGATTAATTTTTCCCATTCTTTCTTGCATTAATCTTGAAGTTCTTTGAGCTAATGGTACAACTTCCTTATTAAATTCTGTACTTAATTTATCACCAAATGACTTAATGTCTTTTGTTAAATTTGAAAAGTTGAATGACATAATAGCTACTAATATCTATTTGATTATGGAATATATATGATGAATTCTATTATTGATTCAAATGTGATAATTTAGTTGTAAACTTAAATATAACAAGTTTAATAAATTCTCCTTGATAAAACGTACAACTAATTTTAAATCTAATTTTAATATACAGGTTTGCAATTAAATTATAACAATGCTACCAAACCATTTTTGATCTCGTAAATTATTATAATCTTTGAAGTTGACTTAAAAAATGATGGTCATTTTATAACATAGCCATTTCTAATTTAACCTCTAAATTTCATAATTAGTATAATAACGAATTTCGAAGATTCTCATTTAAACTTTAAACTAGCTGAAATAAGAGGAAAATTCACATTTTTAAATATGCTTTGATAATTCTTATATTAGTAGACGCTGATTTTCAATTTTCAATATTAAACCGTATCATCGAAAGAATTTGATTGATACGATTAACATTAAAAAATAATCTTTTAGTCTTTGTAAAACCAACGATTTTGAACAACAATGACCCAAAATATTCAACCTCCATAATTTACTTCAAAATTATCTAAAAGCTAAATTCAAAGAACTGAACCTTTGAAAATTTCCAAAAGAATTAAAAATACAAGATAAAATGAAAGTCGGTTTGGTTTTGTAAACAGGAATCCGTATTTCTAAACTTTGATTCGAGCCAGTCTCATAAAGTGATACTCATAAATTTACTTTGTTCAAAACTGAGAGAAAAAATTAAATTAACTGGTTTAAATGAGTTAATAATGAATAATAAGATGGACAAGAACATAAATTTTTTAAAAACTCATTTAAAGATCATTTAAAGGAATAGCTATTTCGTTAATGATCACCTGTGACTTTTTGATTTTCGATGAATGCAGCAAGATTACTCGAATGACAAAAGAGAACAGTTTGATACTAAATGCCAATTCTTTTTTAAACAGGTTTGAACATTCATAATCAATAAAATTCCAAAACGGTATACTTCAAGCCTAACACTGTATTTAAGAGATGATTTCAATTGATGTTACCTTATCGTGCTACATTTAGAAACCAATTTAATACCGTCTCAGTTCAAAGTGTGCTTAAATATATAGTGTGATGGTGAGTTCTGTTACATATTGCTGCAAATTAATTTTGGAAAAATAAATTAAATGTATAGCATATCAATTGAAAAATATTTAGGCAACACACTTTTTTCACTCAAAAATTAGTCAACAAGTCAATTACCATGTCTTCAAGATTTTTTACTATTCTACTACTTATCAATTATACATTATCATTTTTCTTTCAACCACAATCAGAACCGTTTTTATTAGTAGTTTATGATCCCAATTATGAAGAAAATAGAGAAACATCATTATCAAATTCGGAGATTCAAAAAATATATCAAAGAGATACTTTAATTTTCATCACAGATGATTGCGAAGTTGACAATAAAACAACAAACTCCTTCATAGAAGGTTCAATATTAATTAATGGATCATTCAGATTAAATAAATTAATGGATGATAGTATGAAATTTATTAGAGTTGATTCTAAAACAAACAGATTAAAAGCATGTCCTCGTGGTAATTTATCTACAAGTTTTACAATACGTAAAGATGAGTTGCATTATAAAGATTCAAATGTATGGAGTATATGTTTTGATGATAGTTTAAAAATAAGTTTTATATATTTTGGTACACTAAAAAGAAACAAAAAATATTGTAGCTTACAAGAAGATCAAGAAATTAAATTAAGAGTTATTGGAAAATACGATAATTTTGGTACTGTCCCAGATTATCCCTTTATGAAAATTCAATAAGCTAGGTTTAAAAGATAAGATAAGTGTGTAGGTTATGAGAGATAATGCAATATCAAACAATTTGTAGTAAATATATGCAACAAACTTTTTCTTAAGTGGTAATTCCATAATGTAAACAACACAAAAATTAGAAGAAGTAAGAAATGTGAAAGGACGTATATGAAACAAAAAACTATAAAAAAATAAGACCAACACCAACCTTTCAGAATTTAATGTTCACAATAATATTTTCTAACTTGTTCCAATCTTAATTGATTTAAAACATCTTCATTATAATTATTATTTTTAGATTGTTCATTCATCTCAAAATTGTGCCAAAATTCATCAAATTGAATAGACTCCTGTTTTAAACATTCTCTAATTTCTACATTATAATTTTCATTAGTTTTATTTTTTAAAATTGATTTAATAATCGTGGTATTAGTACTTGGATTAGTAGTATATATAGTTGATGATGAAATTAAATGTAAGAATGATTTTTTACGTTTTGGTTGTTGATGCTTTTGTGATTGTCTTTTGATTGATCTTATAGTTGAACCACTAGATGTAGTGGTAGTAACTGTTTTTCTATCATTTGAAATAGATGGATCTAAAATTGTTTGAATTTGTCCATGATCTTTTTCATCAGAATCTAAAAATACATATTCTTGAAATTTAATTTTAGGAACTTCATCATCAATATTATTTTGAACTGATAAATTTTCATTACAAGCTGCTACCGGTAAATTTTGATTAGTATCCTCAAAAGTAGTAGATCTATTAAACAATTCTAAAAGTGATTGATTCAAATGTCCATTTGTGGAATTACTTATTTTTTTAAAAACTGATGAAGAATTATTCTTAAATACATTTTTAAATTTTTCTAAAATTGATAATTCTTTAAAACTTTCTATAATTGATGAATTATAACAATCTTCAAAATTTTCAAAACTTGGTTCATCACTTGAAATTTCAATTGGTTCATTAATTATTTCTTTACCAACTAATCCAGATTCTTTAGTAATTGTAGTATTTATTTCTTCAATTTTTGATTCAGATGATAATGTACCACTAGTAGTTTGATTCAAATCATTATAAAAAGAATCCTCAATTTTTAATAAATCTTCTAAACTCCAATTATTATCAAATTCAAAATTAAAATTTAAAGTTGGTGAATTAGTAAGGGATTTTAAAGCATTTGGTTGTGATTCAATTAAGTGGTGATGTGATTCAGTACTGTTGTTTCTACTTATTTTTTGATAAACTTCTAAAACGACTTCTTTTTCAAGTTTAGGTTTTCTATTCTTATGATTTGTATTATTAATTTTGGTAATAACAGGTGATTCAGAAACTTGTTCAGAAGAAGTATTACTTTCATTAAAATTTGGAGAAGTTAAATCATTAGCATTAGCAATAAATTCAATTGAATTTTGCTCATTTTCAAATTGTAAATTTTGTACTGAATTAGATTCACTTGTTGATATAATTGATTCTGAAGATATAGGAGTTGATTCAATATCAAATAGGTTTTTTATACTTAATATTTGTTGATTTTGAGGATTGTGATGGTGTTGGTGATGATGCTTTGCTGTTGATGGAGCTGGGACTTCTGTTGTTGGATTATCTGACCCAATGAGACTGTTTGAGTGGTCTAACATTGCAAGATAATTTGATTTTGGTTTGTTTTGGTAAGTGGTTAAAATAAATTTGCAGCTAAAAAAATAAAAAATAAAATAAAATAAATAATAAAGTGGTAATAAAGTATTGAAACACAAAAAAATAATTTAATTGATATGCTCTAACATTAAATATGCAACAAATTCTTAACCCAAGATCTCAAGATCTAAGTGAAATTTAAATATATATTTATGAAAAAAAAAAGTAAATACACAATGCTGAATAAATCTATTTAACTTCAATGACATCTAAATTTAAAAACGCTTTTCTATAATATTCGTCTATCCCACCGTTAATTTTTTCAAATTCAAACAATGATTCTCTAATAGGTTGATTTAATTTGACATTATCCCTAACTAAATTAAGATATTCTTCATTTTTAAAAGCTTCAAAATTATCTAAAATTTTACCACTTGGTAAATCATTTACATTTATATTCTTTGTTGGATCTATTTTTATAATATGTTTTATTTCTTCATTATGAAAATTAGAATTTGATTGAGATAAATAGTATGATATTAAAATTTCTTGATTTTTAGTTAATAAATTATAAATTTCTTCATCTGTTATATTATTTAATAATTCTTGAAATTTTTGTTTATTGATTTTATTTTCGTGTTTACCTTTTTCCAAGTAATTATTTGCATCTAATATTGGTAATAATAAATCTTTGTGGATCCAAGATTGTAAGTTTTTAACAAACCACCAATCATTATATTCTATTTTAGTTAATGCTCCATCTGGATACTCATATTTCAATCTTTTGATTATTAAATTAGGTAAATAACATGGAACTCCATTTAACATTGATAATTTTAGTGGTGATAAATGATTTAAATGATAATAATGAACTCTTCTATCATTGAATGTTGGGTTGTCCTTTGTCAACAATGGACCTTCATCAATATCATCATTTACATTTTGATAACTTGATATAGGAGGTTTTGCAGCACTTGTACTGATACCAGTAATATCAATATAAATACCAGTATCAATATCAATAAATCTTGCATCAATATGATTACCTCTTTTTGAAATATTTCTATTATGTACAAATGTACCCACTTCAATAAGGTATTTCCCAGTACCTTCATTTAAATCTTCAACCACAAGAGTTTGATTATAAAATTCACCTAATTTCATTAAATGTTGGATAGGCATTTGTACATCTAAATCATTATCAAATGGGAAAATACCACCGTTCCAATACCAAGATAAAAGAGGACCATGAGCTATCCAACTTGTTAATTCATGCTTCTGACTAAATCTAAACCAATTTCTTAATAATCTTTCTAAAATGATAGAACTTCTTTTTGGATCAGTTAATTTACCATTGAAAAATCTCCAATCATAATGCCAACCACCATCATGATTTTCTTCATTCAATCTCAATGTTGATTCTTTAAAATATGGAGTTTCTGGGTTAGTTGCAGGTTTTACTCTTAAAGTTAATCTTATTGATTCTAAATATGATTTTTGTAATATTGTTAAATTTTCAACTGGTATGGCATTTAACTCATTTAATTTTTTAGATAATATTTGTCTATTGTATATGAATGATTCTTGAGGTATATTTACAGTTGGTAATGGACTATATTTGAAGCTTTCATCTACTATTATATTCTTATTAAATTGTTGTAGTATATCAAATTTCGAATATTTAAAATTTGGCAAATAATCTTTTATTTTACCCTTATGAACATCTAGAACTAAATCATTACCTTTATCATTTAAAAATATAACTTTATAAGGTAATGGTTGATTAGTCAAAAGATAACTTTTACCTTGTAAATTTCTAATATATTCACTTGTAGTAAAAGAAGTATGCTTTAACTGTATAAATCCAGGTAATTGATTTTTAGTATAACCAAATTCATCAAGTTGTTCATTATTTAGTTCTTCAGTATTTATACACCCAAAAAATAAATGATTTCTTTCAGCTTCTGCTTTATTTCTATTCTTTCTTAAATTCATATGTGGGATTAAATCTTGACATTTAATTCTTTTTTCCATTGGTTTAGCTAATTGATTATTTAAATATGATAAATCAACCCAATCTGACCAGTCAAATGGGATACTATTTGGCAATTCATTATTTTCATTATTATATATATGATCCAAAACTACCGAAAAAGTTAATCTATCATCTTGATACATTAAATCTGAATTTAATAAATTTTCAATATCTGTAAATGATTTATCTAAAACGGTTGTATGTTTAGGTGATTGTATGTTAGTCAATAAATACTCGAGTTCTTGAGTATAGTTTATATTAGAAGTTGATAATTGTGGTAATGTAGTTCGATCATCTATCGTAATATGTCTAAATAATTCAGTAGAAGGAACTTTTTTAAATACTGAATAATAAGTTAAAAGATATACTGTATTGATTATGAAAAATAGAAGTAATGGTTTTTTATAAAATCTCTTTTTCAGTAGTATTTTTGATGATAATGATTGTTGTGATCTATAATTTGATGACATGTTGAGAGAGGGTATGATAATGCAAAAATTTCTATAAGTGAGTGGTATAATTTAAGTAGATAAATGAATCGATATCAATGACTAATATACTAGTTTTTCCATAAATTGATTATCATATAACAATAATTGGAATGAAATAATATACAAATGTTGGTTTGAATGATCTGAAAATTTTTGAATATAATAATTGATTAGAACATAATAATAAACAATTTAAAAAGTAACAAAAAAACAAACAAAATATTAGAATTTTATTATTTTGCCCGATGAACTATGGATATATATTCGTGTTTTTATTAGTGTAATTTGATTATATAATAAATAATTATAATTTGAGTTAATGGTAAATATTTTTGAATAATTATAAAATCAAAATTTATTTTAGGTTAATGATCTCGCGAGTTATAATTTATTTATATGTAGATTAAGATTTCATTTACTTAGCGAGATCTAATTGAAAGGGTAAAATCAAGTTTAAATAAACTTACTAATTAATCAAATAAATAGGAATCAACATTCAACTGTGGCCCTCTGATCATATAATCCCTAATATACAAGAGTTGATTAAGCCTTGTAATACCTTCTTATAGATCTGTGGTAAAAGAATTTGTCATTAGATCTAGAAAAAATAAACTTTAAAATTAAAACTTTGCCTCAAACTTAAACTAAAAAAATTAAAAAATAAAATAAATAATAAATTATTATTTCAACTTAATTACAACCATAATTAATAATTATAAGGAGATGATTGGTAGACAGTTTATATAAATGATTGAACTTAGAATATTTACAATTCCTAGCACTCGAAAATTGAATCTCATACATATATTGACTTTTATAACTTTATCAATTGTTTAATCTTGCATCAGTTCTAAATTAGAATTTGAATCAAATTTGCGCAACGCAACTAATTTTAAAACTTAATATTGATGCATAAATTAATTGAAACCAAATTTAAATAATAAGGTTATGAATTAACAAATGTAACAATGGATACGAGTGAAGATCAAGAAAAGTGGTAAAATTGGTCAATAGCACCACGAATCACATCTAACAATCGAGTAATCATATTATATCTGTTCGATGTAAAGATTCTTAGTCTTTGTAACTAATACATGATTTTATATGAATCTTGAGCTATTACCAGGTTTAAGAAATCGGATCAAAGAGTAGAAAATCCATCTGATAAAGCTTTATCTACTACTGACTAAACATTCTATGCTTATTCATGATAATTTTGGTCACAATAGTTTGGCAAGAAGAATATCTTGTACATTTTATCAAAATACCTGACAGTTAGATGATTATAATCATATTTATATAATCAGACGCGCGTATGATATAGAAATCAATTCCTCAAAATTGGTAGCACTGACATTTTTTTGAAACCGAGCGGTTGAAAAATATGAAACATTGACATTTATCTGAATTGCATTTAGGAATTTGTTTTCCTAAGTCAAGAAGAATTAAAATTTAAAAAGCAAGGAAAATGGCGTCCGGATGGTTTTTGAGTTCCAACTTGAATAACTATTTTACAGAAACGATGGGAGAATAAAACCATTTAATAAACGTTGTTACATTGTAAACTTTATTTCTGCTATAGGTTTAAAACTAAATAAATCTTAAGTCTATAAATTTTTATACCGAGTTAAACGTTAAAAGTTAAAACAGATCTAATTGTGTAAATTGGCCATACGATCGAAACGTATCATATTTTGAAATATTTTCTTCGATCTGGGAAAATAAGAATTTATAACAGTCAAACGTGTCATTTACTTACTTGATATATCATTTTTAATTTATCGGTTTAAAATGGGAGTATGTGATTAGAATGTTTAGCGTATAAGTTTTTTCTACTCTATCATTATTAAATTCGTTAGTACAAATAAAATAATTTTATTTATCCAAGGAAAAAATATTCCCCACATAATTCAAGGTTATCTATATAGTTTATATACAGGATTTTGTGTACGGATGTCGAAATCCTAATTTTTCACACTTTAATTTTAGAATTTAAATTTAATTTAAACAATATTGTATAAATTAACCTTTGAATTTATCATCAACTTTTTTTTTTTTTTTTCAGACAGATCATCAATTATTTCAATTCTAATAGTTTTAATTTAATTTTTTATTGATCAAAAATGTTATCAAGAATTATTAAATCAAGACAAACATTAAATGTTTCAAAATCATTTGTTGTTTTACAACAATTAAGATATAAAACTGTTATATCATTATCATCAACATTAACATCATATCCAACTCAACATACAACTGAATCAGATGAACCATATTTAACTCCATCTTTTTTGAATAATGAATTTATAAAATCAGAATCAGAAGAATGGTTTAATATTCATGATCCTGCAACAAATAATGTAGTTTCAAAAGTTCCTCAATCAACTGAATCAGAATTAGAAGAAGCTATAGAAAGTGCTCATAAAGCATTTCCAAATTGGAGAGATACAAGTATTATTAAAAGACAAGGTATTGCTTTTAAATTTGCTGCTTTATTAAGAGAAAATATGGATAGAATTGCAAATGTTATTGTATTAGAACAAGGTAAAACTTTTGTTGATGCTCAAGGTGATGTTACAAGAGGTTTACAAGTTGCTGAAGCTGCTTGTAATGTTACAAATGATTTAAAGGGGGAATCATTAGAAGTTTCTACTGATATGGAAACTAAAATGATTAGAGAACCTTTAGGAGTTGTTGCTTCTATATGTCCTTTTAATTTCCCAGCAATGGTTCCTTTATGGTCATTACCTTTAATTTTAGTTACTGGTAATACAGCAGTTATAAAACCATCAGAAAGAGTTCCTGGAGCTGCTATGATTATTTGTGAATTAGCTGCAAAAGCAGGTGTACCACCTGGAGTTTTAAATATTGTTCATGGTAAACATGCAACTGTAAATAAATTAATTGAAGATCCAAGAATTAAAGCTTTGACTTTTGTTGGTGGTGATAAAGCTGGAAAATATATTTATGAAAAAGGTTCTGCTTTAGGTAAAAGAGTTCAAGCTAATTTAGGTGCTAAAAATCATTTAGTTGTATTACCTGATGCTCCAAAACAACAATTTATTAATGCATTAAATGGTGCTGCTTTTGGTGCTGCTGGTCAAAGATGTATGGCTATTTCAGTTTTAGTTACTGTTGGTAAAACAAAAGAATGGATTCAAGATATAGTTAAAGATGCAAGTCAATTAATTACAGGATCAGGATTTGATAAATCATCAGATTTAGGACCATTAATTAATCCAGAAAGTTTAACTAAAGCAGAAGAAATTATTGAAAATAGTGTTAAAGCTGGAGCTGAATTATTATTAGATGGTAGAGGTTATAGACCAAAAGATTCAAAATTTGCAAATGGTAATTTCTTAGCACCAACAATTTTATCAAATGTTAAACCAGGTCAAAGAGCTTATGATGAAGAAATTTTTGCACCAGTATTATCAATTGTTAATGTAGATACTATAGATGAAGCTATTCAATTAATTAATGATAATAAATATGGTAATGGTGTATCAATTTTTACATCAAATGGAGGATCAGCACAATATTTTACTAAAAGAATTGATGTTGGACAAGTTGGTGTTAATGTACCAATTCCTGTACCATTACCAATGTTTTCATTTACTGGTTCAAGAGGTTCATTTTTAGGTGATTTAAATTTTTATGGTAAAGCTGGTATAACATTTTTAACAAAACCAAAAACTATTACTGCTGCTTGGAAAATTAATAACATAGATGAAGCAATTTTAAAACCTTCAACCTCAATGCCTGTTCAACAATAATTGAAACAATGATTATATAGAGTTAAGAATTAAAAAAAATAAAAAACAGAATGCATTTTGAAATGTTGTGGAATCATAAATCGTAGAGTATGAAAAATAATAGAATAATTTAGATGAAATCCCTTGATAATTTACTACTCTAATTAACCATCTCAGAAAATCTTGGCTTAAAATCTGTTTATTTAATCAGATTTATACAATAATTTTTTAAGGGACTTAAAAATAAAATGGTACGATTATTTTGAAACATAACTAATTGGAAAAATCGGCATAAGACAAGGACCTAATTTTTTTATAATTGTATAAAAAATAAAGTTTTTTAAAACTGAGGAAAACAAACAAAAAATCTAAAACGTAAAATTAAAAACTAAGGAATAGAATAAATTAAATAGAATCAAAAACATAAATCAAAAGGGTTTATAAACACAATTGAAAAACACGAATATCAATTGCTTGCTTTGTAACTAAAAGTTCTTCCAAATGATTCAATAATACTTTGTGAAAGGTTCCAAAACTTGAAAAAAAAATTACTTAGAAAGGGAAATTCCGGGGTAAAATTATAACTAAGTAAAAAGCATCGACAACAAAAAACATTTTTAGTGTTTTGACTCTCTTTCTATAAAAAGATGATTCAATTAAATTTCTGAATTATGGAGTTTTGTGTTATTGCAAAAAAAGAGTCTGCGCTTAATTTAATTATTGACATTATTATTTAGCGGTTATATATCAAGTATCAAGTATTTTAAATATAGTTTATAAACTTCAAGTATTAAATATTGTAGTTTGTCAAACGATTTGAATAAGGACCAAAAAGTTTATGAGTTCATATCCTTAATATATGTTTGTTACTTTATCCTTGTAATGTAGAATGTTAAATGTGAATATGTGTGAGTATATGTAAATTAAGCGAAACTTAACTTCAAGATGTAAAATTGCTGGAAGGTTGAATTATTTAATGTTACATAATTTTGATTAAAATTAAAATAAATTTTGTCCGATGAATTAATATTTCAGACACTTTTTTAAGAGAAGAATCGAATTGTAAATTTGTAATTTGTAATCTGATTAATTAAATAAGATATTATGAGATAATCAGGAACATCTATTACATCTTAGGTTTTACAGAGTATATGTAATTTACTATAAGAATTTGGTTATTGGGTGAAATAATTTAGTCGATTATGGGTGTAGAATTTCTGAAGCAATTTTAAACAATTCAACCGTTAAAATGTAGGATATACCCATTTAGTGCCGTTTGACCTATTTTTGACATAAATTTTATTAACAGACTGTGATATTAATATCAATAATATATCATCGTACTATAACAATTTAAATTTTGTGTTTTAAATAGATTGTGATAAAATAAAAAATTATCGTTTCGAAACATAAAATCATCGTTTTAAAAATGAAACAGAAATTGGATTTTAAGATTCTTTTACTCGGTTAAAAAAATAAAAATAAAAAATAGATTCTTCTTCTCAGTATAACTTCAATGAGTATCCGTTTTTTTTATAGTTGTCACAAAATTACGGAGGATCTTAATCCATCACATATGCTTTACATTCATTCTTTTCTGTATTAAAAAAGTTTAATCTTTTCAATCTATTCGGATAAAATATGGATAATAGTAGTAAATTACAACGCTTTCTAGTTTCATCTAAGGAACGTACGGTATCCCTTGTATTTACATTTTTTTCGTAATTTCAGATAAATGTTTAGTGTTAAATGGAAATGGTTAGGTACTTTTAAAAAAAAATTGCTTATGAAATCTATCGGTTATATAAAAATGGATAATCTAAATTAAAAATATATTTTTCTGTCTGCAAATTGCTACCAACTTAATTTATTATTTCTCATGGTTAAGGATTTATTATTATTATATATAGTTATTGAATTACAAAGTTATTCTTTGTATATTAATACTAGTGTAAATGATAGATCTTATAATACAACTAGAGCTAGTAAGTTATACTTAGTAACTAGTGGTATAGCTAAAGTTGGGATATTATTAGCTTCCTGCTTTATTTCTAATATTACATGTAATGATATTATAATATTATTACAAGTTGAGATTTAAAAAATTGTCTGTGCATCAAATACGTAAAAAAACGGAACAAGAAGTCGAATTTTTCAGACATTTTTTGAATTCATTATTCCATTAACTTTTAATAAGTAATAGTATTAATATTCAATTCCATCTCAGTTCCTTTATTATTATTATTATAAGTTTTAGTAGTTACTTGACTATATTAATTACTTTGACTACTTATTAAATTAATTTTTGTTTATTTTATTAAATTTATTTTTCTAATTTAAAATTAAATTGATTTTTCTTTATAAATTTTATATTTTTATTTTAACAATTGAAATCATCAACAACTATTTTCATTAATCAATTTATTTTTATAAACTATTCATTTTCAATAAGATATATATATATATTATAATAATAATTTCCAATATTATGTTACATTAATTTTTTTAAAACAAGAGATTTCATAAAAATATTCTACTAAGAAAAAAAAACAAAAAGAATCTTGAAAAAAAAAAACAGAACAACATTTTTATTCTTTTGAAAATTAAAAAAAAGTATGTTTCTATTTTTTTACAACAACAAAAAAAATTGGATCATAATAAATTTTTATCAATTCTTTCAATTAAGGATATAGATTGAACTTTAATTAATTCATTTAAATATAATCTCATTTCAATTTCTACTTTGTTTCCTTGTTCAATTTACATCGGAGTTTTTTTTTTTTTTTCTTTTCGTTCATTTTAATAAATTTTCAACACATTTTTTTGCAGCAACTTTCAAGGATCAATTTCAATTTATTATAAAAATTATAATAACTATATAAAATTAATTATATCTTTTCATTATATAAAAAGTTGTCATCCATCATTAATTAAATTATAGAGTAATAGGAACTTTCACAGATCTAATCCGTTTTCATCCAGTCATACAAGATATAAACTCCATATCTATACGGAACTCAAAAATTGACCAAAACTAAAAAAAATTTTATTATTTCCAATTTTTGTATGATCAATATTGAACAATATACTAATGATATTTAATTTCTAGTTTAAAACAAAGATAAAAAAAACAATTTATTCGTATAATTATTCATAAAAAAATGACTGAAGTAGATTCATCAATACTAAAGTCAAACCAACAAAGACATTTACAATCACCTGTATCAAATCATATACAACAACCACCACAACAACAACCTCAGACAATTTTACAATCAATTCAACCATCTCCAGTTATAGTTAAAACTTCAAAAGAATGGGTATTGCCACCAAGACCAAAACCAGGTAGAAAATTAAAAGATTGTAAAGAAAATAAACAACAAAGGAAGAAGAATTGCAAAAAACAAGATTTACAACCACAACAATCATCTACATTACAACAAGAACAAACGACGTCGAAATCAACAACTCCACAATCAATCACATCCCCAATATCAAAATGTATATCGAAAGAATTGAAAAAAGATTTAAATTCAGATTTATCAACTGTATCATCATTATTACAAAATTTATCAATTATTGATTCAGAAAATAATTATTTAAAATCAAATTTATTATGTCTTATTCATGAATATAAACATTTGAAAAACTTGGTCTTAAATCCATCAACATCTACCTCAAATTCTACAAATAATCAAACCATTTCTTCATCAACTTCAACAACATGTCAAGATTCAACAAATCAATTAACTCAATTAATGAATGCTACTTCTATAAATAATTCAGATTTAAAAGTTCACAAAAGATGTTTTAATGAAGTTATAGAAGAAGAAGCAGTTACATTAGAAGAAGAACAATTGATTCAAGATCAAGATTTTGCAACAATAACAACAACATCTTCACCATCAAGCTATGATTCTTCAAATATAAGTACAACTGTATCAACTCCTTCAACAAATATACTATCAGAATTTGAAAAATTCATCAATATTGAAGAATCAATAGAACCACTTAAGAAATGTAAAACAAATGATTCCATTAAACCAGTAATAACAACCACCACCAAAAGTTTAAGAAGTAAAAAATTTGCTCATTATAAAGATTTTCATAAATTAGATACAGAAGAAGATTCAGATTTAGATATAAATTTTGAAGATGATGAAGAATATGAAGAAGAAGAAGAAGATCATGATCATGATCAAGTATATTCACCAACTTCACAATCATCAATTTCTTCTAATCAAAATGATTTATCTACAACTACAACAAATGAAGAATTATCAAGAACAACCTCACCATATAATTCTGATTTTGAAACAAATAGTTTAATGAGTTCATTAACAAGATCAACAACAGTATCTTCAATAAATACAGTTATACATGAAAAACCACCATTATGTAATGTTCATTCACAACCTTTTACTTTGAAAAAAATGGGTCAATTTTTTGAATTACCTAAAACTAACCCAAAAAAGGAATATAAATTTAAATTTGATCAATTTGTAATTGATGAACAAAAAAGAAATGATGATGAATATAATATGATTACTGATATTTTAGAAGAAAAATTAATGAATAATGAAATTAATTATTATGTTTATGGAAATCAACAATTTAATGGAGAGAATGAAATGAATGTAGATTGGTGAGATTAAAAAATAGTTGAATTTATTTGTTTATTTGAGTTTGTTATTTAATTTATTTATGATAGAAAGTAGGAGTTAAAAGAGTTATGAGATATATGAAGTTCATGTAAAAGAGGATAAAGTGGGATATTTTAAGTTTTTATTTTTATTTTTTTATTTTGTTTTTGTTTTGTTAAGCTGGTTTTGATTATACATTATTTATACAATGGTTTGTTTATTTTTTTTTTAAAAAAAAAAGAATGAAAAGTTTTGATTTTATAGTTTAATTTTATTATTTATTCAATTTATTTAATTAACTTTTTGTAAATTAATATCTTGTTAATTGATCCGTGGTTATCAAGTATGTGTTGAGTGCATAAACTTTGGACCCAGAGAAAATCTCTCATGATTAGCAATTACAAGTATATTAATTTCTAATTCATTAAAAATGTCTGATTTAATTAACTAAGTAGTAACAATTGATCTGATCTGATTGCAAAACAATCAAAGATTAAAAAATTAAAGATCACGTACTCTTAAATTATATTGTTTTAAAAATAAGGTTGCTTTACATTTACACATTACAATACATTTTAACTGAAGTTAAAATTTAAAATTTATATCTAATCTATGCTTCATGTGTTAAATTTTGAATGCACGTTGCGTTGTAGTAGATCAATTGTAGTAGATCAATTTTTAGATCAAATTAAATCAAATTAACTCAAACTACTCAGAATTAAGATTAATGAATTTATATATTCCTTAATTTGTTTACTACGTTTGCTCTCATTTTAAAGTTTCACAGAATATTTTGTTAAACATTTAAAGATTTAATGCTAATTCGAAGAGTTAGTTGATATATGATTAAAAAACAGTTAGCAATGTTTAATAAATAAGCTTTATCGTAACTTTAAAAAATCTCGTAAATTTAGATAAGAATATTCAAGATACTTTAAAAAATTTGAATAAATAAATATTAATTTTTGATCTAAATAAATCCTTAAATATAACTATTTATACTTTCTATTTAGTTAATTCAGATTTAACCCAACCTTCTAATCCACCTTTAACAATAATATCTTGTAAATTAGTCCCCAATTCACCAACTTTTTGTTTAAGTATTTCTTTTCCATTTTCATCAACAACAATAACTAAAGCTTTAGTTACATCCCATTTTAAAATCCAACCAGTACGTATAGTTAATTCGTTATTATTTGCAAATTTAATTCTAAGTTTTTCAATAAGTTCAGGAATTTCTAAAGTCAACAAGGCATTATTTATAGAATTACGACTAAAAATATTACCAAATGATCCTGCAACTATTAATTTCATTCCACGAGCTAATATACAAGTAGCTGCTTGTTCTCTTGATGATCCAGTACCAAAATTATATCCACTTATTATTATATCATTTGGTTTTGAAATATTTTTGAAATTTGGATCATAATTTTCCATACATACTTCTGACATTTGTTGTTTTGTTATATCATCTTGATAAGTATATTTACCTGGATAAATTCCATCTGTATTTATATTATCTGCATCACATAATAATAATTCTCCAGTGATTTCTGTGGGGAAACCAGGTAAAATTTCAACTGATCCTGAATCTTCATTACTTGAAAGTTCTTGTTTCGGAATTTCAATATTTTTAACAATTTCTTCAGCTGATTTTGGAATTTTACCTTCAATTTCTTCAGGTGATCCAATTTTCCCCAAAATAGCAGAAGCAGCAACAACTTCAGGTGATGCTAAATAAGCTAAAGCATCTTTTGATCCCATTCTACCTTTAAAATTTCTATTAGTTGCGCTAATACCAACTTCTCCATCTTTTAATAATCCTGAACCTAATCCAATACATGGTCCACAACCAGCAGGTAATGGTTTTGCTCCTGAATCCAATATTGTTTGCCAAGCACCATCTATTTCTGCATCTTTTTGAACTAATGATGATGCTGCTGCTACATAAAATTCAACATTTGGATGGATTTTATGACCCTTGAGGATATTAGCAGCTGCTTTAATATCTGACAATCTTGAGTTTGTACAACTTACTAAATATGCTTTATTAATTGGAATATTTTCATTAGATAATTTACTAAGTGGGTTTGAAATTTTGACTGAATTTGGACCAGATACGTATGGTGATAAAGTAGATAAATCTATAGTTAAATGTTTAGCATATATTGCATCTGAATCTCCAATTTCTTTGTTTTTTGTTAAAGATTCTATTGTTTTTGTATTAATTCTTGGATGTGAAGAACCAACTTTATTTAATCTATTTTGATAAAATTCAATTAATTTATCATCAATTGGAAATAATCCACTTAATGCCCCCCATTCAGTAGTCATATTAGCAATAGTTAATCTATAATCAATACTTAATTTTGAAACTCCAGAACCAACAAATTCAATAGCATGATTTAATACTTCATCTTTATTGAAAATACCACATAATGTAACTATAATATCTTTACCTGTAACTCCTCTTGGTAAATCTCCAACAAGTTCAACTTTAGCAACGGGTGGAATTTGCCACCAAGTTTGACCAGTAGCCCATATTGATGCAGCATCAGTTCTAACAATTGGTGTACCTAAAGAACCAATACCTCCATAAGTATTTGAATGAGAATCCGAAGCAACAGTTAAATTTAAAGGAAATGCATAACCTTCTTCAATCATAATTTGATGACCTATCCCTCTACCAGCTGGATAAAAATCAATACCTTGTTCATTAGCAAAATTTTCAATATTTGAATATTTAGTTAAATTTTTTTCACTTTTATTTTGAACATCATGATCTAAAGTACATACAATTTGTCTATTATCTTTTACCTTTGTAGCTCCTAAACCCATAAATTTTGTAGCTACTGGCCATGAATTATCATGAGACATACAATGAGCTGGTTTTATTGTTACATAATCTCCACTATATACTTTTTTACCATTTGGTAAATCTTGTGCATATTTTTGTACAATTTTTTCAGTTAAATTTTGTCCTCTGCTTCGTACAGATGTAGTTGAGAATAGTCTTTTTAATTGATTATTAATTCTCATTTTACAATATGAAATAGGATTTTATCCCTTTTGTTGGTGGATTTGAATTTGGTTTTTGTACTGGTTGTAAATAATGAAAAAATTAACATAAAAAACATGTAAAAACGATAAGAATATAAATTTTTCAAATATATTACACAAAAGACTAACTGAAAAAAAAAAAAAGTTTTAAGCGCCCTTTATGAGTAATAATCATGTTTTAATTGGTACCTTTTTTATTTATAATAAAAATATTGGAGTAAATCATCAAATAAAAAAGATAAATTTGATACAAAATAGCCAAAATAAAAGTGAATTATGCTAGAGGGAATCAAAAGGGACTTTGATTTGGGTTTAATGTACAATTTTTTGCGGAAAAATATACATATGTACTAACTTCGAAGTACGACTTGCTAAAGAATTAGTTTGTAATCAATAAGTAAAACCCAATGTTTTACTTCTTTTTTTTCGACTAGGCTTCTTTACTACAACAGAAGTTGTTTAAATTGCATGTTTCATATTTGAAATTAACTCTTACTTTTAATTTCACAATTTGAAACACAAAAAATAAATTTAGTAAACAACAATTCTGATTTTAAAATTTATTAGTTGATTCAAATAATTACGTTTTCGATTCTCATAAATGGAAACTCTACAACCATTATACAACCAAATTCAACCAACGAAAATAATAAATGTTCAATGAATTATTGATATTACTAGTAGCATCTTCATATGTTTTTGCAATATATTATAGACAACCAATAGATTTATTAAATAAAGATAGAAATAATATTGATGTTATACATTTCAGATTTCAAAGAGTTACCAAGTTATGTTTTGCACTTTTAATTTTCATTCCATTGATTTATAAAGATAGCATACTAGAAGATATTAAAAAATTTGGTTTTATACCTGGCTATACTAAAAATGATGACTTATTACTAGATTTAAATTACATTGGATTCAGTTTAAAATTCATATTAATACTTTTTTCATCATCAATTTTCCAAATATTAATTAAAGATCAATATTTAGATATAAAATCACCATTTATTTATCCATTCAGAGATTATATATTTGCACCAATAACGGAAGAATTAATATATCGAGGTATAATTTTGCTAATAACTAATGAAAATTGTCCAGAATTTTTAAAATACACTCCTTATTTATTTGGGATAGCTCATTTCCATCATGCATTACATATATACAACAGACACACACACACATTACAACAAATTTTAATACTGACAATTTTTCAATTTGGTTATACTTCGATTTTCGGTTATTTAGCAAATTGGATTTATTTAAAAACTAATAACTTAATGTGTTGTATTATAATTCATTCTATTTGTAATTTATTCGGATTTCCTACATTAAGTTTAAATAATAGAGGTTTTTTGCTAAATTTGATCTATTATAGCTTAATAGTATATGGATTGTATCATAGTTATATAGTTTTTAATATACAATAGTTCAGTAAAGCTTTAGATCAATAAGTATTTCTAAATTTGGCTATATTTCTGCGGCTCATTTTGAACGCGGTTTTATTAATATTTTTTTTATTTTTTTATTTTTTTATTTTTATTTTTATTTTGTTGATTCGTTTAAATTAAATTTAAAGATTAATTTGACAACCAAATTTTATTTATTTCAATATTCAACATTCATCTCATTCATCTCATTCATTCTTTTAATCTAATTATTATTATTATCATTATAGCATATTTTAATGTATACATTCACTTAATTCTATCACAATTATGAACCCTAATAAATATGATGAAGCGGTTCAAAATTTAAACCATGAAAAATATTTATTAAATCAATTAAAAAGAAGATCAATAAATATATTTGAAAATAATACAGAAATTGAATATTTTATACCATCTCCAACTACTAATACCAACAACAATAATACTTTACAAATACCTCAAGATAATGAGATTTTTTATGATTGTAGTGAAGAAGATATAAATTTAAATCAAGTTGAATCATTTTTAGAAAGAAAATTATCAAAAAAATCTAGAAAATCTTGTTTATCAATTACAGATTCTGATTTCAATGAAAATAGGAATAATGAGGACAATCATAAAGAATTAAAGGATATTAATGATTTAAATATTTCATCACCTACAATATCACCCGAGAAAGACTCAATTAAATCATTATCATCAAATTCTTCAAATTCACCACTGAAGAATTCATCAAATAGAAACTCTTGGTATAATAATAATCACAATAAGAGATTATCAACTCCATCAATAAAAGAATTATCAATTGAATTAAAAAGAATCTCCAAGAATGAAACTGATCCTACTTTTTTATCAACTACTGGATATACAGATATTGAACAACAAGCGTATAAAGAATTAAATAATAATACTTTACATCATCATCCTGATCAACAACAACCTTTTCCACCTACACCAGAGAACAACAAAAGTAACATTGAACCACAAGATTCTCCATATGCAAATGAATTTCAATTACGTCGTAGTAAAAATACTTTTAAATCTAGAAAAGCATCAACATCATCGTCAGCGTCAAATTCTCATGAAGATCAAACATCATCACATAATGCACCCAATGGTAGGAATTTGAATCCAATAGTACCTAAAAAACTTGATAGGACAATACCAAATATACCAATGGCTAAATCAAAGTCTGGAGATTTGGAAATGGATCATTTTCGTTACAACCAAAATTATAATAGAATGAATGATCAACATCGATACCAACAACAACAGGCATCAAAGCAAAAGCAACTACCACAGCATCCTATTCAATCAAATCATCATTACCCACAACAACAAATGCATCAACATAGACAATTACCTCCAAAACAACAACCACAAGTTTTACAAAATAGATCAACTACAAATCAACAATCATACCCACAACTTTATACCCAACAACAAAAACAAAAACCATCACTGCATAGAAATCCATCACCGCATTCACAACATCATTTATACCCACGTCAATCTCATCAAAGACAACAACCATCAAATGATCGGATACAACAACAGAATCCATTACCTTCAAAACCTAGTCAAAAAAGATTACCATCTGCATCAAATACAAATATTAATGACTTTATGATACAAACACCTACAACAAATTCAAGAACAAAACATCGTCACAGGGTTCAAAGAAATGATTTAGATCAATCGAACATGTATTTTCAGCATCAACAAAATCAACAGCAACGACAAAAACAGCATAGATCTCCTAAAAATCAGGCACCATATAATTTCAATAATTCAATTCCACCTAGATCACAGCAATTGCATCAAAATTTAGATTTATTAAGATCAGAAATCAATGAATTCAAAGAGAGCTTGAATAAATCAACTGATGATAAGAATGATAAATTTATGGAGAATGATTACCAAAACTTCAAATCTCAACCTTTAAATAATCAACAAAAATCAAAAGAACCACTGCCACCTAAAAATCTTTCAAATTCTGATATTAGTTTCGATGTAAGTTATCAAGATTTATCAACTGATGATCCTTTGGGAATGGATAAATCAGTGTCACCACCATCTACAGAAAATGTCACCGAAAGCCCTACGTTAAAAGTCGACGAGCAAAAGGATACATTTGAAGATAAATCCATTAAACAATCAACACCTGATTCTTCACCTAAAAAAGAATTTAGAATAAATGTCCCACTTAATCAATCATTATCACCTGAAAAAAAAATCACTACCTTACCATCATCTACTGAAAATATAGAAAAGGAATTTGTCTCACATTCAACTCCTCAAGTTTCTCCTGCCAAATCTAAAAAACTTTCATCACCACCACCAGAAATAGCATCACCGAAAAGAGAAGAAGCTTGTGAGAGTACACCATTAAAACAATCAACACCAGAGGCTGAGGCTGTTCCAATTGATGAAGTGGATGATATTTTTGCTAATATTCCTACCGTTGATAATGACTTTTTAGATTATCATGATGAAGAAGATGAGGAAGATAATCAAGAAATTGCATACCATCCAGAGAATGTTAAAATTCTTAGTGAAAATGACATTGAAATATCACCAAAATTCCAAGCATCACCTAAATTTGACGATTTTGAGTTAATAGAAGATGATCAATTTGAAAAATCAAACTTATCCAAAAAATTATCATTTCACCAACAACACAAAGAACCAACTAATCCCTCTATAAAGACAACTTCAAAACCAACTAAAGTTAATACCAAATTATTCAACAAAGGAAGTGTCCAAATTATTGATTCAAATAACTATGAAGAAAAAATGGGACTCAAGAAGAAGAAAAACAATAATATTGAACCAACTACCACCGATTCATCAAAAAATTTAAAAAAGAAGAAAAGTTTTGGAATATTATCATCTTCATCACCATCAATTGCAGATAATATTGATGAAAAGAAAAACCTAAAAAAGAAAAAAAGCTGGAATTGGTTAAGAGAAAGATCATCAAGTTTATCATCGATGGACTCAAACTCAAGCCTTAATAATCATGTTCAACCAGTAAACAATCAATCCAAACCAGTAAGATCAGTTTCAAACCCCGAGAGTAACACACATAATGAAGAATCGTCTATATCCTCCGATAAAGAAAATGCTTTCTCAAGATTATTTAAAAAAAAATCCAAGATTAATCTTAATCATGTTAATAAGTTTAACGATTCAATAAATTCAAATTTGAGTAATAATGGTGTTGTATTAGTTAATGAAAAAGTTCCTTCAATTAAAAAGAAATCAAGTGGATTGTTTAAAAAGAGAACTAAAATCAAATTAGATGAAGCACTTATCAATAATAATGATCAACAACAACAACAGCAACAGGATCAACTGGCAAGATTAGATGACGACAAAGAAAATAGAGAAGCACGAAAATCAATCGAAACTTCATTAAATGGTCATGCATCATCAAAATTAAATAATCAAATTGAATTAACAGATTTGGAGGCATATAATGAAGATATAGATCAACCACCAACAGATATTACCAATTTGGAAGATGATCCAATTACAGCACCAGTTGAGAAAGATGAAAATGTATCAAATGATTTACTGGAACAAGGTGAAGATCAAATAGCATTTAATGATATGATGAAAAGAAATCTGTTACTGAAACATCAAAATAGAATTTTTTTGACTACTCGTAAATCCCAACAAGAAGATCAACAAGAAGAACAACAAGCTGAAGAACATATAATCACACCAAAAGAAGAAGAATTAAATAACTTAGAATCATCTCAAGAATTCGAAACAATAATCACATCAGAAGAAGAAGAAGAAGAGGAAGAAGAACTTAATCCACTTGAAATATCATCAGACTTAGACCAAAACAAAGAAACCACAGCAGAACTAGATTCAAAAAATAAATTAGACATTCAAAATCAACTTAAAAAACAAATCAAACGGACATCAAAAGCAAATCAACCAATACAATTTACTGATTCAGCTTTTGGATTTCCTTTACCACCACCTTCTCAATCAACTATAATTATGTTAGATTATAGATTCCCAGTTCATGTTGAAAGAGCCATATATAGATTGTCACACTTAAAGTTAGCTAACCCCAAAAGATCTTTAAGAGAACAAGTCTTATTAAGTAATTTCATGTATTCTTATTTGAATTTGGTTGATCATACTTTACAATTAGAGCTGGAATAGATGATGACAGATGATAAAAATTGGCAGTATATAAGTTAACAAAGACTTTTAACTCACTAAATAACAATGACTCTCCACTCTTACTATCATACACTCCCCATCAGAATGAACGCACTTATGAAATGTAATCGATTTTTTAACTCGATAGGATCTGAACATCAAGATTCATTATAACGAACAAGATCGAATATTCAATCAATTGGTGAACAAGCTGTTGATGTCAGTTACAATTGTAGGTCTGCTCACGACCTGTCAAATTGAAATCACCCCAGCTGATCTCCTATAGTAAATGTTAACCAATTAATTATACCTTGTTTCAATTCCGTTGTCCTACGCGTTTATTGATTACGGAAATTTGACATATTTATGAAATTGGCTATAATTCTCCTATTACGTAATCAATGTACTAATTGCTTATGTAATAGACATAAATATATAAATTTCTTTTTTCTATTTTTTTAATTAAAATATAAAAATAAAAATAAAAATAAAAATGAAAATTCAAAATCATCATATGTTTTTTTAATTTTACAACCAAATTATATATTAACCAATAAGTAGTCAACAAATTATAAACAGAATTATCGTCAACCATTACATTGAGATATAGTATATAAAGAAAAAATAGTAGTCTGATCACAAATATTCAAAAATTTATAAGTGCATCAGATTGAATCAAATTAATTCAAGTCAATTATCCTTGCCATTAAAAATCTAGAAATCAACATTCAATTTAATAATGAGTAGTAGATCTTTACCATTAATATCCTCAAAGGAAGTACAAATACACAATACTGAAAAAGATTGTTGGGTAACTTTATATCAAAGAAAAATTTATAATATTACAGGATTTTTAAATGAACATCCAGGTGGTGGTGATATAATATTACCTTATGCAGGTAAAGATGTAACGGAAATAATGGCAGATGTTATAAGTCATGAACATTCAGAAAGTGCTTACGAAATGTTAGATGATTCAATGTTAATTGGTTATATGGCTACTGCAATTGAAGAAGAAGAATTAATAAATAATAAAAACAGAACTCCAGTTGAAATGAAATTAAATTATACAAAAGTAACACCAAATGGTGAAGAATATGATATGTATGAATTCCATGATAATTTACCAACATTGGAGAAATTATCAATTCAAACTGATTTTGAAGAAGATGCTAAAAAGCATAAATTTTTAGATTTAAATAAACCATTATTGATGCAAATATTTAGATCAAATTTTAGTAAAGAATTTTATTTAGATCAAGTTCATAGACCAAGACATTATGGTAAAGGATCAGCACCATTATTTGGTAATTTTTTAGAACCATTATCATTAACTCCATGGTGGGTTGTACCAACATTATGGTTACCTTTAAATATGGCTCTTTTCATATATGGTTTTGTTCATTTACATCCTTTAACAGCAATTAGTTTTTGGGGATTTGGATTGTTTGTATGGACATTTGTTGAATATTGTTTACATAGATTTATTTTCCATTTAGATGGTTATTTACCTGATCATCCTGCATTTTTAACATTACATTTTTTATTACATGGTATACATCATTATTTACCAATGGATGGTTATAGATTAGTATTACCACCTACTTTGTTTGTTGTTTTAGCTTATCCATTTTATAAATTAATTTTCAACTTATTTCCATTTTATATTGCTTGTGTTGGATTTGCTGGTGGTACTTTAGGTTATATAATGTATGATGTTACTCATTATGTATTACATCATACTAAATTACCTAGTTTTTTACAAGAGTTGAAAACTTATCATTTAGAACATCATTACAAAAATTATGAAATGGGGTTTGGGGTTACTTCTAGATTTTGGGATGTTATTTTTAATACTGAAATCGATAGTACTTTTAAAGGACATTCAGAATAATGGATATTATTTAGTTTTAATGGTTTTGTAATTTTTTTGTGGTGATTGGTTAGATATATAGTTTTGAGAAGTGATATATTTAGGTAAATATATTCAAATTTAATTAATAATAATAATACTAATATAATCGTTAAAGAAACGGTAGATTATTTTAACTCATTATTCTATTTAATTGTATATGCATCTATAAGGTTCAGTCTATCTATTTTATACCTTTTCAAACTTGGTTCATTGTCGTCATTATTAGTTTCATTATTTTCATCAATTTCATTTACGTCATTAGACCTACTAGCACTTTCATCTTGACTACTATCATCTTCATGTACCTCTTCATCTTTCTTTAATTTTTTATCTTCTACCACAACGTCACTACTATCTAGAACCACACCACTAAATTCCAAAATATTATGCACTTTTTGCATAATCAAACCAGCTATAAATCTTTCCCTTATTAAATCATCAAGGTAGTTTTCTGATAATTCGTAGTAATTAAGTTGTCCTTTGTATTGAAAGTAAGGAGTTAGCGATCTCAAGTAATTGACAACATCAAATCCACCATTTTTTGTAAATACTCCTGGTGGTGGATCTTTTTCAAATTTATAAATTCCTGAATTTACATTATTGATGAATAAATCCTCACATTTTTTCACAAGGTTGGTGTATGATTGTTTATTGATTTTACGGTGTTTTGATAAGTCATTTACTAATGAAGCTAATAAAATATTTCTCCAATTTAGTGGATAGTTCTTTTTCTTGTAGATTTTAAAAGTAGTTTGTAAAATTGAATCAAATCTGGTTGTTATTATGTTAGTGAAATTTAAAAAAGTCTTGTTGGTGGTTTCGAAATCAGTTGTTAATTCTAGATCTTTATTGATTTTACCATCTTGTTGTAGTTTATATATTTTATCCTTGATTTTTTGATGTAGTATTGAATTTATTGAATTTTGAAGTGCTTGTTTACCTGATGGAATTTTTTCAACATATTCTATATCTATTATTTTGTTTTTTGGATCTAGGAAGTATGCATCTTCTTCACTTACTAGTGATGGTTTATTATTTTCATCATCGCTGTCGTTTCCTGATTGTTCTTCTTCACTTATTTCCCTATATTCATTCTCCAATGCTTCAGCTTGTTTTTGATCTTTATTTTCCAATTCTACATCTGACCTCTCCTCTTCATTGTTATCTTTCTCTAAATTTTCTTCTTGCCTATTGTTCGTTTTTCTATCATTTTTAATACGCGTAGGTCTTAATTTCTCCATATAAGCTTCAAATTCACGTTCATAAATTGAAAAATCCTCATTTATATCATTTTCAATAGTGTTATCTTCATTAATTAGATTGTCTTCGTAGTTTTGACTAGGGACGGGGACATTGTTGAATTTTTTAGGCCATGAACTCCACATTTGTCGTGGGAAATTAGGGTTGATTCTTCTTCCTAAATAGGTTGAATATAAATGTAATGATAAGTTTTGTAAATAATCTTGTTCTAGATTTTTTAAAATTCTTTGACCATCTTTTATGTCTGATGAAATTGTTTTCTTGGGCATTGTTATATTTTGGTAAAGTTCATTATCTGGTTGAGATTGATAGATTTTGGTGATGGCATTCTACTTTTGTAAAATTAATTCAAAACTTCAATTTTGTGTCAATTTTGGTGTTTCGAGATGTTGCAAAAATTACAAAATATTTGCTTCAATATACGAAACAATCAAAGAGCATATGGGATTTCCAAATAAATAATATTATGCATTAAAAATATATCTAGTCTATAAAATTGTTTATCACGTAAATTAAATTAAATCCAAAAAGAAAACTTGTTAATCACTACCACTCACAATCCCATCATTTGTAAATTCAGCAGATTCATCATTATTTTCAAATTTCTTCTCATCATCAGCAGCTTCTTCCATTAATTTATTTTTTCTACGTTTCTTCTCATCTTCAGCTACTGTGAAATTCTTTAGTATGAATTGATCAGCTACATCACCATCTAGTTTTGCTAATTCTTGTTTGGGTATTATTAAGGGCCATACCCATTTTGCACATAATGCTAAGAATAGCAAGACACCTGGAAACCCAACTGCTCCTTTAGTCAATGTTATTACGAACTCTGCTACTCCACCCACAACTTCAAGTACTGTGTATATATAAAACCATTTTTTGTTTTCTAATTTATGGATATCTTTCCAAACTTGTGGACATTGTGGATCATTCTCAATATATTCTTTATCTAAAAACCAATACCTTATTCTATTTGTGACTATATTTCCATGCAATCCTGATAAAGCCATTATGAAAAATAATCCAGATAATACTGCTTGTGGTACTAAACCTAACACTACCAAAAATGGTCTTGACATCATTACAAATGTCATTGCTCCTTGTAAAGTATTTGTTAGTCTTTGTTCAACCACCGATAGCCTTTTACCATACTTATCATAAACTACCAAGGAATCAGTGTGTAATGGTGCTTGAGGAATTAACCCATTTGGTGGTGGAATTCCCATTATACCAGCAAATCCAGTAGTTAAACCTAATAATAAAAAATCCCAATGAAAAGAAGCTGGTTTTTTGAGTGGATATTCTTTAGATTGACACATTAATGAACTTACATTATGATCAAAATAAAATAAAAAAGTTAATAATATGGCAAATGGTATAGCTAAAAATACATCTCCAACATCAATATTTTCACCTGGCCAAAAATGTATAAACCAACCATGTGGTCTTTCTAAACCTGATTTTGTTGGTTGAAATGATTGAGTAATGGGTAATTTTGCTAATTCTGTCTTATTTAATTTCCCACCAAAATGTATAAATCCAGTAAAGAATATAACAGATGCAACAACTCCATAATCAACAAAAACTTTCCTAGTCCATGGTTTGAAATAATGTAAATAACTTCCAAATATATTTGATCCCACACCACAAATCACCATAAGTAACGCAATCATTACTGAACAATAACCCGAAGCTAAATCAACTTTATCAAATTGATTAGTCAATATTTGTATCCCCTTTTGAATATATACCATATTTATAAAAAATCCAAAAATATCACAACTATATAAACTTATAATTTTTAACCAACTTATATAATTCCCTACTGCAATAATTATATGAAAAACCATTGACCACAAATAAATCCAACACATAAATGGAAAATAAGGAGTTCCTCTAGGTTTGATAATATCATAAACAGTATAACTGAAAATTGAAATAGGCCCAGTTACACCAACAATACATAAAGGTTGACCACTAAATAATCCAAAAACAACACCTGCCAAGGCACTTGATAATAAAACTTCATTAACTCCATACATATCATTAGTCTTATCGAACATATCTTGAGCAAAAGCTATAGCTGGTAATAAATTTGCAAAAAATATGAATGTAGTACTTGGTATAACTCTATAATTCCATGCATCTGTTATATCTGATTTGTAGTAGGGTAGTCTTGTCTTTATATCATGATATATTCCATATCCGAAATAATTAAAATGTCGAAATGATAACCCCATTAATTATAATGTGTAAGTATTTGGTTGTAAATTTGACCTAATATGACACGGCTATCGATGTGACAAGACTCTGCTTGTGTATATATAAGTTTGGTTGATTTTTGAAGAATCTATGAATTAATATTAATTGTTTGAATGAAAAATACGGTTGATGATCTAATCTCTTCAATAAATCTGTAATTTAAATTTTGGATTTTGTTGATAATTTTTAGATTTGTCAAAATAATTATTCATGAATAACTAGCCCTGCCTTTGACTTTATTAAAGATCTTATTTATATTAAAATTGGTTATGAATTTTAAGATACTCAGATATCTTTTAAATAAATATTTTGTGATATTATTTATTATTATTTTATTTCTAAATTAATTACGTAATTGACATTAAAGAATATTATGTAAGCACCACTCATAGAAATTATTTACTAAGAAAATATTTAGTTAATTAGTAGCAATTAAGAATTAACAATAAATGCATTCAATTAATTATTGGTCTCACACAACGTGGTCTCAAATTCACGAAGTAATGATATAACAATAAAAGATTGATTAAAAGTCTGGAGAACTAATTAAATATTCATTACGTAAAGTATTTTGTGTTTATAGCTTTGTATAAGCCTTTTGTTAACCAATGGTATCTGAAAAAGCTTATTTTTCTTGTTTATGCTGACAAGAATTTCGGCAATTCAAAATAATTATGATTCTGAAATTAGTTTTACTTTTACGTTTAAATTTAAAGACTTATTGAATACTTTGTAGGTCAATTGAATATTTTTGTACTTAGATAAAATTCAACAACCTTGATTAGTTTTAGTATAAGATTTAAGGTTAAATTCTTCTACTAATAAGAACTATTGAAAAAAAGATAGATTAAAAACTTGACATATAAGCCCATTAACTGATAGTCAGTGGTTCATGAAACATTGTTGAGATTTATGAATTTAGATCCTTTAAGTTGAATTTAAGGCTTCTAATAAATTGCCACGGGGTTTGATTATTTACTACTACCAAATTATTTGGCTTAGAATTATCAAATCCCGGAAATATCTATATCCACGGTGATTGAAAAAATAAAATTAATAAAGTTAAATTTACTTACAAAAAATAACTCCATAAACAGATAACTCTTAGCTCCTCGAAAATCGAATTTATTATCAGTACATACTCAATTACCTATATCTAAACTATCTAATGCAATTTTTTCATATTTTTCCAAAAATTTAAAACTATTTAATTTGTTAATTTCCAATGCTCTTTTCAACAAGTCATTAGTTATTGGGTCTAAAGGATTTAAGGCTAATGAGTCATTGAAATTCTCAATAGCCTCAAAATAATTACCTAATTTCAAGTTTATGAGTCCCATTGAAGTCAAAATATTTGAATCGTTCTTGGAGTTGGATGTGATTGATGTAGATGTAGTAGACGTTGATGACGATTTAAGTAAGATTTGATTTAAACAGTCAAGTGCTTTATACGGTTGATTTGATTTTCTATATACATGACCTAAATTTGTATTAATTGATATCCATGTTTTTGAATTTAAGTTTTTAAATTTTTGAGATTTTATTAATGCTTGATGTAAGAAAAACTCTGATTTTTCAAATTGATTTTTATGAAAATATAATACTCCAATTTCATTAAGTAATAATGGATCTTCACTACATATTTCATAAGATAACATAAGGTATTCTTCGGATAAATTAAGATTATTCATTTGTAAATGTTGCATACCCAAGAATAAATTTGGGAGGTGAGTTCCAGGAAATAATCTCGATGCAAATGCATAAGCAGATATTGCTTGTTCATGTTCACCTTCAGCTGCAAAAGTATGAGCAAATCCAATCCAAGCTTGTCCAAAATTTGGATTTATTATTGTGGCTTTATTGAAAAATTTCCTAGCTTCTAATATTTTGTTTATAGATAAATAATAAGTACCTATAGCTAACCAAGTGTATTCCAGATTAGAGTGGAATTCAACCAATTGATGCAGTTTGTAAAACAATTTATTTCTACCCCCTAATTCATAAAGGCAACTTAAGTAAGTTGGTAATATATTGAAATTAAATTTATCCTTTTCCAAGATTTTTTCACACACCAGTAAGCAGTTGTCAAATTCGCATTGGATATATAGGTAGTCCAGTTTACTTATCATTAAATCTATATTATTTGATAAATCATATTCATCTCTTAATATCATTTCTGCTTCATTGAACTTGTCAATATTCAAATACTTATTCAATTTTGTGGTGTATAATAACTTTATCAATTCATCATTATTATCCATTTCTCTGAAATTTAATTGAGTTGTTATAAATTCCCATTCTTCTTTTGGTGTCATGAAATTATTTACAATTAATTCATTAAAAGCTTCATAACATTTAACATCAACTAATAATGCTTCCTTGTAACACTCTTTTGCTCGTTCAAAATTATTTTGGGATGAATATATTAATCCTCGAAGATAACACATTGATGATTCTAATTTAACTCCTCCATCATCATTTCTAATTTTATCATATGATTCGAATGGGTTGTTTTCTCCAATTATATCCAATGCCTCATCATATAACTCCAATTTGATAAGGCTATACCCAGCAAGATATCTACATATAATACTTTTCGAATATTCTTCATTTGATAGTATTAGCTCTTTACATCTCAAGTAATTTCCCTGGTTGAAAAACACTTGAGCTAACCAAAATGCATCATTTGAGTCATTGGTCAAATCCAATATTTTATCACCTAAAAATTCCGCTGTTTTGAGTTGATGTTGCATTATTGAGTCATGTCTCCATAACCGCAATTTTTCAATGGGGGTTAAATATAAATCATTTTGATTAGGTAGGGAATCATCACTTTTATTTATTAAGTTATTTGATGTTTTGTCGAGATTAAAAAACAGTGATGAGTTGTTTGCATTATTTGAAGTTGATCCTGGTGTTTCAAAAATCTTATTTGGTTGAGTATGATGTAATTTTGATGTTGATATTGTTGGATTTGGTGGTGTTTTGAAAATTTCCTTTTTTCGATTTAGCATTGGTGATATGAATAATGTGGAATTGTGTTGTTGAGGTGTCTTTTGATTCTGTACCATTTTATATTATGTATATGTATACTAATTGCTCGTGCCTATGGATGTTATATCGGTGGCCAATTAATTGATCTACTGAATTGATCTATGATTTGGTTGTAAACAATAATAAAGATAAAAATTACGCACTTCGGAAGGTACAATTATACGTGGTGCGCATTATAAGGCTACCAACTAAAAATATATTTTAATAGATGGAGAAGCTCATCACTATCTTAATTTTCAAAATACGATCTACATACTTATACAAAGTACTCACTAATACAATGTCAAAAAAACAGCCTAGTGCAAATGTCATAAAGTCAGCATTAAAAGGTAGTAATTCAGAAATTGAAGCACCAATAAAAACACCAAATACAACAACTTCATCCATACAATTCAGAATTTTTGTAGGATCATATGAACATAATTTACTATGTCTTTCAGTGATCTTAGATCCTAAAAATGAGAAAGAACCAGTATTCCAACCAATTTTCCATTTCCAAGCACATTCATTATCTATAAAGACCATAGACTTAGCCAAAAGATACTTAGTAACAGGATCAAATGATGAACATATCAGAATATATGATTTACAAAAAAGAAAAGAATTAGGTACTTTATTAAGTCATCAAGGTACAATTACAGCTTTAAAATTTTCAAAAGAAATAAATACAACAACAGAAGAAACTCAAGATAATTTAAATACTGGTAAATGGCTTTTATCGGGATCAGAAGATGGGAAAATAATAATATGGAGAACAAAAGATTGGGAAGTATTTGCAACTTTAAAAGGTCACACTAAAAGAATAAATGATTTAAGTATTCACCCGTCGGGAAAAGTAGCAATAAGTGTGAGTGAAGATCAAACTATAAGATTATGGAATCTTTTGACTGGTAAAAAAGCTTCAATTTTAAAAATAAAAGGAAAAGATCATTTAGGACAATCTGGTCAGTTTGTTAAGTGGTCAACTGATGGTAAACAATTTTTAGTGGGGTTATCGAATCAAACATTGATATATAATACTTCAAATGGTAAAATATTTAAAAAATTAAAATTTAAATCAACTATTATGTGCATGGATATCGTAAAATTTAATGATGGAAAAGATGATAATATAAATGAATGGTTAGGTATTGGATTTAGTGATGGATCAATAGGATTTTACGATTATCAATCAATAATTTCACAAGATAAAGAAGAAGAGGAGGAAAAAATATGGGATAGTAAACCAGAAGAAGTAGATGCAATTTACAGATTACAAGGACACACAAATAGAATAAAAGATTTTTACTTTTTGCAGTCACAAGAATCAACTGAAAATATTCCATTATTGGTTTCAGTATCATCAGATGGTAAAATAGTAATATGGAATTTACAATTGAGAGATCAAGTAGCAATTTATGATACTGGTGAAAGATTAAATTGTATTGTATGTGCACCTGAACATATTGAAAAAATAGATACAATGAAAAGAAGATTTGAAGATACACCTTTGGATGTTAGTGAGTCTGAATATGAAACAGATGGTGAAGAAATTTCCAAAATTATGATTAAAGGTGAGAAAAAGAAGTCGAAAAAGAACAAGAATAAGAAGAATAAGAAAAGAAAAGTTAACGTCACATTAGAATAGATAATTTGTATATATACTGACTAAATAAATAATCCTAACTTAATCTTGCAACATGTTTATCAAATAATTCTTTAGCTCTTACCCAAACTGGAGCAGTGGCTCTTTCAGGTAATTGTAATAAACTTGGCATTAAATCTTTTGAAAAAAATTCAGAAGCTTCTCTTGGTAATAAACTTGGTAAATGATCAATTGAACATACTGATAATTTTGGACCTTTAGTTAACCCTGAAACTTCAACAGTTGGATTATCAAATGTTGTTGCAATAACATATACTGGGATTGGATTATGAGGATTTGTTGTATCTGCACTTACATCAACTATAGTTGTTAATTTTCTATCATCAACATTCAAAGATTCCAAATTAATGAAAGGTGGGATTTTTGCAGATAAATAAATACAATTAATAAAAATATTAGTATCTACTATTTCTTTGAAAGGTCCACCTTTTGAAGTTTCTGCTATATCCCATTTAGCAATATTTGAATCTGGTATACCTACTTTTTTAAAAAAATCAATAGCTCCTGAACCACATCTACCTAAAGCACCAATAACTAAAGTTGTTGGATATTTTCCACCTGTTTTTTCCAAAGCTTTTGATAATTCAGATTTAACATATGAAATTAATTCATCTTCGTTTGGGTATGGAGAAACACCTGGTAAATTTTCATTTGGGGAGTGAGTTTGTTTAAAAGCCCAATCTAAAACACCAATAGCAGCTCCAGTAAAACCAGCATAAAACCCAAAAGCAGCAACTCTTCTACCTTGATCATTTTCCAAGAATTCCAAATCATATAAAGTACCTTTTCCATCTGGAAATCTTTTTAATACTTTTTCCCAACCACCTTGATCTTTATAACAATGAGCAAATTGAATATGTTCATGTATTAAAGGAAAAGTATCAGTTTCTGGTAATTCTTTTAATCCAAAAATAATTCGATCTTTTGGTGCATCAACCCATGAACCTTCAGGTACTATCTCTGCTCCTGCTTTTTCATATTCTTCAATGTCAAAAGTTGACTGTGAACTTTTCTCAACATATACTTTAAAACCTGAATCAATTAATTGTTTAGTTGTTGTTGGAGTTAATGCTGCTCTAGCTTCTAATGGTTTTGTTTCTGCTCTTAAATGAAGAGTTACCGGATTTGAACTCATTTGTTAATATATACTATAGTCTTTGATCAATTGATATATATCGAAGTAATATTAGTAAATAATAAAATTGTTGTAAAAAGTAATTGATGTAATTATCAAATGATTTTATATAATTTTTCAACCCTTTTATTATGACATAATAATTATCTATTTTTCTCGCTATTTGTCCCCCATAAATTTTTTTTTTTTTCGTTTGAGTCAACGCGGCAAAATTTTTTTCATTTTGTTAGTCATAAATTTATCTTATCTAACTTAGCATTACAATACATTACTTTTTATGACATTGATATGAAACTTGACATTAAATAATTGGTTGCAAAAATTATTTGATCATAAAATTGTCATATAAACGATTAGAGAGATCGAAAAATTCCTTCTTTAGTTTGTGCCAATAACTTTGAATGACTATATGTTATACAAACAATACTTAAATGCAAAATCTGGAAACAAATCTTCATTCAAACCATCAATTCTGACATTTTTTCTAGTTTATTCAATTAAATATTTTAAATCCAATTTACCAATATCTTTAACATATTCCAAAACAATATTTTTCATTTTTAACTCAGCTTCATTTTCCCATTTTTCATTGGCAACATCAAAACAATCACTATACTGTTTAAATAATTTTTTGATATTTGATATTTCCAATTCATCAGCTAAAATACCTTTTTCAATAGATTTTTCAAATATCAACCATGCAAAATTTTTATCATTGTTTATTAGAAATCCCAATATAATCGATTTGGTAATTAATCCTCGTTGTGAAAAACCTAGTTCATTAACTTTATTGGAAAGTTCATTAATATACTGGTTATACAAGTTTAAACCATCTTCGATGTTAAAATAAGATTTCATGATAATTAAAATTTGTAATAAATGAACAGTAATAGTTGAAGGTTGTAAAGTTTCAGCAATTTTTTTATCAATTTCCGAATTATTCAATATCGATAAGTAAGCAAATGATTTAACTACAGATAATAGAACAATTTGTATTCCATATGATGCTTTTGATTCATATTCGTGATATTTGGATAATAATTTTTTAGTATCTTGTTGGACTATACCAAAATTTTCAATTATCAATTTTCTTAATGGTAGATTTTTTGGTTCTATATCTATTTTGGATTCATTTATGTGGTTTATTAATGCTGTACCTAACTTATTCAAGTCATCACTGAGATGTTTTTCGAAACTTTTTGTAACTTCAATCATATCATAATTTATTATGTATAATGCAATAGTGTAATTTATGTTACTAATTGACTTTGAATCAAACTTGAAAACTTTATCGATATATCGTAAAAATAAAAATTTACCCAATAGTGCATTATCATTTATTGAGTTGTTCGTTAAAATTTTAAACATCATTTCGTGTGAAGTATTTATTTTGTCAGTAAATTTGATCAATTCTTCAACATTCCCATTCTTCAACAAAGTCTGAAACAAACTATTAATTACATTAAATTCTATAAGTTCACTTAAGTTGTGTTTATTCATGAATTCAATAATGAAATCAATTGATGAAAATTCCTGATCTTCATTTTGACCAAATTTTTCAATTAACTTATTCAAGATTTGTTGCTTGATCTCTGAATCTTCCAAAGGTAGTAGATATATTTCTAGGATTTCCTGATTTGAAATAACCCTTTCTGGATTTAATTGAATAAAGTGATTTAGTAACAATTCATTTTCAATTTTAGAAAACATGGATGTATATTTGAAAAAAGTTGAAAAATTCGGTATTAATTTTTGTAGTAATTGCTTTTTGTTTGGGTTTGAAGAACCTATCAATGAATTTATGAGCTTGATCCTGCTATTTTCATATTGGTCCTTATTTTCATCTTGTTCTTTCTTTAGCGAATCTTGTTGAAGATCATTTAAATTTAATTTGCTGATATCTTTACCTAGTAGACTGGTGAATTGCCTTATTATGTTGGGTTGATTTAAATTTGCCTTTGAAGATAGCATAAGTGGTTTCGGAATCATATTAGTAGGATGGTTGTAAAATGATCCAATTCAAGAAGATGATAAAATAAATTTTCATATAAGCTTAGATGTTTCATAAATCCGATACTTTTGATGCTACCAAACCATTTGAAAAGTGTTGCAAATTGAATCGGGCTTTGATAGCAAAATTAACATCCAGAGTTTATTTATAATTAAATTTACGAGTTTGATTCAACAAAATCATCCACTTGAAAACTTTGAATTGGGTAGTCCTTATCCAATCCAGCATACAAGTTATAAAAAGACCAATCATTTTGAAGAATCTAATCACCAATCATTCTTCAGATAACTCAAAAAAACTCCGAAATAGCAGAGAAGAATGACTGAACCAAATTACTCAACTTCAAAATCATTATTTTTGGGGTTCGATTTATCAACTCAACAATTAAAAATCATAGTTACGAATGAGAATTTGAAAGGACTCAAAACTTATAATGTTGAGTTTGACAACCAATTTAAGGAAAAATACAAGATTTATAAAGGTGTAATAATACCTGGAGATGATGGAGAAATAGTAAGTCCAGTAGCAATGTGGTTAGATGCAATTAATTATTTATTTGATAAAATGTCGAAAGATAAGTTCCCATTTGATAAAGTAGTTGGTATTTCAGGATCTGGTCAACAACATGGATCAGTATATTGGTCAAATGAAGCTGATAAACTATTGAAGAATTTAAATCCTAGCCAAGATTTGAGTGAACAATTAAAACCAGCATTTTCATGGGAAATGTCACCAAATTGGCAAGATCATTCAACAATACCCGAAGCTAATGCATTTCATAAGGCTATAGGAAAAGAAAATTTAGCTAAAATAACAGGATCAAGAGCTCATTTGAGATTTACTGGATTACAAATTAGAAAATTCGTAACTAGATCTCATCAAAGGGAATATGAACATACGTCAAGAATATCATTAGTTAGTTCGTTTGTTACAAGTATATTGTTGGGTAAGATTGATGATATTGAGCAAAGTGATGGGTGTGGGATGAATTTATATGATATAAGAAATACAAAATATGATGATGAATTATTGGCTATTGCTGCTGGAGTACATACAACTTTAGATAATCCCAAATCAAAAGAGCATCAACAAGAAAAAATTGAAGAATTGAAACAAAAGCTTGGACCAATCAAACCAATAACTTATGAATCTTCAGGTTCAATTTCAAAATATTTTGTCAAAAAATACGGGTTTAACCAAAGTTGTAAAATTTATTCATTTACTGGTGATAATTTAGCAACAATAATTTCATTACCATTACAACCAAATGATTGTTTAATTTCTTTAGGTACATCAACAACAGTGTTATTAATTACAGAAAATTATAATCCATCCTCGCAATATCATTTATTTGATCATCCAACTATGCCAAAACATTATATGGGTATGATTTGTTATTCAAATGGATCAGTTGCAAGAGAAAAAATAAGAGATGAAATAAATAAGAAATATAATGTAGAAGATCATACCAGTTGGGAGAAATTTGATGAGATTCTACAGAAAAATGAATCAGAACCTTTCGATGATAAGTTGGGAATTTACTTCCCTATTGGCGAAATAGTACCTCAAGCTCCAGCTCAAACAATAAGAGCAGTGTTAAAGAAAGACTCGGAGAAATATAAAGTCAAGAAATGTGAGTTGGGTGCTGATAATTTCACCATTGATGATGATGCATTAGCGATAGTAGAAAGTCAAACATTGAGTTGTAGATTAAGAGCTGGTCCAATGTTAAGTAAATCGTCTTCAACAACAGAAAATAAAGAATCACCACAACAAGATCAAGAAATATACACCAAATTAATCAGTAAATTTGGAAAACTATACACAGATGGTAAAGAACAAACACAAAACAGTTTATTATCAAGACCAAACAGGTGTTATTACGTAGGAGGTGCATCAAATAATCAATACATAATAAATAAAATGGGATCGATTTTAGGTCCTAAAAATGGTAATTTTAAAGTGGAAATTCCAAATGCTTGTGCATTAGGTGGTGCATACAAAGCAAGTTGGAGTTATGAATGTGAATTACAACAAAAACATATTCCATATGATGAATATTTAAAAAAATTATTTAGTGTCAATCAAGAATTAGAAAGTTTTAAAGTTATTGATCAATGGAATGAATATTTCGATGGGGTTGGAATGTTAGCTAAAATGGAAGAAGCATTATTGAAAACTGATGATTGAACATTTTCAATATTCTGAACGTTTTACTAGATATTTAGATTTATAGAATGTAGATAATTGACTACAAATTGATAAAATTAACAAGAATTATTATTAGATTTAACCCCTCACAATATTTACATCGATATATTCAACCATTCAATTGATTTTTCACTAGTGAACCAAAAATTAGGAGCAACCACCAAAACTAATAATATGAATTGAACACCAAAAGCAATTGATAAATATAATAATGAATTTGTCACCAACCCAATAATTAATGATATTATAATATTTGAAATTGTTGATATTTGTATGATTTTTTCAACTTTTGGTTGATTTGGAATTGTAACTGGAAAATCTAGTTTTGCTATTATGTCATCCATTTTGTTTTATATTTATATACAATATTTGATATAGATAATGTATTGTGATTATGTTGTAGATTATATCTAATCTATATAATACACGTATATTGTTATCAAATCAACTTAACAAATATTATAATTGACTTTATATTGAGCTACCAACCGAGTTTCTGAAAATTATTGTCATTAAATAAAATTAACCGACTCACATCTTACCTAATTCCAAGTTTGATCTCGACTGAAAATTTTGAAAAATTATTGAATAGGAACCGTTGTGGTTTTGATTCTGTACGGCATTTTTCTCGGAAATGCATTAAATGAATTGAAAAATTTATAAAGAATCAAACCAACCAAAGCTAGGGCCAAATTCACTCATTTTAGACACCACATTCATTTATATAAGTAAAGACATTCATTTAACAAAAGCTCAGCCTTACAACTTATTCAAACATTTTAATAAAAACACCAAAGATATGACAAAGAAGCAAGTTTTATTTGTTGGAGATTTAAATAAATCATTACCAGAATACCAAGAGTTTCATAAAAAGTATGATTGTATAGATTATAAAATCACATCAAGGGATCAATTATTGGGAAATTTAAAATCAGAATTCAAAGATATTCATGCAATTTATGCTGCATGGTTGGGTTTCATACCAATTGGGGGATTCCGTACTGTTTTAAAAGGTTATAAACCAAAGAATTTAAAAATTCTTTCATTATGTTCAGTGGGATATGATCATTTAGATGGTGAAGAATTGGCGAAACAAGATATAATTTTAACTAATGTACCAAGTGATGGTGCTGCATTACCTGTTGCTGACTTAGTTTTATTTTTAACAATAACAAGTTTTAGACAATTTCAAATATATGCTAAACAATTAACAAAAATATCAGATACTATTCAATTGAGATATAAATTAGCTAATGAACCATATAATAGTGAGAAAGGACAAGCTCACTTAACAAAAAGAGGGGCTGGTTATCATTTTGGTGAATATATAAATAAAAGATCCAATTTGAACCCTAATGGTCATAATGTAGTCATAATTGGATTTGGGCAAATTGGGAAATTAATAGGGAAGAAACTACATCAACTAGGTATGAATGTGACATATGTTAAAAGAAATAAGTTAGCAAAAGAAGAAGAAGTCAAATTGGGTTATAAAGCTCAATACGCATCATCAATAAATGAAGCAATAACTCAAAACCGTATAGATTTAATAGTGATAGCTTGTCCACAAACCCCACAAACATACCATTTAATAAATGAAGAAGTAATAACCCAAATACCAAATCCATTCAGAATCATTAATATAGGAAGAGGTGCAATAATTGATGAAACAGCATTACTCAATGGTTTAAAAAGTGGGAAAATTTTATTTGCAGGATTAGACGTATTTGAAAATGAACCACATATAAACCCCGAGTTAATTGAAAGAGATGATGTTTATTTAACTCCTCATATTGGAGCTTCAACTGTTGAGAATTTTGATTATACTGCTGTACAAGCTTTGAAAAATATTGATTTGGTATTAAGTGATAAAGAAGCTATTAATAAAGTTAATTAATAAAGTTCTAAGATTTAAATTATGAAATATGATGAAAATGTAAACATTACTGACTTATTTATAGACAATATTGTTATATTAAATGACAACACTATAGATATATATAGTACTACATAGACACTAAAATACTATTTGACAGCTTTATTTTTTTTTTATGATTGATAAGAAATTACAGAAAATAAAATTGTACCTTTTTTACTAAATCTTTAAAAACTTTAACAGGAAATAAAGAATGTTTCAGTTTTATTATATGCACAACTAGACTTTTTCATGTTGTTTGCATCAGATATCAATACTCGTTAATTCATAAAAATGAATAAGTACAATGTAAAATTTATATTTCTAAAGATCTGGCTAATTTGAATGTATCAGTTAGACCAACTTTTGGAGTATTAGAGCAGGGTCAAATTTGATTTTGGTGACAACTTGCTAAGCTCAAAAAGTTTTTTAATTATACTTTGCTGGAGTATTTATTGGGATGCAATGTAAAAGCATGTGTCAATTTTTATAAAATGATAAGTAAACTTCAATTATTACTTTACCTTCAATATCCGATAGTAAACTATAGACATAAATTTGACATAAAAAATTCTTAGCGCATTAATTCCCCTTACCTTAATAAAAAATAAATTATTATATTCGCGATAAATTGACGTTAGTAGATTATATTTAATACGGCAAATAAGATAAGAATCCACTAACGTTTATTCACACCAGGGTTCATTTAAACAATCAATAATAAACAATTGGGGTAAAGATTTATACATGTGGGAAATAAGTAATAATAGAAATATACATATAAAGACCTTGATATCCACAATTACGACAACATCAAATTTAATTAGCTAGTTGAAGTTTCGATTATATATTCAATGACAATACAAACACCACCTACAAATTCTACAATGTCACCAACAATTAAAACAGAAGAAAAATTAGAATTAATTAATTTAAAAGATCAAGATCTTATAGATTTCACAAGAACGCAAAATAGTTTAGCTTGGAAAGGTGTATTATCATCGAAAGATTATGTATTACGTGAATTAGTTTTAGGTAAATCAAGAATTGCAAATGACGGAGATAATGAATTGAAAGTATTTATGTTAAAAGATTTAAATACTGATCAACCATTATGTTCAATTGAATTGTTAATAAGAGAAAGTTTGAAATTTCATTATAATGAAACAACACAGAAATCAGAAATTAAAAAAGTATTGAGTGGTACAGTTGGTGGTGTATTCACATATCCTGAACATAGAGGTAAAGGTTATGCAAGAGTCATGGTTGATAAATTAGTCGATATTGCTAGAAAGGAATATTTGGGTAATGATGGATTTATATTTTTATATTCAGAAATTGGTGAATATTATGCCAAAAATGGGTTCAAGTCTTTTGGAATAGATTTAGTAAAAATCGATATAAATGATAATTTAAATTTAGATGATGTACCAGATATAAGCTATGATATTATACCATACCATGACTTCGAAAATTTAATACAACAGTACAGATCGAAATTTTTATCGGAAATAGAACATAAAATATCAAAAGATCATAAAACTCGAATCTCCATAAATCCAACATCACATTTAATAGACTGGTTTCACTTAAGATCAAAATTCATTACATACAAATTATTTGAATCAAAACAAGAATCCCAGCAAGATTTTTTCGATTTTCAAAATGAATCGTATGATTCAATACGAGAAAATTTTGAAAAATCACAACCAAAAATATTTGGATTAAAAACTTTCAATTCTTCAAATGAAGTTGATGGATTTATTGTATGGACTATTGATTGGGCTGAAGATAAATCTGAAAATTTTGCTACAATTTTAAAAATTGTATCTTTTGATAATGAACCACAAACTACAATAAACTTGATAAATTTAGCATTAAATCATTTACATAAAACTCCAATTATGAACAAACCAACTACAAAATTGACAATATGGGAATCTGAAATTAGTGAGCAAACTAAAAAATTTTTAGTGAAACAATATAATGCCAAAACAGGGATTGATAATTCTTCAAGATCTGCTATATTAATGTGTGACTCTTCGGAAGATGTGAAATTGCGAAATGGTGATTTGATATGGGAAGAAAATACAAAATTACCTTGGTTTTAAGAGATGGTACTTTATAGACATAGTAATAGATAATTATTTATTTTTTATTTAAAAGTTCTTTGAAAATTGTGTAGATTCAGCCAATCAATGGGTCATTTGTATCAAATGTGTTGTGCATAGTATGCATGTTTTTTTTAGTGATAGTTAAGCTATAATCTACGCTTTTTATTGTCATCTAACATTATCAAATATATTGTCTTAACAAATAATTATACACACTTCATACATCTTATATTTAAATCTCTACCTCCATAGAAAAATAAGATTTTTTTTTGGATTTTAGAATCTTTTAATACAATGTATTTTAACAAACATATATTTAATCAACAATTAAGTCAATAAATCTACCCACCAGCATCCCATATAATAAAGCTTATGAAGTGTAGCTCGTTTTAATTGGCTTTACAAGTAGTAAATAATTTAGTAATTGGCTCAATCATTATTTTTTATAGTCAACTCTATTAATTTAATTTTTTTATTATGTTTCAACTTTAATATATTTTTTCCCCTTAAGCTAAAATCCTATTAATATTTACAAATCTATTTAGTTGCAAATTTAACATATCAATAAACCAATTTTTTAATAATCACTTTTCATTTTTAATTCAAATCATTCAATTCAAACAAAACTTATAAAACTTATATTAATTACATCAAAATGCAAAATCAAAACATTTTCACTACTCAAGGATTCACTCCTTCTCCAACAACTGATGATTCATCATGGTTAACACCACCAATGTCTTTAAAAGCCAAATATGAACTTGAATATGGTGTTAAATTTCCAAAATCACCAAAATCACCAGAATCATCAGAATCATCCTACTATTACAACAACTTAGACACAGAACCAATTAAAGATTCATCAAAAGGTATTAATGCAACTTCATCCAATCTCAATAAAAATCAATTACCAAATGTTGATGATTATATCAGTAAAGAATCCTTAAACAACTTTTTTAGAAATTTAATTAAACCAGTTCCATTAGTTATAAGATATGAAGATTATTCCACCTTAGAAGATCATGTCAAAGAATTTGGTGAAAGTCTTAAAGCTAGTCATAATGAAGCTAATTCAAAAAACAATAAGGATAAAGCTTGTATAAAACCAGCTGCTTTAGATAATCAATCAGTCAGTATTAATAAGTTAAGTGGACCAGATTCATTAGACTTAAATAACGATAATGATAAAAATTGTCAATCAAATGCTTCTTTAGGAGTTGATCTTAACGATAATTCAACTAGTGATCAACAATTTGTATTAAATGTAAAAAATTTCCAAACAATGGATAATTCAGACGTTTTTTCAATTGAAAATATTGAACTCATTCCTTCAAAAAAAGATAGAAAACAATCAACCAAATCAAATCAAGCTATTTATGCATCTGAAAGTAAAGAAACTGATGCAAATGAATCTCAAACTTTTTCTGAATATGATTTGGATTACTTAAAAAATAATGGATTTATTAATGCAGAAGATAATGATGAAGATAAAAATACTTCTGTAGTTATTAACTCAAAAATTGCCAATGGATTAGACTCTTGTTATACAGCAGCTTCAAATACTGATAAGATTTTAAATACTGTTGATAGTGTTGGTGAACAATTGAATTTAGGTACTAATGAATCAGACTCAAATAATACATCAGCTTCAATTATTGATACTAGTTTAAAATCTATTGATAAAAATGATCTGATTGCTGTTGTTAACTCAAAAATTGCCAATGGATTAGACTCAAATAATACAGCAGCTTTAAATACAGATAAGATTTTAAATACTATTGATAGTGTTGGTGAACAATTGAATTTAGGTACTAATGAATCAAACTCAAGTAATACAGCAGCTTCAATTATTGATACTAGTTCAAGATCTATTGATAAAAATGATCTTAATGCTGTTGATAAACAAAAAAATCAAGTTGTCGAAATTTCAAAACCTAAAGAAGTTGATATAGCTTCAAACAATTGCAATCAAAAATTACCTATCTCAAATCCATTAACACAAAATTCTGGTAAAAAAATTAGCAATTCATTCACTAAAAAACTCAAGAAGTTTTTCAAACCAAATACAAAATCTCCACCTCAACCTCAACCTCAACCTCAGGAAATCGAACAAGTTAGATTTAATTTAAAACATTCAATTGTAAAAATTTTTCAAAAATGTAAACAATGGAAAATTAAAAAAATCTATTAATACAAATTCATTTGGTCCTACTAAATCAATATATCACAACAACAAAGTGTAATAGATCCTGTCTTTTTAGAAATCGAAGTAGATAAAAAAGCAGCAAAAGCCATAAAAGATCAACATTTTAATCACCTTTATAGATTGGAACACATAAGAAATTTCAAATTATCTTATGGGATCTATTGACTTCATTCATATTATAAAATCATTACAAAATATAAAATCAAAAAAAAAAAAAAAATTTTTGTTTATTCATTTCATGTTTCAATTTGTTTTTTTGTTTTTCAAATAATATTAGTAAGTTTAATAAAATAAAAAATCCAAAAACAACAAAAAATAAAAAAAAAATCCAAAATAATGCTAAATCAAATCAAATTTTATGGGAAAATTTAAATTAAATCACCTGGCCAGTTTTTTAATCAAAAGGATTCTAAAAAATTTCGTATATAAATTTAGTTTTTTTGTATTTCTGCTATTACCTATCTAAAATATACTGATTTATTAATCTAGTTTTGATGTAGTTTTCAACATTAATTTATTCTAACGTCCTATCTAATATTTCAATGATAATAATTAAAATGGTGTCGTGTCATTTTATTATGTTCTATGACTTTTTATTTTTTTTTTCATTTTCAATCTTAATTATAGTCTACATTAAATTGACCTTTAATTAATATCTCTGTCACTAATAGTGAATTAATATTTAAAAAAATTAATATAGTGAGATTATACAGAGGGATACCGCAGAGCTGATCTTTAGATGGGACCTGTTTGTCCTGAGAACAAAAGAGGGAAAGTCATTTCAATATAATATTTTTTTGCAAAAAAAGGACTTATTAACCAAATTAGGTAAGTACATACTTAATTTTGATCTGGAGAAAATTATTCATATTAATTAATATATAAATAATGAGCGAATTTCCAAAATTAAGTTTAGTCTGTAATTCTTTCCAACGTTCAAATAACGGTTTTATCAACTGGTCATTAATCTCCTGGGCATTAATTCTATTAAAGATCAATAATCAAAATCTACTAAAAAAGGGAGTTAACCATTGATATTTAAATCATATGAAAATATTAAAATATTAAATTAAGTGAGACAAAAAAGAAAATTAAAATTTCAACAAAAACCAACTCATTCTTTTGAAAAATTAAATTAGTTCATAACTTCATATATTGTTTTTCAATCTCATTTTTTTTTTATAAAGCATCTTATAGAGTAAACTCAAAATGTCAGATACAACAGAAACAAATCCATTAGTCGTATTTGCAACTCTTGCATCAATTATTTTATCATTTATTGGATTTTATTTTTTTCAACAATCCAAAAAGACATCAAATAAACAAACATTTGCATTAATTCCTGATAAATTTCAAAAATTCCCATTAATTGATATAAAAAAAGTAAGTCACAACTCTGCAATTTATAGATTTGGATTATCAAAACCAACTGATTTATTAAATTTACCAATTGGTCAACATATTTCTATTGGGGCAATAATAGATGGTAAAGAAGTTGTAAGATCTTATACTCCAATTTCAACAAGTGATCAACAAGGTCATTTTGATTTATTAATTAAAACTTATGAAAATGGTAATATTTCAAGACATGTTGCTTCTAAAAAAATTGGTGATACTATTGAAATTAGAGGTCCAAAAGGATTTTTCACACATACTCCAAATATGAAAAAAACTTTAGGAATGATTGCTGGGGGTACTGGTATTGCACCAATGTATCAAATTATTACTGCTATAATGAATAATCCTCAAGATAAAACTGTTGTTCATTTAATTTATGCGAATGTTACAGAAGATGATATTTTATTAAGAAATGAATTAGAAGAGTTTTCAAAACAACATCCTGATAGATTAAAAATTCATTATGTATTAAATCAAGCTCCTTCTGATTGGAAATATTCTGTTGGTTTTGTTACTCCAGAATTAATTTCAAAACATTTACCTCCACCATCTGAAGATACTAATTTATTATTATGTGGTCCACCACCAATGATTAGTGCAATGAAAAAAGCTGCAATTTCTTTAGGTTATGAAAAAGCAAAACCAGTTTCAAAATTAGGAGATCAAGTCTTTGTATTTTAAAAGAGTTGAGAAATGGGAAATTTATGAAACAATTAAATGAAAGGCTAATTTTACTCTGAAATTTACTAATCAATAAAGAGTATATAATGAAATTGTATAGTAGAACCATCAATAAACTAAACTAAAGTTACAAATTGAAGTCCACATGTTCCTTGATTTAATATTATCAAAGATTAGTCTCTAGTGATAAAGCGAGATCGCTAAGTAAAATAAAATATATATTTTTTCTTATCTAATCTTATCGGTTATTAGATTCTTAACCGATTTCTTATTTGATTAACGGCATATTATTAGAGAAAGTAATAATTGACAACATTAACTTAATTCTTATGAAATTAAAAATTAAAGTCAAGACTTGAGGTTGTAAAGTAACGATCTATATTAAAAATGTAAAATTCTGTATCAATAAAATTAAACAAGTAAATAATAAATAAATAATTTATGGAACTAAAATTTATAAACAATTTTAAAGAAAAAGAAATGACAGGCAAAAAATATTTACGACCTTTTTAGTTTAATTTTCATCAATAATCAATAGAACAATAAAGAGCAATAGATTTGAAGAGATATATATGACAATAGCATTAAGAAAGACGGTATACTAGATAATCATATACATTCACACATCATCAACAAATTCGTATAGGTTCATATACTATCATTAAAATAGAATTACTACATCTATTCCACGTGCATAACGAACTTCATTTTATATAGGATCAATCATTTATAGAATCACCACTAGTATGTTATCAAGTTATTTAATATCCCTATCGTCAGTAATAACTTTAATATTGTCACAACGAATTGAACAAGTATTTCAACAACCAGAAGAACCACCATCACAACCCCACTTTGATGTATCAGAAGGTAATAATTATATCCTTAGCACAATTCAAGATGATTACAAAGAAATCAAAATATCAAATATATTAGCCAATCCTTTGAAATATAAAGATTTACCACCAATAATAAGTTTACCAAAACAACATCAACGTACATTAAAACCAGGAGAGATTCCACAATATGTAATAGATTATTCACCAATGGTTTATTTATATAGTGAAGAAAAATATTTACCTTATGATATTGGAGAATTTGTAACTAATTTTCATGTCACATACAAAAATGGTACAACTTATCCAGGTACAGAAACTGATATGAATTTAAAAAAACTATCACAATTAAAGCATAGTAAAAAATTATTTTTAACTTCAAATTCAAATTTCGATGATGATCCAGATTGGATTACTGGTATAAAGAATAAACCAAATTTAATCAATGGTGAGATTAAAAATGCACCAGCTACTTTAATTGTTGTTGATAAGGGTAATGGATGGGTAGATGCTTATTGGTTTTATTTCTATTCATTCAATTTAGGTCCATTCGTAATGGGTCAAGGACCATATGGTAATCATGTTGGTGATTGGGAACATTCATTAGTACGTTATTATAAAGGTGAACCAATTATAGTATGGATGTCAGCTCATGGAGGTGGTGGAGCTTTTTATTATCACAACCTTGAAAAATATACAATTGATCAAAGACATCCTATAATATTCAGTGCTAGAGGTACTCATGCAAATTATCCAAGTGTTGGTCAACATCCTCATGATTTACCTTATGATATATTAAGTGATTTTACAGATCGTGGACCATTATGGAATCCTTCAAAGAATTATTTAGGATATACTTACGATGGTAAATATGTATTTCCAGCATTAAACAACTCAAATCCTAAATACATAGGTAGAGAATGGTCATATGATAATTGGCTCAACTACAAGGGTCATTGGGGAGATAAACAATTACCTGATAATGATACAAGACAAACATATTCTTTCATAGGTGGATACAAATATATCGATGGTCCAACTGGTCCTTTGAGAAAAAATGTCTTGAGAGTAGTACCATGTGAAAGAGCAAAATGGTGGAATTTTTGGAGAGGTTGTAATGTGAGGCAAAATATAAAATGGGGAATAGGATTAGAAAGTGAAGGTTATAATTGTGGAGAAGTATTTGTGAAAATGAAACCAAGATGGTTAAAAGTTCTACTACAAAAAATGACTTGGGGTGGTGGAATTTGTTATATTGTTGATTTAATTTATGGATAAAGAAAAGAAAGAAATTTTAGAGTGAATTTTATGTTTTTGGTGCTTGTTTAATTCGGTTTTGTTTGGTGTGTTTGTAATAGGGGATTTTTGTTCTATTGTATTTAAAGATAAATTAGAGACATAGTCATTTTAATAATACTAATACTGTAATGATAATGAGACTTAAAGTGTTGTAGATGTAAATCATTTTATCTTTCATTATTAATTTTTAATAAAGTAGCACAAACCTGAATAAAATTAAACATCTAAAATTTACTTCAAAAAAGTTTCACAACCAAAAATTTATTACATCGGATTTATCTCAGACCAAATTAATTAAAAAAGTCAATTAAAAGACTTCACTCACCACTTAAGCTTTATGATATAGCCTAAATTATATGTCTACACATCACCCTACATTTAGTTCATCAAGTGGGTTAGGAAGTGTATTTAAATCGATTACAAAAACTTTTAAATCATCATCACAACATAAAAATGTACCAGTTACTATAAATCCTACAGTTGTTGGAGGTGGAGAAGATTTACAAAAAATTATTAATGAAATACTATCAAATAATATATCACAACAACAACAATCTAAGGCGCTCGAAAAACTAATTGAATCAGTTTCGAAATATTCATTATCTTCAATTCAAGAAATATGGTATCTTGTAAGAAATTTTTTAGATCCTAAAACCAATAAAATACTACGAAGTCAAGTATTAAGATTATTGATTATATGTATTGAGAAAGATGACAATTCTGTAGGGTCTAGAACAAGATACTTTCAAGATATCTATAAGTATTGCCAATTTTTTACTACTGGGTTTGATCCAAATTTTGATTTGTTTTTGGATGCTCTTGTAAAATTAGCTATCGATGGGAGAGATATTCATGATTTAATTATTTTTGAAGATCATAAAAATTTAATTAGTTGGTTGAGTAAAGGATTAGAAGTTATTATCAACGTTCTGGAGAATGGGAGTATTAACGAAGATAACTTAAGTTATAGTATTAATTTGCTCAGTTTTATTAGTAATTGTCTCAAGTTCAATTATGGAGTCATTAATGATAATTCTGTGGGTAAAATCATTGAAAAAATCATAAAAATCAACGTGAATAATAATGAACCACTACTATTCGCAATTGTGGATCTATTAATATCAGTTTCAAAATATGGTAATATTCCCAGCAATGAAATCAACAAGATAGTCAAATACACATCAATAGTATATGGCAAAAATTCCAAAAATGAAAAACTCACTGAAAAAACATTCGATATAATTGATCAATTAGCTACTGAAGTCTCATATGATCGTATATGCAAACTCCTATGTCAAGAAATTTCAGAAACTGATAAACTAAGTATCATCAACTACGACATACATCACCACCAAAACTTAACTGATTTTTATTCATGTGTCGGAGCTATCCACTTGATTATACAATTACAAATTAAAAATATATTAATAGATAACAATAGGAATGAGTTTCCTTTTTTCTTAATCATAAAACTAATCAAGAAAATACTAAACCTTAACGTATCAATACTAAACAAGCTCATACTTAACTTATTCACTTCAATTTTCAATCAAGATTATTACATCAAAAATTTCAATTATCAAGTGGCTGGATCATTTGATAAAATATTCCCTTTCCAGATTTGGTATTATGATGAAAACTCCATATTTGATTTATTCAACACTTTTAAAATCAACGATGACAAAGACAGAACAAATATTGAAAAATTAACTGATTCATTAAGAGAGTTATACGAGAATAATGAGTTACTACTTCCTAAATCTAAATTGATTAATTTTTTCATAAATTTCAATAATTATTTATCTACAACTACATCAATTTTTGTACTAAATCAATTCGACGAAGATAAGAGTTGTTCATTATTAAATCCATTATGGAAAGATTGCTCCTTGCAAATCTTAAATAATTTTTACTACAATAAATCAACAAACTCAACTGTGAAAGTAAAATGTTTACAAGTTATTTTCAATGCATACAATACATCTATATCGATATTTGATTCAAAAGATATCAATTACGACATACTAATAGATATTTTGAAAAAATCAATAACTCAATCAAATGAAGAAATTTTATTATTTTTAGCTAAAGAAATTATAGTTAATTTATTAGTTAATTCTCCCAATCTAATATTCAATAAATTAATTGAAATTATAAAACCATTATATAAAGATCAACAAAAGCATCAAAAAAATGAAATAATAATGGCAAGAGGTTACGTTACATCAGTCAATACAACTACCGATACCGTCATTACATCATCATCATTATTTTTACAATACCTAACAAGATCAATATGTAAATCATTTATATTATCATCACCAGAAAGAGCACAAAAATGTTTTAATTTTTTAATTGATATAAGTCATGAAACAACAAATGGTGAAATCCTATTGGTGATCGCTAAAACTTTAATTAGAATTAGAGTTACTTCTGAAAATTATATATATTTCACTCAACCACTGGATATGAATGGATTAGCTTCTGCTTTCAAAAGAGATAACGCCAAAATAATTGCGGGTCAGTTATGGAATTATCCTGAGATTGTTGAATACATTCCTAAATCACATTTAAACAATCCAAATAAATTTTTACAATTACAAACTAGTGAACAAGTTGAAGGAGTTGATATTTATTACATAGATATTAAAAAATGGTTTCAATTGATTTTATACGTTTTTGAAAATTTTATTGATTGGGAATTATATTCATTTTGTTGGGCTCATTTTTGTTCACAATTATCAAATATGAATTTATTTTTAACTTGTAATGATGAGATATTAAATTTAAAAACTATAATATGTAATCAATTAAAATTAAAATTACCTAAAAATTTAAAAATTCCTTCAAATGAAGATTTAACAAAAGCTGATTTACAAGTTGCTTTTGTAAGATCATTTTCTGCATTAATTGGGTATCATGATAAATTTTCTAAATCAGATGAAGATCAAATTATTGATAGTCTTATATTTGGATTAAGTTCTTGGGAAAAAACTTCTATTCCATGTATTAATATTTTAACTATTTGTTGTTTTGAAATCCCTATGTCAATTAAAAAATATTTAACTTTAATTTTAACAAAATTACAAACTAAAATAACATCAGTTAATTCAAGTACTCATACATTAGAATTTTTAAGTTCATTAATTCATTTACCAATATTAACTTCTAATTTTACAATAGATGAATTTAAACGAGTGTTTGGTATTGCATTTAAATATATACAATATTCACGAGATTTGGAGAAAATGAATTTGTCAAAGAACAATAATCAATTAGAAGAAGTAATTTTAAAACATGGAGTTGATGCAGAAATTGAAAAAACACCCTCAACTCAAACTAATGGAGTTTCACCAATTTTGATTCAATATATATTAATGTTATCTTATAATGTTATATCAAGTTGGTTTCTTAAAATTGAAATGAATGATAGGAAAAAAATATCATCATTTTTAATTAAAAATCTCATTAGTTGTGATAATGAAAATTCTGAAAATCAACAAAATTTAACAGATCAAACTATGGGATTTTTAGATTTTATTACAAAATTTACTTATAGTGATTTACCATTAAAAATTATAAATTCTACAACTAAAAAGAAAATAGATGATGAAGATACTACTTCAGAAAAAACAATACTAAACAGATGGATGGTTGGTTGTTCTGTTGTAAGTATTGAAACTGATGTATATACTGGAGATACTGATATTTTAATTAGAAAACCAACTGGAGTATCAAAATTGATTATGAAATTAAATCATGAAACACCAATTGATAAAACAGAAGTTATAAATCCAAATTATTTTTTATTACAATTATTTGATTCAACATCAAAACCAATACCAATAATAGAAGATTCAATATTATTAAGAGCATTATCAGTATTAGATCGTATTCCTAGTGTTGAATTCCATAAGATTGGTATAATATATATAGATAAAAATCAATCAACTGAAAATGAAGTATTATTAAATAAAATAGGATCAATTGATTATCAACAATTTTTAGAAAAAATTGGATCATTAATAAAATTAAAGAATCAAAAAGAAATTTATTGTGGTGGATTAGATATTGAAAATAATTTAGATGGTGAATATACAAGGTATTGGAGAAATAAATTAACTCAAGTAATATTTCATATTACAACAATGATGCATACACCAGAATCAGTATCAGAAATTGAAAAAATATCACAACTGAATTCATCTTCTTCGACCACCACAACAACAACAAAAGAAATTTCATCAAATCAACAAAGAATAATAGAATTGAAAAAAAGACATATTGGAAATAATCATGTAAATATTTTCTGGGATGATTCAGGTTTTGAAACTTTTAATTTTAATTTAATTAAATCACAATTTAATTTTTTAAATATTGTAATAACTCCACAAACAATTGAATTAAATAAATCAACATCAATAATAACAAATACCATCAACAAAGAACGTAAATTTTTTAAAATTAAAACATATAGAAGAACAGGTATACCAGCAGTATTTTCAACTAATCATTTTAAAATTATAAGTTCAGAACAATTACCTTATATTGTTCGTAATCTATCAATATTAGCATCAGAATTTGCAAATGTATGGTATTCTTCTTTAAACTCAACTACAAATAAATTTGAAAGTAATTGGTGTCAAAGAGTTAAACAATTACATTTAATTTATGATAAATCATTAGAAAATTTTAAAAATTTATCATTACATGAAAATAATTTTAATGGAAATGATGAAAATAATGGATATAATGGATTTAATAATTTAAATCAAATTAATTTTGAAAAATTTGAAAATTTTGAAAATTTTGAAAAATCTTCATTAAAATCTTTATATAGTTCTGTTGAATTTAATTCTTATACTTTATAATAATAATTTTATATACACAACAAAGATTTGCTGACAGTTTTAAATTCGATTTGTAGACTTCTTAAAACTTGAATAGTTTATTGTTTTGTAAAATTATAAAAAAAACAATATATGTCTAAAACTTTTTAATTTAAATATACTTACCTAATTAGTTTTAAATTAAGGTTAATTGATTTGGAAAATATTTTAAACTTTAGTTAAATCCTTTCAACTAGTTAAATTAAGGTTATTGTAAAACCCCCTTTATTATTTGACGTTGTTCCTTTTTCTTCTTTCAAAATCATATGTTTTTACAACCCTTATCTTTTAGTCTTTTTTTCTTCAATACTTTACATGTTTATTTTGATTCAAATGTGGCATTTATCTAAGGGATTTTTGTATCAATAAAAGATAAAGAGTATAGATCAATGATAAAGATTATAAAATATTGAAAAATGCCTAAATATATATACGAAATTCTAGTAAATTCCTTTCATGTTAATCTATCTACATATTATCATATTATTACGAATCCATTAATTTTATGAAGGACTTATCTCGTAGAATACATTAATCTTATGAGAAAAGGATTTTCATAAAATGAAACCGTTATTTTTTCATTAACGAACAAAATACATATAAATTCGTAAATCTTTTTTTATTAAAATTAAGCCTAATTAATTAATGTAATAAATGTTAAAATATCACAAACGCAAGTGGAATAATATTTTAACGGAATATCTCTATACACTATACTAAGAATTGAAAAATTTTCCAGTATCCTTATTCACCTTAGAAAGTGAAAAAGAATAAGGGCTACATTGCATAAATATTATTAGGAGATAAGTAGTTATTAATCCATTGCTTATTGAATGTGTAACAAAAGGTTTCAGGGAAACTACTTTGTAATACTACATTGATCTAAACTTAAACTAGTACTTACACTCATAAAATTTCTAGAATAAAGGTATTAAGTCATTATAAATTTCCACTATTGGTAATTTGATCTTTTTTCTTGTTAGAGACGTCATTAAGGGCAATTTGTTGATATCATATTTGTCTAATTTGATGAGTTGAATTAAATTATTAAATTGGTTGCTTAATTTTGAATAAAATGCATAATTTTCAAAATTAACTTACTCTATTAAAATTTCTTTTATTTTTATTTAAATTGAAATTTGGGGTAAATATTTATACAGTTCTGAATAGAATTAGAATTTTTTTTTTTATTTCGCACTAAAATGACTTACTTATTAAAAAATTAGTACACATTTTTTTTTTATAATAACTAATGAATTTGATATGTGGGGTAAAATAAATAAATTTATAAGAAATGACAACATTTTTATAACACATAATACAATAATATTAAATAGATACTTACTACTTAATTTAGTTAGCAATAAGTAATAATATATCTTTAAGTGAAATTTAAGGGTGAATTTTAGTTGTAATTGTAGCAATTAAATTATTATTATTATTAGTTAGTATAATAAATAGAATTATGAATTGATTTACCAATTAGATAATTAACTAGTTAGTTTTATTCTTATTGTTATTCCTTATTGAAGATAAATTGAACTACTTATTCAACAAAATTAATATACAGAACCACTTAAATAAATTATATATAGATTAGAATATTAAAAATAAATGAATGTGAAATTTCTATTTAATATAAAAAGTTTAAAAATGTAATAAATGTAATAATCAAGAGTACTGTATATTAAATAATATCTTAATTAAAGTTTGTTTGTTTTTCATAAAACGGTTCTAAATTTTATATACAGTACAGTACAATTAACTTTTGTATTACATAATATATTATGTAACTCCTTTTTTTAATTTAAATTAGAAATGTCATTTAATAACTAAATTTATAATAATACAAAACCAAAGAAATCATTACAACCAAAATAATCTAATTTTTGTTTATATAAATAAAAGATTGTTTCCGCTTAAAATTCATTCTTTATTTATAATTTTTAACAATTTTGATCTTTGAAAAATATATTCAATAACAATCAATCATTTAATTTACAAAATATCATTTAATTCATTTAAACCTTCAAGTTACATTTTGCCCCATTTATAGAACATATAAACATATATAATACAATCTCATATAAACAATGTCAACAACTTATATAATTCCAACATCTGCGAATAATACATCATTAATAAATACACCATCAACAACAACAAAATCACCTTTTCATTATAATAATAAACTTCAATCACAACAACAATCACAATCACAATCACAACAACAACAAAAATCAATAACAACAGAAATAATAAATACAACAATAACAAATCCCATCAAGCAAATTGAAGAAGTTACATCAAAAACTTCAAAAAATTTAGAAAATTCATTTTTTAATATATTTGATATATGTATATATTATATAATGAATTTAGTTTTATTATTTATGGTTTTCATTGATTTAATATTGGAATTTGGTAATAATTGTATTTATAATTATAATATTATTGTTTGTTCATTTAAACATAAATTATATAATAATATAAATTGATTATATATATATAAAGAGACATTATTTTTGATAGAGAGAGTAACACGGTTGTTAAGTTGTTGATGAATTATGTGTTTTATGTGAATTTTTATGAAATTGTTTTTATTTCAGTATTATAGTTTAAGGTAAGGGGTAGGAGGATTAGTTTTTATTTATTTATTCATTCATTTTCTGGACAAGCTATTAGTTTAATCATTTTATTGTTAAGTCTTTTGACTGGCAAATTTGTATTAAAAACTATTCAAGAAAAGAAAAAGAAAAAAAAAAGTTGTTCAATTCTATTATTCATTCATTTTTTTTTAACTGTTTATAGTTTTTTATGTAGTTTTTAATGTAAAAACTTTATTAAATGACTTGTTAATGAAAATTAATAGTTTACATTTCCATCACTCTTTACTTCTTTCTTATAAATTATTAATAAATCTTGTTAATAGATTAATAATCTAATTTGACATATTATATCAATAAAATGTTCGTAAAAAGTAATAAATTTTCACTTCGGAGTTTTAATAATAATTTATTTTTTTTTCCTCTGTAATTGTGTTCCATTAACAAAACAACAAAAATAAAGTTTAAATTTTTTGACGTAGAACATAAAATGGAATTCCCATTATATTCGTTGATCATCACTAGAGGATCATTTAAGATTTGAATAAAAACGTTTTTCATGTTCTTTACAGCCTAAAATTTACTTTGTTTGCTTAATCATCTTCAATTAGTTGAATTTCTAGTTCATAATTCGTGTTTGAAATGGAATTAATAAAGATTATTATAATCCCAAATTAAATATTATTAATTGGCACAGCAGTAAAACATTAATTACTTAAGTAAATTAAGCTTATCATTACTTAATATAGAATATTTACAAATAATAATAATTTATTATATAGAACATAATTTATTTAATTGCAAGATATCACAATATTAATAATCCAAGGAAAGAATTTATGAAACATCCAAAGAATTCAGAGTTACCAATTTAAGAAAGTTTATTTACTTTTGCTTTTTAATGATTAGTACTTTTGATTTTAAAAGTCATCAACTATAATTTTTAGATGGATGTTGTCTCCATTTTGTACTTCGAGAAATTTCTGTTTGCTAACCTACCCTACATTATTTTAGATTTAATACTTAATCGATTAATTATTATTATTATTATTATTATTACTATTATTATTATTTTGTTTCGTAATTTTATTGTTTGTAGCAAATATAACAAGAACAATTATGTACACTTTATTATAAAGCCTTATTTTATATAATATATTTTAATATGAATTTAATTATTGATATTTTTTCTTCTCTTGCATTAAAAATTAATTTTAGTTCCAAAGTTTATTTTGTGTTTCATATTTAGTACTTACCCCTCATCAATTTTAACAAAAAAAAAATAAAAATTGAACACTTATTATTACAATTCAATTAGAATTATTGAATCATATTTTATCGCTTTTGTGTTGTGGTAAATTACGCCTTATCTTATCTTATCATAGATTTGGTCTAGCTCATTTCATTAGGTTTTGAAATTCTTTCCTGATCTTCATATCCAGAACCAAAAACTTTCGTTATTATTTAATTTCCCCAGGTTTTATTGTAAAAAGAAATTGGAAATTCTTAATGCAAGTTTTAAAAACTTAAAGTATAGAATGAACTAGTTGCAATTTACAACAGTCTCGAGTTTTCCAAAATTATGAAATTTTGAGAATAAACTTATTTCGGTGTTTTGGATTTTTCGTATTCATAATAATTTACGCAATGATTTTTCGTTGAAAGTTTAATTGTAATAATCGTATAATTTATCTTGCTCACAAACATTGATTTATTCAAAATGACATCAACCTAGCTTATTAACTTTACCAAACAGCAAAAGGAAATATCACAACAAGAATCACAAAATTTATTCACGAATTTTAAATCAAACGTTCGAAGTATATTTGTACGAATGATCTGTTAGTCATGTAAAATATTTAATTAGGAGGTTATACTAAGCTACCAAATTTTCATCAAAACCCTTTTTTTTTAGTGTCACTTGCCATGAAGATTTTTTCTTGTTACCGGATTCATTGACCTTTATTTATACCCAGTTGTTGCTTTGGTGGAGTATTTGAACGTTTGGAATTTTGGGGAGCTTATTTATTCTGATTTTACTTTTTTTTTAATTTCTAGAATGAGTTTGTTTCCATTTTGTTGCAAATTTAATCCGACGCTTTTGGAATACAAACATTGATAATTTTTTGAAACCAGTGATTTTGAAATGGCTGATTATGATTCTCAAGGGCAATGAAAATTCATCTAAATTCTTTCAAGGTTCCTTTTTCGATTCTTCATATTTTTTTTGTTCAAGTTGGTAATATAATTATAGGTGTTTAATTGTAAGAATTTTTGCAATTTTGAGCGAAAATTAGTCACAATAACGAAAACTTTGCATCGTGTAATTACCAAAATTAGACCCTTGTGCGGTTTCGATTACTTCGAAAGATATTGAATACCTTTAGAAAAATTTGATGAAATCCTCAAAATTTTGTTTATCATAACCGTGAATAACCCAAATCCCTAATTAAGTGCTCGAAATACCTAGTTAAACTTTGCAGCCAATTTTTATTGAACACATACGATAGATAGGAACACAATCTTATCTTACAATTTATATTTGAAAAGGAGATTTGAAACAAAAAAAGTTGTTGAGTTGGAGTAAAAAGTTTGAACAAAACATTCTTCCCAATTTTCGTTTTTGAATCAAAAATGATCCAAACTATTTCATCTTATTCTTTGGGAAAAAGTAAATGTAATTTGTATGAGACATATTTTGCCATTTTGGTGTAAGGTAGTTGCTCTGGGAAATTTGTGCTGCAAATTTTAGTGCTTAATTGTTTCCAAAAATTTATAAAGTTCTTTAATATCGTTACTGCTCATGCACACTAATTGAGATATACTTTTAAGTTGTAGTATAGAAAAGAGACATTCTATTTCAGACAAAGCTTTTAAATCAATGCAAAATCAATTATTAAATTCATTAAACAATCTCTATAAGTTAAAATGGTACAAAAATTTATAAAACCAACTTCTTCATTATTTAGCACTTCCAAAGATATGATGCTCTTCACCTCCATGTTTTCCAAAAAGATGATGTTCTTCACTTGCATGTTTTTGTTTATTTTTTTGTTTCTTCATTTTAGAATCAGCCATCATTTCTTCAAATATTCTAGCATCTTCATCTTCTTCAGGTGATCTTTTAACAGCTAACATTTGTTTACCAATATATAAAATTGCATTTGCTCTTGCTAATTTTTCCTTTTTACCAATTCCTTTTTCTTGTAATATTATTTGACATACTTTTGATAATACACTAGTTAATTCAAATTTAATTAATGACCATGCTGTTGCTAAAAATTTCCCCGTAACGAATCTTTCACGTTCTGCTTGTTCTGCAATTTCTTCTGGAGTTGGTTCATAACCTAATTCTTGTTTTATTTGAAATGCTTCTTGATCTTTCATTACTTTTTCCATATAATCTTGTGCATCTAATGCTGTTTTTAAAATACTATATCCGTTTTTAACGGTTTCTGTTGATGATTTTACAGATGTGAAAATTTTACTAACTCCAAAAGTTTTTGATGCAGATATAGTTGCATTAGCTTGATTTGTATATATTTTCCCAATTAATTGTAATAATTGTATACCAAAACTTTCAATTTTCATATCATCAAATTCTTGATTTAATGTATGAGTAAATTTTTTTAAACCTTCTGGATTTGTTGCTGATGATCTATATTTTTCAATTCTTTCCATTAATTTTTCACTTAATTCTTTTATTCTTTTTTGTTTTATTTTTTTACTTTCTTCTTGTATACGAATAATTTCATCTCTTTGTTCTTTTGTCATTTTTTGTTTTCTTTTCTTTTTGAGTTCTTCTGTTGTTATATTTTTGGAGGATGAATTTATATGATTGTTGTTTTTCTCTGAGACTGCTAAGGAATCTACTTTACTTGATAAATCATCTTTAGTGGTCGATTCAGTAGTTGTCGTTTTAAAAGTTGAATTATCTTCGTTTTTATTTAATCCAGATGTTGTTGAAGTATTACTACTTGCACTTTGTGGTGTTCCATTTACAAAATTTATATTTTCACCATCAATAGAACCACTACCCTCCTCATTTTCTTCATCAAACATGACTTCAGCACTTTTAGTAATATCATTAAACATCCCCAATTCTCCAATCCAATCTTTGAAGGCAACACCACCAAATATAACTTCAAAAAACTCACTTGGATCAATATCTGCTGCTCCTCCATTTGTTTCTTGTTGTTTTTTCATTCCTTCAACACCTAATTCATCATATATTTTTCTTGTTTGTTCATTAGATAAAATCCCATATGCTTCACCTAATTCTTGAAACTTTTCACTGGCTAATGGATCATTTCCATTTTTATCCGGATGTAATTTAATTGCTTGTTTTCTATATGCTTTTCTTAATTCTTGTTCATTTGCTGTTACTTCTACTTGTAGAATTTCATAATATGTAGTATCTTTTACCATTTCTTGAATAATTAATATATGAATTTGATTTTTTTTTTGGGTTGAAGATCAATTGATTTTTGCCAGGATAAAGTGGAATCGATATTTGATTTGTGATCTCTTATAAAATCGTATTTCTTTTTTTAGATTCATATTTTAATATTCTATTCACAGTAGGTAATTCATAACTACCAAATGGGGTTAAAAATAGATAGTTAATAAACCTTTTGTAAGTAATTTAATAAACCTCTAAAACATGAATAATTTTTAGCCTCCTTTGAAACTGAAACTAATAAATCTCTTAAAATAGTATACAAAATGCAATATTATAAACAATTCATCACCACTTACAAAATAGGAAATAATCGCTTCCTAGCTCATGATGGAAAGGACGTACCTTTTTCACGTATTAATTGTTTAAATACATAATATTTGATGCTTATTTTAATAACTAAAAACGATCAAGGTTTAATAACCATCTTTACAATAGTAAAATTGTTTTGGTTGATTGAGTGAGTTTTGAAAATCCGATAATAGACGAATCCTCTCTAATACAATTTGAGGTCAAGACAAAATTTCTTAATTATAAATCAGTACTTCTTTATTCAGTTATTTAATTAGTCTTTAGGACCAATCTCTCAGTTACGGTAGAGCGTAAAAAAGTTTCTTACAGCAGTATTTTACTTGGTTATGCATTTCTAATTTAACCAATAATAAAAAACGTGGTTGGCCAAAGAGAATCTCATTCTCATTTCTTACTTTACTTTATTGAAAAAATTGTTTCTATAATTAGATACGAACTAAACTTTTATTTACGACAAATTTACGAATATCATTTTATTTTTCTAGGTTTAAATAATTATTCATCCAAAAAATGTATTAAAGACCAAAATTAAACAAACCAAAATTGAAGAAATTTTAACAGAATTGTCACCATTTTTTGATTCAGAGGCTATATAGATTTCTAAAGTCCCGAATGAGAATGTTTCAGTTCCATTATCGGTATAAAGATAAACTGGTAATATTTGAGTTTGATATAAATTTTCAGGATCTTTTGAAATTGACAAACTATCAGTCGATTTTTTATTTGGAACATCTATTACCCAGGCATGTGAGCCTAATACCATCTCAATCGTACCATTTGTTGTGCTTGGTATATACTCAACTACTTGAAATTGAGTTGTAACTCTTGTTGTCTCCGAAATTGATGATGAAACACCATTTGTATTTGATGGGTGGATTGTAGTAGACATTAACACAGTTTAATTCAAGTGAAATAGTTTATCTCTATAATTTTGTGGTAATTCGACTTACTTTATATATTGTACTTAAAGGGTTTTATTTACAATAAGATAAAATTTTCAAATTTTGAAGCCTATGTATTTCACTAGTTTGGGTATTTATTTACATATTAAATCATATTTTAATCTTGAACGATTGTAAAGGACTACTTTTGTGATAATATACTGAGTTAACAACAATAAATTGAAACCGTTATTATAAAGCATGATAAATTGTTTGAAAACTTAATTTACAAAATAGACGCCGCTTATCATCGGGGCTCTTTTCATAGACAAATGATCGTCAAATTGAAACTCTTTGTAGTCAATACCAGAATTAAAAGTGTTTTTGATAGCTAAAATATAGCTTTAGGTTCAGCTACTTTAACTAGTTTATATTCTAAATAGATTTAATCAAATGGTTATCCAAGTTTGATTATCCACAACCTCAATATGTGCAGTACTTGCATACGCATATGTATAGTAAGCATTTTACATTTCTTTTCTATTGTTCAATGGATATATTGAGAACACTCGTATATTTCCTATAGTCCTAAAATGAAAAGGTAATATTATTAACATCAGGAATTACTAAAATTGATTCAGATCCATTAACAAATTCAATATCTAAATTATTTGAATTTATAAAATTATTTGAAAATGTATCAAACATTTTAATTGAAATTTTAGGTAATGTTAATTTCCCTACAGTTAATGGAATCAATATTAAATCATTTACTACCAAATTGTTTTTACTAGTAAATGTAAATTGATGCTTTTTAAATCCGGAAATTAACCAATTATCATCGTTATGTATACATAATTGGAATTCTTCTTCTATTGGTAGTTGAGGTGCTGGAGATTGACTTGATCTAGTAGGTGATGAACTACCTAAAATATTTACATTATTATCTTCTGACCATTTTGTTAATGTTTTAATTTTAAGTTTCAATATTATTGGTTCTCCTACTATATATTGTTGTTTTTCGTATTCGTATTCTATTACTTGTAAATATTGTAAAACTGGTACTGCAACATTGATTGTTAATATATTTTTTATACTATCTTCTTTAATTTTTATTTGTGAAGTGGATATTGGATCTGAGAATTTATCAACAAATAGATTTTTAATTTTGATTTGATCACTTATATTTCGAATGTACCTTTCTATAATCTTATTTGAAAAAATTTGAAACTCAATGAAATTTATAATTATTAAATTGTCGTTAATTGTGAAATTATTTAAATCAAATTTTAATTTACTTAATAAAACGTCTTTAATCAAGTACCAATAATTGACCAAATTTAAAGTTTCAAGTTCTTCCAAAATAATGCGATATATGATTTCATCACATTCATCTCTTAAGTTTGTGTATGCTATTGTAAGTTTCAATTTGTCATTATCATTGATTTTATGATTGTGCTTAGGGAATATCTTATAAAAGAAAATGATTGGTTGTTCTCCAAATGCAATTACATTTTCAAAATTAGCTGATGTTGGTGACTGAATCTCAAAATCTTCATTTTGTAAATCTTGTGATATTATTTTGATTGGTATCTTAGAATTTATAGTACCAACTTGGAATTTTGAGTATATGAACTCTGTTTTAAAAATATCCTGAACTGAAACAGATATACTTAAACTAATATTTACATTATATGAGATTGTCAAACTGTACTGTTCTTCATCTATCATATATGTGATTTTCGCTTCCATGTTCACTATTTTACTTTCATGAATGTCTTTAAATGGTATAATAATATGTTTTAGCTCATTAGCTTTTAAGTTCTCTATTTCTAAATGTGATTGTATAAATGTTAAATCTGTAGTTGATGAAAATAGATCAATTTTAATTTCCTTTAAATCATGTTTCAAATTTTGTAACTCTAGCATAACTTCATGACTTCCTAAGTTTAATTTCCTGACATTAAAAAATTGAGCTCTAAACTTCTGTAAATTCTGATAAATTAATATGTTGTCATTGTTATTCTTTAAGTATGTGTTTGTTGGAAATGATGTAATTGACTTGTTTGGTTCGATAACAGTGTCGTCAAAAATTGATGTATCTGGTAAACTTGACTTCTCTTGATTAAAATTTTTAGTGAAAGTCAATTTTGGATTTAATGATATCTTCAAATGACTACATGAAAACAAACCAAATTTTATATTTCTTGTGAATAGCTTGAATTTTTGAAACTCAGATGAAGAATTTAGTTGAACTTTAGCATTACTGAATTCAATTGCTGTATGTTTTTCATCCACTAAATCTAGTTGTATCAATAAAAACTCAACTGAAACATGAAACGCATTTTTGATTTCTACTTCAATATAATACACATCTTTATCAGTCGAATCATCAGCATAAACAAATGGCTTAACCTTGGTTTTAAAAAAATCACTTAAATCAAACTCTAGTTTTTCTTCATCAATTGTCAAACTTTTTTCATCAATCTTGTCAAAGATCTTACTTATTTGGTTTGTGTTTTTGATCTTTTGGTAAGAATTGATATCAATTGAGTTTTGATTTTTAATTAAACATTTCAATAAATTAATGCAGTTGATCAAAATCTCTTTATTATTCACTCCATCTTCATTCAAGTTTTCAATACAACCCAAATAAATTTCTAATAGTATTCCACCTAAAAAAGTCCAACTATTTTCTATAAAATATTCATATGAGTTTTGTAAAGTATTTAAACATTCTTGATAATTTTTAATTTCATAATTTATGATCGCTAAATCTATTGATAGTATATCTATTGTTTTAACTCTATTACATTTAACTAAATCCTCCATAATTTCTTCTGTTAATTCTTGAAATGTTTTAATGTATGATTCTTTACTAAATGTTATATCTAGGAGCTCTTTTGTTTGTATATTTAGTGATTTTTCATTTGGTTCTTTGTCATCATCGAGTGAAATTTCTTCAAACATGTCTCTTAATCCTTCTATGTGTAAGTTTTGTGATTCAGCAATCTTACTAATAACTGATCTTTTAAATAATTTTAATTCAGCTCTCATTTCCAATATATCAGTCAAATATGAATCATCTTCCGTACTAGGTTTTATTAGTTCTTCCATAATTGGTAGGTTAAGATAAGTGTCTATGATTAAATATTGTACTTCATAGTTGTTTTCAACTAAATCATTTAGAAAAAGCATTAGGTTCTTGTATAATCTTGATATTTGTTTTGATGCTAATGAGTTGGTGGTTGATAGTTTAGCTTGTTCTTGTAGTATTTGGGATTCATGAATAAATATTAAAGTTCTTAGATTTAAATAATTTATACTTTCATTATTAGATAGCTGGGATTTAATTTCCTCTTCATTTATTGAAGTTTCGAAATTGTAATGTGTGAGGTCTTGTGATGATATATCCAGTTTATCAGTCACAAACCTATCTTGATTATATTCATAAACTTCAAATAACTCTTCTGATAATTGTTCATTTATAATCAATGCATCTTGTAGTAATATCATATCCTTAAATAAATTACATAATTCCAATTTTGTTAAGAATCTCTCAATATTGTGAATTTTTCTTTGATTTATCAAATCATTGTATTTCTTGAATCTTTCAACAAATGAATTTAATAACAAGGTCTTCAATTGCACCATGAATTCATTTACATTATCTTTAAACTTGAAAATCTTTTCATTACCTTCATCAAATTTTCTCCCAGTTGGTAATATAGTACCTAATTCCTTCCCATCAACTCCAAAATCTTTTTGTAATTTATCAAAGAATGAAGTTTTTATCAAATTTGAAGATTTGTCTTTAAAATCTTGTGGTATATACAATATAATCATCCATGAACAATTGGTTTTTAATACTAAATTTTTCAACCATTCTCTAATTAATGGCCTAACCTGTCCTCTATATTTCTCTAAACTATCAATCTGTACAAACATTAATCTAACATAAGTTTTCAAGTCATTATTATTTAAATAATCTCCTTTCTTAGGTACTTCCTCCACGAATTGAATTTGTAGTTTATTTACAGTTTTAAATGGTTGATTCGAATTTAATCTTATATGTAAATTTGATAATGGCAAATGAAGTTTCACTTCATCTTCAATTTTTGGATATATCCCAAATGGATCATAATAACCTATTCTTATAGAATCATTTGACATTTATTTAATACAATTCTTTCAAAATTGGCTGTAAAAATAATAGGTCAAATTGTAAATTCATATTGAAGTGTAAAAAATAAAGATAGATTTTTGGTGTATCTGAATATTTACGCGCGCGTTTAAGCGACTTATCAATTAATTGATTTAATGCTAATTAAGAATGAGTAGATAAGACACTAAGTAAATATTGGAACTGCACTGTTAGGAGGAATCACCTAAATATAGTTAGTGAAAGAAGTTGTTTTCAGAATGATATAAACAAAAACACTATTTAAGATTTGGTTGTGTAATAATTATTTACAAAAGTTTTTGGAAACATCGCTTTATTTCGTGTATTGTCAGTTATTAAATTAAAATACTTTATGTCTTATCTATTCTTAAAATCTAGAATTTTTAAAATAGTAGTTTCTAATTAGTTTAGTTAGCATATCTTATATTGTATATTCCAACTACATTTAAATTAACATTGTTAGTTTAAATGTGGTGTCACAGCAGGAGTAGTGACTCGACATTCAAAACATATATCCGGGATAGCTAAATTCAAGCCGTACAATGTTACTTTACTAGTACTGTATACAACAATTTTTTTTTCTCTTCGTTTTCTCAATCATCCAATTTAGAAAATAAATCAACTAATATTTAGAAATAAATATTTTTTCGAAAACAGACTTAACCTGCTAACCTCCAGAAAGCTTTTATTGTTTATGCTAACGATGTATTCTGCTTCTGTTGTGGACAGAGCTACAAACGTTTGCTTTTTACTTTTCCACGAGATTGGGGCTCCTTCGAATTTGAAAGATAACAGGTTTCATTGGTGGTGATCCTTTTTCAACTTGAATTATTATCCACTGAATTCGAGTTGTTTAAAAACCATGAGATGGGATTATTTGATAGACTTCTATCAAAGACTACATCAATTACATGATCGTACGTAATTTGTTAGTTGCTTATCATAATCCCAATTTCAAAGATTTTGAAGTGTACATTTGAAATTCTTGAAATTTATTGATGATCACTACGATCATCTCACTTTTTTTAAATGGTGTCTTGTAATTTCAAAGTAGTCTTGAAATTATAGCTCACATTTAAAATTGGAATTTGAGGTTTATCGCAACGAACACTGAACTTTTGATCCTAATAGTTGATCTCTACAGTTCTTCAGATTAAAGTTTGACTCCGTTGACAAAACCTTTTAAAGTTAATATACAAATTTTTTCAGGAATCTACAATTTTTGTATCCTTTTCCGTTAGTTGTTCAATGCTGAAATTGTGAGTTCAAAGATTTGGATATTTCGTCACGTAAGATTTCTGGATTTTAAGTAGTAGTCTTTGTTAAATTGATGTTAGACATTTACTCATCTTTAACAAATTTATTGTAATTCTAATTTCGAACTGGATGTAATTCACTTTCTTAGAATGCAATCAAACAATGACAAAGTTGACCTTTGCATCTATTAAATTAACATTGTAAGATCAAAGTGAGCTTACTTCACAATTAGTTCATAAGAGTAATTAACTTGTTACTGGTAATTGGCACTAAGAAATTATAATGGTTCTAGAATCAATCATAAATGAACGAAGGTGACAAAGTTATTATAGTATGTACCTGATCTATTGTTTTAACGGAAATTTTATGCACTATTGTGTTTTTAAATCAATGCAACTCATATGAAGGATCTGGGCTTAAATGAATAAGAACTACAGCCTTGTTGATATAAGTTCGTATTAAAACGTGTTTATTAATGCAGTATTACACAAATTTTTTTTGTTTAATTTTAATACTAAATTATTAGATTTAAAAAAAAAGCAATTAATGAACTAATAACCAATTTACATAATATACACACAATATTAATGATTTTATTAGTAATTCTACAATAGGAAAAGTAATTAATTGCATAATTATTAGAATAAATAATATTTCAGAGTAGTTTTACAATGGTCCTTTATTTTCCAGATACACTTCAGATCTAAGATACCTCAACAGTTTCATAATAGATGAACAATACATTACTACTACTATCGCTAATAATACTATGCTTTGCTAATATAATTAATTGTTCAATTAGTTTCAACTTTGATATCAAAACCACCACTCCACCAATTTCACAATTAACCAAAAGACAAGTTTCAACTATTTTTAAAAATCAAAAAAATGTACTTTTAACAAAATTAGGTATAGGGTCAAATAATGATTCAGTAGTTGTATCTATAGATACAGGATCTTCAGATCTTTGGGTTATGTCTAATCAAGTACAATGTTTCAACATAAGTGAATTTCATACAATATATTCACCAAATATTCCACAAATTTTTAATGATTTAGATGAAAGTTATTCATGTAAAGCTAATGGGACTTTTAAATTTGAGAATTCGAAAAGTTTTGTTAATGAAAATAAAGATTTTACAATTGCTTTTGCTGATGGGTCCGCAGCAATGGGATTTTGGGGTAATGATAATATAGTAATTGATGGGAATAATAAGACAACTTTAAATGGTTTGAGATTTGGTATTGCTAATAAATCGAGTATTGATGTTGGTATATTAGGTATTGGCTTTAAAGATGATTATGATAACTTTCCAGTGTTATTACACGAGCAAGGATTGATTGACAAGCTTCAATATTCAATATATTCAAATGATGCAGACTCGGGAGTAGTAGAATTTGATAAAATTGATAATTCAAAATATGAAAATAATTTAGTTAGTGTTGAAATTGATAATAATCTTGGTGTTAAAATCTCAAATGCGTATTATATAGAAGAAGAAGATGGAAATTTAGTTCCAAAAAGTTCAGACAAAGAAACAATCATATTTGATACTGGTTCAACTTTTTCAACTTTACCTAGAGAATGGATAGATAGATTAGGTAAATCCATCAATGGAACTTATAATGAAGATGAAATGGCGTATGAAGTGAATTGTGATGAATTAAATTCTGATAGTTTGAGTAATCAATATTTCAACTTCACCGTGAATAGCACTTTATTTTCAGTTCCCACTAAAGACTTTATAATAAAAAATGAAAGAACAAACGGCAAATGTTATCTAGGTATAATGGATGAATCAATAATAGGAGGATCAATTTTCGGATCAGATATTTTGAAGCTTTTTTATTTGGTTTATAATTTGGAAGATTCTATATTATCTATTGCTCCTATTAAAAATTCCAATTCAAATTCAGATTCAGTAGCGGAGTTAGACTCCTCAACCGTTTCAAGTTCGTCTTCGTCATCATCAACTACTTCTTCTTCTAAAACATCATCTTACAATGGTGTGAATAATATAATATCTGGATATTATATAACGTTATTGACATTCATTTTAAATTTTTTGTTATAAATAATTTTATAGATTAAACAATAAATATAAATACCCACTTAACACTATTATACTGTAGTCAATGTTTGTTGCGAACACCTTATATTAATTGTCAAGCCAAATAGTGTGTTAATAATTGAATATGCAACGCGTGTTAAATAAGAAAAAACCTGAAACAAATTTGGAAATTATAATAAATTATTATAACACTTCATAAAGAATATTATAATTCCATTAATGAACACATCAAGAGTTTTCCAATCTTCCCTTTTAATTTTAAAGTCAACTTATTCTCAAGTTTTCTCACTTTTGAGTTTAAATCATATTTAATTGCTGATAAAAGGGCCGTTTTTCATATCGTGTAGCTCTGTGTTTTTATCAAGCATTCACAACCACACAAAATCAACACCATTTTTAGAAAGTCAATTCTTCAAATTCGGAAAAACATTTCCGTCAAGTAGAAAAGGACACAAGTGGATTAATGAAAGGTTTAAAAACTGAAGATGGTAATTCAAGTTTAGCTATATTTATCATTTTATGTGGAGTATTGATAGTTTTATCAGTGTTATGTTACAAAGAGAATCAAAAGATTAGACTATATGACAGTGATACCAATGAACAAGGTAATGATAGTAATAAGAATATAACAGCAGTCGACGGAACTTATAGAATGTTACAGGTTTAGAATAGAATTTCGTCAAAAATCTTGGGGAAAATGGTTATTTCAAATATTGTTTCGCAGGTCGAAGCTCAATTTCAATAATATAGCCGGTCTGTTATTGAATTCAATTCTGCTGGTGTCTACAACTTTAAACTTGGTTCATTTAAATTTCAATTCTTATTTTGTTCATACTATTTTAGTATTTATTGCTACAACTACTAATAAAAGAGTTCCAAATCTAACAATTTTCATCTCTAGAGCACAAATGCCAAGATCCATTACTAACAATAAGTTAAAGAGCTGAGTGTCCATGCATAGCTTAGTTAGTGATATCGGACTAGTCAATATAAATCAGTTTTAGGGCTTCAGCCCTACTTGATATATAATCATATTTTGTGTAATTTTTTATTGTTAGAGAAAAACGAAAAATAGAAAGAGCTGAAATTTTTCAAAATCATAGCTCATCAATTACTTTTCACAACCAACCAAATAATAATCAAAAATGGCTCCAATTGTATGTATCTAATCACATCAATTTAATAAGATCAAATAGCAATATTGCAAGAAACAGCAGAGGAAATCAATTATGTTTTCTTCTGTCTAGATTCCTTATTTACTTTTTTTTTTGAAATCAGTTTTAGTACTTTTTTCCCATTAACGAAATCGGGTTTTTTGATATCATTACAAGTTCACTCAAAATGATTGGAGATTAATATTTTAATTTACAAATCTATGTATTACTCAAATTTCACTGGAGAAAAAGAACACTTCAATTCATAGACCATCTCAACCCCCGTTTTTACTTGGGAGGAAGGGCTTTGCTGTCAGAAGAAAATTAATATGAGAGAATGGAAATTAGAGACTTTATTGTTTCTAGTAATGCTTATTTTTTCAATTAATTAATTTTCAAGTGCGGTAGGCTAACTTTTCCTTTTTCTAGACTACAAAAAAATCAAAATCTGCTAAAAAATTTATTGTTGATACTTCAGCTCCAGTTGAAAATGGTGTTTTTGATCAAGAAGGATATGTTAAATATTTAATTGAACATATCAAAGTTGATAACATTGTTGGTAACTTAGGTGATGAAATTTCAGTTGAATCTGATGGTTCAAAAGTTGTTATTGTTTCTAACACTAAATTTTCAGGTAAATATTTAAAATATTTAACTAAAAGATACTTGAAAAAAAATCAAATTAGAGATTGGATTAGATTTGTTGCTATTAAACAAAACCAATATAGATTACAATTTTACTCAGTTGCCGAAGATGATGATGAAGAAGATGAAGAATAAATTATATTTAATTGAGTTTTCAATTTTAAATTTATATTCTAATTTCTTCTTCTTTACTTTTTAATGTTCTTTTTTTTTATGGGTTTACATAGGTTTGTATAAATATTAATATTCAATTTTTGAACAAATAATTGAAATCTCCAATGTAGAATCGATCTTTCTCTATTGATTCAGATACAAAGTTGAGATACATACCTTCAAATTTACAATGTGAAATGCTACCAAATACTTCTAACGGGTTTCTTAGAACAAAAACTCTACGAGTATCCAAATCGATGTTTTAAACTTTAATGTACGAAACTAATTACAGATATTCAATTTAATCACAAACCTCATAAATAAACAAAGCACATAATGGAATTGCTACCTGAAGGACAAAGAAACACAGCAACAGAAGTATCATGGGAAGATCAACAGAAAATAAACAAATTCTCAACATTAGTAAACAAAAAGGACATACAAATTGCAAAACTAAATAATCTAAAGATTGAAAAAGAATACCTCGATGATTTATCAGTAGAATTGGAGTTATTAGATGAAGATGAAAAAATTCAATACAAAGTAGGTGATTGTTTTATATTCTTACCTGTTTTTAAAGCGTTGAAAAAAATTGAGGGAAATGATTTGAAATTATCTGAAGAAATTAATGAAATTGGATCACGAATTGAACAATATGATGATGATTTGAATGATTTGAAGAAACACCTTTATGCTAAATTTGGGAAGAATATTAATCTGGAGAGATAATCGAGTTCAAGGAGTTTAATCGATTTAATGTCACGATGAATTTAACGTTTGATTGTAAATGATATGTAGATTGCCCTATTTGGCATCCGTTTTCCCCATTCTCTTTGACTTAAGAGCTGTGAACCCTACGATTACATGTCTGAACTGACTCATGAATATTCATCTAAGATTAGTGGCGCGAATGGGATTTGTGGTACCATTTTAAAATCAATCAGCTTACGAATAAGCTTTGCTAGAACGTCTGCTTCTCAAAGCATTACAGAAATAAGTCTTTGATAACCAATCTAATACATTAAAATAAACACCTATTTACATTCTAATCTCCCATTTGATACAAAAATATAATCCTCCTTTAAAAATGCAATCATCTCCACCACTGATCATTTATGTTTCTTCAAAGGCTCAACCACCAACTTATCAAAAGTATACATCTGTGAAATAGTAGTTTGTCTAGTCAATAAAGCTAAATTATTTATACCTTCATTATAAAAAGTATTTATTTGATGTTCATCTACCAAATCTTTATGATCTTTAAATAAATCATGAACTCTTCTTTTTGAATATTCTCTGAAATTATAATTATCGAATTTATATGATTTCTGTAGTAAGTTTTTGTATAATTTGAGGACTTGCTTTGAGTCTACCATTGTTTTGTTTTGGGTGTGGAGTTTAATTGTATTAAAACGGAACCGTTAGTAATATATTTTTTTAGCTGATATCTCTTTTCTTAATTATCGTCTCAATACACACTAATATTTACTATTAATAATCAATTTTTAGATAATAGATCTATTTTTGCATTCCCAGTAACAAAGAGGTTAGGAGTAATACAAGTAAAAGCATAAAGCTACAAGATTTTATTTATCTAATAAATTAACTTTTATTACTATCTGCACTTGCACTAGCGGATCTTTCTAATTGTCTGCTTCTATCAAAATATAAATTTGGATGACTTATATGTTCTTGTTGAATTATTGGACCTGTTCCTTTATGAGCACTCATAATTTCCTTTTGATGAGTTAACTCAAACACTCTTGTACAAGCAATAGTATAATCTTGATTACCTACATTATCCATTATTGAATTTAAATCTTGTTGATTTTTTATACCCATTTCTTCAAGACTTTGAGTTAACTGAGTTTGTGAAAAATCACGATATGGACAACCATGATACTCTTTTGAACTTGGTTTTGGTTTACTTAATATTGTTGCACAATCCCACGGTTTATAATTAATTCTTGCACCTTCTAAACCATATTGATGTCTTACATTATATTTATATTGTTTATTAAAAGTTTCTTGTGACATATTACCATTTTTGGTAAATTGTTGTGACCAAAATTTTATAGCTTCATCAACATTTAATCCAATACCTTTTAAAAATATACCTAATTGTTGTCTACCTAAATATTTCAAATGTGAAGAAGTCATTAAATTTTTTTGCAAATGGCTTGCACATAATGGATAATGAGACATGATTTGTTTTGAAGTTACTGATAATGCATTTATATCTGAAGTTAATTCGTTATCTAAATCAACTTCGTATTGACAACTTGAAAAATTACGTGATAAATTGTTGAGTAATGGCAATAATCTGTCATCTTCTTCTAATCTTGGAATAGCTTGAAAAGTTTTAATTAATATTTGATTCAAATTATTTTGGAATTCAGTTGCTAATAATTTCAATTGTAAACTGGTAGGTAGATAACCAAACCCATCTTGTAAATATATTGACCTTGAGGAAACTAATTGAGTTATTTTTTCAAATGGTAATTTTATAAAATTTTCTTTTTGAATCATCATTTGTTTCGTTTGTTCATTATTTAATGTTAAAGTATCACCAGAATCTGCTATGTATTGTTGTTTTAAAATATTCCCACTTGCTGCAAAAAATTTATCGATCAATTCATTTTTCTCTTTTGGTGATATATATTTCCATGATAATTTGTAGGAGTTCAATTCAACAAATTCTTGTTGTTCTTTTGGTTGTAATAGATTATATCTAACTCTGAATAATATAGTTTCGTTTTTGATAAACTTACTTCTTAATTCTTCTGATCTACAAAACACCAATCTCAAAATAAAATGACTATAATAATCTTTCATTCTTTCTTTGATTACAGATTTTTCATCTAAATTTACTGCAGGACTTAATGGTAAATATTTTAATAATAATGGTTTTATACTTAATTCAACATCTTTTGGAGTTTTGGATCTAGCAACACAAGATTCAATTTCTATTAGTATTTTCAATCTATCTATTGCCCATTGTTCAAATTCTTCTAATGTAATTTCTTGATTTGGTGGTAAATCATAAAACGATAATCTTGATGTAAATAATTTAGGTATTGAAAATTCACTAGTTTCTGATGAACTGTTGATAGACGGTTTGTCCTCAAAATTCTTTCTACCAGCTGTCTTCCTTTTAACTTGTCTAAACATAGCCAAAGATTATTAAGCTGATATCTTTAAATCTTGTTATAATTGTTGTTGTTGTTGTTGCAAGATTAAATAATTGATCTATGAAAATAAATAAAAATAAAGATAAATAATACAAACGCGTCTATATAATAAAGAGCGCGCTCGATAATTTGGTAGCCTTCTCTTCAATAAAATTTTCTACGTCGTTGCTCGTGGTAATTTTTAGTCGAAGATAATGCGAATACAATTCACAATTATAAAAAATTTAATGATCAACAAAGTGAAACTGAAACTTTTAAAAGTAGATTGTCGCAACTAACATTTAATCAACAACTATAATCAATCAATCATTTGCCACCTTCTTTTCTCATAAAAATTTTGAATAAAGTTAAAATAAGATGTCAGATGTGCATATTGATGCAAATGCATTCTACAAAAGATTGGCCATTTTTCAAAAGACACTTGAATCTGAAAATATTCCTCAAGCATTAATCATAGTTGGAGCAAGAAATGATGATAATACTTATAAAAAATCAACAGTACTTCAAACATGGTTATTGGGTTACGAATTTGTTCATACTGCAATATATGTTACACCTACAAGATGCGTATTTATTACTTCTGAAGGTAAAGCTAAATATTTACAAGGATTAACTAATAGACCAGATACAATTGAATTATGGTTAAGAACAAAAGATGTTGAAAAAAACAAACAATTATTTGTAAAATTAATAGAAGAAATGAAAGATGTTAGTGATGAATATGGAAATGTAATAAAAGATAAATATGATGGGAAATTTATTGATGAATGGAAAGAAGTTAGTAATGATTCTGGATTGAAACCAATTGATTTAGCATTAACATTATCCAAATCTATGGAATTAAAAGATTCAGAAGAATTTGAAAATACAAAAATAGCATCAAATGCAAGTGTAGTAATGATGGATACATTTGTTAATGACATGATGACTATAGTCGATCAAGAAAAAAAAATTACAAATTCACAATTGACTGATCAAATTGAAGATAAAATTGAAAATAATAAATGGTATTTAAAATCAAAATTAGGTAAAACTTTATTACAATCTATAAAAGATTTTGATTCTGAATTTTTGGAATGGTGTTATTCGCCAATTATTCAAAGTGGTGATGATTATGATTTAAAACCAAGTGCAATGTCAACTGAACAACAATTAGTAGGCGAAGGTGTCATATTAGCATCAATTGGTTTAAGATACAAATCATATTGTGCAAATGTAGCTAGAACATTTTTGATTGACCCAACTAAAGAAATGGAAGATAATTACGATTTTTTATTGAAATTACAACAACATATTAAAGAAAATTTTTTAAAGAGTGGTGTTAAAGCAAGTGAAGTATACAATGATACTTTAGATTATATCAAAAAAGAAAATCCAAGTTTAGCAGATAAATTTACTAAAAATTGTGGTTGGTTGATTGGTATTGAATTTAGAGACTCTACATTTTTACTTAACTCCAAATCAGAAAGAATATTGGAAGATGGTCAAATAATATCATTAACCATTGGATTCCAAAATTTAGTCAATAAGAGAAAAAATTACTCCATTCTATTAACTGATACTTTTAAAATCAGTATAGATAAGCCAATTTTATTAACAAATTCACCAAAAAATAAATCGGATATTTCATTTTATTTTAATGATGATGATGAAACCACCAAGAAAGTTAAACCGGAACCAAAAGTAGAAAACAATAGCTCATCAAAAGTACTTAAATCAAAATTGAGACATGAAAACAGTAATGCAGACGATAAAAATGCTGAGAAATTAAGACAAGAGATTCAAATGAAATTACATGAAAAAAGAACAGAAGAAGGTTTAGCAAGATTTTCAAAAGCTGATGCAACTGATGCTTCTGATTATAAACCAATTTTCAAAAAGTATGAATCATATATTCGTGAATCTCAAATTCCAAATAGTGTATCAGATTTAAAGATTCATGTTGATTACAAAAACCATACTATAATATTACCAATATGTGGTAGACCGGTTCCATTTCATATCAATTCGTACAAAAGTGGTTCACAAAACGAAGAAGGTGATTATACATATTTAAGATTAAATTTCAATTCTCCAGGTGCTGGTGGTAATGTAAATAGAAAAGCCGAATTACCGTATGAAGACTCGCCAGATAACACATTTTTGAGATCAATCACAATAAGGTCAAAAGATCGTGATAGAATGGTTGATGTTTTCAAAGCAATTCAAGACTTAAAGAAAGATTCAGTTAAAAGAGAAACTGAGAAAAAACAATTAGCTGATGTTGTAAGTCAAGCAAATCTTGTTGAATTTAAAGGTTCAAGAGTTAAAAAATTAGAAAACGTATTTGTTAGACCAACTCCAGATACTAAAAAATTAGGTGGGGTATTACAAATTCATGAGAACGGTTTAAGATATCAATCAAGTTTTAAAATGGATCAAAGAATTGATGTATTGTTTTCAAATATTAAACATTTATTTTTCCAACCATGTAAGGATGAATTAATTGTTGTAATTCATTGTCACTTAAAAAATCCAATAATGATTGGTAAAAGAAAAACTTTTGATATACAATTTTATCGTGAGGCAAGTGATATGGCATTTGATGAAACTGGTGGTAGAAAAAGAAAATATAGATATGGTGATGAAGATGAATTACAACAAGAACAAGAAGAAAGAAGAAGAAAAGCATTATTGGATAAAGAATTTAAGCAATTTGCTGACTTAATTGCTGATAGTTCAAATGGTATAGTTGAATTAGATATTCCATTTAGAGAATTGGGATTCCAAGGTGTTCCTTTCAGATCCTCGGTGTTGTGTATACCTACTAGAGATTGTTTGGTACAATTAATTGATCCACCTTACCTTGTTGTTACATTAGAAGAAGTTGAAATTGCTCATTTAGAAAGAGTTCAATTTGGTTTGAAAAATTTTGATTTGGTTTTTGTTTTCAAAGATTTTAATAAACCAGTTGTTCATATAAACACAATCCCAATGGAATTATTGGAAGATGTAAAATCTTGGTTAACAGATGTCGATATTCCAATTAGTGAAGGTCAAATGAATTTAAATTGGGGTCAAATTATTAAAACTGTACAAGCTGATCCATATCAATTTTTCTTGGATGGTGGTTGGTCATTTTTAACTGGTGCGGGAGATTCAGATGAAAGTGAAGAAGAAGATGCAGAGAGTGAATTCGAAGCAAGTGATGAAGATCCACAAGATGAAAGTGAGGTAAGTGAAGATGATTATGAAAGTGAAGGAGGTACTGATGATTTTTCGGGTAGTGGAAGTGAAGCAGAAAGTGAAGAATCAGGAGAAGATTGGGATGAAATGGAAAGAAAAGCTGCAAAAGCTGATCGTAATGCAGCTTATGATTAATAGCTGAAAAAATAAATAATATATATAAAATGTCTATATACTTTGTCTATAAACATATTTACAAGCTCTTTACTTTAAATTTATTGACAGCCACATATCTTTAAAATTCCACCAAGAAGCTCCACAACCACATAAACCAACCCAAAATGGAGTTAAACAACCATCTCTTAAACACCAATGTAAAACCAATGGTAATTGAATAACATTCTTGAATAAATTTATTTGCCAACTTTTAGTTTTCCATTCACTAATTGGAGCTCTTCTTATAATTTCGATAATCTCAATCAATAAATAAGCACCCCAAACTCTACAACACCATATATAAGTTTCAATACACCAATATGCATTATCACCAGTTCCAATCCAGTCATGATCAGTTAACCAACCAACATTTTCAAAAAGCTCTAAAACTATACAATTCAAAGCTTGGATAACGTTTATAAATCTATCTAATCTTGGTGATTTTGCATTGGGGTTGTTGAATCCATGCCATTCATCTATTAACCAAGGCATATACTTTATTGAATCTGTTAATCTATTGAAAATTCTAACATCTGCTAAATATGAATTTATCTTTTTTAAGTGGAATGCTAATTTTGATGGTTTTTGTTCTGATTCAGGGATTGGTTGTGGTGGGTTGACATTGAATGCTTTTACATCACTTGTATTTATATTTATAGTTTTTGCAAATTTCTTGAGTAATTGTAAAAGATTGTACTTCTGTTTATTCAAAAAGTTTAAGATGTTATATTTATTATTTAATATTGAAGAAACTAATAAAGCAAAATAACATAAAAAGTACAAGTTCTGATCAACAGTTGAAGACTTTGATAATACTTTGTCGTTAATTTCTTGATAGAAATTTCTACTAAATATAGATTTTTTCAAAAGATGATTCAATTGTAATATTATATTTAAAGGTAATGTGAAAGTTGTTCTTGGTTTATGTGGTGGTGACATCGTTGATATTGCTAGTATACTCATAATTGATGACTATTTGGTTTTGTTTTGAGTTTTGAATAATTCAAATATCTGAAATATTTTATAATTATTTATTATATTAGATTAGCTTTGATCTTCTGATTGTTAAATGTTTATTATTATAAATTTTTTTCAATTGGTGTATTTGTATGGGGCTTTTTTCTTAATTAAGATTTATTTTCCCTTTCCTCGGTTTGTATTATTATTGATAAGTTGATATTGCTACTTGGTTTCAAAAGTTTTTGGTTCTACGCAAGTCTACCAGTCTTTTAAGTAAGTAGTATTATCAAGAGAGCTACAACCACAAATCGGACGATTTTGAGCTTATCTTAAGGTGTGATTGTGGTAATCTGCGTTATCAAAGTTAGGCAAGTCAAGTCAGGTACTTTTTCGCGCATTGTAATATTTCTCGCACACAAAATTTGGTCTCCTACAAAATTAAGGTTTTGTATTTGAAACATTTAAATTTAAATTTGCAACCAAAAAAATGTCTTTAAAAATTATGAATGCAGCATATGAGTTAAACTAACATATAGAGTTCAGTTACGCTAATGTTTAAGATGGGTTAGAGAATATGCGATTGATAATTTTAATATTTTATATGTATTGTACAAATATAAATTAATTGAATATATATAATGGGACTAGACTCAGTCAAATGAAGTAAATATGAAATGAACGATTGAATACTGTTTAATTAAGTGATTTATTTATGATATGGTAAATCAGGTACTCCATCAGAAGATCTGACACTTGTAACACCATGATTATTTGATAATTGTGACTTTAATTGATCAACAGAAATACCTTCTTTTCTAGCATATTGTTCTCTAGCATGTTCATCAGTTGATCCAACAGTTTCCAAAACTAATTCCTCGATTTCTTCAACATCATCATGAATTTGTGGTAAAATTAAATTTAATATAACTCCAATTAATCCAGTAACTGCAAACCCTGATTCCATAACTAAAACAATAGCATTGAAAAAACCAGTTAAGGCATGATTGCTTCCTGTATAAGTGAAAACACTACTGAACCAAGTTGGAACTAAAGTCGCACCTAAACCTGGTAGAACTGAAGCAGTTAATACAAATCTATCTCTTCTTGTAAATTCGGTAGTTGAAATGATCTTAATACCACTGATAACAACACTCAGGAAAAGAAAACTAGTCATTCCACCTAACACGGCTTTTGGAATAGAGATGATAGCAGCAGCAAACTTGGCAAAGATTCCCATTACCAATAAGAAGAAGCAACACCAATATCCAACAGTTCTATTCGCACATTTAGTGATAGCTATGACACCATTATTTTGAGCAAAAACTGACATAGGAGTAACTGTCATTAATCCTGCTAGTATACCATTTAAACCATCAGCTAAAACACCACCTTGGATTCTTGATTCATATTGTTCTCCTTCAACTTCCAATCTAGAAACATCTGAAGTTGCCGTTATATCTCCAATGGCTTCCATCATTAGCACAATATAAACAGCTAAAAATGGTAAAATTGCTGGAGCATAAACTTGTAATTTGAAAGTTTCAACCCAAACGAAACTTGCAACCTTGGCGGAACTGATGGTCTCTGAGCTGAAGTAGCCAAGACTAGCAGCCACTATACAACCAACTAGCAATCCACAAATTGGAGCACAACTTTTCATGATTGGTGCACCAAACTTTTCAGCCAAAATAATTGAAACATATACTAAAAACCCTAAACCAATAAAATTAGCTGAGCCCCAAGGTAATGAAAATTTACCAACGTTACAAGTTTCTCCAACACATCCTGAACCTCCTACCCAATCTTCAAATCCAGATTCAACTAAATGAATACCGATTAACATGACAACTGGACCAGTAACTAATGGAGGGAAAACCTTTTGTAAAATTTTTGGTGGTAAAAAACTCAATAACATTTCCAATAAACCACAAACAATACCACTGGCTAATATTCTTCCATAACCATTTGGGCAAGGTAATTTAGTTCCATCAGCTGCAACTGGACATGTACCATCTGAATACATTAATGGGAAAGCATTTGAAGTGACTGGTAAAGTTGCAAATGAAGGACCAACAACTGATAATAAACCAGTACCTAAATAATAAGGAGTTTTCCAAATATGAAATCTTGTAATTTGAATAGTCGATAATATACCTGAAACGATTAAACAAGTACTTACTAAATATTGTTGAGTTGAAGCAGGTAAATTTGCTGAAATACTGATTAATATTGGGACAACAACCAAACCACCAACCATAGCTAAAGAATGTTGGAATCCTAGAATTGCACCCAAAACGATTGGCATGTCTGAATCTAAACCAAAAAATGGTTGAACTTTTGGTTCTCTTGTTAAAAAGGGTATTTCTGGTGTGAATAAGTATTTATAATCATAATCTCCAATTAAACCGTCTCTTGTGGTCCATTTACGAACAAACAGTTTTGCTATACGTTTTGCTTTGTCCATTGTATAATGATGATATATGAATCGTATTAAAGTGGTTGGATGATAAATTGAAAATTAAATGAATATGCTATGTTTGAGTTGCGAACTGACTTTATATAAATATGGGGAAGCTGAAAAGTTTATCTAAAGGTGAGATTTATTAAAATAGATTAATAATGGGTCAGTCCGACTTTATAAGATAACCGATGTATATGCAAATGATGTAATTATAAGTCAGTCAAGTAGGTAAGATCTTTTGAACTAAGATAAAAAGGTTTATCAGTAAAACCAAATAAAAAAGAAATAAGAGAAGCTTTTTTCACCTTTGAAGTATAAGACTATGCATAATTTAAAGATTTACAAAATCTAAGCATTAATAAAAAAAAGACATCCTTATCAAAATCAAACAATCAAAATAATTTATATGCATCAAAAGTTAAATTAATGTTTTTTTATCAATAAGAGATCAATAAATTTGCACGAAAGATTTTGCAGCCTAATTTTTTTTTTTTCTCTCTGTTCTTTGTTTTCAATTTTACCGCCTTTTTTCCTAATTTAACTTAATAATGTAAAAAAGCAATATAAAATTTTTCCGTGAATCTATACATAATATTGTTTTCTAATTAGTGGAAAGCCGTTATCAAATTCTATATACTATACATCTCATCTCTGGAAAATTTATGACACCCCCAGATAACAAGTCAAGAAAATCATGTAAAATATTGTTATCAATGAAAAAAACATACTCTGGGCAAGCTTTTAACTTTGAGAACATGAGTCTTGTGATTTCAACTGCTTTAGTAAATTATGTCAAATTTGAGTCTTATCGAGACTTCTTATCTTGAAAGTCTAATTTAATTGGTTTAGCCCGAAACTAAAAATTCATTAATAATTTAAGAAAAAACTAAAATTAAAAATTTATAGTCAAAAATGCCAAACGCACGGAATTTGCCGAAAGTTTTAAATCAAAACCAAGCAAGTTCAATAACTTCAAATGAACTCAAGATACCACAAATTAATCAATTTAGTCTTCTTTTAGTCTTTATCTTTTCTCTTAAAGGCGAAGGTTATTTGTATTTACGAGATTACTAAACTTTAATCGTAACTGGTATTGTCTATCTTATCGTAATTTGATGGAAAACAATCTCAGAAAGAAAAACCCTTTTGACCTTAAAATTAAATCTGTTTGCATAACACTACGAATATGGTCAAGCTCTTAATATTGAATCTATGACAAGCTAGTGAATACCATCCAAATTAACCGCTCGAGATATCTACACTCAAATGCGTCACGTGATCGAAGATCCTGTAAGTATTGGTACAAGCTAAGTTTATTCAGGTGAATGAGCTTAATAAATCAGAACTATCACGAATTTTATGCCTTCCTGAATATATAGATCGACTGTTTTTTGCAACGATATAATATCTTTGATGTTTTGCATTCTAAAATTTAACTGCAATAGATATGAAAAATAATAATAATTATAATAAAAAGTCTAATAATAATAATTACTAGAAGGAGAAAAAAATATTATGAATTTATTTCGAGAACGAAGATTTCCTCTTCTACTCGACACTTTTCTACTACCAGATTTTAAGAGTTGACAAATCTTGCATGATTTGATATATCCATATTAGTTGGTATAATGATTTGATATATTCATAGTAGTTGGTATAATGAGTTGATATGTTTACAGTAGTTGGTATAAGTTTTGCATGAAGTAATAGATTTAATTCTTTGAAATATTCGAGGGGTTAACTTTTTGAAATTTTTGAGGGGTTAAGGTTAGTGATAGACTTCTAGAAATTATCAAATATTCACCAAACAATGTTGATAATTTTTGTTAGCTAGACGATATATACTTGAACCCCTCGGTATGATTTTTGTGTCCTGTTTATTGTAATTTAATGATGATCACTAAGGAGTTCGTGTAAATGATAATGTCATCAATATAGATTTTCAAAGAGTAATTTTTTAGAAAGAACTACTGGACTGTAGACAGCCTCCGGGTCAAAATGTACATGTGGGATCATCTTGTGTCCGTGGACAACCAAAAAAGTAGCAGTTTCAAATAGCCTCCCGTTTTTTTTGTTTGTCAAGATCAAATCAATCACTGACAGATTCAGTCCATCTGGCATTGGATCATCCATTGTATACCTGCACGAATTTGATTGTGACATATTAATTATTCACGTTGGAAAAGTGAATTGAGAAGAACTTAGTGTTGTACTAATAGATCGAAGAAATAGTGTTGATTGGTGCATCTGTTTCATTTTTTTGAGTCGTTATAAGAACGACTCGAAATGAATCTACTCGTTCGACAAATATCCATTCAATCAGATTGGACTTATAGCTAGTGTCCCGAAAATTTATGGTGTTCTTGATTACTAAAAAAATGTATATGTTGAACAACCACAAGGAGTCCTTGAACAAGTGAGGCTGGACGAAAAGACTTCCAAAGAACTTTCCTTGGTTGTGGTTGAGGTTATCTTTTGAATATTTCTTACTCGTTGAAGAAAATCGAAATTTATTAGTTACTTCGGATTTTAGCTACAACCAGGAAAAGAGCCGATATCTAATATTCCTTCTCGAATGGTGGATCAGTCTATTTAACGCGTGTTTATATAATGTTAATGTAATTGATGTATCTTGTATTTTGTTATTCAACAGTAATTGTAGTAATATCTTCAACCCTCTAAATTCAATATAAAACTACTTTTTTTCCCAGATTATGAACTGGACCTACATCACAAATGAAATGCTGCAGCAAAGAGTTAAAGATGTTTTAGAGAATGATTGAATATTTTAATGCATTTTGAAGGATTATGCTTGATATAAATTATGCTCACTATAAACGAATCGCAAAGCCCACGGTTAAAGTCTAAACGATTGAGTTATGTTTTGTAGAAAAATGAGACCTAAACTTACTCTTTTCATTCCAGAGTTTACTTTTAAAAGCTCCATGAGCAAAAACACTTACAACGATCGAATTCCACATCCACTTTGAGCTTGTTAATATTTTGATTTGACATGGTGCAAAAATTTAATTTTTTTGCAACAAAATGGGCTGAACAATGTTGAACTATTTATAATGAATTGTAAATGATAGTATTATGAAGTCTTAGATTGAAGGTCTCATAAACGTAATTTGACACAAGCTCACTAATACCAGTTAGTTTTGATGTACATCTTACAAGTCCTAAGCTGTTAATGGCTACATTGATTTTGCCAACTACTATATTTTAAGAATTCATTTCAATTAAATTACACAGACTTTATTGTTTAGAATTTTTTTTTGGATGTTGTAGAGACTTCAGTTTGTGGATCATTCATTCCTTATTTCACTAGTTTATATCGTATTGACCAACACATAGTGCAAAAAAAAAAAACATGAAAGGTTTCTGGAAACTTTTTACAATAATAATTAATGAGAAATAGCTCGGACGGAGATTACTACGTTTTTGGGATTAAGTTCTTGATTGTGTTGAGGAGACAGTATGCTGGCAAAATTTAAATAAAATATACGGATAGGAAGGTAAAATGAATCACCGAAATTTGTAAACAATCAAAAACACGGAAATAGATAATGTAAAACTTTGTAGAACCTTTTAGTCTATTTATTAAAAAAACAGTATCAATTGGGAGTTTTAAGTAAATTTTATGTACCGCTGTGCAAGCTAGTTGTGATGAGCCTTTTAAATCGAAGCTGCTTGATCTATTTTGATCAGTGGCGGTGATCAAAAAGTGTTAATTTTCAGGAGATCTAGAGTTTAGTTCAAATCAAATAGATTGAGAGAAGATCTTTAAGATCGTGTGATCTTTAAAGTTGGCGTAAAAATTATTTAGTTTTAGTTCTTGATTTAATAAATTATACATTATAGATTTAGATAAAAAAATTTTTAACTTTAAACCACAAAATTATCACAAAAAGTTTATATGTATAATTCCTTTTTCAAATTTTTATTGATAAATTGCTCTGCACTAAATTTATTTAAGTAGAATGATAATTATTTTTATATCAGAATTTCAGGTACGGGTATTTTTTTTTCAATGCCCCAAAAATATAGCTAAATTTAGGGTATGAATACAAATTTTTTTACTTCGTGGTAGTTGATGAGTTCTAAAAATAAACTTTAACAACAAACAAACTTTAATTCGAAGTGTTGAAATTATTTGAGTTTAGTTTTCTTATTTATCTTGGCAGCATATAATTAAGTAGTTTCTACAATGTAATTGTTATAAAATTTATGCATATAATGTAAAATATTAAATATTAAATCAAACGTCAAATTTATTTTTTTTCTCAGATATGTTGTTTTTAATGGAGGTGGTGATTTGTGTAATACTTTTACCCACTCACCTTTAATCAAATATTGCTAAATGAAATTATGAAATTTCTTTTTGCTCTTAATCTAAGACTTTTTGCTTTTGTTTTTTATTGTTTACAAAATATGTTCCTGTAAACATTATAAATTAGTATTTTTAGAACGTACAATACAATAGACAATTGAGTTCCGCAAATAAAAATCTTGTATGCAATTGTTACATTGGTAAAATCTTTCAAGAATCGACTAAAATTTACTAAAACTTTTAAATTTTACTAAAGAAGATCCTTTTAAATTCAAATTGTAAGAAAACAAATTAAGAAGCTGAGATTACTAATTTAAATAATAAGCTTTTGATAAATTCCCCAAAAGTTAATAAAATGTACCTTACAATACCAAGGTCATTAACCAAGACAAATCTTTTATTCTTTTATTTTAATTAGGGTTTTCTATTTTATTTTACTACGTCACCATAAAATAACTGTTGTAAAACTCTCGTATCTTTAAATGGTGAAGGTAACTCGAATTTGTTTTGGGGGTTTTCTTTGTGTTTCAAATTTGTAAAGAAAAATTTGCTTTGTGACACTTCAATATTCTTATTAAGATATTAAATAATAACAAGAATTAAAAGAATTTAAAGCCCAATAAAAGCATTTTTTTAATGAATGAATTTTCTTATGTCCCTGTAATATTTTATCTAAAACAAGATTTATCAGCACTTACTTATTAGATTATCTTCATTGCAAGTCGTACAAATTAAGACGGAAATTGATTTTTTATTTTATATTACTTTTAAAATTTTTACGAATATTTTGGTTACATTTTTTTCTACATATAAAGGTATTAATCAAATCATACAACAACATCTCCAGAAGTTATTTTAACATTCTTTACAAATTCAATTCATGCTTTTTTCTTGTTTCAATTTAAACAATAGATTTTGAAGAAAACAATAAAAAATCTTTCTGCATAAATACAATAGGAATTACAAATTCACGATACATCATTTAAAGGTCACACGATATTAATATAACTAAATTCAATTCCCACTTTTTGATACTAAAACATTTGCATATTTTTCATTATCAAATTGATATTATTCATGTTGAGTTATAGAGTCTCAATAATTAATTAATAGATACAATGCTCAATTTTTATTCACTACTGCCCCCAAGTCTTTATAAAAAGCTACGAACTAATTCAATTAAGCAAAAAACTAAAACAGTACAACTTATAGCAATATGTTCGGTTATGCTTCTAATAACGATGCTGTTAGTAATATCGACCCCGTCAAGGGAAAAATTATATCAATATACTCCTTCATTTAACGATTTTGATAAGTTAATTTATAAAATTTATGACAACAAGCATATTCAAACTCCATTACAAGCAACTACAAATACTGATGAATACATATCTTTGGACCCAGAATCCGAATTCGATGCTAAAGTCGATGAAATTTTGGAATCTAAGAAAGTTAAAGATTCAAATGATAAATATTGGACTTTAGATACAAATATAAAAGAACAAACTAACTTAAATATTCCTTCCTATTATTATGATGACAAAGAATCAAAACCAGAACTTCAACCATTTGATCCAAGATTCACATTATCAATGTACTACTACTATATAAATCAACAATTATCTCAAAATAAACAAAATGAAAAATCCTCAAAACCATCATCATTATCAAGACGTATCCAAAACACAAATAACATAAAAATCCCATTCAATTGGTATGACTGGATAGATATGTCAATACTAGATAATTATATACTAGCACCAGATGAACTAAAACCAGATTGTGAAATCTTAAATGCTACTTACGATCATAAAATAGTGCATGATTTACAATTAAATGCAACCTTATTGAGAAAAGGCTGGGATGAAGCCAAAAAAAAAGATGAAGAAGAGAAGAAAAAGGCTGAAGAGGAAAAAGTTAAAGCCGAAGAAGATAAAAAGAAAGCTGAAGAGGAAAAACACAAACAAGAAGAAGAAGCCAAACACAAACAAGAAGAAGAAGCAAAGCATAAACAAGAAGAAGAAGAGAAGCATGTACAGGAGGACGACAAGAACAATCAACAAGATAAACAAGAGGAAACTAAACCAGAATCAGATCGAGAAAACAAAACGGAAGAAAATAAGGCTGAGGAAAAGAAAGCCGAAGAAAAGTCCGAAGAAAAGCCTCCTAATAAAAAAAGACATAACCACTTAACAAAAAGAGAAGAGGAATTGTTGAAAAATCTAAAAGATGTGCAACCTTCGAGCGAATGGTGTTTATCAAATTCACAATTATCTGAATCTCATAATGATGATCATAAACAACACCCTGGCTTCAATGTTTTCAAGACACCAGGAAGAACAACTCCTCAAAAGGGGAAAATAATTGGTAAATCATATATGTATTCATATGCACCACCTCCATCATCAATTATATTTTTAACTGAACTGGGTTCATATACAGTTGATATTGATTCCAATTTAAGGTTGTTGAATAATCAAATACCTGAAGATTATATTGCACAAACTAAACTAAAAAAAATTGATATTTTAAAAGAGTTTGGTAAGCTAACTAAAAATCATCCGGCTGATACTAATAAAGTTATGAATGAATATAGTTATACCATTGCAGAATCTGATTTTGATGTAAATTGTGATGCTATAGTTCATGAGTACAACAAGAAATTAGAGAATGGTGTAATTTTAACTGATAAAGAACAACGTTATCATGAAAGTTTAAAATACTCAATATATAAAGTTGCAAATGGTGGACCAACAAAATATTTTGATGAAGCAAGATTATTGGGAACTGATCATGGAGATCATTATGATTGGAGGTTCTTTAATGGGATGCTCTTAGGTACAACTGAACAAACATTAACTTTACATAGATTAATCCGTGCTTGGTTAAGTTTTACAAGAAAAAATGGTATTACAACATGGATAGCTCATGGTTCTTTGTTGAGTTGGTATTGGAATGGTGTTGCATTTCCATGGGATAATGATATTGATGTACAAGTCCCTATAATGGATCTACATAAATTATCCTTAAATTTCAATCAAACTTTAATTGTTGAAGATCCAAAAGATGGATTTGGTAGATATTTCGTTGATTGTGGAACTTTTCTATCATTAAGAGAAAGAGGTAATGGATTAAATACTATTGATGCAAGATTTATTGATATTGATACTGGAATGTATATTGATATTACCGCGTTAGCTTTATCAAATACAAAACCTCCTGATTATTATTTGGAAAAATTACCTGAAAATTTTAAAAAGGATGAAAATAATTGGAAAGCTGCTAATGAGGTCCTACAAATTTATAATTGTAGAAATAATCATTTTACTCCATATGAAGATTTATCACCACTTATGAAAACAATTGTGGAGGGTGAATTTGGATATATACCAAAAAGATTTTCTAATATTTTATCAACTGAATACAAGCATGGTTTATCGTCAGATACTTTTGAAAAGCATGTGTTCATTCCAAAATTGAGACTCTGGATCAAGGAAGAAGATTTGTTTTATTATTTAAAAGATCGTAAAAAATGGATACAATATCATACATCAGATAATCAAGAAGATGCAACTTCATATGAATTAACAACTGAAGAAAGATTAAAATTGAAAGAAGGTAAAAATCCATATCAAGATCAATATTTATTCAAGTTAACAAAGCATCAACTTGATAAAATCTCAACTTTCAATTACGACGACATAACTGATTTATTACTTAAAGATGAAATTTTACTAGCTTATTTAACATCAAGAGAATTTACATCTTTCCATGAAAACGAAATTATGAAATTAACATGGGGTAAAAATACAGCTGAATTAATTTTGAAACAAAAAGATTTTCAACCTTTACAATATGAGCCATTTTTATACAAGTTAAGAAATGAATTTGAAACTTTTGATTCAAGAATTACTAACTTAAAGGAATTAACGGATTATTTTCAATCTGGTATACAATTTGATCCATTTGTCATAACTGAAACTGATTACGGCTTATAAACATTAATATATACATTTTGCATTTTCATTAGTGTTGTAGAATTGTGTCAGGATTGGGTTTTACGCAACTTAAAAAGTTGTTTTTTCTATAACATTTTGTTTTATGACTTTATTAAATCTCTATATATACAGTATTTAAGTTTGAGCATTTGTTTGTTCAGACAATTTAGCTTGAGCAACTAAATTAGCAGGAGCATCCATTCTTGGTAACATGACTTCTATCATTCTGATTTTATCTGGTTTAGCAAATGCAGTATCAGCAAACAATTGATTTAACTCTCCAGTTGTTGATAATTTGATTGTTTCGTAGTCTTTTGCATTAAACAAAGGCAATAATTGTAAATTGTTCCAAGGTTGTATATCATTATATGAAGCATTCTTCCCGTGAATTAACCTCTCGATAGTATAACCATCATTGTTTAAAACGAAAATATAAGTATTGTTACATTCCCACTTACACATTGTTGAAATTTCTTGAACTGTTAATTGTAACGATCCATCACCAACAAATAAAAGTACCCTACGAGATGGATCTAATTCTTGAGCAGCCATCGAAGCACCAAGAGTTGCTCCAACTGTGTAACCTATAGATCCCCATAATACTTGTGATATACCTATAGTGTTGTTGGGGAACCTTGATTGAACAATTCCAAAAGCTGAAGTACCAGTTTCAGTTATTATAATGTCTCCTTCTCTAAACCATGAGCTTACTTTAGTCCATAAATATTCTTGAGTTAATGGAGTGTCTTCGGGATGAGGTGAATTTATAAGTTTAGCTCTTGGTACTGGTATTGGTTTATATGATGGATTTATTGATTGTGTTACAGTTGTTAATAATTTTTGTAAAGCTTCTTTCATTTGGACACCAGGGAATGTAGCTTGTCTTATTTTGGTATAATCTGAATGGAATTCAATGACATTTTTAGTTTTATATCCATAACTAAAGGAACCAGTGTTGAAGTCTGATAATAATGCACCAATTGATATTACTAAATCTGCACCTTCAACAACTTCTTTAACATCAGGTTGTGATAAGGACCCAACATATACACCACCAAATCTTGGATGAGATTCATTAATACCTGATTTACCCATTGGTGTGGTAAAAACTGGAAATTGAGTTAAATCAACCAATTTTGCAACTTCTTTTTTACAATCATGTCTTGAAGCACAAGCATCAACCAATATAATTGGATTATTAGCTTCTTTAATTAATTTTTCAACAGTTTCAATAACTTCTTCTTGAGCTTCTGGATCATTTTTTTTAAGTGATAAATCAATAGGAGTTTCTAATAATGAACTTGGAACCATTAAATCAACTAAATTTGAAGGTAATCCAACATAAACTGGTCTTTGATAGATATATGCATCTCTAATACATCTATCAATTTCCTTTGGTGCAGTATTTATATCAGCAATAAAAGCACTTGTTTGACTAATATTTTTAAACATTCTATGAAAAACTGTAAAATCTCCATTACCTAAAGTATGATGTAATAATAATTGTTTAGCTTGAGCATTTACAGAAGGTAATCCAACAATATTTAAAACAGCACAATGTTCAGCAAATGATCCAGCAATAGCATTAGTTAATGATAATTCACCAACTCCAAAAGTTGAAACAACTGCACTTATACCTTTAACTCTTGCATAACCATCTGCTGCATAACCAGCATTTAATTCATTGGCATTCCCAGCCCATCTCATACCATCAATTTCATAAATTTTATCTAATAATGATAAATTGAAATCTCCTGGTAATCCAAAAATTGTATCAACTTTTAATTGATGTAATCTTTCGAAAAGATATCTACCCAATGTGATCTCTGACATAGTTTATGTTTTGTTGTAATTGACTTTTGATGATTGAATTGGAGTAAGAGTACCTGGATCTGACTTGAATTTATGATTTGTTTAATTACTTATATAATTGAAAATTTGTTTCAAGTGGTTGGCAATAGTCCGTTAATTGTTTACATGTAACTTAATCTGACCAGATTAAAAGTATTGTAAAACATTTTTTAAATGATCTGATTATACACCTAAACACTAAAGATAAACAAAGTTAATCTAAAAGTCATAAGATTTTGTGGCCCTATTGGTTGGATATTAATTTCCGAAGCTACTTTAAACGCATATTTTATTATGTATGCATTTACGAGAAAAAGTATGCATTTACTTTAAACGCATAAATCTGACATGATTCGATAAAACAATATCTTTAAAAAAGTAGTCATTTCGGAAAAACTCGTAATGTCTTTAGATATCGGATTAATTTTTTTGTGTTGCCTTTTATATTATTTGGATCCAATAGTGGCAAACGGCTTATCTTAATCCGATCATCCAACAAGAACTTTAACTAGTTCTTAAAGACTATAAGCTAATGACTTCAATAAAGTTATTATAAGCAACATTTCTCAAAAAAAGCATAAAGCCGCATGATCTAAATTTGGGTAGATCTTTGGTAGTGTACTTTTGGTCAAGTCCAAACTATCAACAAACAAAAAAATTTAAAAAATAAAAACGTGATAAACGAATGACCTGATAGTATCTGAATAACGATACATCACAATAACACATTGTATATCGTTACATTGACTTGAATAATTGTCCAAAACTTTGAGTATGTCATTGACAAGAAGCTAAAGGAAAAAAACATTTCTTACAAAGAAGATCTTGAAAAATGAGGGGGCTTCTACTGATTTCGAGTTCCAACCTCGTGAATGTCACGAGTTTTTATTTTGCAACCAAAACAAATTCATACTAACAATTAACGCTTAGAAATGTCAAAAAGAAATTCAGTTTCGGACCGTGAAGGTGGTTCAAAAATAAGAAAAATAGACGAAGAATTAGTTATTGATTCTGAATTAATGGCTCATCATAATAAACATCAACAACAACAAGGTAAAAATGATCAGTCAAAAGCTGCTAGTGCTGTTGCTCAAGCTCACGATCATCAACAACAAGTTCAAAAACAAGCTCAGCAAGCCCAAGAAGCTTATTTAAAACAACAGGCACAACAACATATTCAACATATGCAAATTCAGCAACAACATCAACAATCACCTACTCAACAACAACAAGCAGCTCAACCGCAACCACAACAACAAACTCAACAAGAACACGAATCTTCAGCTGCAGGATCTCCTCTACATCCAGATAGTCCATCCTCACAAACAGGCCCAAGACCAACTCAAGGCTCAGAAGAATGGCACAAACAAAGAAAATTAAACCATAAAGAAGTAGAAAGAAGAAGAAGAGAAGCAATAAATTTAGGTATTAAAGAATTAGCTGATTTAATTCCAACAAGAGATACAAACAAAACCCAAATTTTACAAAGAGCTGCTGAGTATATAAAGAGATTAAAAGAAAATGAAAATAATAATATTGAAAAATGGACATTAGAGAAATTATTAACTGAACAAGCTGTTTCTGAATTATCTGCTTCAAATGAAAAATTAAAATCTGAATTAGAAAGAGCTTATAGAGAAATCGAACATTTGAAAGAGCAATTGAATAAAGCAGCTAAATAGGTAATGATAATGTAGGAGAGTTGATATATTCAATTTTGAGACTGAAGTTTCGAGGAGTTTTTGAATTTCAGACGGTAGTTATCTCTCAAATTTGGCAAAAACTAAAAACTTCGTATTTAAGAGAGTACTCTACATCTACTTAGTTCCAACTGGTCTGATTAAGATCATAATATTAGACCTGCACTTTTAAAAAAATTATGCGAGATTTTGCACCAGCTGCATTGTTAATATTTTAACGCGTATCAACTAGTTGGTAGCTTTTTTCAAACCAAAAAAGTTAGAGACCAAAAAATTGTTTGATCTAAAATGTTTCAGTTAGATATCACTAACAATTTATAGCATTTTTCAACTAACGCCATCATTAATAGCATACATATATAATGGGAGTACCATTTCCAGATATAAACCCATATGAGATACTAGGGGTATTACCTGATGCAACACCAATAGAAATAAAAAAATCATATAAAAAACTATGTTTAAAATTTCATCCTGATAAGTTACAACAACAAAAAGATATAATTATTGAAGAAGAAACTTTTACAAAAGTACAATTTTCATTTAGCATATTAAACGATCCAATAAAAAGAAATAGATATGATACATTGGGTTCATTATCAGAATTTAATGAAGAATACGATGAAGAAGGGTTTGATTGGAAAGAATATTTTGCATCAATGAATGATAAAATAACTATTGAAATGATTGAAGAAGATAAATTGAAATATCAAAATTCAGAAGAAGAAAGACAAGATATTATAACAAATTTTATATACTATGAAGGTGATTTTCTAAGGTTATTTGAAGTTATACCACATTTAGAGTTCACAGAAACTGAAGAACAACGAGTTTTTAAAATTATTGAAATTGAGTTACAGTCTTTAAAAGTTGATAAACAAATTACAAAATCATGGGAGAAATATACTAAAAGTAGAAAATCAAAAGTTAAAAATATGTTAAATAAATTAGCCAAGGAAGCAAAAGAAGCAAAAGAGTTAGAAAGATTAATTCAAGATAAAAGTAAAGGTCAAAAACAAGACCTTAAAAGTATGATCAAGTCACGTCAAAACAATAGATTTGATGATTTAATTAACAAGATGGAATCAAAATATAAAAATAAAAAAGGTAAAAAAAGAGTCGTTGATGATCTTGATGATGATGAATTTGAAAGAATTCAACAAGAAATAATGAAAAAGAGAAAATGAAGAAAAGGGATGGGTTGCATTTATTTAGTTCTAATTGCTGTTTATAGCTTAATTAAAATAATAAATATTTTTAATGGTATATATGTATAATCAATTTGTTGATTGTTTTAATTTACTTGTTAATAAAATTCCTAATACTATGATTAAACCAGTAGATAGAACTGAAACAACAAGCACAGAAGAATACAATCCAACTTTTTTGATTATTGATAAACCGAAAAAATAATCAATTTTTTTTCTATTCTCAACCAGTGTTGATACTAAAAGAGCATAAAAACCAAAACATGTTGTTATTATCAAACTTTTAATAGCTTTTTCAATTGCGGAAGTGAAATCAGTTTCAATCTTTGAATAACTGCCTGAATCATAGTTTTGAGAATTAATATATATTCTGTAGGATTTATAGAAAGCAAAACCAGTTTTAATTAAAGAATATATGAATGATGTCCAGAGAATTAAACTTAACCAAACATATACTTTTATATTATGAATTCTTAGTTCTTCAACAAAATCAATCCCTGTTAGTGGCTGGTTTTTAGTTGTTTCCATATTAGTATACTTGTTCTAATCGATATTTGAATTTTTTCAATATTAAGTTGATCCATATTTTAGTTGAATTTCATTGATACTAATAACTTTAAGTGGTTGCAACTACTTATATTTTATTAATACGCGCTCTTATTACTAAATTTATTATTGTTTATTTATTTTTGTTTGATCTATACTAAATTTAATTTTTTTTTTACAACCAAGTCTCTTCTTTTCTTCATAATCAATCATTAACATGTCAATTGTTTCTGATGATGATATGTCTGATATTATGTCAGATGAATCTGATTATCAAGAATCATCTACTTCAAAATCAAAATCAATATCAAAACCAAAACAAAAACAAAAAACAAAAAAACCTTTATCTGAATCATCAACATCCTTAAATACACCTACTACAAACACCACTACAAAACCTTCAAGTGCTTCAGAAACTTATCAAAAATTATCACAATTAGAACATATCTTAAAAAGGCCTGACACGTATATTGGATCAGTTGAAAAAACTAGTATTGAAATGTGGTGTTTTGATTCAGAATCAGAACAAATGCAACATAAGGAAGTTTCAATTGTACCTGGACTTTATAAAATTTTTGACGAAATCTTGGTCAATGCAGCAGATAACAAAATAAGAGATCCAACAATGAGAAATATTAAAGTTAAAATTGATCCAGAAAATAATGTTATACAAGTTTACAATGATGGTAGAGGTATACCAATTGAAATGCACACCAAAGAAAAAATGTGGATTCCTGAATTAATTTTTGGTAATTTATTAACTTCTTCAAATTATGATGATGATGAGAAAAAAGTTACTGGTGGTAGAAATGGATTTGGTGCAAAATTATGTAATATTTTTTCAACTCAATTTGAAGTCGAAACTGCTGATTTAAATACTGGTAAATTATATAAACAAGTTTGGACTAATAATATGAGTAAAGTTAATCCTCCCAAGATATCTGATCTAAAAAGTAAAAAAGAATATACCAAAATCACTTTCAAACCTGATTTAAGTAAATTCGATATGGATAGTTTAGATGAAGATCTTTTGTCTGTTTTAAGAAGAAGAGTTTACGATTTATGTGGTACAGTTAGGGATTGTAATGTTTATTTAAATGATAAAAGATTAAGTACTTCCACTTTCAGAAGTTATGTTGAAATGTATGTTAAAGCTATCAAAGAAAGAAGTCCTGAACCAGAACCAACTGGGGAGATATCTAAAAATCATACAACTATTGTACATGAAGTATTTAATGATAGATGGGAAGTTGCATTTGCATTAAGTGATGGTTCTTTTAATCAAGTTAGTTTTGTAAATTCAATTGCAACCACAGCTGGCGGTACACATGTCAAATATGTTTCAGATCAAATTATAAATAAATTAGTTGATACATTATCCAAAAAAGAAAAAGGTAAAAAGAAACTTATGATTAAACCGGTTGAAGTTAGAGAAAATATGTTCATATTCATTAACTGTTTAATTGAAAATCCTGCATTTACATCACAAACAAAAGAACAACTAACAACAAAAAGTTCACAATTTGGTGGTAAAGATAAATTTGTTGCATCAGATGATTTAATTAAACGTATTTTAAGAACAGGTATTGCTGAAAAAATCAAAGCAATTGCAAATGCTAATGAAGATAAAGCATTACAAAAAGCTGATGGTTCTAAAAAGCAACGTATTAAAGGTCAAGTAAATTTAGTCGACGCAAATAAAGCTGGTACTAGAGATGGATATAAATGTACTTTAATTTTAACAGAAGGTTTATCTGCTAAAAATTTAGCTGTTGCTGGTATGACAGTCATTGGTAGAGACTATTATGGATGTTTCCCACTTCGTGGTAAATTATTAAATGTACGTGAAGCTTCAAATGAACAAATTGCTAAAAATGCAGAAATTAATGCATTAAAACAAATTATTGGTTTACAACATAAAAAACAATATACACCTGAAAATATTAAAACTTTAAGATATGGTCATATTATGATTATGACAGATCAAGATCAAGATGGTTCACATATTAAAGGGTTAATTATAAATTTTATTGAGACTTCATTTCCTGGTTTATTAGATATTCCTGGGTTTTTATTGGAGTTTATTACACCAATTGTTAAAGTCACCATAAAAGGACGTGGTGCTAAAAAAGTGATACCATTTTACAGTATGCCAGATTTTGAATCATGGAGAGAAGGTGAAGGTAAAACATGCCGTTGGACTCAGAAGTATTATAAAGGTTTAGGTACTTCAACTTTGATGGAAGCTAGAGAATATTTTCAAGCTCTAGATCGTCATATGAAAAGATTTCATGCATTACAAGGTGATGATAAAAGTTGTATTGATTTAGCTTTTTCAAAAAAGAAAGCAGATGAAAGAAAAGATTGGTTACAAAATTATATTCCTGGTAACCAATTAGATCCAGAATTAAATGAAATCCCAATTAGTGATTTTATTAATAAAGAATTAATTTTATTTTCAATGTCAGATAATGTTAGATCTATTCCATCAGTACTTGATGGTTTAAAACCTGGTCAAAGAAAAGTATTATATGGTTGTTTTAAAAGAAAATTGAAAAATGAAATAAAAGTTGCACAGTTAGCTGCATATGTTGCTGAAAGTACTGGATATCATCATGGTGAAGTTTCATTAGTTCAAACAATTATTGGTATGGCCCAAAATTTTATTGGTTCAAATAATATAAATGTATTAAAACCAAATGGTGCTTTCGGTTCTAGAGAAGCAGGTGGTAAAGATGCTGCTGCTGCAAGATATATTTTCACAGAATTAACTGAAATTACAAGAGCTATTTTCAATCCCGCTGATGATCCAATTTATACTTATGTACAAGATGATGAACAAACAGTTGAACCACAATGGTTTTTACCAGTCTTACCAATGGTTTTAGTAAATGGTGCTGAAGGTATCGGTACTGGTTGGTCAACTAATATTCCATCTTTTAATCCAAAAGATATTGTTGAAAATATAAGAAGATTAATGAAAAATGAACCATTAATGGAAATGACCCCTTGGTATAAAGGATGGGAAGGTAATATTGAACCAAATGGACCACAAAAATACAAAGTAACTGGTAAAATTGAACAAATTGATGAAAATACATTGGAAATTACAGAAATTCCAATCAAAACTTGGACAAACAACATTAAAGAATTTTTACTTGCAGGTTTTGGGACTGATAAAACTCCGCAATGGATTAAGGATATGGAAGAACATCATACCACTTCTATTAGATTTGTCATAAAATTAAGTGACCAAGAGATGGAAAAAGCTTTAAAAGTTGGTTTATTGGAAAAATTTAAATTAGTTTCATCATTAAGTTTGGGTAATATGGTTGCATTTGATCCTTATGGTAGAATTAAAAAATATAATGAAGTTAATGATATTTTAAAAGATTTCTTTTATGTTAGATTAGAATATTATGAAAAAAGAAAAAGTCATATGCTTGAAGTTTTGCAACAAAAATTAACTATGATCGCAGAACAAGCAAGATTCGTCAAGATGATTATTGATAAACAATTATCAGTTGCAAATAAGAAGAAAAAAGAATTAATTGAAATTTTAGAACTGCATGATTTTGTTAAATTTACAAAAGATGGTAAACCTATTCCAAATAATAATAATGATAATACTACTTTTATTGATGAAAATGATTCAGAAGAAGAAATTGAAAATGCAGGTGATGTATCAGCATTAAACTTAAAACAAACCACTACCGAAGTTGAAGGTGAACATAGACCAGATACAATTTTTTCATCGTATGAATATTTATTGGGTATGACAATTTGGTCGTTAACTTATGAAAGATATATTAAATTAATAAATGAAAAAGATAATTTACAAAAAGAATTAGAAATATTAATTGGTAAAACAGCAATTGATTTATGGAATTTTGATTTAGATGAATTTATAAAACAATATGATTTATTTTTACAAAGAGATGAACAAGAAAGAGATCATTTAGCAAGTAATGGTCCAAAAAAGAAACAAACCAAGAAAAGAAAAGCAACAGAACCTAAAAAGGAACCAGCTACCAAAAAATTAAAAGCTGAACCAAATGAAATTAAAAAAGCTAAATCAAAAGAGCCAACCCCAATTTCAGTTGCATCTTCAACTACTTCAACATCAACTCCAGTCCCCATTGTCAAAAAAGAACCACCAAAATCTTCATCATCAGATATACTTTCATTTTTCTCACCATCAAGTAAAACCAAACGACCACAACCAAAAATTCCAACAGCAGTAAAACCATCATCATCAATGTTTGATTCTGATGATGATGACATATTTGAAATTATATCAACTCCAGAAAAAAACAAAATATCCAACATAAAATCAAATTCCAATACTACAACAACCACTAACACTAACCAAAAAAAATCAAAAATATTAGATGAATTAGATGATTTAACTATCATGGGAGAAAAAGTTGAGATTTTAGAAGATAAAAGAAGATCAAGAAGTAGACCATCTGCAACAACCACAAATAAAAAGAAAAAAGTTATAATTGATTCAGATGAAGATGATGATGATGAAAGTGATGAAGAAGAAGAAGAAGGTACAAGTATTGTTAATATTGATGATGATGATGATGATTATGATGATGAATAAACTAAATGTATACTAGCTAAATTATAAATAAAATAAATAAATAATAAAAAGTAAACAAAGCTTCTATTTTTGTGTAATATTAGAATGATGTGCCTTAAAAATTATTTTAACATTCTTGTTTGAAACATTCATTAATTTTAATTTATTACACGATGTGGTTAACTCATCAATTCTACAAAGTAATATTTTGTGACAAATCATAACAATAAGTTAATCATTAATAATGTTGATCGTTATTTTTTTCATTTTGTATTGATTTACGCGTGGTTGAAAGTTGAAAGCATGTTGAAGGATACACTTGAACTTGTTGATTAGTTCCTTTTAAACTGTCGAGTTTAAAGATAATAATTCTGTTGTGAAAAACATTATATAAATAATATTATCAGAGATGGCGTTTTGCATGTATTTGTATTGTTTTCATTAATCAATGTAATTCAAATTTAATGGAAATATGAATCTGAAACACAAAATAACTTCAATTAATTTTTGAAGATTTTTTAAGTTAACTTTTTAGGTTGTCCACACAACAACTATATTTTTCAAAATCTACTAAATATTTGAAACTTATTTAAGCCATCAACATTCGCGAAAAAATTCACAATACTCTATACTTGATATCTTAGTTTAGAAGTTGACTTAAAATATTGAGGTGAAAATTTAATAAATATTAAATACGTAATTTCAAATTAATTAAAATTTAAAAACGAGAAAAAAAAAATTGAAAAAAAAAATTAGTTTTAATTTTTGATAAGAATTGAAAAGTCACTTTATTTTTTTAGCTGAACTAAATTAATTCATATATAGATCAACAAATAACAGTATAGTTTATGTTGATCAATTCCAACTCATATAGTTCCATTTACTAGATTTTGTCATTCCTTTATTACCATCAATCAATTTATTTATTATAACATTAGTAGATTTATTACTTTGTTCATCAACTAATTTGATACTTTATTTGAATAATTGACAACCACAAACAATATATCAGACTATACTTTAAAAATTTATATCAATTTTCCACCAAATTAGACAATAGAAATATACATATATATAATGAACGTTGATCATCAATATCAACATCCACAACAACATCAACCTCCTCCACCAAATTATCAACAACAAAATACACAACCACCTTTTTCACAACCACAACCTTATCCTCCTCAACACCAACAACAAGCTCCATATCAACAACCTCATCCAAATCAAGTTCAAGGTCAGCCACCAGTGCCGCAACCTCATCCTCAACAACAACAGCAACAGCAACAAGCACCAACACAACAGCAGCAACAGCAACAACAGCCACCACAAAGACAAGTTTCTTTCAATGTATCTGATCATTATCAAATCCTAGAAATAGTAGGAGAAGGAGCATATGGAGTAGTATGTTCTGCGATCCATAAACCATCAAATCAAAAAGTAGCAATTAAAAAAATAGAACCATTTGAAAGATCAATGTTATGTTTAAGAACATTAAGAGAATTAAAATTATTAAAACATTTTAATCATGAAAATATTATATCAATATTAGCAATACAAAGACCACAATCATTTGAAACTTTCAATGAAATATATTTAATTCAAGAATTAATGGAAACTGATTTACATCGAGTTATTAGAACTCAAACATTAACTGATGATCATATACAATATTTTATTTATCAAACTTTAAGAGCTTTAAAAACTATGCATTCTGCTAATATTTTACATAGAGATTTAAAACCACTGAACTTATTATTAAATTCAAATTGTGATTTAAAAATTTGTGATTTTGGATTAGCTAGAAGTATTGCTTCACTGGAAGATAATTTTGGATTTATGACTGAATATGTTGCAACTAGATGGTATAGAGCCCCTGAAATTATGTTAACTTTCCAAGAATATACTACTGCAATTGATGTTTGGTCTGTAGGATGTATTTTAGCAGAAATGTTACTGGGAAAACCATTATTTCCTGGTAGAGATTATCATAATCAATTATGGTTAATTATGGAAGTTTTAGGAACACCAAATATGGAAGATTATTATCAAATTAAATCAAAAAGAGCAAGAGAATATATTAGATCATTACCATTTTGTAAAAAAATTCCATTTCAAGAAATTTTTAATAAGAATTTACCCTCACCAAAAGAAATTAATCCATTAGCTTTAGACTTGTTGGAAAATTTATTAATTTTTAATCCAACAAAAAGAATAACAGTTGAAAATGCTTTAAATCATCCTTATTTAAAATTATATCATGATCCAAATGATGAACCCGTAAGTGAAAAAATTCCAAATGATTTTTTTGATTTTGATAAAAGAAAAGATGATTTATCTATTGAAGAATTGAAAACAATGTTATATAATGAAATAATGAAACCACTTTAGTTAAATTTTGATCAAACATTGAGATTTTAATTAGGTTGAGAAAAAGTAACATAAGTTTGATTGCAAGTTGGAGGTTTAAACATTATTAAAAGGATTATGGAGCTTAGATAGAAGATAAATTGACGGTTTATAGATGTACATTATTGTATATTTAGGTAATTAAAAGTTAAAAGCAAAAGGTATTATCAAATTGTTTCATTCACAAATGTATGGATTCTCTTATTGAAATTTTCGTATGCAAATCAGCCGGTGCGGCTTAAAATTTAGTTTTTAGTACAAAAATCTTGACGCGGTGCGCGTATAAAATCACAGCCTGATTATTTTTTATTATTAGCTTCAATTCTTTTTGCAAAAGAGTTTTTATTCATCAGTTAACGACTGAATACTTGTTTGGAAGTAGTCATTAACTGATATGATTTTTAATAACTGTATTTATTTAAAGACGTATACTAGAGATAATGGAATTGATTTTGCTAGATCAATTTTTACCCCAAGTTTTTGTTCATAATTTGAAACAATAGCAAAGATCAAAAAAGAAAAATTTAAATAATATACAGGAATATCAATCAATTTCCATTCGAGGCAGTACAATTTAATAAAGTAAATTGAAAAGAATGAATAGAGTATAAGCAATGAAACAAATTCAAAAGACAAAAATATATCAATTATAAAAAAACTATACAACAAAAATCAAAAAGTACTAAATAAAAGAAAGTAAAGAATCAAAAAAAACCAGAAATGAAAGTCATGAAAATATACCCAAATAAATCATATCTTTATAAATTATCAAAAATTATTTATTTCTTTCTACCAAATAATCCTTTTTTCTTTTTTTGTTTTTTACCACCATCAGCTTGTAAAGAACTTGCACTATAATTACCAGCTTGATAAACAGGTTGTTCATCAAAATTTATAATTGGTCTACCACTATTACCAATTTCTCCAATTCCTCCGTTATTATTATTATAATCTTGTTGATTTCTTGATTGACCATTTAAATTATAATAAGGGAAATCTTCATGAAAACCCCAACCTAATCTATTACTTTCTAATTGATCTCTATAAGTTACATCACCAGTTATAGCATATTCAAATCCTCGAATAGTATCTAAAGGTCTTTCATTTCTATTTCTTGTTGGATTACTCATATCATAATTTTTAATAGGTTGACCAAAAATATCTTTTAAATCATTTGAATCATTACTTAAATAAGAAGGTCTTCTATCACCATCTGGTCTATGAGCAGCTTGTTCAAATGGTTGTTCTTCATTAACTGCAGTTAATATTGGATCATGAACATTAGCTGTATGAACTTTATAATGTTCTTGATCTTTTGATGTTATTTTTATATCTATATTACCTTGTTGTGGTGTTTTATTTGAAGACTTTGATCTAAATATAGCCATTTTGAAGTAATTGTTGTGAGTATTTTTGTTTTATTAAAAATTTCGGGTATCTTTTGATTTTAAAATAATTATTATTTATTTATTTATTAGCGAATGTTAAATTTAATTTGTAATCTTAATGAATCTTGTTAATTAATTATTTGATAGTGAATGAATTAAACCTAAACAGATAAGTAAAGTTTTAGTTGAAAAGAAAAGTAGTTGTAAAAATATCGAAAGGAGATTTTCTAAAAAAATTTAGATTTTGATTTTGAGATTTTTTTTTTTTCTTTTCTATTTAATTTAATTTTATATTCTTTTGATTTATATTATATAATTTTGTTGATTTTAATATGATGATATTTAATTATTATATTAATATTATTATTTTGAGAATAGTTTATTATTTTGATGTACAGATTAATTATCTGTATATGACATTCTATAATTCGAAATTAAACGTTTGTTTAGAGTTTCTATATCTTTAAAGATTGAAAATTGATCCTTAATTAAAAAGTTTCAATTGAATATTTAAAGAAAAAAGGCTTAGTATTTACACATATAAGAATCCCAAGCCTTGAATGTATTTCAAAAGTATCTATATATAATAAACAAAGCTCCAAGTATTGTTTTTCAGGAAGATAAGGATTGTATTATATCTTTAATATCAAGCCCGAGACAATTGAAAAAATAAAAAAATTGTGAATAAAAATATCCCGTTACATCCTATTTTCTCGAGGTTATAAACATTTTATTAAATCATTAAAAATTTCAGGCACCTCGTATAATTTCTATTATATTGAATACTTTTTTGTAACTTTTATTAATATTCTGAACTTTTTTGATCCTTATTTTCCTAGTCAGAGAGAGATACGTATAACAAAGAGCTTGTAAAAGTTGTTGTAGGAAGATCAGTAACTCAACATTTCCTTAGATCTAGTAAATAAAGCCTGACTCTTTCAATTGTAGGAGTAGATACGTTAATTTTCGTAAACAAATTCTGATTTCATTACCCAAAATCAGAAAAAAATAAATCTGTGTCAAACTAGAACAAAAATCTAAAAAAGGTCCTAAAATAGCACACTTGACAAAACAGCTTAAATTTTCAATATTAAGTAACTAAAACTAAAACTTACATCATTTTATTCTTTGAAAGAAAGTAAATGTAATTAATATGAGACTTTTTTTGCTAGCTCTACTGTAAGGTGGTCGTTTTGGGCAATTTATATTAAAATTTTGATCTTAACAGGCTCTCCAATTTTTTGTATTCTGATATCGCATACTTTTCATACAATTAGTACAATTTATACAGAACATAAAAAACTTAATTATTACACCATAATAAATAATTTATCATAGACAGCATTCAATTCAAAGAATTACAGTTTGAATCTTCCAAAATGTCTAAAAATCCAATTCAATTTGTATCACTAATATCAAGAAATGATAAACCACTATATATACAATCATTCATACCAGGATCAACCACAACTAAAGATCCGAATGATAAATCAACACAAACAACATCAGCATCAAGTATAAATAAATTTTTAAAATTCAATTTCTTTAGTCATATGGCAGTTGACATATTTTCATCACCTACATCGTTATTATTAAGAGAACAACAACAACAACAACAACAACAACAACAACAACAACAAAAAGGTACAAATCAAAGTGGTGTATTACTATTGTTTATTCAAGAACAAGTAATAGTGTATGGGTACGAATCTAATAATGGATTAAAAATCATTGTTGGTGTTGATCAGGGGATTAGTATAAATCAAGAACTGTTAAATAATTTTATAAAAAATATTTATAAATTATATTTAAGAATTATTTGTAATCCATTTAAGAATTTTAAAGGTATAGAAAGTAACATAAATGGAGAAGATAATGATGATGATGATTTATTAAATTCACCTAAGTTTGATAATGGTGTTAGAAGTTTAGTTGAGAATTTTATGAAAAAGTAGTGAAATATATAGAAGGTAATAATCAATTCGTCATTCATTAAATTAAAGTAAATTAAATATGTAATTATTGTAAACTATTTCAATACGACATTAGCACCTCTTAAACTTAAATAAGCTTGATCAACACCAGGTTGAATATTTTTAATAACTTCTTGATAAATTTCAACATTATAAAATCTTAATTGATTTGAAGGATTTTTATAATTACCCTTTAAACCAGTAATATCACAATAATGTTTTTTAGGTTTTAAACTTGGTGGTGAAGTAACTGATAAATAAGTTGGTTTATCTATTGGTAAATTTGTTTTTGATTGAATATATTTTATTTCATCTGATATTAATTGTCTACTTGGTTTATATCTTCTATTACCTATTGGTTTTCTGTTGGGGTTTTGTTTGAATGAATGAGGTTTTGTTGTTATTTCCAGTAGATTGTGGAGTTCGGGTGATACTGATGCTGACATATTTATTTGTTGTGGATGTGATTGAGGATTATGTTAAATTGGTTGTAAATATATGATGTAATTTTTTATCGTGAATTCTTTTTTTTCGATTTGATTTTTTTGATTACTTTTCAATGAAACAACTTCAATAAGAAATTGAGAGGAACAAAATTTTGTAGTATTTACAGAAGAATTTTAGAGATGATCACGAACAACCCAAATCATAGCTCAATTGATGTGAAGTTTTGAAGTCCTTTTTTTGTTAGGATTTTTTAGTTACTAATTTGTGAACTATTTGTATGAAATTGAATCTAATTACGATCTTGAGAATTAAACTTCACCTACTTCAGATTGCAGATTAACGTAAAGACTAAATTTTGCAACAAGATATATATTTGTAAAGTGTCAACATACTATCATTTAATATTAATCAATAACACCACTTGTAATACTTAGTTTCTTTTGATTCTTTACATGATCAAAATAATAAATAATTTTTTAATCATAGAAAAAAAAGCCATAATAATAATTAAAAAGTATCCAAACAAAATTTTGGTAAAAAAAAAAAGAAACAATCTACCCCAGACTTTTTTTACATTTTATTATATCAATACCCAAATTAAAAACATTCAATGATTTTCATATAGACTATTACCTAGATATTATTTGTATTATAAACTTATTAGACATTCACAATTCATTAAAACATTCACTTATAGACGCTTTGAAAGAAAGCATTAAACAAGCATTTTAACATTTTCAGGGCATTATCAAATGATTACATCAAGACTAACTAATTTCAAATCTAGCATACTATTTAAACAGTCAATACCGATACTAAAGCTAAGATCATCAACGCTAAGATCCTCGCTACATTATTGTCACACAAGACAATTCACTACATCTAAAAAATCACAACTAAATATAACACCATTAGAATTATATAATGAAAGAGTAAAACAAGGAAAATTAAGAGAGGATCAATATCAAAGAAAAATTATAAGTTCATTATCTATATTACATGAAAATTTAATTCATTACAAACCACCAGAAATAGAAATCCCCACAATACAAGAATTAAAAGCAGCATCAACCAACAAATTTTCAATACTCAAGGTATTTTCATCATTTTTTGGTAAAAATCATACACAACCCACTATAAAATCAACGGATTTTGAAAATGATGAAGAATATAATTCAATAAATAATAAAGGAATTTATTTATATGGAGATGTTGGATGTGGTAAAACGATGTTAATGGATTTATTTTATGATACAATTCCTAAAAATTTAACTAAAAAAAGAGTTCATTTCCATCAATTTATGCAAAATTTACATAAAAGATTACATCAATTAAAAATTCAATATCGTATTAAAAATTCAAAGGGAGAATATCATGATGAAATTGATGTTATACCAATATTAGCATCAGAAATTGCAAAACAATCAACAGTATTATGTTTTGATGAATTTCAAGTAATTGATGTAGCTGATGCAATGCTTTTAAGAAGATTATTAATGCTCTTGTTGTCATCACAATATGGAGTTATATTATTTGCAACAAGTAATAGAGCACCAGATGATTTATATTTAAATGGAATTCAAAGAGTTAGTTTTATTCCATGTATTAAATTAATAAAATATAAAACAAGAATTATTTATTTAAATTCACCAATAGATTATAGAAAAATCCCAAAACCAATAAGTTCAGTTTATTATTATCCTAAACCTGGTGTAAAATGGAATTCTAAAATAAATCAATCAAATTGTAATAAACATATTAATCAATGGTATGAGTATTTTAATCAAAATAATCATAACTTGCCAGAAGGTGAAAAGCTTGAGAACTATTCATTAAAAGTATGGGGTAGAAATTTAATTGTACCAATAAGTTCACCACCAAAAGTTGCACAATTTACATTTTTTCAATTATGTGGTACCCCAATGGCAGCAGGTGATTATTTAACATTAGCAGAACTGTTTGATGCATTTATTATAACTGATATACCTTATTTAAGTATAGATCAAAGAAATCAAGTTAGAAGATTTATAACATTTTTAGATGCCATATATGATTCTCATTGTAAATTATCAGTTACTTGTGCAGCTCCATTTAAAGATTTATTTGTTGAACCTGAAGATTTATCAAATGATGGAAATAATTATCAATTATATAAAAAACAATCAGAAGCTAAATCACAAAGAAATAAATTAAATGAAGAAGAAAAAATTCAAATTGAGAAAAAACTGAAAAAAAGATTAGAAAATATAGATATTGATTCTTTTGAAAATGATGAATTAGTTATAAAACATGGATTTGATAAAAATATTGTTAAAAAGGCATCAATGTTTGTAAATGATGAAGAAAAATTTGCATTTGCAAGAGCTTTAAGTAGATTAAGTCAAATGAGTACTACTGAATGGATTGAATTTGATAGAAATAATTAAAAATAATTAAAAAAACGATTGATTAGAAGACATATTTTGTTTAATTACCTTAACTTTATTTATTTTATAGATTATTTATGTTGATTTATGATTATTTATTTTTACTATTAAGTTCTCTCATAATTATATTGATACATATACTTTTGATACAGTATGTGGAAAGATTTAATAGCCAAATCACATAAGTAGTTACAATCAGGGAGCCGTGCGTGAAATCGCATTTGCTCTATCGTAGTGCAAATTGGTAATTTATGAAACAACTCAATTTACAACATAAGTTCAATATAATAGTAAAAATAAATAAAGTAGAGTTGGGAGTGTTGGAATATAACCTTTTAAAGTTAATTTTTTGTTTACGTTTTAAGTAAACTTCTAATCTGGAATTAACAATTTAATATTAAAACGGGTAATAGTATTTGAGGAAATTTACTTACAAATGTTAAAATTCAGTATAAAAATCTTTTAATATTGTTATTTGCCAATAAGAAAATATAAAAATGAAAATAAAAAAACTAAGAAAATGAACTAATTGTTCTCAAAAGGATTGCTTTTCAATTGAAAGAAAACAAAAAAAAAAACTTGAAAAAACTAATAATTGTTACATTCACCGTCAACTCCACCATAAGAATTGAGGTAGTTTTCTCCCAATAAGATTGAATTTTGACCTGGTTGATTCAGCTCTCCCCATGCAGCACAAATTTTTTCAGGAACTGAATAACCAGTCGATGATAACAAAGAATAAGCCATGTTTTCAATTGCATCTTGACTATTAATAATACTACCTTTGTCCATTTCAGTCCAATGTTGTTTTAATAAATCAGCATTAAAACCATCAAAATTAAATGAAACCCAATCAACTTCGTAATCTCTTTTTTCAAAAACATTTTCCCCTTCCCTTTTACTATTTAAATGATAATCAACAAATCCATTCATAACAGTATGTATTGAGTCAAAAGTTGTCAATAACACACGTCCCTTTTGATTACCATAACCACCATAAAATGCTGAAACAGTTGTATTGTCAGCAATTGTTGTATGTGTTGAATTAGGTGGTAATAAAGCATTAATACTGACCAACCCAAATTCATCAGTCCCATGAATGGCTTCAGTTAAATTGAATTCGGAAGCAAAATCTAATTTAGGTAAAACTAAATGACTAATATCAGCATAACCATATTCATTAGCTTCTATTAAGATATCTCTTTTATCTGGAGCAGCTCCTGATCCAGACATCCACCTCCAACCACTTTGTTGACCATAACTTCTGACTGCCTCATAAGCACCATTTCCTAAAGCATGAACAAAAGCAAAAACAACACATTCAACTCTAACGACACTTGCTGGTTGATGATTACCAGTAGCTGCTTCTTGATAAAGACCAGCACCACAAAATGTATTTCTTATTTGTTTAGCAGTATCAATTAAAGCTAAAAATACAGTTGACCCAGCAACCATGACTGCATTGAACAAAGCACCTCTCTTGGCAATACCGCTTGAATAAGTGTCTAATCCAAATTTAGGTGAAGAAATGACCTCTTTTTTAACAACATTTGTATTTGATGAACTAGTACCTCCAATTATAGCAAATAAAAAAAGGACAGCAAATGCAGATGCAATAAATATACCCAATGTATAACTCTTTTTTGATGAACCAGGATATTTCATTTTTGAATTGATAAAGTTTTAAACAATTGATTTGTTGATTGTTGATTATAAGACTTTGCAAATACAAAAAATTAGAAATGACAAAATTTGGTATATTTATAACATTTTTGAAAAAACAATCATAAATTGATTTTTCTCAAAGTAAGTTTAATAAATTTGGAATCCAACCATGTGGGTTATACAATATGTGCGATTTATTCAAAAAAGACATCAAAATTCCAACTCACATGGAAAGGTTATGCAAATATCTCAAAATTATTAAATTTTTTTAAATTCATTCAAAAATTGATGAAATCATGTTGCAAAAAAATTTTTGATGAACTACAAACTATCTTGCCAATTGGTTGTTTGTAATTTATTAAAAAATTTATAATTTAAAGCCGTAAGGTAATGTAATTAGTGCCTCATATACAATTGGAAGAACTAAAATCATTTGTATATGATAACCTAAATTGAATGTGTCTGAATAAACTTAACAATACGCGGCTAATTAATTTTAATTAAACATACCCTCATGCCAAATGGTTAGGAGGTTTTGTTTAAAAAGATTCATAACTTTAGCTTTATTTGGTTTTATTTGATGATAGTCACAAAATTAAGAAAGACAATACACTATTTTTAACATTTAATTTTAGCACCAATTGGAAGAACTAAAATCATTTGTATATGATAACTTAAATTGAATCTGTCTAAATAAACTTAACAATATGCGGCTAATTAATTTTAATTATACATACCCTCATGCCAAATGGTTAGGAGATTTTGTTTAAAAAGATTCATAACTTTAGCTTTATTTGGTTTTATTTGATGATAGTCACAAAATTAAGAAAGACAATACACTATTTTTAACATTTAATTTTAACACTCTCAAAAGAGGATTGCATTGAACCAGAACATACGCGTTTCTGCTTAATCAAAGTTAGCATTTCAAGAACGAGCCTTCGGTTTGTAGTTTTGATTTCTCTCTCTTTTTAAAAAAAGTTATTTTGTTACCTTCAAATGATTCAAATCATTTCATAAACATAAAACATAGAATAAAACGTATGAGATCGACATATTTTGAGTCAGACAAAGTGTAACCAAGTTCAATAATGATGCTCTTCAAATACTTAATATTATCAACTGAAACAAATCCAACCCGATTCTTAGTTATGATTCAATTATTATTTCACATAAATTGCGCTTTCAGTATCAATACGAACCGATAACATGTAAATACCTATCGAACTTAGTTCAGTAACTCCTTAATCACAACCTTCTTAACGTTGCCGTGTGCGGTAAAGCACCTTGAACCTATTCAATTTAACATTAATTGTTGTATCTAAATTGGAAAAAAATTGCGCTAAAACTCAAACCCAATCATAATGCCAGAAACAATCTGTGACTATAATGCATAATCTGAAATAATTTAATATACAAGACAAATAACAATCAAACTAGATTTAATGTCGTAAAATCAGATAAAAGAGAAAAGATTTATATTACATTGTTTATGATTAACTAGTTTTTTTGGATCGTTTCCATTACAGACCATATACAATTTTTATCCCACCCCGGTAGACCCATCTGAACCCTTTATTTTAATTGAATTTTTAATTTTTTTTGTATTTTTTTGATTTTTTTTTTTTTTTTTTTAATTTGTATGTTTTATTTTTTTAAAAAAAATTGTCTAATATTATTGTTTTTCATATTGTAGATTTTCTGAAAAAATTAACTACATCCAGTTGCACGATTACTGACACAAGTATTTCCTGAATAATCGTAATCACGTATTTCACAACTTTGATCATTGTAAATACAACTTTGTAAACAACGAGCAACAGCACCATATAAATCTCCATTGGTCATTGAACTAGGCAGTGACCAACTTACACAACATGAAGAGTAACAAGTTGATCTTGGACTATACGGAACTTGATTGCCCATGCTGTTATGCAAACCACTGGCGAGGGCTTGACAATCTCCACTACCTGGAACATGTGATCCTGAACATTGTAAATTATCTCTTTTTGCAATGAATTCGAATTTATCTGAAGAAGCTAAAGATTTTAAATTTTGGAAATAATTTGATAATTCAGCTGTTGAAGAAGAGTTTGACCAAACATCGAATATTGAAATATCTGATTTAGCTCTAGCAATAATAGCATTAGCAATGTCACCATTTAAGATCTGATTATTATTTATACCATTAAAATCAATAGTTTCAGCTAAAAGAACAGCATCACCAAAATTTTGTTGAGAAATAGCTTTTTCGTATGATTCATAAGCAGTAACCAAAGTATCATAATTGTCAAATGAATAGATACTAACATTCAATTGAGCACCAAAACCTGGATCAACATCAACAACTAATGATCCCTCAGATTTGACATTGTTGACAAACTTTCCTAATGAAACATCTAATACAAATTGATCTGTTGTAACTGCAGTTACAATAGTTGCATATCCTAATGAATAGATGATATTTTTGAAAAACATTGCTTTTGAATAAAGATTTGATATTGAGAATTAAATCGCTTGTTGCAACTTTTAAAAAAAATTATTAATTTTAATTACCTTTGCCAAATATATATTAAATGTTACTTATATTTTTCAATATCTGAAAAATTATCTAAAATTTTATGAAAATATTTTTAATTTACTTTGCAACAGATACTCACAACTTTTATGAATCGCCTCAAAAAGTCTTCTATTATTAATTGTTGTACTCACAAATGTATTGTTTAATTCTTGATATCTAAAATGTAACACTGTGATATTTTAGTTTGCTTTTGCAACTCCACGTGCATTTGTCTATACAAGAAGGTAATGACCAATTGAAAGAGTGAAAGAAAACTGTCAATTTGATCTTTCTTATCATACTGGGTTATAAAAACCTATAAACATGGATTACACAAAATCGCATTTAAAATAAATTACAAACAAAAGTTTACAAACCAAAATTAATTATAATACACAAAATAAATTTAGTCTAAATTTTAGAAAACTCATTAATTTAAAACATGTGTCAATTGTGCTGCTGAAAATTACACAATAATAACAACTAGAAGCTTTCATCACATACTTTACTTTTCAAACTTGTTGCGAACTCAAAATTAAAAGTAGAATTTTCATTTTTCAAATTTCTATTAAAAATTTTATGAATGTGTTAATAATCTTAAATAAGCATTATTTTTCTTTGAATTTTATATGACTTGGAAAAATTTTAGAATTTACATCGTGAACAAAAGTCAAATCAAATTTTATCTTTTAAAATGAAATCAAATTTATTTATCTTCACTTTAAGTACATTTTTAACAACTCAAGTTGTTGCTTCAGGTTCAATTGTTTCAAAATTAAACACCGTTATTAACAACAACAATAATGATGGTTCAAGCTCAGGTTCATTAATTGTTGAATCTGATCCTGGTTATGGTGCTCAATTGAATGCTAGTATTTATTCATATGATAATTATGTTAAAATTTATAATGCTTACCAATCATATGAAGAAGCAGTACAAGATGAAAAATTTGGTGACGCTGTTATTTATGCAGAAAGTATTTTATTCAATGGTGTAACCACACAAGATCTTTTAGAAGGTGATATTGCAGCTGCTATCATTACTAGAGCTAAATCAGATTCAACTTTATTTGATTTATGGGCAAACACAACTACTTCAATTGAATATGCTGAGTATTTCAAAAATTTAAAAACATTGGCTTCAAGGGATGGATTTGAAACAATTCAAAAAAGAGATAATTTACAATGTTCTGGATCACATGTCCCAAACAGTGGGGATTGTAACAATTTGAAATCTTCACTCAATTCAGAATCTGGTTCATTTGTTCCAAAGTCACCAAGAAATAGATGTTTCAACAATTGTTGTGTTAGTTGGTCATCTGATAATACAATGCGTTTTGGTGATTTAGCAGCTGCTGAAGATAGATGCGTTTCAATTTGTGTCAACAATGGACAAAGTTGTATAATTAGAGATTGGTCAACAAATGGTAAATTTTTAAATTTTTGCACTAGTAACCGAGCTGATGGTTGTAATTGAGATTTCACAAGATTGAATAATTGGGTGAAAAATTACAGATATGAATCTATAAAAAAATATTTTGAAAAAATTGAAAAAAAAAAAAAAAAGAAAAAAAAAATAAAAAAAATAAAAAAAATAAAAAAAAGTTTAAAAATTAAATAAAAAAAATTTTATTTTTCGAAACAAATTGAATAAAATTAGGGTACAGAGTAAGGTCAGCCTGGGGTGGGATAAAAATTTAGGAATCTGTATAGGAAATGATCTAATCAAAACAAAAAAAAAAAAAACAAAAAAAAAACAGTTGTAGATTGTCATACCTTGTGTTCTAGTTTGCTCTACAATTTTTAATTCCTAAAATCTGGCTGCAAAATTTAATAAAAGAGTTAAGCGGTTTTGATATATTCAAAGGTTAAAAGATTTTACGATTTTGACCCCTAATGTCGGTACTATTACAAATATAAGCGGTGCAACCCCATTGCAGTCGGAACAATGAACTCTAATCAATACTATTTTGATGGATTACGGTATGATAATATAATAGATCTTATGACGGTTTCACAAAAGCCATTTTTCGTAATTATAGTTTTTGACTAAAAACAAATGACTAAAATGAGTCTATAAGTCAAAGTTTAGATTATACATTATCTCATTTTAATCATTAAATTGATTATCATATGATGGTTGGGATTTCTAAAAGTACAGGGTTTTAAAAAGTAAACTCTAGCAAAAAAAGTCTATTGTGTGCATAATTTTTCGAGCCGTAAATGAAGTGGGCCAACCCATGTATTACTAAACGAGAACTCAGAAAATACCACCTTTAATTACATTAATACGTGCATATTCCCATACAAATTCCTGCATATAAAGGTTTTTTTTACCAAATGAATAGTCAAATGGTGCACTACCTTGGCTAAAATGTGTAACTACAGTTACATCGGATGTGAACAGATTGTTTGTATTTGATACACTTTCATTTCTAATCATCAAACTCCCCAATTGATCAAGATCAAAGATTTTGGGACATCACTAATTTTATATATCACTTTCAGAAAGATATCCCTTATATAATTTTATCACATCAACTACGATTTTTTAACTACATTTTTCAATAATAATAATATGGAAGTAATAGAGGTATTTTTAACAACATTCAGAACAAGTTTAGTCCCCACTATTCCAATTCAAAATTATTATAATGTTGTTAAAAGACGTTTAATATTCTATACATCATTAAATAAAGTTGAATTATTTTCAAGTATAATTTGTTTTATTATACCAATAATAATAATTGTTTCTTCATCAATATTTGCTGAAAATAATGATTTGATTCATGACTGTTATAAAAAGTATAAATCAATTGGTACAAAATATTTTGGATATTTATTAATTCCAATTTTATCAATTATGATTTTATTTTATTTTAATTTATCATCATCAAATATTACATCAATTTATCAACAACAATTTTCCAAAAAAAATTTATCTACTATTTTATTTATAAGTTTTATAATTTTATTAATAATTATAAATAATACTATTGAATTATATTCATTTAAATATTTAATTTTATTAAATTTTAATTTAAATAATAAATCAATTTTTTTTAACTTTTTGAAATATTCAATAATTCAAAGTTTTACAACAGGTTTATACCATGGAATTAAAAAACATTATGAACCTGAACATTGGATTTTTGAAAAAGATTTACCTATTGAAGAATTTCATTTAATTCTTCAAATTTTAATTAATTGGTTCCATTTTTTCAAATATATAACGGGATTTATATAGAGTTTAAAAATATAGACACTAGATAGGTGGTTTATTTTCTTCGACAATAATTATTGATCCAAATATGTTTTGCTACCAGCGGGTAATGTTTCGTTATAATAATACCGTTAGAATGTACTTCACTTGATGCAAATGTTCTTTACTTGACCCCCCCTTTTTTTTTTTACTTTTTACAATCAATTCAATGAAACTCTTTCAACAATACAGCAACATTCAGATTCACTTTAATCACAACGTCTCTTTCTTGACACCAAGTGAAATCATCAGCAAGTTGAACTGCTCAATGAATTTAATTAATCCGTATAGTATATTCAATAAATGTAATTCAAATAATTTATGGTCATACATTCTATTTAGGCATAGCTATCATTGGAAGTACCCAAAAACTTTTGTATACACCTTATTAATAAAATAAAACATGATACCAATGTATCAGATTCTATGTAAAATTATGTAATTTATGAAGCAAAACACAAAATCAATTTGTTACAGTAGGAATTTTCATTCTAAGAAATTTGAATACAATATCTAACGAAATCATCTAATTTACTGATATTTATCACCAGACGTTTAAACAGATCCATAATGGTCTTATCAATTAATATATTTAACTACGTCAAAACTTACGAACAACTCAAACAAAAAGTAAAAAAGTAATTACCAAATTGCTGAACAAACTAAACGCTTTCAATTCAATTCAAATAATTTGATCTATATATCTAATCATAATTGTAATTTGAAGCTCTCTACTTTCTATTTCTGGTTACTTTTACTTATTTGTTGTAAGAACGAAATGAATCTACAATGAAAATAAACAACACAAATCATTCTGTTTCAATTAAATATCTCAGTCATAAAAAATTTCAATTCAAGCATTAAAAGACGAAGAAACTAAGATAGTATTCGAACAAAGCTTGGACAATGAGGAACATTGATGTTTTTTTCTTTGGAAACTATAATATTTTCAAACAGCCGTGTAGCTACCACATTCATTGAAATATTAACTGCTGTAGTAAAATTAAATGAGTAGACTCAATTTTATTTGGCAGAAATTACGAGAAATGAAAATATATTCTATTGCGAAATGAGAAAATTATATAATTTCGACAATAAAGACTAATATTTTAAATCGATATGAAATAAATTTGATAAAAGATATTCTACAAATCTACATAAAGTCCGTATTTTACTGTACCATATTGTGTAAAATACATTTTTTATATAAAGTATACGGGTTTCAATATATTAATGAATATAAAATTAATAGTTAGAAACTGTATTAAAATTAAATTAAGGTAATTTAGGTGCGGCTTAAAAACATTAGACACAAAATACTGTATATAACAATATAATCTTTAATCGAATTTGATTAAATAATTAACTAATTTAGGTTTGCTTTTGTTTAATCTTTTATTTGTTTTAATTTATTTATATACAGTACAGTTAAAACAATTTTGTAAATCCCCCTTTCAAAATTATTTATAAATGTAAAGATATAAATAGATTATAAGATTTTTGTTGCTTTTATAATGGTTTAAATCGATACTTATTATTGAATAGATACGAGAAACAAATAAATGTCTTTAAATTGTCTCAATCTTATTCGAAGAAAAATTAATTAAAACGGGAAGAGTTTGAGGAACTCGAGGAATTGAGGGAACTTATTTAAATGAAAATGTTTCTCTGATAATTCTGTCAATATAAATTTTTATACGTGTTTTAACTTAAATATTAAAATTGTTATACTATCAACAATAAGTTTGTATATTCCATTAATAATAATAATAATAATAATAATACTGTTAAATTTTATTAATTAACCAAATATAGTATTAATAATTATTATTAAAATATTTACGTCAAACAATTCTAATTGTAATAATTTTAAGTGCACGATCAAACTAATAAGATCAATAATTATAAAATCTTGATAAGAAATCAAATATATACTCAAATTTGAATCGGGATCTTTGGATAATAATATATTCTTTGACGGAAATTATTAGTTTTTTAGTTTCATTTGAAGATCCCTTTGTTTATTGTTTATATCTTGTTTACATTAAAATAAGATTTTATACATAATACATTTGCATTAGTTACTTACTTGTATACAAATTCTCGAGTTTTTTGTTTATTAGTTTGTTTATTCAGTTGAATCACAAGTCAAATATAAATAGCAATGCAATAATCATTGAGATTATTAAACAATCTATCTAACGAGCTTTGTGTGATTAATATTACTTGATTTTTAAATGTTTGCTTCCTGAAAAAAATTTATATAAATTTTATTGTGTGTTGAAGATTAAATTTTAAAACATTAGGATATTAAAAGTTTATCATAGCTCAGCTTTTTTTTCTTTTCTAACAATTTATTAATATACGTATAATAATTGAATCATATATAAGAAATTAAGAAAATAAGTAGTATTTGTTCCTGAAAATTTAGTCTAATATTGCAATCAAGGTTATCTTTTCTATTAGATACTATTATCCCTAAAGAAGCTTGAAACAAGATATCGTTATATTTAATTATAATCTCGAGGTGATTAATTAATAATAATGAAATAATCACATTTTTTTTTTTTTTTTTCCATAAATAAATTTAATTAAGTTATCTTATTTTTACAACCAAACTTTTATTACAAAAAAAATCAAACCAAATCACTTTTCTTTTTTGAATGAAAATTTAGATTCAAATTTCTTAAACTAATTATCCTTGAAGTCTAAAGATAAAAACTAATTAGATCTAAAAAAGATATCAAACCTTGGAGCAATATTCATTTTTACATTGAGATCTCAAAGTAATATTATTTTTAATTTATTGCTTCACCTTAATTTATAATTTATTTTTTTTTTTTTTTCTAAATAAAATCGCTTAAAAATATTTTGACAACATAATTTCATATTCATTTCAATTTCAATTTCATTTTACATTACAATTACATTTTACAAATTACTTTATCTAATATATTTGCTTTGAACTAAATTCTTCATTTCAATTTCATTTCAATTTATTAGTTACATATTTCTTACTTATTATCATTAATTACTTTCATAAGATTATATATCATATTCAAATTCATCACTTTCACAACACCATCAACTACACATTATTATTGCATTATTATTTTGACTAGTTCAAAAAACAAATTATACTTAACTAATATTCATTCGCTTTTTATAAACATTATACATTAATATTTTGTATTTTGAATTATGACAAATGTATCAATTAATAATCAAAATTTATATGATATATCATTAAATCAAAGGAAAATTTTATCTCAATCAATAATACCTACTACTAATACTACTACTTCATCATCAAAACCTTGTATTACACCAAAAAGAGTTGCATCAATGAATTCATTACCTACTTTAAATGAAAATAGTATAACTTCTTCTTCGTCAACAATTAAAACAATAAAAAGACCAGGTGATTATTATATTCAAAAAATTAATTCAAAATCTTCATTAAATTTAAATAAAACAATACAACCACAACCACCTTCAACTCCTATTTCATCTTTACCAAATCCACAATATTCACTGATACAACAACAACATCCTAATAATTATAAAAGAAGAATGTCACAAGATTCATTAATGTCATTACAATCTTCATTATCTGATGATCATTCACTGATTTTATCATCACAATTTGATACTCCAGTATTAAATTCTTCATCATCACAAATGACAAATCATCATAATAGATCAAATCAAATAGATACAAGACATAGTTCTATGACTTCTTCATCAACTTCAAATTTTGATCCAAATTCATCATCAATTATGGGAAATGATTCTACTATATCATTAAATAATTCATCTCCTAATAATAGTTTCATTAAACCAAAACCTTTAAAATCTGCATCAACTACAAGTGTACTTATGGTTAAACAACTACAACACCAAAATAAATTTGTTGTACCACAACCACCTATCAAAACAACAAGATCAAAATCAACTTCAACCATGCCAACTTTAAATAGATCAAAATCCAAGTTTTTAAGTTCACAAGAAAGTAAAGAACGTTCTATTTTACGTAAAAAAAAATATGAAGAAAATGATGATGATGAAGAAATTTTAAGTAATGATTTAGATAATTTAATTTTTAATGTTCCAATGATTAAAAATCATAATGAAATTTATAAATCTTCACCTTATCAAACTTATAATGGATCAAAATCTTCAACTTCAAATGCATCATCAAATTCAAATTTAACAATATTATCAAGAAATGATTTATTAATTGGTGATAGTAATGATAAATATAATATTAGACCATGTCCATTACCTGGGAAATTATCTACAACAAATTTACCTACTTTAAATACACAACATCAAGATGATAGTATATTAGAAGAAGAAGAAAGTTTTAATAATGATGATTCTGAAATTATTCAAAATATTTCAAATTTTTATACTCAAAGAAGTGAATCAAATTCAAAAATTTTAAAATTATCAAGAGATCAAAATTTGATATATAAATTACCATCTTTTATAAAATCACAATCATCTTTGGAAGATTTACATTTAATATCACCTGAAAAATTAAATTTCTTGGATCAAACAAGACCAATCAATTTACCACCAAAATCATCATTTGATAAAACCAAACATAATAAAGAATTCAACAAAAATTTAACTAGTTTTGAATCAGTTTTAAAACATCAACAAGATTCAAGATCTAAATCATTTCAACAATTACTAGTGTTAAAACAATCTTGGTTAAAAGAATTAACAACATTAATGGATTTAGATAATAAAAATTTCAATAAAAAATTTACAACTGAAAAAAATCATATTAGAAAATTAACATGGGATTGTAATTTACCAACTAACAATGAATTAAATTTTAAATTCTTGATTAAAATTTTATCTAATAATTATTCATCACAAGATTCAATTCATACTATACAAAATTCATTTGAATTATTTAATAAAAAATTAGATTCAATAAGTGGGATAATGAAACAAAATAAAGATATAGAATTTAATAAAATTTTAAATAATATATTATCAAAACCAATATTATCAAATAATAAAAATATAAATCTAGAAAAATTTAAATCAAATTTTATTCATTTATTATATATAAAATCAATTAGTGAAACTGGACTTACTGAAAAAGATTATTTACTCCTAACAATAATTTTAATAATTTTCCCAAATTTAAAAATTTTAGATACTTATATCTTGTTAGAACTCATAAATCAAGAAATTTTTAATAGAGAATTTATAAATGAAATTTTTAAATCATCAAATTTTGATAATGAATCAATTAGTATAAATGAATTTTTAAAAATTTGTTTACAATTTAATGATAATTTACCATTATCTTTATCAGCTCCAACAACTCCAATAATTGATCAATTATCAAGTTTCAAATCATTATCTCCATCACCTTCAACTACAAGTTCAAGTTCTTCATCTAATGAGGAAGAAATCATAGTTTCATCAAATCAAGAAATTTTATTGAAATTATTTACTTTACTAATTATTAATACTCAATCTACAAAAACAAAAAATAAAAATAATTTAAAATTAATTAAATCCTTTTTAAAAACTGTATTTTTAAATTTTCATTTAGGTTGGAATTCAAAAGATGAATTATTTAAAGAAAATAAATCTATTAGAATTAATTATTGTTTAGATCAATTTTTAAATTTAGAAAAATTTATAAATAGGTGGTCATCTAATCATTTTAATTAAGTTTGTGGTTCAGGGTTTTTGGCTATTCAGTTTTTTTGTTATAAAATAGGAAAAGGTTTTTGTTTGGGTTTTCTTGCTATTTTCACATTATATAATTTATAAAGGTTTTAATATACTTAATTAATTTACATTATTAAAAAAATCAACTCTCATCACCTATAGATAGCAAACATTTGATTGAAATATAAAATAGAAGTAAACATAATAAATCGTAAAAGAAAAAGAAAAAAAAGGTTTATCAATACTTTAAAGCTCCCAGACAGGGAATTGAACCCTGGTCTACCATGCGACAAACGGTAATTCTAGCCACTAAACTATCTGGGATGAATTTTTACAAAATTCCTTACAGGTGGGTTTATAAACTAATTTGATACGTTATTGGCTATCACCAATTTATCGACTACTTTTGACGTAGATTTACGAAAATTATAATTCTTTTTTTGCATTTTTTAGTTTGCAATTGTTGCAAATTTTTTTCAATTTCTTACATAATTTTAACAAATTTTTGTGAATTAAATTCAAATTCTAAAAAGAGTAAATAGTCGATAATGAATTACCAACTTAGTAGATGAACAGTAAGACTCATGATGGAACAGTTTATAATTTTTACAAATTGTTTTCACGTATATTCTTTTTGCAACTAAATTTGATTATGACCTAAATTGTGATTTAATAAATTGAATATTTTTTTGCTCCAATCTTTAAAAACTTGGTAAATTAATATTGAAGATTTATACATTTTTCGACTGTTTTGAAATGATGTAGGATACTTTTTAGAGAAAATCATAATTTTACAGAATTGCACTTTATCACTAAGTTTTATGCTAGGATTAATTAATAGTACAAAATTTTATATACAAAGTTTTATCCAGTTTATTTTAAAAAATAAACATATCTTTCTTTAATATCTTTGATTCTTTCTTTATTATCAATATAATTTAATTTTGTTAAATAAATTTTCCAAATCTCTAATTGAATTTCTTTATCTTTAAATAATTGTAAAGCTTTTTCATAAACCAGTAAAGATTTTTCAATTTGATAATGTTGTTGTAATATTGATGCATAAACCATAAGATTTTTTGGAGTTGCTATTTTTAAAATTATCATTTTTTCAATTACTTCATTTAGTAGGTTCATATAAGTTGAATTATTAACTTCTAGAAATGAATCAATTAAATCAATAAAGAATTCCCATATTTTTTTCAGTTTTTGTATTCTTCGTTGGATGGGAATTGATGAATCATTAATATTTATTTGATTTATATCTGGATCTTCATTACTAAATAATAAATTTTTTAATATTTCAATAGAAGAAGTTTCTTGAAAATGATTAGAAGATAATCTTAATTCACACCAATATATATATAAATCAGCTAATTCATCAACTTTAGGAAATTGAGATTGAACAGATTTACTTAATATAAAATCAGCAGTTTTGTAATCACTTTGTGATGAATAAATATCACTATATTTAATCCAAATATCTTTTAGTCTGTGAGTACATGAATTTGGAATCTTTAATGGATTAATGGATTTTATAGATTGTGCTATGGTTTTAATTTGATTATTTAAATCATCTTTATAGATATCAAACCTTTGAAACCAATAATCTACGTTGTTTGGATCTATGGATAATTTTAAATCATTTAATAGTATTGATCTATTGTTTAATAGTGTTTCATATTGATTTAAAAGCATCTTTAGGTAACTAAGATCAGGTGGTTTAGTTGTTGATAAGTAATTTTCAATTTCAAATTCTTCTGATTTTGTATATTCATTATATAAATTCTTAAAATCTTGAATTGTTTTACATTGAATAATTGAATTTTCAAATATGGATTTAATCTTGTGATAATTTGAATTTGTTGATTTATAATATTCAATTAATTTTAAATTTAAATTTGTAGATTGATCTGGAAATTTTTCAATTAATTTTTTTATTTTGGTAGTGAAATATTTTTCATCTTTTTGTTTATTTGATATAAGCCAATCTAAAAATTCATAAAGTATTTGAACTTGAGATTTTGATAAATTTGAATAATCAGTATGTGAACTTGTTAAATCATGATATAAATTTTTTACATTAGTTTTATCGTTAAATCCTTTTAATTTTTCTATTAGGTCTAATATTGTGAAATTTAAATTTGGATTTGAATCTATTTCCATTCCATTGAATACTTTTGGATTTATAAATTTTGAAAATCTCATATATATTTGTGATGCTGTAGCACCTTTTACTTTATTTGCAAATTTTAAATATAATTCCCAAATTTGATCATGAGTTTCTATTGGTAAGTTTTGTAAAGCTTGATTGAATTTTTTTCTTATACAAGTAATATCAATAATTATATGATTTGTTAAAAATTGTAAAATTAGTAAATTAATTTTAATGGACTTTTGATGATACGTTAAACAATTATCAAAAGCATTAATTATATCTTTTGGTTTGATTTGTTGATAGTTCTCAATAAGTAAATTCAAATATAGTATCCATAATTCTTCCAGTTTTGGTATTTCCCTAATAGATCTTGATAATATAAAGATTTTTGAATTTAAACAATCATTTATTTTATTTATATAATAATTTTTCCAAATTGATTCATCATCGGGGTTTTTTTGTAGTGTTTCTTCATACAGTATGTCTTGATCTTTTATCAACTCATCTAAATTAAACATCATATCATTTTGATCTGTAGTTATTAATTTATTTTTGCAACTAATATAGTTGCAATTGTTTATTTTTTTAATTTACATATAATTTATTTTTCTGATAGTCGCAACTTTGTAAACTAAATTTCAACAATTAGTCTACAAATAGTGAAACCACCACTAAATTCCAATTGAATCAATATACTTTTAACAAAATACATATATAATGTCCGGTGCAGGTAATCGTGAACAAGTGTTTCCAACACGTATGACTTTAGGAGTAATGAAATCAAAATTGAAAGGAGCTCAACAAGGACATACATTATTAAAAAGAAAATCAGAAGCTTTAACAAAAAGATTTAGAGATATAACTCAAAGAATAGATGATGCTAAAACCAAAATGGGTAGAGTTATGCAAACAGCAGCTTTTTCATTAGCTGAAGTATCATATGCAACAGGAGATAATATATCATATCAAGTTCAAGAAAGTGTTCAAAATGCAAGATTTCAAGTACAAGCAAAACAAGAAAATGTTTCTGGTGTTTATTTACCTACATTTGAAAGTAAAATAAATGAAAATATAAATGATTTTAAATTAACTGGTTTAGGTAGAGGTGGACAACAAGTTCAAAAAGCAAAACAAGTTTATACAAAAGCAGTAGAAACATTAGTTGAATTAGCTTCATTACAAACTGCTTTTATTATATTAGATGAAGTTATAAAAGTAACAAATAGAAGAGTTAATTCAATTGAACATGTTATTATTCCAAGAACTGAAAATACTATAGCTTATATTAATTCAGAATTAGATGAATTAGATAGAGAAGAATTTTATAGATTAAAAAAGGTTAAAGAAATTAAACAAGAAGCTGCTTCTCAAGCTGAAAATGAAGAAAAATTAGCTTTAGCTGCTGCTGAAGGTGAAACTGATATTGGTGGTATACGAGATAATGAAAATAGTTTGAATATTCAAGCTGATAAAGAAAGAGGTGGTGATGTTTTGGGTGAAACTGAAGATGATGTCATTTTTTAAAATAATCTGAATAGTGTGAAATGTATAATATAATTTGAATGATGAGTCTTGTAGAGTCTTGTATCATTTGGATTTGTGGACTTTTTTCTGGAGCTCTAGTTGTTTCTTCTATTGAACATGTAGTTTGAAGAATCGCTAACATCATATCTACTAATTTTTATCAATTAAATGAGTTATCAAAAAGTTGTTTGATTGCACTATACCTACAGTTACTTAGCTCAGATTTCCACAGTATATGGAACTTGAGGAGGAATTTAGCTTATTTAATTAATACAATAATTCTTGACATACAAAAAATATTTCAAAAATCTGACACAAAATCGACATGTTTCATCATCAAATAAATTATGATTTTATTTTACAAATTCAATTGCAAATGAATGAACAAATTATAATTTATTCTTTTACACATAAAACTACGTACTCTCTAATTATAATTAAAAACATGCCAAAATTAATAATCTAGCCTGTATTCTGTTTCTATAAAATCTCTAAGTTAGAATGGATTTATAAATTTCATTTAAAAAAACAACTCTACAAATTTTAAACTATCGTATAACCACCGTCAACCGCTAAATTGGCGCCTGTAGTATAAGTAGATGCATCTGATGCAAGGAGTAGATAGGTAGCAACAAGTTCCCTAGGGTCAGCTTCTCTACCTAAGGGCGTAAGCTGCCACCATTTAGCTTTCATAGCCTTTTCAACAAACTCAGATATGTCAGTTGAAATATAGCCAGGCGAAACGCTATTAACCCTAGCGAACGGAGCCCATTCTACAGCTAATGACTTAGTCAAATGAGTACAGGCTGCTTTTGCTGCATTATAAGCAGCTTGTAATTGAGGAATATTAACAATTGATCCTGACATTGATGATGTTATGATAAAAGAACCTTTACCATTCTTCTTGAAAATTGGACCAATGTTATGAGCACAATAATAAACACCATTTAAGTCAGTATTTATAATATTGTTCCATGAATCATAACCTTTAACATTAATTTCTGGTCCTTCAGTCCAAGCAACACCAGCATTTGCAACAAAAACATCAATGGTTCCAAAATCTTCTTCTTGTTGTTTGATAACTTTTTCAACATCTTCTGGATCACTAATATTACATTTATATGCTTTTGATTTTATTCCATATGTTTTTGATAAGTATTCCGCTTTATCATCTGCAGGATGACTGTTATACCAGAGACAGATGTTTGCTCCTGCTTGTGCAAATGCTTCCGCAACCGCGTAGCCGATGCCCGCAGAACTTCCCAGAACTGATGCTACTTTACCTTTTAATGAAAACATATCCATTACATTTTTTGGAAGTTCTGGAGTTTTTGTTGGTAATGGACCTAATTCTTCATTACAATATGATTTAATCTCTTCACTCATCTCTGGATTATAGTTGACTACCTGCGATTATAGTTGACTACTTGCTAAACAAGGATTTTTTTGAAATATTTAACTTGAAAATTGGAAAACCTGAAAAATTTGGAAAACCTGAAAATTCGAAAAAAATAAAAATAGTTAAATCATCTTTAAAAGTATTTATACTTTGAAAATTCTCAACATCTTTAATTATATATTATACTTAGCAACTTATTGATATAATAATACATAATTAATAAAAATTCTCGGACTAATTTCTTGTAAATGTCAAAATTACTTGTAAATAGCAAATGAAACACAAAATCTATATATTTAATAATTATTGCAAAATGTTTTCGGTTTTGTGTAATATTATATTTTTGTTTTAAAGTGATTGGGGGATCATGGAGGAACTATAAAAGGAATTTTACGAGGGAGGTTTTCGATTAAAAGTTATGAACTTATTGGATTGTAATTGAAATATTCCGAGACAATGTTACACATTATCCAAAGTTGAATAATTTTGCACTTGTTATAAGTCTTCTTTCGACTTTTAAAAATATTAGGATTAGAACTTTTAACAAAGTACTAAACAACCTATTTATTCATCAAATTTTTTTAACAGATTAACATGAATAGACTAAAAATTGTATTGTACAGCAACTTCACTATTTAATTAGTCAATGCTAAAAACTTGACAGAACAAAAATTTTATATACCTCTTTGCATAATTTTAGCCATAACTTTGCTTAGCAACATGACAATTCAGCAAATACAAGGAACAAATATAAAGGTATTAATTAGACTTTCTGTTCCAACTAAAATTGATTGTTAATTAAAGAGAATTCAGTTAAAAGCTAATACTGAATTTTAGCAATCGTTTATATGCAGCGTCTGGTCTTGAAAATAATTAGAAGAACTAAAGGTTCAGAATTCAAATACTTCTCAAAACTACTTGATTTTTATATCAATTTTATCATAATCTGATTTTGAGCATTAATTAGTATTAGACCTTCCTACTCAAACTCATATTGCAAGACATATAGCTATTTGAAAATACTATTTCAACTCCGTACCACCATATTTAAGGGTTTTTTTCGTGCGGTTACCAGAAATACCTAAACTTTTTGACCTACGTTTCATTCGAAATTTGAGCTTTAAAATACTAGTTTGCAAATTTTGACAACATCAGAGTTAGAATTTAATCCAACCATAATCCTCAGTCAAGCTGTGAAAGCAAAAGGCATTTTGTGAGTACTTTCAAATAATTGAAACGATGATCCTCAAGCCGCAAGATCGAGTTTTTCAAAAATTGATAATTTGCAATAACTCCTTAGGTAATTCTTCAAAGCAAAAATAATTAGATTGAGTGTAAATTCTTGCTTTTTAACAATTTAGATAAGTAATTTCGGCTCGACAGCTCGTTGCATTTTTTTGTTTCGCTGAAAAATCTACAAACTACAAATTTTTCCAGGGGTGAGTCGAGAAAAAAGTAAAAATTGGTCCATTTGCAGCAATTTTGCCAAATTTTAAAACATCCTAATTCCATGCAAATATAGCAGATTTTGCTCAAATTCATGTTTAAGTAAATTATTAAAAAGCCAATTTGACACGTAAAGAAGTTTTTCACGGAAAAGTTGGAGTGATAGTATGTAATTTGTATGATTTAAAACGACCAAAATTAAAACTTGAAATTTATTCTATCTATAAGAAAATCAGCCATTTCTTTCATCTATTCGACTAGTTTCAAAAACCAATTCATTGTGTGTGCAGAGTAATGTGCAAAACACATTTGACACTTTTTCAAAACAAATTTTCCAGTTAGATCATCAACTAAAGTTCATTTTCCAAAAACTCATTCAAAGGTATGTTGCATGAGGGTAAATAACTTCAATGGTTTATATCGTTGATGAGTATCATTTGAAGACTTCACTTTAATTTGAATTTTATGTGAGACGACCATAATGCGGAGTGGAGCTAGCGTTGTACTGATTTTTCTTCCAAAACCGAATTGCGAATTATCTGCGAAATTTGAAACATATTTTATGGATATCACCAAGTATGAAAGGTCAGTAAACTACTTTAAACCCTTTAAATGAAAATCATCCTGTGTCTATTTCACAAATAAGCCATTCTTTTTTCAAAAGTACTTTATGTATGAATTTAACAATTAAAAAGTAAAAAAAAAAAAAAGTATCTGATTCTATGTAAGTTTATGTAATTTCTGAAACAGAACACAAAAACAATTTGTTACATAATGTTTAAAGTAAAAATCTTTATCCTACGAAATTTTAATAAAAAATATAACGAATTCATCTAATCTACCAGTACCTGTCTTAAGACATCTAAAACCTTCTATAATGTTTATCTATTCATCTATTTCCTTATATCAAAACTTACGAACAGTTCAAAATAAAAGTAAGTAATAAATTTCTGAAAAAATTTTAAATAGCTGTATATCCACCATCTACTGCAATATCTGCTGCTGTAGTATAAGAAGCTGCATCTGACGCGAGATAAACGTAGCTCCCCACAAGTTCCCTAGGGTTCGCCTCCCTACCTAGTGGTGTTAACTGAACCCATATTTTTTGTAAATCTTTATCAGCAAATTCAGTCAAGTGGGTTGCAATATAGCCAGGCGAAACGCTGTTAACCCTAGCAAACGGAGCCCATTCAACGGCTAATGATTTAGTTAAATGTTTGACAGCAGCTTTTGCAGCATTATAAGCGGCTTGAGCTTGAGGAACATTTACAATAGTACCTGACATTGAAGCAGTATTAATTAATACTCCAAACCCTTGATCTCTAAAATGTGGACCAATAGCATGAGCACAATAAAAAACAGAATTTAAGTCAGTATCTATAATTTTTTTCCATTTTGTTAAATCTGGTTCATCAATTAATGGTCCAAAAGTCCATGGAATTCCTGCATTTGCAACAAAAATATCAATTTTTCCAAAATCTTTTCTAATTTCTGCTACTACTCTTTTAACATCATCTGCATCACTAATGTCTGCCTTATAAGCTTTTGCTCTAACTCCATATGTTTTTGATAAATATTCCGCTTTATCATGGGCGGGATGGCTGTGAAACCAGATTGCAACATCAGCTTGGAATGGATTTACGTAAGTTTGAATTCATAAGTGTCCAAACAGATCAGGCATGATGTAGGACAAGGTTAACTCGGATATATAAGTTGACATGAAAGTAAGCTCCATAAATAATAACTTTTTTAATTTGTACATTTTGTTTTCAGATCAGTGGGATCTGTACTTCTCGTTAAGTCGATTAAAATCAATTCCGAACAGAACTTTTACATATTCATCTAGAGGCACCTTTAATCTATAGAGATTTTTTTAAATTTGCGATACAAAAATTATTGTATAGTAGGCTCAATTTCCATTAGATCAAGTGAGAAAATTTAAATTTACTGATTCTGACAAGAGAAAACAAACCTGACTGAGTCATTAATTGATCAATGATAGCAAGCACATTAATGAAAGTCATTTAAATAATTGTTGACTTAATTTTAATCATCTACTGGAAGCTTAGACTATAGTTGTGATCTTGATTTCGTTTGTTTATGTCAGAATTTTGTGGTATGTTTCGATACAAAATTAACTTGAATAATACACGATAATACTACAACAATAGTAACTTAGTAGTGATCAAACTATACATGGTAGACATAAGCTTCGACTTGTGATTGTTGGACTGTTCACGGTTTAAGCCGTTATATAGATTCATTAACATACCTTGAATAGTTCAAGGTAAGAATGATCTTTTAAATTATGTAGTTCAAAGGTAATTATTAGTATTAATATTCTAATTTTTAAATGACTTTTAGTTTATATAATTTTTTTATTTTAAAAAAATAAAAAAACCAATTTGAAACAGTTTTATATTAATTTTACAACCAAATTTTTACAACCAAATTTTTACAACCAAATTTTTACAACCAAATTTTTACAACCAACTCAATTAATTGTAATCACTTAATCAATATAGCTGTGTTTTGTTAATCTCATTAAAAAATGAATGTTGAAGAAGATCACAACTTTTATGATCCTCAGTTAAAGTTTACTACCATAGAGTTGAATAGGATACTCTATTCGTATTTACAATTTGATGGAAATTTTGTGGATGCCTATGAATTTTTAGATTCCAATTTTACAACAAACAAAAAATGGTGTATGGACGAGGTAAATGAAATTTTTTTGGAAATGCTATCAGAGTTGGAATCTAAAACATATTCTGAAAATAATCTTTATACTGCAAATCAGATATTTGAAGGCTCAAGTAATGAAAATTTGTTAGAAGTTGTGGAAAATATCATAGGTGTCTTTGGTAGCACTAAAAATTTGACAGCTTTTGATTTAATATTTATATATTTTAGGTTCGGAGTTAAATCAAGTATTGGAAATCAAGAAAAAGCAAATTTATTAAATGCTTATTTAGAACCCAATACATCTTTTCAACATACATTTGAATTCATCCAACAACAGGGAAATGCATTGGGTTGGGATTTGGCCTATGCAGAAGAATATATTAAGGAATTATTAAATAAATTACAATGTAATAGTTATACAATCCAACAAATTAATAATGTCAAATCAAGGCTCAGAGATGCAGAAAACGGAAATTTAATGCAAATTATTGAATCTAATATAGAACATTTTCAAGATTTGAATGTGATAGATGTGATTTTTGTATATTTTAACCAGTTTCAAGATTCAAATTCAAGCAATAGTTACACTGATCGGGATTGTGAATTAATATTGTTTCATACGTTGAAAAGAAATGGATCATTAGCAGAAGCTTTAAATGTACTTCAAACAAACTTTTTCAACAAAAGAAGTATTAAGTCACTAAAATTAAAGTACAATCGTTTAAGAAGAAAATATAGAGAAAGTGTTTACACAAATCGTCAAATTCAAATGGTCAAGGATAATTTTGCAAATATTGATGATGATGATAATTTGTTATCAGATGTTAGGTATAATTCGAAATATTTTAAAAGTTTGGACACACTTGAAATCATTTATCTATATTTCAGCAAAGTTAAAAGTAAACCATTTTTTTTCCATCCATTAACTAATGAAGAAAATGAGCTTTTGGTCTATCATTCATTGAAGTCAAAAGCATTAGCAAATTTAGTTGAAAGCTTAAGTACAACCAGTTTTAATTTTAGAACCAAAGCTCAATATTCCAGAATTTGTAATCAAACAATTCGTAAATTAAAAAAAAAATCCTATAGCAAAAGTCAAATTGATATGGTTCAAGAAAGGTTTAAAGATGCAACAGATGAAACAATTTTACAAGATGCAAGAAAAATTAAAAAAAATTTGCAAGGTTTAAAAACAATAGACATATTGTACATATACTTCACCAAGTTAAAAAAGATATCTGTTTCTTATGCCAACTACACTAACGATGAAAAAGAAATTATTTTGTTTCATATATTAAAAGAAAGTGATTTAATTGAAGAATCAATAAAAAAATTACTTAAAACTCAATTAGAAGGAAGGAAATTTGAGGGAGTTAGAGGTGTTTTATTTAAAATGAAACGTGATCTTCAAAATAAAGAATTTTCAACTGATCAAATTAACAAGGTAGAAAAAGAATTTGTAAATTCAGTAAAAAGTGAAATTACATTAGAAGATATAAAATCTAAGGCTGAAAAATTTGAAGATCTCAATTCTTTGGAAGTCATGTACATATACTTCATCAAGTTAAACAAGAATTCAGTTTCTGGTGATTTTTATACTTATTATGAAAAAGAACTTATTCTATTCCATATGTTCAATAGAAGTGGTTCAATTGATGAAGCAATGAAGGAATTGGTAAACAATGAACTTGAAGGAAGGAATGCTCCAGGAGTTAGGAGCTATTCATATCAGATTAAAAGTGATCTTAAGAAAAAGAATTTTTCAACTATCCAGATTGACAAGGTGAAAAAAAATTTTTTAAATTCAGTAAAAAGTGAAATTACATTAAAAGATATAAAATCTAAGGCTGAAAAATTTGAAGATCTCAATTCTTTGGAAGTTATGTACATACTTTACAATACACTAGCAAATGCAAGACAAAATCCGATGGAAGTTGAAAAATCCCTATTAGTTGAAGCTACAAATGGTGAAGTAAGACGTTCACCGAGATTGGCTAGAAAAAATCTGGTTACTGGGAAACGTGCTAGATATGAAGATGATGAAGATGAAGGAGAAAGTAATGATGACGATAATGGTGATGAAGAAGGCGCTACTAAAAAAGTTAAAAAATCTACATTAGTTGAAGCTACAAATGGTGAAGTAAGACGTTCACCGAGATTGGCTAGAAAGAAATAGAAACTTAGCGGAAATGATGACGAAGATGATGGGAGGAAGGTAGTAATTAATCCAATATTATTGATGCAGAACTTCTGACCAGAATATAAAAGTTAAAATTCACCTCATGAAACTGTTGCTAAACTTTTGTCATCAAAACCTGAGTTTGTATATAGCTATTATGTACTATAATAAATAACGAGATCCATGTCTAATTTAAAGGTTATGTAAAGTTATCATTCTCAAGTTTCACTTTTCAATTTTTTATCGCTAGTGTTAACCAATCTAGCTCCAACTATTAAAAATTGTTTTCTGAACCTGAGCTAACAATATAAAAATTCGCCAAAACAGCTCAGCCAACTTGTTCCTTCCTGGGTTTATTAAAAAACTTTAAACAAATAACGACATTTCAAAATTTTCAAAGCACCTTGTTCGTTGCTAGAACTTGGACATTGGAAAATAGTCCTAATTTGAATTAAAATATTTAGAGAATTGAGAGTTGATTTAGCATGAGGAATGAGTAAAATAGTTTACGAAGAAACAATATGTAACCAGTCCCATAAAGGTTAAATCATTTTAACTACAATGTTTTCAAATTTTTAATCACTTAAAATAATTATGTTCAAAATCCAGTATATCTGCAAAATGTGTTTCTAAAAACTTGTAAATATCTATTGTTTGATTTCCATTTCTTGACTATACATTAATAAATTCATTATTGAACCTACTGGTTAATCTTTCATATATTTTGCAAATTGATAGGTTTCAAAATCATGATCCAAAATCTGTATTCACACTTTCATTATGAAAATTCACCAATTACTTTCAGCTCATTGTATATTTGTTTGGCTCCTCTACCTTATACTTGTTTTTCTAAATTAAGTAAACCAAATACCCCATTAATTTTAGAAGGTATTAATCTTGCATTTGGTATTTTGACTGATAATTTTATTGCATAGTCTATTCAAGTATCTTAGTATCTCTTTTCTCCAATGGATGATGTAAATCCCTATAACATGGTTCACTGTATTTAAAGTTTGGTAATTTGAAAAATATTTAAATTTAACACCGAGACTGTTCTTAATATGATATATTCTGTTTTTAAAGAAAGAATTTCATGGATCATAATTAACCTGTAATATTTTTATTGTAAAAAGAATTAATAGCACCTTTGCTTAAAAGATAATACTGTTAAATTGATTCCTCCCCAGAACACTAACTCACCAACTTATCCATAATATCAAAACGAATCTTTCTCTTTGACGTTTTTCTCATTGAGCTTGATCCTCCCTAATAACTTATGAAACACTTATTATTTCGTGTACTATATGTAGTGAATATATTGCTCGTATATTTATTAAGTAAATTATATGCAAGACTTAATAAATAGAAAAAAAAAAAAAAAATTCAGATTTCGGATATCTGATTGGATTTAATCTCCGATGAATTATTTATGTTTGATAAGTTTTCAATCGGTTTAAAAAAAAGTATGACCGTGAGATCCGTACCACCATGATTTGTACTAGAGTTTAATCAAAAAGTTCGAATGTGAGGGACTATCGGTTAATAAAGTATTAGGGAACTTTGCATATTATTCTTTCAGTCTTAAACTTTTTTAATACATTAAATTTATGAACAGCAATTATAGTAGTTTAAATATTACAATAGATTAGAAAAATGTAGAACAATGGTTTTGATACCTTGAATGAACAATACTGAATTAAATTTGTTGTGGGTATATAAGTATCATTTAATCCCACTTTTGAATCTTTATCCATTATATATTATTGATAGACCAACTGATAAATTATTCAAAATAATTTACCCATTACATCAAAAATCATTCTTTATCACAATAGTGCGAAACACAAAATAATTAAATTTGTAACATTTTATAATTTTCAAAATAAATAAATTATTCACTTTTTCAACTGTACTTTCTACTAGGAGATTGATAAACAATTCATTATCTCCTAAATCAAACCACAATTGTACATTTAAGAACACAAACTACCGCATATTTCAAACAAGATCCATTTCCACAACAAAAATGAGTTCAGAGGAAATCAAATCATATTGTAATCCGGAATTAGGTCCATTACCAACGAAATATACGCCTCCATCAGGTGGGATATTGGAATTATTCTCATTAAAAGGAAAAGTAGCATCAGTTACCGGATCTTCATCGGGTATCGGTGCCGAAATTGCGGAAGGATACGCTCAAGCGGGATCTAATGTAGCTCTATGGTACCATCTGCATCCAGCCCAAGACAAAGCCAAGTACTTGGAAGAAAAATATGGAGTTAAAGCAAAAGCTTATAAGGCAGATATCAGTGATGCAGATGATGTGAAAAGAGTAGTAGCAGAAATTAGAAAAGATTTTGGTAAAATTGATATTTTTGTCGCAAATGCAGGAATTCCATGGACTTTTGGACCATTAATTGATGAATCAGATTTAACAAAATGGAAAAAGATTATAGATACTGATTTAAATTCTGTATTTTATTGTGCTCATGCTATTGGACCACATTTTAGAGATCAAGGGTTTGGAGTTTTAATCAATACTGCTTCAATGTCAGGTACTATTGTAAATGTTCCTCAAGCTCAAGCTGCTTACAATGCAGCAAAAGCAGCTGTCAAACATTTAACTAAATCATTAGCTGTTGAATGGGCTCCATTTGCTAGGGTTAATTCCGTTTCTCCAGGATATATTGCAACCCACTTGACTGAATTTGCTGATAAAGATTTACAAAAAATATGGGTTCAGTTAACTCCACTAGGTAGGGAGGCGAACCCCAAAGAGCTCTGTGGTGCATATCTACTCCTCGCGTCGGATGCTTCTAGTTACATTACTGGTGCAGACATCCCAGTGGACGGTGGATATACAGCTATTTAAATTTTTTTCAAAAATTGTTTAATTACTTTTTTTTTTGAATTGTTCGTAAGTTTTGAAGTAGTGAAATAGATGAATAGATAAACGTTATAGAATGTTTTAGACGTCTAATGACATAAAGTAGTAGATTGGATGAATTTTTGTTATATATTGTATTCAAATTTCGTAGAATAAAAATTTCTACTTTAAATTCGATGTAACAAATTGTTTTTGTGTTCTGTTTCATAAATTACATAAACTTACATAAAATCAGATATTTTTTAATTATTAAATTTATTAATAAAGTATTTCTGAGAATGGCTTAGTTGTAAGAAAAGCTTTCTTTTCATCTAGAAGGTCCAAAAAAATCTTCAACCACATCCATCATGCGCTAGACCGGTGACTGGTACGAATCAATTTGAAGATGCTCTTTAATAATACTGATTGATTGAGCAAAAAATAGACATCAGCAATAAGGAATAGTCCAAAACCATTGATGAGTTTTCAAAGTCTTCAAACAATGTCATAATCTGAGACATCATTTTAGGCTGTAATTATTTTGCAGCATCATCAAATCAACTATTGAACGTTAAATTTTAATACAGTAATTACATTAAATTCAGATTATAAATGTAATTCTAAGTAAATTTTTAAAAATCTGTTTTGTTTGTTTGACAGATATCTTTTCGGGTAGTTGTGAAATGTTTTTGAGATTTCCTGAGTTATTTGTAAGGCTTTATTGAGTAATCTGATGCCAAAAGACTCATATAAGATACTGTGATCTTGTTCATCAGCTATTCAATTGTCTGATTTAAGGTGTTTCTAATGAATTCCATACAATCTAGACTGATTTAGAGTCAATTTTATATGATTGATAGTGACTTCAGTAGTATATTAGAATGTGGCAATTAACCACGATAGATTTGAAAGAGGTAACTTAATTTCGACGTAACAACTTTCCTGATCTTCCTATTATACCGACCTTGACATTCAATTGGATAGATATAGATCAAATAAACCCCTTTTCAAATTTGTTACGGTTATATTGTGGTTTTTTCATCATGTCAGCACCGATTTTAAATTCTGTATCACCGTTCAAATTCTCTTTAGCTAATTCTGTTTATATTGGACAAGCTTTTTATCTTATGTTAAAAATAGAAATCTACAAAACTAAATGATAGCGTGCCTCAATGAAATTCGAAAAGTCGAGTTGCAATTAGTTTGCTTTAGGTTGAGTCATTTGTTCATGTTTCATGCCTTATAGCTCTTTTTGCTACCATATTTTACAAATTTTTGAATGAAAATGTATAAGCAGACACCACAACAACCTAAACAAAGAGGACTTCGCAACTAGAGCAAGGCATGTCAAACTATAAATATAGAGATACTGCTGAATGATTGTGAATTCATATTAATAATTTTCTAGTAATACACATTTATAAACCAAGTTATACATCAGTTAATTTTGATCTAACTTGAAATGTTAATGAAATAAATTTTATAAGCAATAATGATCCACTTTAAATATAGGTTTTGAATTTTTCTTCATCAACCAATCCAGGATATACAGCATCGGGTGGAATTCTGAAATATTCTGCTTGTTCTCTAGCAACTTCAAGAGTGACCATTTTTCTTGTGTCAAATATACAAGCAACTTTTTCAGAAGGAAAATTCAAAACATAATGTTTGATCATACTCTTCAGATATTCAGTACCTGTTGCTAGTAAGGATTGTAAAACTATCAATCCCTTAGAAGGATTTCTCAAAACTCCGTTCGCGTTATAAAATCCTTTTAATTTATAGGGACCTTTTCCAATCGATATATTGACATGATCTATATCTTGATTATAATCATATCTTTGTGTTAAACTTTGTATGAATGGCAATGATAATAAATTAGAATTTAATATTGGATGTATTTCATTTATGATGTTAAGTTTTTTCGCTAATTGCTTAGCTTGTGATAATGAAATAAAGACCAAATGATTTCCTGAGTAGCCTTCAAATGGAAGTAAAGTTGGCATTTCAAAATTGCTGGCGTCGATATTATAATTTTTCATATATACCTTAACAGAACCACAAATTCTATCTTTTAATATTTGCTTCCTATTGTTCGTACCAAGCGGAATCGAATCTTTATGAACGAAAAAAAATATATCACTTAAACAAATTTCATCATCAGAATTTCTAGATATCCCCTTGTAAACTAATGTTTCTTGTGAATAAGTAAATCTGACCAACTCTTCCATAGGTATAATTTCATTACCATAATTCATAATGATTGAGTTACAAAATTCTTTAAAACTTGATTTATATTCCCCTTCAAAATCGTTCTTTAATAAGGGGTATAATCCTCTAATCCCTTTAATAATTTGATTACTGGATCTTCTAAAGGGAAGGTTTAATACATGGATTAGATGTTGTAGCGGCATAAAAGTAACTTTTTGACCCCTAATAGTGCGATAGACCTTATAACTTAAAGCATTTTCTTTGAGAAACCCTTTATATTTTCTAATCCCAGCACCTCTCATGGCCTTTCTCATTGAAACTAACATTTCATCTAATAATACTATGATGAAACTATCATCTGTATAATAGAATCTTAACTCATTACCATTGATTTCCAATACAGGATCATTAAATTGAGCACAACCATCATCAAATAATTCATATTCAACTTGACCAAATATTTTCAAGCCATCTGGTATATATTTATTGAGTTTATGATGAACAAATAAGTTATAGGCATTTTTAGGAGAAGTATATGATCCCAGGAGAACAGTCTCAATTGTCGAAAATACATCTGTCATTAAAACCCCACAATGCATTGCTATATTTAGTTCACTTGTGATTGAAAATTTCGGTCTAAGTAAATCTCTAACTTTTATTAAATCTGGTCCCAACAATTTGTATATTCTATATTTTTTAACAGCTTCTCCAGTTTCTGCTATAATAGCATCTCCTTCAATTGCAAAATCAACTTCTTCTTCTTCCTCTTCTTCTTCTTCTTCTTCCTCTTCTTCTTCTTCTTCTTCTTCTTCTTCTTCTTCTTCATTATCTTTAACACCTTGAACTTCATTTGATATTTCAACTATTTTATTGCTTTGATCCACCTGTGTATTTTTAATTTCAAAGTCCCAATATGCATAAGGCCTTCCAAGTTTGAACAGATAACCAAATCCATCAGCTTTAACAGGTGCATTTAACACTTCTTGAGGAATTTCCAAATTATATTCAATTACACCCCTAATGTCTGAGGGTAGTTTACCAATTAAAGTACCAAAAAAATTACGACAAGCACAGCTGCAATCCATAATTACTGTATTGTTGACGGTTGTTGAATTTATATCTTGCAATAGATGTAACTCTTCATCTGTAAAATCCACACCTTCACTAACCAAATATGTGATAATTGATAAATGAGATCCAAAATAGGGAGCTCTAATCACCTCTAATTTAGCAACAGAACCAACTCTTGAATAAGGAAGTAATATACCATCTATTCTTCTACAATTAGCTGCATTGTGATTAGTTATAATAGTAGCATCAGGTGCCAAACAATTGATCAAATCAACTAAATCATACTCATTTTTAATTCTATTTAAAATATCAATTGATTTTTGTTCTTTTTTGCATATTCCAAAATTAAATATCATGCAATGACTCTGGAATTGGACGAGATTGAAATCTCCGACCATCCAGAGTTCTTTAATTGATAAATGTTTTAAGAAAGTTAATAAATCTGAATAAAAATACTCTTGAGCATGCTCATAATTAATTCTTTTTGTGGTGTTTGGTGCATATAAAGTTATAAAATGAACGAGAGCCCCGTCAATTTCTAATATACCAGCTGCAACTCTTGATGAAAATTGATTTCCATCCAAAAATCCACCATCATTCTTTGATTTATTTATCAAACCTTGCATAATGCTTGAATCATATTCAGTATCATTCAATTTTGGTTTTTTAACTTTTCCATGAAAATCTTGTAAAGAATATAAGTTTAAGTCTCTTGATATTTTGATTTCATTATTGTTAATACAAATGGCAGCTTTTTTATCACCTAACACCCTCAAACCAGGTATAGCCCTTAACACGTTTATAGATACATTTGTTTCTTCATTTTTATCATATGCTAATTCAGATAAACCACTAATATCAGCCTTAACGAATTCACGTAAGGTAGAAGCATGTTGACATTTTTCTACGTTTCTAGCTGTTATTTGTAAATTTGATAATTCGGTTTCAGTTAATCCTTTCAATATAACCATAAGGAATTTAAGTTGAAGTACATTGATGGTTTGAATTTAATTGAATAATTTGGTTGTAAAACATTATTTTCAAAAAATGTGTTGCAAAATTTTAGTATCACCTGCAAAAAATTGCTACCAAGCACCAAACATTCAAATAAACTCTCTATAATTATGCTCTTAATCGAATTCATTCTCCTTGAATATTGAGGAAGTATATTCATAATCGACCTAAGATGATTCTTCATTGTTGGATTTAATTGCGGGACCACTGAGTATATAAAACTTGTTTTGAAACCATTTTCAGCTAATTTATTTAATGCTTCATCACTAAGATCTGAATTTTCTAATTAAGCTCTCTTTTGTATAATAATTTTAATTTCTTCTTGATTGATTATATGATAATGTTCTAGTTATTAACAATCTATCAATTAAATCTGGTGGACATCCATGATGTGCTTTAAAAGTTGGATCATCTGATCCCTTAACAAGTGGTTAACCCTCTATTTGATGCTAATATAACTATTGGTGCAATTGAATTCTCTGAAGCTTTATTTAAATATGTAAAAACCTTGTGAAAACAAAATCTAAAATATTCTAGTCTGCAAAGTAATTATGAAAATCATTAAAACCTCATAAAGTTAACTCTCAATTCAAATTTTGCCATTTTCAATGAAAACATTTATAATCTATAAGCACCTGTTATAACAAAATTTGTTTTATTTATTGAAAATTTTAATATTACTTGTTCTACCACAATCGAAGGTGAATTTGTAACTGAAGAATCTAATTTCAATGTAACAGCCAAATAGCTGATTTAATTTACCTCATGAATCTAATTTTTAAACACACGAACCATGAGTCACTTGAATATTCATTAAAGCACTATCGTAACGGTTCTAATTCAGACTTATTTTGCTCTCATTTTAAATGATTTAGGGTTAAATTGTAAAATGTTGAAACATAACCTAAATGAATTGCTAAATTAAGTCTTGACTTTGTTTTTTGTCTTTCTTAAGTTTAGATGACAATTGATAACATTTAATGAACTATTTGTTTTCTCCTTATTTATCGAATTGATCTATAATCTTTATTGAATCTTGTTGACTTTAAGATCTAAATTCCATACATGATTTATTAAATTATTTTCCATTACAAGGTAGTCAAAATTACCAGAATCTTTCAATCTATGCTGTGCCTTGGATATTGAGTTTACTTGACATATCGTTTTTATTTGCATTCAAGAAGTATATGATGGCAAAAGTGAATAAAAAAATGCCTTACATTTCTGATACATTTGGAAATCAGATTTCATGGACGGACCATTTTCTAAATGACCATTTTATAGTACCCGATTAAAGTAAGTGACTATTTGAGGAATTATGTGATCCAGTTAATTCTTTGATCGACCATAACCGACTCTCCAAAATGGTTTGATCGCCTTGAAATTTAAACAAACTTATTTTGCCCGCATTGTGTACAAGCCCAGGGGAATCTAATAATAATGTGAAGTATGAATTTAATAAAGCTGATTGTACATTGTATTCTTTTTGTTGTTGAACTGCTATCGCATTTGTTGAAAACTGAGACGGGCATGGTATAATTTGATCTATGAAGCCACTTGGAGAATTTTTATTACTGAACCATGGTTCAGTTGTAGTAGCAGCTGCTCTATTTGAAACAGCAAAATTGCCCCGACCACCCTCCACAATATCTCTCCAAATGTTTGAATGGCATAACCCGATATAAATTTTTGAAAAAAAATAATTTCAAATTCTTAAAACTTACACAAAACCAAGAGCTGCAAAATTAAGAAAAAAAGAATCATATATAGACTATAAGCAATATTAGTTTGTATATAGCAAATGATGAAATATTTGCAATTTAAATTGCTCGATCAAATAAAATAAATTTGCAGCTACGTTTAGGAAGATAGACAAGCAAATGGTTTGGTTACGAAAACTGGGGAGGACCAAAAGATTTGGTCAAGTTTTCATTAACATCTTTGAATAGTATCATGATGGTGTGGCCGAAAGCTAAGCATTTTCCTATACTCCATGTTATTGATATCCAGTTTAGTGCTTTGAATAGTCTAGAGGATTATGAACTTCAATCATCTGTCTAATAAATCACCATGCCTAATGAATTCTCACCGATCTAACCTATGGCTTTAAGATATAGACTGTAGCATTTTTGATAAAATTAGTTTACAAATGCTAAAGCATGTGGATCGTGGAGAAATTTCTACATATGGTTTAGTTACTCCATCAAATGTTCAAAATCAAGCTGAAGATACTTTTGGTTCCAAATTCATTCGTAGGTCTTTCCTTCTTCAAAAATAAATGAGCTACAAGATTTTACATTACAGTTTGTAGTATCTTATTATTCAATTTTATAATAATCTATATATAATGAAATAGGTTTTGCATTTCTCTAAAAATGACAGATTGGATTTTCTCTTGTTCAACAAACACGTTTAGCTGGTGGGACTGGTTTACAATCATTATCATCTAAAGTATGTTTAACAACATCTCTATAATCTAAACGTACTGCAAAACCATCTTGATAATAAAGTATGTTTTCTCCAACTGACCAACTATTAAAAATATGACCTTAGATGATTAATATTAGAAGGTTATATATATGTGATATCTATTTATGAAGAATTCATATTCAAGGGGATTTCATCCTCCTTATATATTATTTCTTCTATCCTTTAGCTACCTCCCATCCTATTCCACCGGAACTTCCCGTCACTGATGCTACTTTACCTTTTAATGAAAATAAATCAAGTATATTCTTATTTGGTGGTGTATATTTAGTTGGTAATGGACCTAATTCTGGATTACAATATGAAATAATTTTATCGGAACTCATTTTTGTGTCACTTGAAAAATATCTTTTTTGGTTGAGAAATCTGGGGCAATTAGGGGTTTTATTTATAAATTGATAATAATTGAAGTTAAATGTTTTATGTAATTGATTGAATGAACTGGTAGTTGATAAGATTCGTTTATTTATGAAATGATTTGTTTGTTTTGATAAAACAATTGAACTGAACGAATTTATCTTGAATGTGATTTATTTAAACTTTTATTATATTATTCTTTGTGATAGCAATTGAATTTAGCTTTTAAACTATGATGTCAGAAATAGTTAACTTTATTGGTAGGTCCAAATATTGAGGATCAAGAAAAAGACAAAAAGTAAAAATTCAAGAGAATCAATTGAGTTTATATAGTCGTTTCGGAAATAAAGTATTGTTTCAAATATAAATTGTGTAAAACATTAGATGTGTTCTATATATTTCTATTCTTAACTTTTATAAGATTGCTGTTCTATAGTTTAATTAGTTAAAAATTAGTGAGTTATAATAAACATGCACAACAACTTAAATTTAATCAGTATACCGATAGTCCCTAAAATTAGTAATACTTTATGTAACCGATATTTGGAACTACTTCATGTTATATAGTGGAGTATTTTGTCTTATGATTATTGGGATTTTACTGCTCAAGTATTTTGCAATATAAAATCTTGAGTAAATTCTCCGGTTCATAGAACCATGTTAGCATTTAATAAAGTGAATTCCATTAATATTAAATTCTACAAACTTTGAATACTTTATTTCATTATTTTTTTAATTTTTATTAATTATTTACTTATCTACATAATGCTTAAATAAAATATTATTCTTGACCCTAATAAACACGTTTAGCTGGTGGGACTGGTTTACAATCATTATCATCTAAAGTATGTTTAACAACATCTCTATAATCTAAACGTACTGGAGCTCCAAAACCATCTTGATATGACAAAGTATGTTTTCTCCAATTCACATCATCTCTATCTGGATAATCATCTCTTGCATGAGCACCTCTACTTTCAGTTCTTGCAGCAGCAGAAGCAGCAGTTTGAGTTGCACAAGTTAATAAATTTTGTAATTCTAAAGTTTCAACTAAATCTGAATTCCAAATCATTGAACGATCAGTAGTTTTAACATTTTCAAAATCTTGATCAACTGCATTTATATGTTCAACACATTTATCTAAAGTTTCTTGAGTTCTGAAAACTGCACAACCTTTTTGCATTGTTTTTTGCATATCTAATCTTATATCAGCAGTTGGTTTTGTACCATTAGCAGTTCTTAATTTATCTAAATTAGCTATTGATTCATATCCAATATCTTTTGGATGTGCTTTTATTGGTTCACCAGGTTTTAAATTACCTGCAATAGTATGTGAAACAGCTCTACCAAATACAACTAAATCTAATAATGAATTAGCACCTAATCTATTTGCACCATGAACTGAAGCACAAGCAGCTTCACCACAAGCTAATAAACCTGGAACAACTTCATCTTTACCTTCAGCATTTTTCTTCAATACTTCACCTTGCCAATTTGTTGGAATACCACCCATATTATAATGAACAGTTGGTAAAATTGGAATTGGTTCTTTTGTAACATCAACACCTGCAAAAATATGAGCAGTTTCTGAAATACCTGGTAATCTTTCTTTTAATACAGAAGCTGGAATATGTGATAATTGTAAATACATATGATCTTTTTCTGGTCCAACACCTCTACCTTCATTAATTTCCATAGTAATAGCCCTTGAAACAACATCTCTTGAAGCTAAATCTTTTGCTGATGGTGCATATCTTTCCATAAATCTTTCACCTTCTGAATTAACTAAAAATCCACCTTCACCTCTTGCACCTTCAGTAATTAAACAACCTGAACCATAAATACCTGATGGATGGAATTGAACAAATTCTAAATCTTCCAATGGTAAACCAGCTCTTGAAACCATAGCATAACCATCACCAGTACAAGTATGAGCTGAAGTACATGAGAAATAAGCTCTACCATAACCACCAGTAGCAATAACAGTTCTATTTGCAAAAAATCTATGTAAAGTACCATCTTCTTCATTATATGCAATAATACCAATACATGCACCATCTTGCATCATTAAATCCATACCGAAAAATTCAATAAAGAAATGACAATCATGTCTTAAAGATTGTCCATATAATGAATGTAATAAAGCATGACCAGTTCTATCTGCAACTGCACAAGTTCTATAAGCTTGACCACCTTTACCATATTCTTTAGATTGACCACCAAAAGCTCTTTGATAAATTCTACCTTCTTCATTTCTTGAAAAAGGTACACCATAATTTTCTAATTCATAAATTGAAGCTGGTGCTTCTTTTGTCATATAATGAATAGCATCTTGATCACCTAACCAATCTGAACCTTTAACAGTATCATAAAAATGCCAATGCCAATCATCTTTATGCATATTACCCAATGCAGCATTAATGCCACCTTGAGCAGCAACTGTATGAGATCTTGTTGGAAATAATTTTGAAATACAAGCAGTTTTAAAACCTTCACTTGATAAACCAAATGCAGCTCTTAAACCTGCACCACCAGCTCCTAAGACAACACAATCATATTCATGATCAACAACATGATATTTTTGACTCATATATTTAGCAGCATCAAAATCTGTACCTTTAATATTTGAACCAGTAATTTGTGACCTTATGGTTGATGTTGAAAATGATCTGGTGGCTAATTTTGTTGATCTAATTTGATTACGAAATGAAGTCAACATCTTTCTTTGGGTTTTTTTGAATAAATAAGCTGGATAAACGTGTATGTAATTAAATATGTGGTAATTTAAATCTTATGTTTTGACAAAAAAAATTTAAAAAAAACTTAAATGAGTTAATTTGACCTTTGAAAGAGTATATAATTTTTAGTTAAATGAATAAATAGTGAGTAGATGATATTTGGATGTTAATGGTAGTCGAAGTTTGTTAAATGATATACTTCTTATGGTTGTTGTAATGGTTTAACTTTTAAGTAAATTTTAGTATTTGATTCACGAAATTTAATTGGTTTCTAAATTTTTTTTTTCATTCTCTTAACAGTTTTTTTTATTTTTTTTTATTTTATTAAATATTATTTTTATCTGGAGAAATTATTAATGTATGTATGTCTAGAATTAAACTTATTATAAGGAAACAAGAGAAGGAAAACGTAAGTTTATGAATAACATATTATTGTTTTGTTAGACAGTACAGTAGAATAGAGACACACTGGAGCTTACTATACATTCTGATCAAATTACTAGTAATTCAACTATTCTGATCATGAATCAATCTATATGTTTATTATGTATTACCAAAAGAATTAATTTAATAGGTTGAAAAATTATTATATTAGTAGTAAGCCTCACTAATTTCCTAATTAAGAACCAATATAATTATTTCCCCGGGTTTACATTTATCACTAAAAATTGTGACCTAGCACTACCAACTGCTATCGAATTATTAATTCAATTTCCGTACCATTAATTCCGCTTGTAGCTTAATGTTAAAATTAAGATGTTTTTTATTATGAACAAATTACCACTTAAAACGAGAGTAGATAGACGTTGAACTTGATAAAGAATGTCCTAAAAGCTTTTTTGAGAACGATTCGAAATGTTGTAGAATCCTTTCAACAAAAATACTGTTCTTGATTTGAGAAACGTAGTGATGGTATAAAATTCAAACATTAGATATATTTTCATACAAAAAGTACATAAACTCAAACGGGCTTAATAAAGTGTAAAATCAAGCAAACAAAAAATATTCATACTAACATACCTTTTGGAATAGCCAAAAATAACGACAATTATGTTTTTGTTCCACCTATTTATCTAATTTTGAATTCAAATGAAGGATTATGATGATCTCTTGCAATAATTTCAATTGGTATCGATTTTTGACCAATTGCTTTTAATTGATTTGTTAAAATATTATATGAAGGTTTTAATTCATTTCTAACATTTTCAACAGCACTCAATCCACCAATACCAAGAAACTGTAATAATTTATCTAATAAACTACTCTTTATATCGATTAAATAAGCAATCAATGGTTGAACAAAAGAAGTAGTCATTTGTAATACATCATCTTGATTATTTAATTCTAATCTATCGTTATCAGAAATAATTTTAAAAATATCTCTTACATGTTCTTCATCAAATGAGAATTCACTTTCAATTGTTTCTCTTTTATCGAGTGTTGCATCATTTGGTAAAATTTGTAATAATTTTGATCCAGGTTCACTTGAATCAAAATATATTGTTGCATTTTGTAATTTTTCAGCTAATTCATGTGTTGAATCTAATACTCTTGCAAATAAATTAAGCGTTCTTGGTTGTGCTAATGTTTGAACTATTAAAAAAGTAAATGATAATAAAGTAGTAATAAATTTCATGGTTTAGTAATTGTGAGTGATTAATTCAATTCCTTGGTAAAAATAATTGAGTAATTGTTTCATAATTTTCTTTTTTTTTGCAACCATTTCTCTATTTATAGATTTTGTAGTTATTCATTTATTAGGATTACTATAGATGCATAATTCTGCTAAAATGTCATTTATTAAATGCACCAAAGTAAGGATATAGCAAATAAAGTGATTATCTGAATATGAAACGGAAGTTTAAAGACGTAACGTGAGTTAGTAACAAAAATTGAGTACGCATCTATATCATGCACCAGAACATAGTCATCAACTTGGGGCTAGGTTAGACATTGACTTTGTCAAAGGATTGTCCTTGGCTGTGTAACAAACAAAAGATTATTGAATCTGTGATACTAGACTAGAAAGTCTCAAACAAGAAAATATTGAAGTAACCATTCCCTCTTTATATCTATACCTGAGAATGCAGGTAAAGCAACATTGACTTCACAAATTAAAATCTTTATAGTAGTGTGTCAAAAAAAAAGGATGTATTTATAAGTATTGCTTATTGCCATTTCTAATTCCACTGAAAGTCTTGGAAAGAGGAGTTAAAGGTGATGAACCATTAAAAACATACGTTTAGTTAGTCGAAGATTCAAAAAATGACTTGGATTCATACTTCTACCTTACTCTCTTGAGTCACAGTGATCTACTTGCCATTTGTAAAAACCATCGTCTCTAATCAAAGCTCTTAAATAATAACTTTGTTTCATTGATTTGTTTTATAATTGTTGTATTAATAAGAGTAAATATTATTAACTATGTATGGAAAAATGTTATAGAAAAAAAAGATTACGTGAACTTAAAACAAAGCCGACTCTTTTTTCAAATTATCAAATAATACAACATCATACAATTAACTGTACCAGAAAGATATGGATGATCTAACAAAATCCGTTTGGGATGATGAATTACCATCAGATTCTAATAATATAAATAGTAATGATGATTCAAATAATGATTATAATCCAAATTTAGGGTCAAGTACATTTAATAGTTCAATCAATCCATTAGTTAGTGACTTTAATTCTTATTCAATTGATGATCCATTTTCCAATCCATTCGAAGATAAGAAACCACAAGATTATAATGATAATAATGATATTGATAGTTCATTTCTACGAAGTAATACAGCATTTAATACTGAAGATGAACAAATACATGAATTAAAAGCTGAAGAACGTAAGGAATTAAAAGATAAATTAATATCTGATTTAACAAGCGGAGTAGAAGAAGATGATCTATTAAATCTGGCAACAAAAAAATCAAAAACCAACAACATTAAAGAAAATGATGAATTGTTTCATGATCAAGGTTCTCCAATAAAAGTAATAAATCTGGATCAAGAATCAATTATATCCCCACAAAAATCATTAAATGTTAAAAAATTTAGAGCAGTAAGACCCAGAAGATTTAATTCAAAAACTAATGTACAACATCTTAAAGGAGAAGAAGAGAAAACTGAAGATTTGATAGGACCATTAAGTATTGCCAATAGGAAATTATCAGAAAAATCAATAGATAACGAAGAAAAAAAGGAGGACAAACATGAGAAGATTGATAAAAACCATAACGAAAATGAACAAATAAAAGTTCCAGAATCACCAAAGAAAACACCAGATAATAATGAATTAGAAATCACGGTGGGAGATCCAATGAAAGTTGGTGATATTACAACAGCTCACGTAGTATATACAATAAGAACAAGAAACAAGAACCTCGAGTCATCACATTTCCCAAAAGTTGAATCAGTTGAAGTTACAAGAAGATATAGAGATTTTAGATGGCTTTATCATCAATTACAATCAAATCATCCAGGTAGAATCATCCCACCACCACCCTCAAAACAAAGTATATTAGGAAGATTTAGTGAGAAACTAATAGAACATAGAAAAGTATCTTTGGAAAAAATGCTCAATAATATAAATAATAGAACTGAATTATGTAATGACCCAGAATTTGTTTCATTTTTGACTAATGATAATGAAGGTGTATTTAGTGATAGTGGATTAGAAGAATCAACAATACATGAAAATCAAAATCATAATGCAACTTCATCTGCTGCTACAGTGGCGGCAAATGCAGCTATAGCTTCTACTGGGTTTATGAGTTCATTATTTTCAATATCAAATAAATATATAGAACCTGATCAATTTTTCATTGACAAAAAGAACTATATTGATGATTTGGAATTTAATTTAAAACAATTTTCCAAAACTATAGAATTAATAGGTAATCAAAGACTGGACATGGTCACAATATTAGAAGAAATAGCAATAACATTAGAACAATTATCAACATTTGAGATAAGTAAAACAACAAGTGATTTATTGAATGCATTTAGTCAAGTTGAATTTAAAGTAAAAGATAATTTAGATAGATTGAATCTATCAGATCAATTAACTATAGGATATACAATTGAAGAATATTTGAGAATAATAGAATCAATAAATTATGTTTTTCAAACAAGAATTAAAATTCATCAACTGTTAACAACAATAACATCTCAAATTGAAAAACTTTCCAAAAAACAACCAATATCTAGTGAACGATCATTCGAGATAGGTAAATTAAAAGAAAGACAATCACAATTACAAAAGGAATTTGATGAGATAAGTTTTACAATCAAGACTGAATTACAACAATTTGAATTGGGTAGAATTGATGATTTTAGAAATAATGTTGAAATTTATATTGAAAGTTCTATTGAAGCTCAAAAGGAATCTATTGAATTATATGAAACTTTTTATCAAAAACATATTATTTAAATTATGAAGATATGTATAGGAATCAATAAGTGGAATTTTTTACGATGTCATACTAAATTGTATTTTTTAATCTGATTTTTCTGTGTAATTCAATCTTCATAACTTGTTGAATGGTATTGATTAATTCTAATTCAATCTTCATAACTTGTTTAATGGTATTGATTAATTCTGAAATCGAAGGTGCGGCTCTTTTTTCCTTTTATGTGCAATTTGTAATTATGATCCTTAAACTTCCGTCACTAAAAGTGAACTACATAGTATATAGAAAATTTAAATATACATGTCGAAATTAAGAAAAAAAAAACATACCAGAAAACAAAATGTGTGTTTCTTTTTTAATTTTACTTTTTATCATTAGTCAATAAAGTCGATCATTAGATGGTTCTCGAATATCGTCAATGTTATATATTACCACATTTTTTTTTTTTTTATCGTTAGATAATAAGCTCAATAAAAAACTGCAATTTAATCAAAGAAATATTAATTGATATTCGGAATTCACAAGAATTAGTCAAATCATATTGATTCTGGCTAATTTTAATGGATTTTGAGCTGTGAATTCAGACTTGAATCAAAAAATTCTGTTTTTGTATCCAACTGTCTATTTTGAAACTTAGGACAATTTGAATAATAATGAAAAAATTAACACTCTTGAACTCACACTTTACTATTCACCAACTACAATATACAACATACCACTAAATAAATACTGATGACATTTACAACTTGCCAATTACAATTTACAAATTGGCATCACTTGGTTTTTATTGATTCTTTATACGTCAATAAAACATTGAGAACGATTACCGAGAGAGTCTGGTCTTTATGGGCTCTATAAATAACAATAAGACTTTCCTTACAAATACCGAGAGAGTCTGGTCTTTATGGGCTCTATAAATTACAATAAGACTTCCCCTAACAATACAGAGAACTTTTTGAGTTACTGAGCCAGTGACTATTCATTTACTTTTTTAGCTGATTAACATTATTAACAAAGTTCATTCATTGTCAAGGTTTTGATCAGTTAAAATGATTCTTTATTTTCAATTTTTGTATCAGGTGCTTTGACATTGTTACATTAACAACTTTTTAATCAGGAATTAAATTATTAAGTACTAATTTCAAGATCAAAGGACCTAGTATAAGAGGTTTTATGTCAACGAGATATCGATATACTGGTCAGACATATAAAAAGGTACTTTAAATATACACAAATTCTTGGAGTTGAAATCTAAATGTGTGCACCAATTGAGCGTTGGTCTCATACAATTGGAAAGCTGTTCTAGTGGTGCTATAATGATTCAAATTAAAGGTTATTGATCTTGTACAAACTACTTAAGTTTCGGTTATTGTTGATTTTATTTGGAACAAAGTAATCACGGTTATATATTGACATTGAAGATCAAGTTACTAACTATCAAAAAAAAAATGTATATCAGACCTAAATTTGATCAAATTGGACAAATGGTACCAGCCATATAGAGTTTTATATAATGTATATATTAAAATCACATGTTTCAAAATAACCAGTTTTTAAATAAAATGTTTCATGTAAAAAAATACGGGACTAGAAACTGTTTCAAGTAAATTAAAATAGGAAATTTATAAAGGGCTTTAATTACCAATAAAAATGTGAACGGAAAAATTTACTTCATTCTGAATAATTTACAGTAAAAATTATAATTCAATCCAGACTGATAAGTTCGATTATCGGATTTCTAAATAGCTAAAAAATAAATTTCAATTGACTCTGAAATTAAAATTAATTAGTCCGAAACGAAATAATAATTTTATATTATAATTCAACAATGCTCGCAAAATTGAAAATTAGAAATCATATTATTAGAATATAATTAAATAGACGTCATCATAGAATATTATATTAAATTGGAGTTTATCTATAACCAATCGAATTTTTTAATCAAAATCGATCTATTTTTTGAAACTAAAGTTTAAACTTTTAGCTGAATTATTTTTTTTTAAATTTCAAGGTACAGATGAAACGAAAATCGCCTTTGAGTTTAAAACTTTATGCATCAGGGATCAAAATCAATAAACTAGCGAAAGACAGTATACATCCATTGCAAAATATCTCAATATTCAAAAGAATGGTTTGTCATTGCCTTACAATTGTTCTACATCCTATTTAATAATTAAGATTGTTTGGTCCCAACTAAAGTTCTGCTTAGTCACAAGATTCGCTAAATTTGAAATATTTAATACGGAAAATTCCGTCAAGCACAAGAAATAATATGAGTTAAAAGAATAGAAAGTTGTTCCTTTTTTCTTAATTACCTGTCATAATGCTCTTATTCATTTTGCCATTTAAATGGGCCATTCAATGAAGTAGAGTTTTTGTTCTCTTATTCGATATTGATTATGAACGGAGTTATACAATTTTCGATTGATGATATAGGATTTCTTTTTTTACCTTACCGATTTAATCATAACGCTGACTTTATTTAAAATAAAATCATTAGATTTTGAGACAGCTGTATTGATTATGCTCATTAATGCAAATAGATATTAGCTTTAAGCTGCCTCTGGTATTTTGTTAGTGAAAAAATTATATTTGAATGTGAAAAAAAATAAAAAAAAAAAATTAGTTCTACTAAAAATTTGGTATCATCTGACATCATCTCTGAAAATTTGATGACATACAAACCATGAACAACTACTTCTTCGAGTAATATATCTTTGATCAATAAGAATGCAATTACGAAATCGGTCTCGTAACAATAAAACATTTATTGAAAAATCTTGAGCATTGGTGTTAAGTTTCAAATATTGAATGGGCCGATTTAGGGCAAAAAATTTAAAGTTTCAAGTGAAAAATTAAATCATAAAATTTTAAGTAAACTAACTTAATCAATAATTGCTATGATTGGGCAAAGATTTACTATTTGACTTTAGTGTTTGTAAAATTGATTTAGTGTAATAGAATGAAATTTTGACAAAATTATTATTATAATAATATTGTGAAAAAAGAAAGGTGTTTTCCAATTATAATATTCTTTGATTAAATAATTAAAATTAAATGATTAAATTATTATTTATTTATCAAGAGATGATTAATATTTTATATTTAGTGATAGATTATAATGAATTATAAGTTATATAAATATTTAATCTAATTCCATTATATTTATTTTATAATTTATAATCTTTTAAATTTTCAATATTCTTTTATCTTTTCATATCATCAATTGATAAAATACTTATCTTATCTAATAACTAATTATTAATATATACAAAATGGTCTTACCTCACGAACCAGAATTTCAACAAGCTTATGATGAATTAGTATCAGCAGTTCAAGATTCTACTTTATTTACAGAACAACCAAAATATAAAAAAGTTATTCCAGTTGTATCAGTACCAGAAAGAGTTATTCAATTTAGAGTTACTTGGGAAAATGATAAGGGAGAAATTCAAGTTAATAATGGTTATAGAGTACAATTTAATTCTGCTTTAGGTCCATATAAAGGTGGTTTAAGATTTCATCCATCAGTTAATTTATCAATTTTAAAATTTTTAGGTTTTGAACAAATTTTTAAAAATGCATTAACTGGTTTATCAATGGGTGGTGGTAAAGGTGGTTCAGATTTTAATCCAAAAGATAAAACCGATGCTGAAATTAGAAGATTTTGTGTTTCATTTATGAGACAATTAGCAAGATATATTGGTCCAGATACAGATGTTCCAGCTGGTGATATTGGTGTTGGTGGTAGAGAAGTTGGTTTCTTATTTGGTGCTTATAAACAAATGCAAAATAATTGGGCAGGTGTTTTAACTGGTAAAGGTTTAAGTTGGGGTGGTTCATTAATTAGACCAGAAGCTACTGGTTATGGATGTGTTTATTATACTGAAAAAATGATTGAAAAAGCTAGTGGTGGTAAAGAAAGTTTTAAAGGTAAAAGAGTTGCTATTTCAGGATCAGGTAATGTTGCTCAATATGCTGCTTTAAAAGTTAATGAATTAGGTGGTTTTGTTGTATCATTATCTGATTCAAAAGGTACAATTATTTCAAAAAATGGTATTACTGATGAACAAATTCATGCAATTGCTGATGCTAAATTAAAATTCAAATCATTAGAACAAATTATTAAAGATGAAGTTAAAACTTTTAGTGGATCAAATGAAGTTGAATATATTGCTGGTGTTAGACCATGGACTAAAGTTGGTCAAGTTGATGTTGCTTTACCATCAGCTACTCAAAATGAAGTTAGTGGTGATGAAGCTAAACATTTAGTTGATTCTGGGTGTAAATTTATTGCTGAAGGTTCAAATATGGGTTCAACAAAAGAAGCAATTGAAGTATTTGAATCAAATAGAAATAATGGTGTATGGTATGCACCAGGTAAAGCAGCAAATTGTGGTGGTGTAGCTGTATCAGGTTTAGAAATGGCACAAAATTCTCAAAGAGTTAATTGGACTGCTGAAGAAGTTGACGCAAAATTAAAAGATATTATGGTAACTTGTTTTGAAAATTGTTATGATACTGCTAAAAAATATTCAACTGAAAAAGGAGAAGAAACTTTACCATCATTATTAAAAGGTGCTAATATTGCTGGTTTCCTTAAAGTTGCAGATGCTATGTTTGATCAAGGTGAAGTTTTTTAAATTGTTGTTAGTATAGGAGAGAGAGAGTCAAAAATAAAGGTTTTAGTGAATTTTTATGAATTCAATGAGGTTTCAGTTCTTTAAACTAAATATATTTACAATTAAGTTATAAAATTTAAAATATTTTCATAGACAAGAAATATTACATTCAATATATATACAAATATTATATATAGATATATATTTTAATAATTTTATAAGAAATTTAAAACAAATAAAGTTTAAAAATTTGTTGTGATTAGTGGCTACTATATAATGTTGTAACTATTTCAACTGTTTTTCGCAGCTGCGTGAAACTTGGAATTTCTTTTAGTGTCTCTTTTAAAGGTAATGCCAAAAGTACGTTTCAAATTTTCAGTATTTATTTAAACTTTTATTAGAACTTGTTCTTCCAACTATTTAAAGGATTTTGAATGTAATTTGTATGAGACTTTTTGGGTGTTGTCTTAAAAAAATGGTGTCAAATTTTAAAATTTAATATTCTTTCTCGTATAGATTATCGCACTAACAAAAATACTAAAGAGTTCCACAAAACATCGTAATTTGAAAAACTGAAAAAAAACATCACCATTAGATTGTAAGTCATTCATCATTGATTATACCTCATCCTCGACAATACGTAAAGACTCAAAAATAGAATCAGTCAATCAATTACATACACCATCCTGATATACTTTCATAACAGATATAACATCACCACATAGTACAAAATGGTTCAAATAAGTGAAGTAAATGAAAACACCAACAATTCATCAACTAATAAAGAAAATAGAACAGCAACACATACACATATAAAAGGTCTTGGATTAAACGAACATGGAATTGCCAAACCAATAGAGTCAGGATTCATAGGACAACAAGATGCCAGAGAAGCATGTGGTATAATAGTTGATTTAATCAAATCCAAAAAGATGTCTGGAAAAGCAGTGTTAATTGCTGGTCCACCAGCTACTGGTAAAACAGCATTAGCATTAGCTGTATCACAAGAATTAGGACCTAAAGTACCTTTCTGTCCAATAGTTGGATCTGAATTATATAGTGCTGAAGTTAAAAAGACAAGTGCATTAATGGAAAATTTTAGAAAGGCAATTGGTTTAAGAATTAAAGAAACTAAAGAAGTTTATGAAGGTGAAGTGATTGAATTAACTCCAGAAGAAGCTGAAAATCCTCTTGGTGGTTATGGTAAAACAATAAGTCATGTTATTGTTGGATTAAAGACTGCTAAAGGTACCAAGAATTTAAGATTAGATCCAAGTATTTATGAATCATTACAAAAGGAAAGAGTATCAATTGGTGATGTAATATATATTGAATCAAACACTGGTGCAGTAAAAAGAGTTGGTAGATCAGATGCTTATGCTACTGAATTTGATTTAGAAGCTGAAGAATATGTACCATTACCAAAAGGTGAAGTACATAAAAAAAAGGAAATAGTTCAAGATGTTACATTACATGATTTAGATGTAGCTAATTCAAGACCTCAAGGTGGTCAAGATGTATTAAGTATGATGGGACAATTATTAAAACCTAAAAAAACAGAAATTACAGATAAATTAAGAATGGAAGTTAATAAAATTGTATCTAAATATATTGATCAAGGTATTGCTGAATTAATTCCTGGTGTATTATTTATTGATGAAGTAAACATGTTAGATTTAGAAATTTTCACATATTTAAATAAAGCTTTAGAAAATTCAATTGCACCAATAGTTATATTAGCATCAAATAGAGGATTAACTACTGTAAAAGGATCAGATGATCCAACTTTTAAAGCACCACATGGATGTCCACCAGATTTAATTGATAGATTATTAATAATTAGAACATTACCATATAATCAAGAAGAAATTAAAATTATTATACAAAAGAGAGCACAATTAGAAAATTTAAATCTTAGTGATGAAGCATTAAATAAATTAGCTGAAAATGGATTCAAGACAAGTTTAAGATATTCATTACAATTATTAACTCCTGCTGGTATATTAAGTCAAACTTCTGGTAGATCAGAAATTAATTTACAAGATATTGAAGAATGTGAATTATTATTTTTAGATTCATCTAGATCTACTAAAATTTTAAATGAAACTAAATCATTCCTTTAAAAATAATTATATATATTAATGTATTAATATTAAAAATTTTTTTATAATCTAATTAATTGTTTAAATTTTCACACTCTTTCAAAAATTCAGTAGGTGATAAAATATTAGTAGATCCATAAATAATATTTTTATAACTTGATCCATCACTAGATTTGTTCAAATCATTACTATTATTTAATTGACCACCACCACCAGAATAACTATTACTCCATTCTTGTAAATTTTGATATTCTAAATAATTTCCACCACCAATCACGAAAACAATAGAATTAGAATAACTTTGTCTTTTTGGAGGTTTTGAGTGACCACCACCTCTTGATTTTGGATCAAAAAATAAATAATCATCAGTTAATTGTATTGATGATTGATTACTTGAATTTGTAGGATCCATTATTGATTCAACTATATTAGTTATTGGTAATAATTTTTTTGCAGGGATAAAATTTTTAATTTTAGATGCTATTGAACTTATACCTTCAGATATTCTTCCCTCAGTTAAACCATATAATTTTGATGATAATCCACTTAATAAAGCTGATGCTTGTTGTTGTTGATTATGATTTAAGTTTTGATGATTTGAGTCGTTATCATTTCCCAAGTTTGATAAATTTGATAATTTTGAGTTTTCTTTAAATTTTAAAATATATTCTAATGCTGATAAATTCAAATCTGGATATTTAGTAACTAGTTGATTTTTTAAATTTTTAATATATTCAGTACTTAAATCATTTACCAAAATTAAAATTATAAAAGTTCTCAATTTATCTAATGAATTATCAATTTTGGAATTCTCTTCAACTATTGTTAAAAATTCTTTTATTGATTTTGGATCATTTGAATTTTGTTCAATTTCAAAAAATGTATCTAAATTTTTAGCTTGTAATTCATTAATTAAACTAGATAAAATATCCATATGCATATCTAAAGTAGTTTTTCTTTGAGTTAATTCTGGTAATTTTTCAACTGCTTGTTGAATATTTGCAGTTGCATTTGCATTAGGGTCGATATCATCTAATGAACTTATACCTGTTTTATTTGTGATTTCTTTTGCATCTTGCTTATAAGAATTTAATTCAACATCTGCATTTTCAACAACATCTGGAAATGGTAATTGAGAATATTTATTCCAAAAAAAATCACGAGGATCAATATCATAATTTTTTGTTGTTGATTCTGAATTTTCTTCTTTACCTGGTTTTATTAACTTGATTGTATTTCTTTTCAATTGGAAAACATCACTAACCATACATTGATAAATCCACGAATGTGCAAACATTGAACCTAAATCAAAATTTCTATCTAATAATATTATAACAGGTCTTTGAGTTAAATTTGAAGAATCCAGTTGTCCCAACGACTTTGAATTTGTGATATATTCCCTCAATTTTAAATCTAATTCTTGTGCTACATATTCAGCAGGTCCATGTTGTTGAGCTCGTATAATAGGTATAACATTTAAAGTAATAATTAAAGATAATAATCCATCTGCAATCTTGCCAACTAATTGATGTATTGTATCTTCTTGAGTTGTTGAAGTATTAAAAATTGTGAAAATTTCATTCATATTTAAAGAAAATAAATTTGGTTCAGTAACAATAAAATCCAAATATTGATCCCAAACTTGTTTAATTCTATTTGATTTCCCCAGTAATGCTATTTTTTTAGCAAATTCTTCCAATAAATCTCTTGATATATTTGATGTAAAATTTATATAATAATATTCATATTTATCAGATTCAATATCTTGTAAAATTATATTAATATTTGTAATAGTTGGTTCAATAAAATATATAGCTGGTACATCAGGTAAATTTGATCTTTTGGAATTTATTAATGAATGTACAGTTATTCCACATCTTAATAAATCATTAACTCTTAAAACAGAAGATAATACTTGTCTTGATTTTTCATCTAATATTAATACTTTCCATATAATTTCTTCTGATTTTGATGCTAATGTTAAATCTGGTGAACCATCTTTATTTAAATGTAGCATTCTTTCTAATTGTGAGATTTGTTTATCTCTTAGACTGAATGATTCTAATGACATTATGATTGATCTCTGTTTTGTGATATGATAGGCTCTATTAATGAGGTTGAATTAGTTTTGTTTGTATGGAATTGATAATATTGTTGAGATAATTCTATGTTTTGGTGTTCATAATATTGTTTTTTTTTTTGGTTGTCAAAAAATTATCTATACAGTATTGTGGAAATTAAATTTGAATTTTGTTAGTGTTTAATGTTAAATAAGGCGGTAGGAAACTAAGCACGAGTAAAACTGACTTAATTCAGAGAGAGACTATAATATTGATTATGGATTTATGAATCAAACACTGCTCTTCAATTCCTTGATAAGATTCGAGCTTGAAGTACAACGAATTCTCTTCCAATTGTAAGTTTTTTAGCTAAGTAGTAGTAAAAATTTTTAAGTGGTAATTTATACCGTAAGAGAAGTCTACGATCCTACAACCAAAATATTCAAAACTAATTTAATTATATACATTAAATAACTATATAATACAAAACAATAAATACGATTCAATATTTATTTAATTTAATGTTAATTATAATAATAAGGATAAAAAATAAGTACACAAACGAAATGAATAATTTTTCTAATAATTTTAATAAGATCATGATTAAAACCATTTCATGTCTTTTTTAACTCTAATTTTAAATCTAATTTTGGCAAGAAATATTTGACCAACCTATGAATTCTTACTTTGATCTATATTCAACAATCCCTCTCAAAACTTTAATCCTTCCATAAATTTCATGATCAATAGTATTTTCATCATCTTTTTGATCTTTTGGTTTATTTTTATGTTCAGTACCAGGTTTTGGCCAAATACAATTTAATCTTAACCTTGAACATTCAGTACAATTAGGTTTGGTTTCACAACATCTTTTCTTACGTTGTCTACAAGTTAAACATCCCATTCTTGATCGTTTAGTAATGAGTTTGTTTGAGTTAGGAGGCGATTGATCATGAAGTTCTTGTTGATTGTGATGAGTTAAGTGTGGTGGAGGTTGTAAATGAGGTGGAAGTTGTTGTAAATGGGGTGGTTGTTGATGTGGTGGTAAGTGTTGTAAATGTTGTTGTTGTGGATGTTGTAAATGTGGTGGTAATTGTTGAGTTGGATTTTGAGGTTGATAATCATTTGTTGGATTTATATTATTTGCTTTATTTTTTGGTTTTCTACCTGGTTTCTTTCCGCCTCTTTTTGATTTAGGACTTATTGGATTTAATGGTGGTTGATTATATTCACCCCAATTTTGTGGATGTTGTTGATGTTGTTGATCATTGGCGTGAGGATTTTGATAATTTAAATCTGGAGCTGGGTATTGCTGTTGTTGTTGGACAGGTGCTGGATGTTGTTGGGGTTGTTGGGGTTGTTGGGGTTGTTGTTGTGATAGTAGTTGATTTGGTCTTTGTTGTTGTTGTTGTTGTTGTATGCTATATTGTTGATCTTGTAAATGAGAATAATCTCCTTGGTGTTGTTGGTTTAGTTGATGATTTGAATTTGGATTATACACATCTTGTGAAAAATAATTTACTGGTTGAGGAGGATATTGATGATAAATAGATGATTGTGGTTGTTGTTGGTGCTGTTGTTGTTGTTGTTGTTGTTGATTATCTTGTTTATCTTGATTTGAATTGTTTAAATTCGGTACATAAGTTGATGATCTTTGTGGATGATTATTACCATTATTTCCATTCGTATTATTATTTGAATTTGAATAAGTTGAATAACCCCCTTCAACTTTAGGTATTGAAGAATAATGAGAAGTTGTAGTTGAATTTGTTTGTTGTGGGGTGCTTTGTTGTGATTTATTTGATAAACTATTATTATTATTATCACTACTACTAGATAACGAATTCATATTTTAAATCAAATTAAGTAATTTTGAGGAATATTTTATTTGAAAAAATGTGTAGCACTAAAACAAGTTATATGTGCACTTAAAAATTTTGGTTTAAAAATGTGTAATTGTTTTGATGAAAAAAGTTACTAAAAATTAATTGAAAAAGACCTCTGATCAGTTGTAATCGAAACTTTAAATAATGTAAAAAAATTCTCTATATGAATAGGATTTGTTTTAAAAAGCTATCCTTGATTCTATATTTATATAAAAAGTTTATTGTATCAGATGTCTATACTTCTAAACTTTTTAATATGAATATAGTGTAATTGAGTGTAATCAGGATAAAAAAACTCTGTTTTCTTGTAAAGTAAAAAAAATAAATTCTATTGTATGTAAGGGGGGTTGATTTTTAATAATTTTTGTAATTGATACTTTACTTGGTTATGATTCTCAAATAGCCTCGTATCTTGTGCTTAAATTTGTAAAAAATATTGGTAGTAAGATTTATTTGGTATAGTTGATTTGTGGATTTATTTTCCGAACAAACTACTTTTTTCAAATTGTTTCAAATCAATACAAATCGATCTTTAAAATTTTTTGTCTAATTTAAAGTTGAAGATCTAATGTATAATTAATTATAATTAAATGCAAATTGATTTAAATTTATTAATTATAATCAAAAAATGTGTAAAATACAATTGGTAGTCTTGTGGTAAATAAGTTTAAACTTGGATTTTATGATTTTAACAAAGTTTTTAAATGATTCTTGTTTTATCAATGAAGTAAAATAAGAAAATGGGGTTGTAATGAATAATCAAATGCAAAAAGTCAAAATACTAAAGTAATAATCTTGCTTTAAAATAATGTATAAATATCGTTTTCTTTTCCCCTTTTTGAAGTTATTGAAGATACTACCTTATTGTTAATTTTTAATTGGTATTTGATGAGTTTATCTTTTCTTTTTCTTAAGGATCTTGAAAATTAAGGATTATATTTTAACTCCCAATAATGAATGACTAAATTTAATTAGATTGACTTGGTGAATTAACGTAATTAAATCTTTCGTAAAAATAAAGATTTGCTGTTGACTTTATATTCTTTCTCTCAAAAAATTCACTTCAGTATATATCAACACTAAATGAACTTTGCTATGATTTATGCAGATAATTGTTATTGATTTTTCAAAAAATGTGTAAATATTTAAAACAAATCCTTTTAACCCCAAAAACTATTAATTAAGAAAAAAACAAAATTTAAGGAAATTGTTGTTACTATTTGAAATTTGAATTTTTGAATTTAAAGTTTTTGAATTGTAAAATGTATCGAAAAAGATAAACAAAACTTTAAAATTTGATGAAAATGTGTAATTGAAAAAAAAAAAGTTTTTAAGGATTGATGATTCTATTAATAATTTCTTAAGGAGTAGTACGTTTATGTATGTTAGCTCTGTAATTGATGAGATTATTAGTAAATTAAACGGATCTTAATTGATGATATAAATTGCAAAGACTGATGATATGTTTAGTATCTTCAATTTAGTTAAAATGAATGATGATTTGATCCAACCTGTTAGTGTCGAGACTTTTGATTATATTGTTGTTGTTAAATAAACTGACGAATCTAAGATCTTGAAGTTTTAGATTTCAAGATTTGATTTAAAAATGAATGTGATTAATATGTGTAATTAAGTATATTGTAATAAATGAAATACGAAATTAAACGTATTTCTTCTTCTTCCACTACCAATTTTATACAAGTGTTTAATAAGTTAAAGTTGAAAGCTTTAGTAACTTAAGATTTAAAGTTGATCTTTTAATCTTGTTTTGGTTTTGTAAAAATTTAAGTGTCGTGAAAATAAATAAATAAATAAATTTAAATGTGGAACGAAGTAAATTTATATTTATAAATTATTTTTTTTTTTTTTTTGTTTTAATTTAATTTTTAATAGAATTAAATAATTTGCAATAATAAATTTTACTATAACAACAACTAATATTGAAAATTATATTTGTATTCACTTTTTTTATTAAGAAAGATTAATTAATTAATTTTAGGGGCAACAACATTTGAATTTAATCATTTATACATAGAGAGAAAAATAATAATCAGAAAATTATAACCAAATTTGTATGTATAATGTATAAAAAAGATTTAATAATCAATAGAAGCTAAAGAAATTAAAAAAAAAATAAGAGACAATAAGCGGAGTAACTTATTAATTATTATATTAACTGGTCTATTTATATATTATTATGGTATTGGTTCAGAGATGCTATAAGAAATAAAATCATTTCAGGTGGAATATTGACATCATTTTGTAATAGAGTTAAAAGGTTAATTATTTATTTAATTTTATATTAGGGGTTATCCCTTGATATTTATTAATATGTCAAGAATTCATTAAAGTATTAGTTAAAAGTAAATTTATTGACATAATCAAACAAAGCTACCAATTAATTACACATTTTTTCATAATACCTGTATATAATAGTTTTGTGTTTATCTTTATTAAAAAAAAATATTTGCCTTATAGCAAACTAAGTTATTATACATATATTACTATTATTACTATAGAATGGATTTTTTTAATTTATATCATCAGTCATACGGCTTATATTTATTAATTAATATCTATCGAGTTTCTATTCATATGTTAAATTAAATTTTACAAGAAAGTAATATGAGAGAGTTGAAGTAATTCGGAGTTGGGTGTTCGATGTATTAATATTAGGTACAGATCTTTCGACTCCATAATTTGGATCTGGTTTGGTCTCTTATTTTAGATCTATATTTAAATTCTTTTATTTTATAATTAATGAATTTCAAAATTATTTTTTTTGCCCAAAATGTAAGATATTAACGTCAACTTGAAACTCAATAATTTATTAAAATTCAAAATTTCATGACCCCTCTTATGTTTTATAATTTTTTTCTTCTGCCGATTTGTTCAAACTTGTACATGGATTTTTCAATTATTTTCTACAATTAATCTAATGTAAACTTTATCTTAATATCGTTGAGTTTATGATAATTTGAAATTAAAAATGCTTAATTTCCTAAATTGGTTTATCCATTTTTTTACTGATATTTACGATCTAATTTTCAATTTAATTTAAACGCCTTAGCATGTATTTTGAAAAAATTAGTTTTTTTAAATTAATGAATTTCTACATAATTGAGGCTAATTTAAATATTTAAACTTTTAACTAAACCAATTTTTGAATTTGTTCTATAGTGATCCTATTTATCCGTTATCCTATGTATGTTTGAATCAAACACTAAGTTATCTTAATTATTTTTAGATTATAAAAAAAATCCTGACATACTAATTATGCAAGACTCGCCAATTATTTTAATTTTTTTTATTTTTAATTTTGAAACGTACCTAAGGCAATCTCGCCTTTCTCCTAACTTTTTTTTTCCATTTTTTTAGACCAAACTAATTCGAATCAAGTTGACGTTATGAAGGATATTAACCTTGTAGTGATGTCAATTAAGGTACTTTCACCACCTTAAATTTATTCATGGTGAAGAAGAAGTCAACATAAAACTCAAGTTTATGACTACTTTCAGGAACGAAGAATTAAAAAAAAACGAACTGCCTAAATGAATCGCTTTGTTTTGAACAATAATTTTTTTTTCAATTTTACAAAAATTAGATATTGTAAATCAAATAAAATTACAGAAACTTACATATGATCTAGAAAAATATCGGATAATTAAATTTTTCCATACTTTTGAACTAAGATCTTATAAATTCATTTCCAATCCATGATTTCAAATTTTAAAGCTCTATCAAAATTATATAGAGGGTCTAATTTTTCATATGCATTTTTGTAGTTATGATATTAAGATGATTAGAAAACTAATCAAATTTACTGCTTTGAATTGGTTAGTATGAATATTATGTAATACTAAATTGTTATTAATTGTTATTAATGATAAATAAGATGTACAATTTTACTGTTAATTCAACAATAGGTTTACAAACCAATAATTTAAAAGTTTTTACGTGTCACGTATTAAAGAGTTAAATTTTGTATTTTTGTGTTCATATTATGTCCGATTATCTAATAAGACATCAATGATTTCTAATGAGCTTAATTCGATGATCACATAGGAACTCAGTTGCTAAATCAATGCTTTTCTTTAATTTATAAGCTAGTCTCAGATTAGAATTTATATCAAATGTGTGTCAAAAAACTATTTATCACCGATTAAACAATTACCCCTCAAGAATAAAAAAGGTTACTTTGAAATTTATTCAATATCGCTTAAACTTTTTAAAATTTAACAAAACTTAGTTTTAAAATTTTATTAAATTGTACATACTTTATGAAAGTTAAGTTCGTATATCATATTCTATTTGATTTGATCAATTTTTAGTAAATTTAGCATGCTGAATAGATTCTAAACATTAAACATCTTTTGTCTCATTTTAAGTAGAACAATAATACAGCCTCTAGTTTACGCTAATAGTGAGCATTTGATTACAATAGACGTTATACGATCTAATACGCCTGAACTTACTAGATCATTACTTTTATTTACTAAGTTAATCACGAAGTTCTCCAGAAAAGCAAAACCACCAAAAATTAACAGATGAATAAAAAATTTTTACGGGGCAATTACTATTATCTAATTTTAACATTTTTAACATGAATAAATTTATTATGTTGAGAATAATTATTACTAATTGTACATTGATCTAGAAATTAAAAAAAAAGGTCCAGACATCTTTATGTTATGTTGAACGGCTGAATGATTATCCCTCTCAATATCTTTATTCTTCATCAAGTCAAGTTTTTGATCTTTAACTTGTGCATAAACCAAAATGATTCCTTTTGGTCGTCACTTCTATGTTGACACAATTTAAAGAGGTAGTCCAAGTTTTTTCACTTTTTCTCTTAACTGATAAATCTTCGCTTTTCACAAATAAGATAAAAGATTGAATAAAAGTACTTCAGAATCTATAATTTTTCATTATCATTATAATTATTAAACTATCTATTATTCACATCATTCCTGGCATCATTCCACCAGCACCAGGAGGCATTCCGGCAGGTGCTCCACCAGGAGGACCACCTTGACCACCGCCTTCTTTTAATGATGATCTTCCAGCTTTTAATAATTCATCACATAATAATAAATTTGAAGCAATACCAGTAGCTGAACTTATAGCATTTCTTATAACTCTATAAGAATCCCATATACCTTCAATTGATGGATCTAATGGTTCACCACTTTTTAAATCTATACCTACAACATGACCATCATTTATTTCATCTTGACATATAGAAATAGTTTCTAATTGATCTAAACCTGCATTTTGTGATAAAGTTTTTGGAATAATTAATAAAGATTCTGCAAATGCTTTTATACCTGATTTGTTTTTGCCTTTTAATATTGATTTATCATTTAATAAATAATTATTACAACTTAACCAATATGCTCCTGCTCCAGGTATAATACTTTTATCTTTTATAACATTAGCAACTGATCTTAATCCATCTCTTATTGCATCTTTTGTTTGTTGTAAAATATGAGAATTTGAACCTTTAATTAAAATTGTAGCTGATCTTGGATCTTTATTTTCTGTAACATAAGTAAATTTATCTTCTCCAATACTATTTTCATAAACTAAACCTGAAAATCCCAAAATTTCTGGTGATAAATCATCAACTGAATTTTGAGCTTCACCTCCACATATCAACTGTAATCTTTCCATATTTCTTCTTTTAGCTCTTCTTAATGCTAATATACCATTTTTAGCTAATACATCTAATGACATTGGATCTATACCCTTTTGATTTATTATTACAAATCCTGAATCATTATTTGGACATACTTGATTTTTTAATTCAACTATTTTTTTCAATTTTGCATCTACAAATCTTCTTTCTGATTCAACTAATTTTTCACGTTGTTCTGCTGATGAATAAAAAAAACCTGAATTAACTTCTGTTTTTTCATATTCTAATGATACATTTAAAATTAAAATATGAGCATTTTTTATTTTTTTAGGCATATCTGGATGTCTTGCACCATGATCTAATACTAAACCTTTAATTAACTCAGTATCTTTTGAATTTCCATGTTGCATAGTCATAATTTCAATCATATGTAAATCTAATGGATGATCATCACTTTTAACAGTTAATACTGCATCAGTAACTATTGGAGTTAAAATTTCAGCTAATTCATTATTTACTTTAGTAATCAATGAACTTCTTGCAATTTGTAATAAAAATTCACGATCAAAATTTTCCACTTTAGTTTTAAATTCATCTAAAAATTTCAAACTTGTTTCACGAGCAATATCAAATCCATCTACTATAACTCTTGGATGTACTCCTTCACTTATAAACCTTTCTGCTTGTTTTAATAATTCTCCAACCAATAATATAACTGTTGTTGTACCATCACCAGTAATTTCATCTTGTGCTGTTGCTGCTCTTGCAATCATTACTGCAGTAGGATGTTGGATTTGCATTTCTGTTAATAATACTTTCCCATCTTTTGTTAATTTTAATCCACCTGATCCATCTACTAAAAGTTTAAGGGTTCCTTTTGGACCTAAATTTGATGATAAAACTTGTTGTAATCCTTGAGCTGCACTTATATTTACTTGTAATGCTTGATCACGTCTAAATGATTCTGCTTTTGGATTAAGCAATTGAATTGATGATGACATTGCTTATGTAAAAATACAACTTAAAGATGTAATAGAAGGAATAATTTGTCTTAATATTGTTGTTGCAAATATTAAAACTTCTTGAACTTTTCAATTAATTTTTTTTTTCCTTTGTTTGATTTAGATGTGAATAAAATAATATTACACGAACTTAATAGAATTATTTAGAATACAAGAAACTTTGAAACAACTAAATAAATGAGTTATAAAGATGATATTTTCCTACCAGCTAGAAATAGTTTAAGAATTAAACAAGATGAAAGAGAAACAGTTATACGATCTTGTAGAGAAATTACAAGTTATTCCAAAAAATGTATATTTTCTATACATAGAGATTTAGAAAAAGTTCAATTAAAAAAAGAACTAATAGAGTATTTAATAGTTATAAGAGAACATTTAATAACAATTAATGAAATATATTTTAATGATAATTTTCAACTCAGGGGTACAATATCTGGAGCAATTGAAGAGTTGATTGAATTTTTCACGTTCTGTTGTTATAAATATCATCTGGAATTAATACAATATGAAAGGTTTATAGAATTAATAAATTTAATAACAAATGACCTAAAAGAAATAGAAAATGTTGTCACTTACATATTGAATGAGGAACTGGATATTATTCTTTTGTGGGCACCCACATTAACTTCACCAATGATAGATAAAGCAGATTATTTAATGGGATTATTTGATTGTACAGGGGAAATAATGAGAATGGTTATATCAAATTCAACTGATACTCATGGAAAATTTAAGAATTTAGAAACTTTAAATGATTATAATTTTATGAAAAAATTATATGAGAATTATATTTTGTTACAATCTTATTATCCTGGTATTTCAATATATAATGGTATATTTGATGATTCAATAAATTCAAAAGGTAATAATTCATTTAAGAAGAAATTACAAGTTTTTGAAAGTTCAATAAACAAAATTGAGAATACTTTGATAGATCTTTTAATAAGTGATAAAGAGATACTATAACATAATAATTAATGAATAATTTTTTTCATGCTTATGCTTATCTATGAATTCTCAAAACTATGTGGATGTAGTTTATATTCTAGGTACTGGACCACCTGGTGATTTTTCATCTCTTGCGGTTAAAATTTCAACACCATCTTCAGTAATCAACAACATTTGTTCAAATTGAGCAGATTTACTACCATCTAAAGTAGTCGAGGTCCATTTATCTGGCCATGTACAATCTTTATAAGTTCCTAAATTAAGCATTGGTTCAATTGTAAAAACTTGTCCAGGTTTCATTATACCTATAGCTTTATTTTTAGCATAATGAGGAATGTTTGGTTGACAATGAAATAATTCTCCACATCCATGACCACAATAAGTTCTTACTACTGAACAATTATTTTCTGATGCATGTTTTTCTATTATATTACCTAATTCTCTAAATGCAACTCCTGGTTTACAAGCTTTCATAGCTAAATCAAGACATTCTCTTGTTGTTTCTACTAATCGTACAGTATCTGGATCACTAGTAGCTTTTTCTCCAACATAATAAGTTTCATTTAAATCTGCATGAAATCCTAAATAATAAATAGTAACATCTAAATTTACAATATCTCCATCTTTTAATTTTGTTTTATCTGGTATACCATGACAAATAACTTCATTTATAGAAGTACATAATGATTTAGGGAAATTATAATAATTTAATGGTGAAGGATATGCATTTCTTTTAAGACATTCTTTATGTAAAATTTCATCTAATTCATCAGTTGTAATACCTGGTTTTATATAACTTGCAGTTATATCCAATATTTCCCTAGCTGCTTTACTTACTTTTTTAATCTTTGTAATTTCCTTTGGTGACAATGTTGGTATTTTACCAATTCTATCATTTTTAATTTCACTATATGGTTTACCATCTTTTGCATAATCAGGTAATTTTATATGTTTTGGTATTGATCTTCTTGGTGATAATGGATAATGAGGTCTTAAATCTCCCTTGTATTCGAAATTTGGGAATGGAATATATGATGGTTCACCATCTTCTGATTTATGAATAGCTTTATGAATTCCATAACTTGATCTAAAACAATTTTGATCACAAAATACATTTGATATTCCATCTTTTAAACATACTGGACATTTCAACATTGATTCTGTTTCTTTACCACATTGTGGAGCTGCACATATAGTTGTCATTATTATAAAAGCTATAGATTGTGTTTTTTCAATGAGTGAAGTTGTTGTATATTTGAAATAATTATTATTAATGTATAAATTTTTTTGCTCTTTTCTTTTTTTCACTATTTGGTTTCGGTTGGAATTTTATTACTTTCTCTAAAGTTACTCAATAGGACTTTCAAGTAGATTGACGAGACATTATGTAGTCGGTGCTACGCATATAGCTGGAAGACTAGCAAATAGTTCAGTAAGCTAGTTGATAATGGAGCGTCGAGGAAGAGTTTCTATGTTAAAGCTTAATAAAATTTGGTCTTCTGACTAAATGTGATTTTGTGACATTAAATTATTTTTGACTTATTTCACTTTTTGCAGCCAAATTTTTTAAATAAGAGATATTTAAAGAGCAATTAAAAAACACTCTAATTTGAGATTGTTTTACAAATAGAGACATTACTTTCATTAAATTTTATATACATCATATTGAAAAAAAAAATTAAACTAAACATTTGGAGCACCATATCCACCTACTACTCTAAAATCAAATGGTTCAGAAATTTGTAATTTAGATTTCTTTGATTTTGAACTTTTTAATTTATTTTTAATTGGTTCGATAACTTTAGCAGTTTTTCTTCTTAGTTTTTGACCTTTATTTGTTAAAGGTGAATTAACATTTGAACTTGTTGAACTAGATTTTTTAGCTTTGTCATTAGAAACCGCAGATAAATTCATGCCTGATACTGACAAAATTTGATATTCGTCATTGGATTTTTTAAAGATTTTAACAAATTTATGATGTTTTGATGTAGATTTACCTAATTTCGTTTCATCAAAAAAGTTTTTAGGAAGTTTGATGATCATCTTTCCTCTTTTAATCTTAAATTCATATATCGCGTTGGCTTCTTCATCTGAACTTGATTCGCCCACTTGAACACCAGTAGCACCTTTTTTTGAATTAGCATCTTTGTCATCATCTAATGAACTATTGGTATCTTCAGTATTGTTTACTGGCTCTGAAGACAATTTGGCTTCCGCTGAAGTTGATTCTGAGAGTTGTTGATCATTATCACCTTCAACTAACTCAATTTGATTTTTAAATGAACCTAATGTAATCATTTCATATGCTTCACGTAAAGTAGTAGCTTCACTGACATTTCTAATTTTACCTTTTGTATCAAAAACTTCATCCATAATTATTGGTAAATTTTCATTATTTCTAATTGATGGTATATTTGTTTCAGTTAATTCTAATAATATATCTTTATTTATTTGATCAGCGTTGTCCAACATTTTTACCTTAGAAGTTGATAAATTCAAATTCAAATGACCTTCGATTGTAGAAATTTTTTGAAAAAATAAAAACAAGAAAGTGGATCTTTATATATATATCATCAATTTTATTTTGGAATGCTTGAATTCATGTTTCTATGATATGTTGTAAATCAAAATACAGATCTTGAATTTATATTAATTTCATTATGTTACATTTTGCTTCGAATAATGCACCACTCCCAAGACGAATAACCCTTATCTAGATCGTAGGAGCTAGACTATTAATATGATTAACTCTTTATAATGTAAATTGTATCGAATGTCCATTGATATAATGAAGCTAATTGATATTTGATAATTGTATGGTAGTGTATATAATTTCTACTCTCTTTCAAATTATCACCAAAAGAAAAAAATATGTACCAGAAATATTGATAGTATAAGTTTTGCCATTCTACCTAAATAAGTCAATTTAATATCTTAGACAATTTCACTACAAATAAGGTACAATGGTATGTTAAATTATAGTGATACTATCCTATCTGGTATCGATTAAAATTATTATATATATTAACTTTTATGTATAGTCATTAAGAATAATTCCACAAGATTCAAAAGAATCAAAAGTTTCATCAACTCAATTTAATAACCCATCAACAAATACTCCATCATTATCAGAAACTTTACATAATCAGCAAGGACCACAAAACATATCAAGTAGAATAAATAATTTACATCCTTTACAATCTCGTATAACAAATTGGGATCAAACTCAACATGAAACAAGATTAGAAACTTATAGAAGATTATTTGGAGCTGGTGAACCAATAAAAAGAACAATGGAATTATCAATAGTAGAAAATACTGATTTTAAACCTGATGTTTTAGGTGGTTGTGATTCTATGCATAAGGATATTTTAATGGGAAATGATATGAGTTTAGATTGGAATGATGTTTATCCTAATGGATTATACAATAATGGAAATAATTCAATGGATGTGCATAATGAAATAGAAAAAAGATTAGGTATATAATGTTAAGACTAGAGTTTATATAAGTATTATTCATGATAATTTACATGTTCTTAGTCAATTAATTGAAAAGCTATTTGATATTTGACATATACAATTATTGAATTATCTCTTTGTTCCTACAGTTGAAGTGTTTTTGGTCTTTTTTTGTTTAACACTTGTACTCCAACCATCTTCATCAACTGTTTGAATCTTATCAGCACTTGAGATAATAGCAGATGACCAACTCATTAAATCTCTTGAAGCTTCACCACCTAATTGTTGATCAGCTCTTGATTTTCTTTTAACAAATTCTTGAGCAAATCTTCTACCATCCATTGTTGCACTTGAAGAATAAATAGTTTCTGATATTAATTGTTGAGTATCTGATGAATTTGATGGTAATGTAATAAACATTTCTAATAAATCATTCTTGGAAACTGATGGATAAAGATTTGTCATTTGTGATCTTGCCCAAATTAAAAATTCTTCTCTAATAGCTTGTGTATTGATAGTTGATGTATTTGTTTTTGTTGCTGAAACGCTACGTAATAATTGTGGTGTAATTTTGGTTGTTGGAATATTTGATGTTGTGTTGGTGGTAGTTGGTTTCTTTGGTGGTGGTTGTTTCTTTGAGGTGACTGTAGTCCAAGCTGTAGCTTCTTCTTTTGGAACTGAATTAGCTAATGCACTGGCAAATGATATACTATTTCCATAACCTGAAATACCTCCAAGGTTTGAATTTTGTTGGGAAGCAGCGGCAGCAGCAGCAATTGCAGCTGCATTTTTAGCTTTTGCTAATTCGGCTTCCTCTTTTTGAATTTCAGCTAATGATTTAACAACTGTTGGTTTTTCATTTGTTGTACCCCAAGTTGCAGGTAATTGAGATTTTTGTTTTAATTCTTGATCAGCAGCAGCTTTTTCAGCAGCAGCGGTAGCTGCCCATTCTTTTGTAGATTGTTCTAATTTAAGTTTATTTTGAATTTTCTTTTGTTGTGACATTTTTTCAGATTCAACTTTTTGGATTTCTTTTAATGATAAACTTGGTTTTTTAACTTCTTCAACTTTTGGTTTTGTCGCCCATGGTGCTAATGCTTGAGGTTTGGAAGGTTTTAAATCAACTGATCTTGTAGGTGGTGCAGCAATCTCTTCTTCCTCTTCTTTTTCTTGTGCTTGTGGTGGTTGAGACTGATCAATGTCTTTAGCTTGATTTGAAACCGCAGTTGATGTTTCTCGAAATTGGGAAGGTAATGTAGTATTTTGTTGTTGAGGTTCAGTTCCAGTTTTGACATTATCAAGATCATCTTGTAAAATATCGGTCACCACAGAATTCATAACTGCATTACTTTGATCATCTTCCTCATGATCATTAATTGATTCATGTCTTTGAGCTGAAATAGTACTGTTGTTTCCAAATGATTGATTGACATTTGTGCCTGCCATAAAAGGTGAGTTGATTCTTGATACAGATTGTCCCATAACTCCAGCGCTGACCCATGGAGAAACTGGATTTGGTTGATTCATTTGAGAAGTACCAACATTATGATTATTCATGAATGGAGCTGTTGATCCTGATGCGGGTCCAGACATTTGTTGATTTAATTGTGAAGAAGTGTCAATGCCCCATCCACTATTGTGTCTTGATAATAACGGTTTTTGTTGCTGTTGAATTTGTTGTTGTAATAAAGTTGGCATTGATGTCAAATTAAAATTTTGACTAAATGAATCATTTACATTTGCAGATGGAGTAGATTGGTTGAAATTCTCCATTCCTGCAAAATTTGATCCATTCGGGAAACCATTATTTAAGCTGTTAATTGGTTGATTGAAATTTGTTGATGAAAACGCATCATTGATTGGAGAATTAACAAAGTCATTTGCAAAAATTGACAGTTGAATATTTGATGAAGGTAATCTAATTGAACTTCCATTTTCAAAACCAAACGGTTGATTTGTAGCACTTCCGCTAAATCCAAAATCACTTGATTCTTTCTTTTGACTTAAATCAGGTAATGGTACTTTAAATGGTTGTATGTAATTTTGAACAGTCTCACACAAATTCTTTAACGTTTTAAACTCTTGCTCATCATTTCTTCTTATTCTAAGTTCAAGATCTAAATAACCTCCAGTAAACCATTCTTGCATCATATCTCCATTAAAAGGACCTTGTTCATTTCCTGAAGGGTCAATATAGAGCCATTGAAGTTTGTCAGGTGTAATTAATGAAACAGGAGGTGATAATGCAGGTTGAACTTCTTTTGAAACAGTTGAATTTGCCGTTCCAAAACCACCATGATAGCTTGAAGTTCTATTAAGATCCAAATTGATATTTGATGGTGTTGTGAATGAACTTAAACTATCATTAACTCCAGATCCAAGATTTATTTTATCAAATGTTCCACTTAGTTTATCAGCTAGAAATGATTGATCTACTGGTTCAGTTGATGATTGATTCACATCTTGTTGGCCCAAAATTTCTTGCTGTTGGCTAAATTCTGATTGAGATTGTTGTTGTAAGTCATCGGTTTTTGGTTGTTGTACTACTTCATCTTTTTGATTTAATTCTTGTAAAGTCAAATGATAAATTGGTTCAGGTTTGGGCCATTTATAATTTTCATTCCCGTTAGACTTAATTTCAGTATTCAATATTTTATCTTTGTTATCATACCATACTTGAAATACTTCTTCCATTGAATATTGTTTGCCATTTTTATTTTCAGAAATATTGGTTCTAGTATTATTATTCAGATTCCCGTTACTATGATGATGGTAGTGATTATTTGAATGACCATTATAATTCTGATTGTTACCATTTCCGTTATAAGTTTGGCTATTATTCAGATTACTAATAGATGAATTTGAATTGAAATCATCATTGTTGCCAATATGATCTTGATTTTTACGTTGTCTTTGATACATCTCGATTTTGTTTCTTTTAAAACTTTTAATGAAATTTTGTAAATAAAATAATTTTAAAATTTACTTCTTGAATATGAAAATAAATAATTGTAAATCTTATTAATTACTTTGTTTTTAACTTATTTAGTTGGTTGTAAGTTTAATTGTTTCAAGAAGGTATTAAAATTTTTTTTTTCACCATAAAGAGAAAGTAAGAGAGTAATTTCTAATAATGATCTGAGTAATGCTACCATTTTTGATGAAATATGAAACATTTAATAAATTGATTAAATTAACAACAATTATGGATCTATAAAAAATTGTATCGAAGATCTATCGATCAAGTAATCGTCCTTTGTAATATTTTTACCCCAAATCTAAAGCTGTTTTTGCTATAAGATTCAGAATTGGTTTAAGTGAAAATTTTAAGGACGAGTATAAAAACCCAGATATGTATTCCAATTTAACTATTCCCAGAAACGACAATGCTATCACTAATCATCTTCTCCATAGTATTCACTTCATCATCATTATCATTATTGCCCCCACATCTAGATGAGTTTTATAAACCTCCTAAAAATTATAATAGCACAAAAGTAGGAGAAATCTTAAAAGTAAGACCGCCACCAGGTCCAATTCGATCATACCTTGCTCCGATTAATGCAATTGCATGGCAAATATTAGTTAGATCAGAAAACTCAAGAGGTGAACCAAACGTTATAGTTATGACTTTATTAGAACCACCAGATGCTAATCCAAAAAGAATCTTATCTTATCAACCTTTTGAAAATGCTGCAATTCTTGATTGTTCACCTTCTTATGCTTTATTATCTGGGTCTTTTGATATTTTTGAAACTCAATGTGATTTAACATTCATATCCATGGCATTGTCTCAAAATTGGATAGTCATAATACCGGATCATGGTATGTAATTATTTAATTGTTCTTGGATATGTTGTACTAACTTTTATTATGTTTTTGTAGAAGGACCAAATTCCGTTTTCCCGGTTGCTAAAGAATCAGCATTTGCAATCTTAAATTGTATGAGAGCAGCAAAAACATTCATAAATGAGGATGCTAAATTTGCATTAATCGGATATTCTGGAGGTGCTCACAGCTCAGCATGGGCAACTATATATCATGAATCATATGCACCTGAACTAGAATTAGTTGGTGCAGCATTGGGAGGATTGTTTCCAAACATAAGTGCATTATTAGAAAATGTCAATGGTGGACCATATGCTGGTTTAATTGTCAACACTTTAAATGGATTGAGTAATGAATATCCTGAATTCAAAAATGCACTACATAAATATGGACCAACTTTAAAAAATTATTGTTTATTTTCATCAGCTGTACATTATTTTGGAACTCATTTTAATGAACATATATATAAGAATTTTCTTTATGATGAAACAATGAAAAAATATTATTTAAAAAATGATTTATTGGGACAAGATAAAAATCCAACTGTTCCTATATTTATATATCATTCAAAAATTAATGAAATTGCCCCAATTGATGAAACTCATAAAATAATAACTCAGTGGTGTAAAGCTGGAGTAACTTTGGAGTTTGCAGAAGACGCTAGTTATAATCATATGGTTGAAGCATTTTCTGGAATACCTGCTTCAATACTTTGGTTAAATGATAGATTTAATGATGAGCCAACTGAATTTGAAGGAAATTGTCATTGGGAAAAAAGAGTTTCTAATTTATTATACCCTGGAGTCCCTAATTTTTTAAAGGAGTATTTGAAAATTTCTGCTAAGCAATATTTATCCCAGTTACCAATTAGATGAAGTATTAATTGACATCATTTAGATACTTAATGGTAAGATTTTTTAGAAATTGCAATAATATTTGATAAACTAGCTCTATAGCACATTTAAGTTGAAAACTAACCTGTACAATTTACCATCTTGCTTGAAAACTTGATAGTCCCTATTCCAATGATGTACTCTTTGTGTAAATCAGTTGCTACATTTGTTTCATTAATTATAGTTTATGCCAAGATGAACCATACGACACATGAGATCAAGTTGGGTTCAATTTCCTTTCCAAGGCTATTTATAGATTGAGTATTATTTTTTAGCTCTTTGATGATTAAATAGACATGATTAAGTTCTAATTCGGTTCAAATGATTGTGCTTGTTGGATTTTACATAGCTGGAGGTGTGATATAAAAAAAATAATGTTTGAAATTGTAATGTTAGTTTGCATTATATATAATTCTATAAAGTGATTGTTTTAATTGTAATTGAGTGTTAAGTGGTCCAAAGTGAAGTTGATATTGCAGATCGGGGAGTTAATCTTGTTGTTGAGTATATGATACTAGTTTTGTTTTTTCCTACACCAACAATCGTCATAGTCATTTTCAATTTGTATTAATATATCATCATCAAAACAACTTTCCAGTTTAAAAATTTTTTCAACTTGCTTTTTTAAGTATGAACTATTTTCACCTCGATATACTTGTACATGCAAGTAACCACATAATTTTTTATTTTCATTATTTGGCCAAAAACGAGGAGTAGTTATTGATTTTATACCTTTTATACTAGAAATTTCATGTAATTTTGATCTTATTGTTGATTCTTGGGATTTTGTTAAACTAAGTAAAAGTGTTGATGATGTTGATTTCATTAGTGGAATTGCTGATAGGAATATAAGGACTGCTATTATTAATGATGCAATGGGATCAAATCCTTGCCATTTGAATATTTTTGTTAATAAAGTTGATATTACTACCCCAACTGATCCTAATGCATCTGCTAAAATGTGAAGAAAGATTCCCCTCATGTTATCATTTATTTCCTCCTGATCAGTTGTAGTATCTGTTGAATTATTATTAGGCTCATGTGAATGTGTATGATTATGTGAATGACTATGATCATGTGAATGTGAACTTGATGAATGTGAATGACCATGTCCGTGGCTATGTCCATGAGAATGCCCATGATTAAATGCAAATACACCAACTAAATTAACTAATAATCCTAACACGGAAACAACCATTAATTCATTAGTCTTTTGTAAAACAATAGGATTAAATAACCTACCAATAGCTTCAAATAAAATAGATCCACTAATTCCCATTAATAAAGTAGCATTTGTAAAACCAGCTAAATTTTCTAAATTAGACCAACCAAATGGATATTTACCATTTTTATTTACTTTCATTTTGGATAATACACCAGCTATTAAACCTAGTGCTAATGATATACAATCTAATAGCATATGTAATGAATCAGATAATAACCCTAAAGATTTTGATCTAAATGAGTATAAGAATTGAATGATCATAAAACTTGCGTTTAGTAGTAGAAAATTGAAGATGGCTTTTGTATCTTGATGTTTTAATACTTCTCCAAGAATTGTTGATTTTTGTGAGTTCGTGGTGGTAGTGGCAGAAATCGATGAGTTTGAGTGTTTTTGATTCAATTGATAAAAATTATAACTTGAACCCGGTATAATTGAGAATGCAAATACGATGTTTAAAAATGTGAGAATGTCTAATTTCTGTAGTACGATATACCTCAATATTGAATTAATGATTGATAAGAAAATAAAAATGACTTTGTTGTTTTTGTTTGAGAATTCTTGAAATGTAATTAGACTTATTATGAATGTAATTGAGTTAACTCCAATCATGCTAAAATTTAGTAATTTGAAAATTGATAAAATTAAAGTTATTGATGCAATTGCAAGGACTGACACTAGGAACTTGTCTACCCTCAATTTATAATTTACACTTGTTAGTGTATAAAATCCGGAAACTAATGAAGTATATCCAAGTAATGTTATAAATGATAAATTCTGGAATAAGTCAAATACCATAATGACAGGGGTATAAAAATTTTTGCAGTCAATAAAAAATCCAAATAGTATTGAGCTTACTTTATCAAATCCAATTATATTAATAGGCAATAATACAAGTGCTATTGCAGCTAATAATTTGATGGTATTAATTTTAGATGAATTGCTGTTGATGTTTTCATCTGTGTTGGTTTGTGACGGTATAAGTTTTACCAATTGTGATAAGTATATGCAAACAAGGATAAGTGAACTTAATATAAATGCAACAATTAGATTAATAAAAAGTTTATAAAATATAGTATAATAATCGTCGCCTGAGTTAAATGAATGTGAAGTCGGTAAATTGTCTATATTGTTTGATGTTGTAATTGTAATTGAGATGAGTTCATATGATAAAAATACAATGGGGTATGCTATTAGTAGTGGTAATGTAGTTATAATATTTGTAAATTTTGTAGATATTGAATTGGTTGTAATCGATGATAAATTGTCTGAAATTGAATTGAATTGATTTGATGACGGATTTAGCTTGTAGGGTATCTCATTTTGATACATATTATTATCAAGGATATTATTATCCTTGATAAGCTTAGCTAATAGCTTTGACCTGATTTAAAATATTTAAGTAAGGAAATGTTATGCAATATGAAATTGGTTGCTTTTGGTTGTTTAACCATTTTAATCAAGAACTGAAAGTTTGACAGAAGAATGAAACAGTTATAATAAGAGACGTTTTTGTGTCATTATGACTGACATGTCCTGAAACTATGTTTTGTGACTTGCAAGCTAGTGTTAATAAATTTATAAGCAGATCATCTTTATACAACATAGAACCAAATAGAAATTCAAAACCATACCTAAGAATAACTTCATAAAATCATGTCAAGAACAGGAGTATTAGTAATGGGTCCAGCTGGGGTTGGTAAATCCACATTCTGTAACTCAATAATATCTCACATGCAATCAATTGGAAGAAGAGCTCACATTGTAAATTTGGATCCAGCAGCAGAACCAACAGAATTTGAATTCACAATAGATATAAGAGACTTGATTAGTTTACAAGATGTAATGGAAGAAATGGATTTAGGTCCTAATGGTGGATTAGTTTATTGTTTTGAGTATTTGTTACAAAATTTAGATTGGTTGGATGATGAAATTGGTGATTATAATGATGAATACCTAATATTTGACATGCCTGGACAAATCGAATTGTATACTCATATTCCAGTAATGCCAACTATAATACAACACCTAAAGCAAGCTTTGAATTTTAATTTATGTGCTTGTTACCTCTTAGAATCACCTTTTATTATTGATAGTTCTAAATTTTTTAGTGGGACATTATCTGCAATGAGTGCAATGATTTTACTTGAATTACCACATATTAATATTTTATCGAAAGTAGATTTAATCAAAGATGAAGTATCACAAAAGAAACTTAAACAATTTTTAAATCCAGATCCTTATTTATTAGCAAAAGAAGAAGATGAAATTAATCCAAAATATAAAAAATTAACTACTGCAATAGCTAATTTAATAGATGATTTTGGTATGGTTCAATATTTACCACTTGATTGTTCAAAAGATAGTAAAAGTGTTGAACATATTTTGAGTTATATCGATGATGTTACTCAATGGAGTGAAGCTCAAGAACCTAAAGAGCCTAATGATCAATTGGAAATTCCCGATGAAGCTTTTTGAATTATCAAGATTAAAAACTCGGATGCTAGAATTGGAGTTTCTGCAGTACTTGTCAATGATTCAGCGATGCTGATATTACTTGTTGAATATTTGGTTCAATTTTACGCTTCATTTAGTGGTATTGACGGCCAACTAGTGCATATAAGAGCTTGTCAATCGGAAAGTGTGATACGTGAGTCAAAACTTGTGAGCATTCGATATCTCAGCCTGAAGTTTTTTTAAACTCATCATCCAACGAAGAAGGCTAGTAGAAACTGAGACTTAGGTTAGCTGGAATAACTTTACAAGGCTACTTAATTTAAATATTACAAAAATAATATTAACTATATAAAATTTATTTCTATATTATCTATAACTCTATTTTATTAATTTAAATATAACTTAATTAAATAAGTAATAAATTCAAATTTATCATTCATTAAATCATTTAATACAATTGTTTTTAATTTTTGGTTGTAATGAATCTATTGAATAACAAATTCTTCAACATCGAATTTTTTAGATGAAATACCCATATTACCAATGAATTTTTTAGCATCTTTTCTCATTTTTTCAGTAGTTTCCTTATCCCAACCTAATTCTTTAGACATAATTTCAACAACACCATCAACTGCACTAAGAGCTTCTCTTGCATTTAAAAATGCTAATCTTGTTCTTCTTGCTAAAAAGTCAACTGGTGTTCTTGGATATTCATATTTTAAAGAATATAATAATTCTGCAATTGTAAATGGTTCATCAAATGATTGATAACTTAAATTATTTTCTGGGGTTACTTCAACAACATTTGGTTTAAATTCTTGAGTTGATGCTAATGTGATTGGTAATTTATTAAAATCATTTGCTGCGTACAAATCTAAAATCATGGCTGATCTTGATCCATAATTATGTGATAAATGTTTTGCTAATTTTAATGGGATTTTATATTCATGAATTAATCTTGCTGAATAATTCTTGGAATAATCTTCACCACCAATTAATATTAAATCATTCGTTTGACATGGTTTTAAATTCTTACCATCGAAATTAAAATGTTTAACAACGTAATCAATAGTTTCTTGTGCCATTTCTCTATATGTGGTCCATTTACCTCCTGATATAGTAACTAAACCAGATGGTGATTCAACTAATAAATGTGATCTAACTAATCCTTCGGTTGATCCTGTTTCACTACCTTTTGGAACAGTTGCTGGATCTCTTACTAATGGTCTAATACCTGACCAAGCAGATAAAACATCATTTCTATCAATTGGGAAAACTAAATATTTTTGCATTTCTTTAATAATATCTTGAATTTCTGCTTCAGTTGGGGTTGGATTATTTGGAACTTCTTTTAATGGAGTATCAGTAGTACCAGCTAAAACTTTTCCTTGCCATGGTAAGAAAAACATAACTCTACCATCAGATGTAGAAGGATCTAATAAACCCATATTTTGAGGACAATAATATTCTGGTAAAACAATATGAACACCACTTGATGGAACAACCATTCTTGGTTTTTGAACTTCTTTTGGTGGTAAACCTTGAGGATCTTCATCCATTTCTAAAATTTTATCAGCAAATGGACCAGTTGCATTTATTATTGAAGTAGCTTGAATTTCATATTTTTCATTAGTTTCTAAATCAGTTGCTTTTACACCATATAATTTACCGGAATTATCTTTTAATAATTGATCAACATTGAAATAATTTAAAACAGTTGCACCATTTTCAATAGCAGTAATAGCTAAGGTAGCATTCATTCTTGTATCATTAAATGAACCATCATGATAAACACAAGCTGCTTTAATATTTGCAGTATCCATCATTGGAGCAATAACACCAGCTTGTTCCTTACTTAATAAAAATGAATTTCTTAAATTTTGTCTACCAGCAAACCAATCATACATTTTACAACCAGCGAAAAAATAAGGAACTTGCCAATAATTATAAACGGGAATCATAATTGGTAAAACAGTACATAAATGAGGAGCAGTTCTTAACATATTACCTCTTTCATTCAATGCTTCAATAACTAAATCTAATTGAGCTTTTGATAATTGAAAAATTGCTTTTTCTAAATATCTTACACCACCATGTGCCATTTTTGTAGATTTTGATGAAGTACCTGAACCAAAATCAGTTTTTTCTAATAATACAGTATTTAAACCTCTTGTTGCTGCATCTACTGCACAACCAGTACCAACAGCTCCACCACCAATAATTAAAACATCGAATTTCTTGGTTTTAGTTAAATTATCAACTAAATCTTTTCTTGTTGGTGGTTCTGGATAATCTTTTCTTAATGGTTTATATGATGATACAATTTCTGGTTTATGTTTTGGTTTAATAAAATCTAAATATATTATTGTACCTCCAGCTATTGTACCAACACCTAATAGCGATTTAACTAATGTTGATTTTAAATATTTTGACATATTGTAATTTTTCCAACAAAAAAATGATACAAATTAATTATTAATAATTCTTTAAAATGATATGTATAATACAGATGAATAAATATTTTTTTTTTAATAATTTAATGTTGTTGTCTAGTTCTATATTGCCTTTATTCCTAATTAATTTCTATAATTTTAAATGTGACAAATTTATTCTTATTTTTTTAATTCAAATATTTTATGATAAATTGTATCAAAATTTTTATCAATTTGAATAAAATCTATTGAATTGAATTTATGTTAACCTTAATTATAAATCAATTTTCAATCAAATAAATTGTGATAAATAAAAAATTGATAAAAAAAATAGTTGTTAAAAAGAACTTGAAATTAAAATGAAAAAAATGAAAATAAATATTTTGGTTGTAAAATTATTTTGAATAAAGAAAAAGAAAAATTATTTTATTTATATATAGTTTATTTATTTTATTATAATGTATGTATATAGAATAGAATTTATATTGATGTAATATTATAATTTTAATATATTTATTTTTCAAAAATTAAATAGACAAAGAGAGCCTTTCTTCCTAATACATTGTTTAATACGGACTATGCTTCAACATTATCGACAACAGTGTTTTCAGATTTATAATTGGTTATCGAAGTAAGAATTCTCAATATCAATTTGAACTTAATGTTTTAAATTTAATTCGTTAGTTCAATATATTATTATTGCTATATCTTTTAATACTAAATTTTTTTTTTTTTTCAAAACCTTGTGACAAAATTAAAAAACTTATTCTGAAACCAAAAAGAAACGTATGAATCGGAATTCAGACGATCTATTTGGTGTATAAATGATGATAATACAAATTTTCTTTATATCTAATAATTATTACATTGAAAAATTAAAACTAATATAATGACTTGATTAAATCTAGAGATATCTAATGTAAACTAATAAAATTTGATAAATATGAATGTGATTTAATTGAAGATCAAAGCTTAAATTATAATAAAAAACCGTTTTATTTTTTATAACTACTTACTATTTGTACTAAGTTTAAAGTTTTTAATCTTAAATTTTAGAACGAATAAAACGCTTTCGCTTTTGTTTTTCGTATCAGATAATTTAAATTTTATTCGTTTAAATAAAAGAAATATTAGAAAATATATTCTTCAGCTAAAAATCTGGAGTAAATTAAATATAAAAAAAATCTCCATTTCTCCAGAAATTACTAATCATATTAAAATATCATATGTCTCACTGATTAATTTTCGTTTCAATGGTTATACAAATTTGATTTATCTTTCATTTACACATTTTGCATGGAAAAAATTAAATGTGAAAAATGAAAAATCTCAGGGACCCGTGCTATCTAACACATGATGATGAAACCATATCGACAGGCTAATTGGTAAGTATTTAATATTCGTATAGAATAAAAGTCACGTAGATTTAATTTGAGACACGTTTAGATGAATGTTTAAACATTTCGGTAAGATTTTTGGAAGAATCATTTAGTTTTATTGTTCTGAATTTAATCAGGATTTCGGAAAATGTTTTACTTTTTTTCACATTTTGGAAATTTTGCAGCCTAATTTTTTTTATACTTCTTCAATTTTTGACTCACGCTTTAAACGTATCGTACTATTTTTACACTCAACTACTAGCTTATATTAATTAGACATTTGATATCAAGATATGAACAATCAATGTTTAATCTATTAGTGAAGCTTAAATAATAATATGTCAAAAATTGTATCAAAATAATAATATTTTTTTCTTGTTTGATAAAGCTAACTGATATATAAATTAACCGAGGAAGTCATATGATTAATTTTGTGTAAGTTCAATCGATTTTTTTTTTTCTTAAAAAATGCAACTAAAATTACTATGTTGCAAACATTAAAAACAAAATCATGTGTGATACGAAGCATTAGCACTAATAATGTAATCTCAATGTAAATAAATCGATCAATATGAATTCATTGGCTTAAAAGAAGGTTAAAATATAGAAGACTGACCCTGGTTTTGTTACAGATAATGTAATCCGTCTTCTTCCTAAAGCGCTCATAGTTAAAAAGCGGACAAAACCGGATTTCTGCTTGACCTTTGACAGAGAAGGAGTCGAACTCAAGACCTACGAGAGATAGCTAAATTATCAAGTACGCCAACTCTTGTGCGAAAAGCAGCAGAAAAAACTTTTAAAATTACACAAAGTTGAGGTCGAATCCATCGGATTGCAATTTTTGACCAAGGTCAAGTTTCAATTCGCTAAAACAATTCTGGCTGAATTGATAAAGAATGTAACCTGTTTATCTGGAAAGTTTGAGATAATGTTACCAAAACTTCAAGTTTGCTTATGCATTTCGTGAGCTTTAACAGTTTAAGTTTTTACAACGATTCTGCAGCTATACGCCATATAATCTTTAGTTCTAATTTCACATAGAGTACTAAAATGAATTATAAGGCAAGATTTCAAGTCCAAACTTGGAGAGGTCATCCCAATAATACCTAATCTATGGGATCCAAGAGATCTCTGTAAATTTCTTTAAATTTAAATTCGTTATCTTTATGGTCAATTACCGCTTAAAATTAAAGTATTTTTGGTAGCGTTTTTACTTGGCGTTGAATAAGACACGATAACAATTTACTATTAGATCGATATCTTCCGTATTTTAATTCTAATTATTCAATATTATCAATATAACTATGTCTGATATATCGAATCAAGAGTTGATTGATCAGTTCAAATTGATTACTGGGTTTGAATCTAGTGAATCAAGTGATACAAATGAAGGAGATGATATAGATAGTAAGATACTACGACTTTTAACTATTCATGACTATAATCTAAATAATTCAATATCAACTTATTTCGATACAGGATTTGAATCTATTGGTAATGTTAGTATACAAGAAGAGGCAACAACAGGTGCAAGCTCATCGGTAGATCCTAGAGAAATCGAAGGATTCATTGATGATACTTCAATAGATAATAATGATCAAGAATATGGAGATATTGGGGAATTAATTCATAGATCATCAAGTTCAAATACTAGAAGTGAATTTGTAAATTTACAAACTCAAATGTTTATGAATTCAATGATGCCTAGATTACCTAAAGCACCTACTATACCAATGAGATGGCAATTAGACGTGGGGATTTATAGTTCAATTTTACATGATAGAGAAATAAGGAATAATCGACAACCACCAAATAAAGAGGGAGTGACGGAAGATGAAAAATATGAGTATAAGGATAAATTGATAAGTTCAGGTCAGAGAAATACAAATAGTATGGGTAATAGTTCAATAATTAATGCCCTATGGTTTATTTTGTTAATTATTCCAAAAAGTTTTTTGCAGTTATTACTATCTTCAGTTAAATATATATTCGGAATAGGTGGTTGGAAAGATGATATTGGTGGAAACAATTTTTCAGCTCATAAACTGTTCAAATATGATGAAAATTTCGATCCAAATTATTCATTTATAAAACATTTACACAAACATACTGATACCATTGACCACTTCAAAAAATTCAATAATCTTAAAGACTCAAACTTCAACGATATTCATCAACATTGTCAAAAAGAATATGATTGGTTATTAGTAATTCTAACTAATGACTCCCATGAAAATCAAAATTTCATACATACATTATTCAACAACTCAAATTTTCAAAAAAATTTCAATTCAACAAATGGAACATATAAAAACGTTCAGATTTATTTAGGTAATATAGATCATCAACCAGAATCATTTGAGATAGCCAAAACTTACAAAATTAAAAAATTACCTTATTTAATGTTAATATCAAACGTATCATCATCACCAGAAATAATGGCATCAATGTCAATAGTTTATAAATCAAATATTTCAATAAATTTTATAGAAACTTCAAAAGATTTAAAAATTACTATACCTAAAATTATTAAAAATTTAATTAAAAATATTGAAAAATTTAATCCTCAATTAGTTTCTGCTAAATATGATAAACAAGAAATGGAATTTAGTAGGATGATTAGGAAACAACAAGATGATGCATATTCAGAGTCACTTGTAAAAGATCAAATTAAAAAACAAGAAAAAACTGATCAATTGTTAAAAGAATCCAGGATTAAAAGTCTAAAAAATTTGAAGTTATGGTTCATTAATAGTCTAATTAATGATGAATTCTTGAATAGTACAACAGTTGACAAATCCAATAATGCCTCAAATTTAAAAATAGCAATAAAATTACCAAATGGTAAAAGAATAATAGAAAATTTGAATCCAGAAATAACAATCCTACAATTTTACATATTCATCGAATTAAAACTTTATCAAGAATCAGAAAAACTATTAGCAATTGAGGATTTAGAATCACTACAAATAGATGATGAGTATAAGTACAAATACTCAAATCATATTGAATATTTTGAAGATATAGGATTTAAATTTGATGTTATTCAACCATACCCTAAAAAAGTTATTGGTTGTGATTCTAATGTGATCATTGGTGATGTACCTGAATTTAGGGGTGCTAATTTTTTGGTTGAATATCATCATGAAGATGAAGATGATACGGAGGAGGAAGATGATATTGATTTATAAAACACTTGAAATTTTTTAATTCAGGTATCAGTCTTTCCCTTTTTGTTAAGAATTGATTTGAAATTTATACGGTTTTATAGAGTTATGAAATGCATACATTATATTAATTTTATTGCTCTAATCTATAAATTTGTTGAGCTCTGATCTATCTATTCCAAGCTCTTTCTATCGTACAAAGTTAGTAATTGTAAATTTGGTAAGGGCATTAAGTGAATGTACATACTAATAACTCTTTTTCATCAATTACTTCAGCTAAATTATTATAAAAGTTTTTGAACTATAAAAGTTAGTAAGAAATTATGACATTTATTTTGGAAGGTAACATACTATTTTTTGTTGTTTTTCTTTTAATTTGATTAAGTTAGAAACATAATTCATTGTAGTTTCTGATCCTGATTCATTTTTGGATTTTTGTTCAGCAATAGCAACTTGATCTCTTAGTGTTTGAGCTTTTTGCTGTGTTTCTTCTATTGTTCGTTTCAACATTTCATTAGTCAAAGTTGGTTCTAATGATTGAATTTCTAAAATATGTTAGTATTTGCAACTAAGATTATTTATTAAAAAGTACATACTTTGAGTAATTTCACAAACTTTAGCAACAAAACCACTTAATTCTTCTTCTGTTTTTTTAATTTTATCATTTAATTCATCAATTGAAGCATTATCAGAAGCAATAATTTCCTTATAACAATAATAATTAGTCTTACCAATAGTTTTAACAATCACTTCCTTTTCAGAAAGTAATGATTCTAGTATTGTTGTTAATTGAGTTTTTTTGAATTTACCATGTAAATTTAATTGAATATCTGTTAATGAATATGGTCTATATTTTGATTTTAAGTAGGTGAGTAATTCTGTTGTTTGTGTTTGATCTTCTTGATTTGTTCGGCTTGGTAGACCGTTTTGAAGTTTTTGCTTTTTCGGTGGCATCATCTAAGACTAACGACGAAAATTATTATAGTTATATCCGTAATGGACCGGTGAACAGGTTTTGACTTTGGTATTGAATGTGGTTGTAAAATGTGGTTGGAAGATGAAAATTGGAATTAATAATAATTTTTTTGCAACCAATTTTTTATTTTTGTTTAAAAACTTCTTTATAGCACTAAAAAAACACAACTACTGTAGATTTTACTTAAATTAATTATTCTAGACCAAAGACACCTTTTGAATTGAGTTCTATCTTCACTTGAGAAAACTCTACCTGAATTAGACTTGTGCTTTTGATAATTGTCTCTTATCAGTATAAACTCACTAATAATTTGGTGTTACACAAATTAAAATAGAGAGAGAATTGAAACTTATCGATAAACTTTATCAATACATTCGTTATCACTAAATATAAATCAATCATACAAACTCGAACCATGAAATATACTTATCATGAATCTATATCGAAGCAAAAAATTGATAAATTGGTATTAGAATATTTGATACATGAAGGTTATCAAAATGCTGCTATTGAATTTGCAAAAGAATTAGATATAGATGTACAAAATCACAATACCACTGGAGAACCGAATTGGGATCAAAATCAAATTACAAACATTCCAGAGAATACAAGTGAGTTGAAAGATTTTGAAGTTTCAGAACTGATAATGAATTTTTACAGTGGTAAATTGACGCTTTCTCAAATGATAGGAGATCAGTTGCAGAATGATTTTTCGAAATATAACAAATGTAATAAAAAGCTATTAGCTGGATTCTCAACTATAAGTCAGCGTCAAGAGATCAAGTCATTAGTATTAAAGGGTAATATAACAGAAGCAATTTCCAAAATAGGTCAATATTTTCCACTAATATTAGATTCAAATAATTTACTTCATTTTAAATTATTAAGATTAAGTTTAATTGAAATGATTAGAAGTCATAAATTTTCAACTCAAATGGAAGTAGATGAGAGAAAATTTTTAAATGAAATATTAACATTTGTTAGATGTAATATGATAAATAAAATATCAAAACTGTATAAATTATTAAAAGAAATAGAATTTACTATGAGTTTATTATGTTTTAGATTTGATCCAACTATAAAAAATTTAGAAAATCAAAAAGAATTACCTCAAGAATTAAAAAATATTTTTAATTTAAATTTAAGACATCAAGTGTTTAGATTAATAAACAAGGAAATTATAAAAGTTTATGATGATGATGATTGTGATGATAATGATAATGAAGGTATTAGATTTTCAAATTTAAGTGATGATAATGGGATTATAAAAGATGTTATAAAAAGAATACGGAATAAAGATGATAAGATTGATGATTTGGAAGATACTACTCTGAATAGAAGTAAATTGAATAATTATGAAGGTTCAAATTTTTATGGATTTGATTTTCAAGATTTAAATCATAAAAAATATTCTGATTTAATAGATGAATCTATAGATGATGAAGAAGATGATAAGTTAGTGAAAAATGGGATTAATTATACTTATGAAATTGATCTGGAACTGATAAAGACTAATGAACAAAATTATATGGAAGAAAATATTGTTAGAACTGATTCAATACAGAAAAATGAAGAAGAAATTGAAAATTTAATTAAATTATCATTAGAAAGTAAAATTGAAAGGATTTTGGAATTGTTGGTTTTAACTGAAGATAAATTAACAAATGGTAATTTACATAGTAAAAAATTTAATAATTTAATTAAGGAGGATTGTTTATAATTAAGTACATATATTTATTTTAATTTCATATTATAATAATAACATCTATGACATTACCAGTTTCAATATTACATTTACTTAAATAATTTTCATTTTCTTGCTTTGGAACTTCTTGATTTAGGTTGTTATATATTTTGACATCATCAATTGTTATTTTGGGGTGATCATACTCGTTAAATAAATCAGATTCTTTGAACAATCTCAAGATTTTTTCACGTAAATGTTTTATAGTTGATCCAAATTCTGGTTCTTTATTCATTTCAAAATCATCGGGACTGAATTCGAAATAATATTTTATAAAATTTTTCAATTCGAATAGGTCATTATTATTGTTGTTTTGTTTGAGTAAGTTTATGAAATTAGTTTGATAATTGATTTTGGTTTTTTCATCATAATGTTTCTTCAATTTATCCAATTTATCTGACTTGATCAAGTTTAATTTTATATTAATATGAGCACAATGAATTGGTATTTCTTTAAATATATCTTTTGCATGATATTCCCATAGTCTTAAATATATACCACTCCAATATATGATTTCATAACTTAATAATCCAAAAAACACTATAATTAAAAATTCAGTTATAAATTTTGATGTTGGTGTTATTAAAAGATTTGATGTGAATGTATTTGATTGTAATTGTGTTACTAGGTATTTATCAAATTTATATAGTAATTCTATTATTGTTGTCATTATTTATTGTTTTAAAATATGTATGTAAACAATTAGATTCTAATTTAAATGAACGAGCTGTGATGATTGATTCAATTGTTGAGTGACAGATGAAAATTATAATGGTGATTTTTATTAGTGGTACAAATTGTTGAAAATCGATGTCAATTTATGTTCAATAATTAATGAAGCTAGTAAATTCTGGAAATATGAATCCTCATAATATTCTTCAAAATACTAATCGGAGATCTTTTAATGAAAAACAAATTGATAATAATTTTTATTAAAGGAATATACGCTACCAATTACTCGTCAATAATTTTTTTTTTTTATTTCTTTAATTTCTTTCTTTTTCTTTATGATAATGTTTGATATAAGATTCAATCAAATCATCATAATCAAATATAATACAACTTCTTCATCTTTCATTTTCGTTTAATCAATTATTTATATCAATTATTAATATATGTTATTTTGTAGAAAATAAAAATGGATAATAGAAAAATTTATAAAAATTATAAAGATAATTTAAAATCAAATATAAATGAAAATAGCAAACCATATTCATTAACTTCAAAATTGAAACATATATTAAAGAAACCATGGAATAATTCAAATTCATCAGATAGAAATATCAACAGCAATAGTTCCAATGATGCAAAAAACAATACCAAACCATTTAAATTCTCAGAACCAAAAATAGTTTCAAATCCAAGTTTTCAAAAATTATCAAATATAAAAGAATATAAATTACCAGGTTCATTTTATGAGAATTTACCAATAGCTTCTACTACAATATCAAAAGATGTGCAGACACCCAATACAACAATTATTCGTTTAAATGATGTACCAAATGAGGAAGAAGAAGAAAATCCAAATGACATACTATCAGATTTTTTCAAAAGAAAAGGAAGTAATAAATTGACTGATGTTGAATATGAGGGAGTTATGTCATTAATATCAAAATCTAAATCTGGAACACCTTATAAGAGGGGAATACTCGATGTCGATCAAGATACTTTGGGTAATGATAGAAAAAGAAGACAAATAAGCCACTCATCATTCATACATGGAAATGATACAACCATACTAGAGTCAGAACCATATAAGCAAAAAACTTTAAAATCTAATGGGAATATTACTATAAGCTATCCTGAAAGTAAATTCAATTATTCAACAGTAAACAGTACATTTGATAAATCATATCAGAATATAAATAATACAACTATGGGTAGAAATACATCAGCATCTGGTAGAAGTATGTACTTACACAGAAGACCAGCCCCTTATAAAAGTAGAATGAGAGGTCCTATATACACCAAAAAAACTGAACAAAACAAAGATGATGCAAACAAAACCACTATAAATAATACCCTACTTTCACAAAGTCAACTTAAGCTTAACACTACCAGCAATGATAATGTCAAAGAAACACCCAGTAGTAAAACTGCACAATTTTTACTTAGTATATTGGATGGTAACAAAAATGACAAAGATAAAGATGATTTGAATGGAAATGTCAAACCAACAACTAATTTATTTACAAATCCATATGAATCTTCACGTACGAAAAAGAAAGAAAAATCAATCGTAACTCAAATCAGCTCAAAAGATTCAACAAAGTCTACCGCAACTGAAAATGGGACCAAATCAAATCTGAACTTTTTATTCAACAAACCTCAACAAAAATCAAATGAAGAGGGATTTTTGGAAAAACCAAAACAAGTAAATGGGTCAGTTGAAGAGAATAAGGATATATCAATATCTACACTGACCAACTCAATACCAAAATCAACCACATTCAATTTCGGTACCTCTACCAATTCAACTTCAAATTTAAACAACACCCCAAAAACGAACTTTAACTTTGGTTCCCTAAAAACATCAAAAGAAGAATCAACACAACCAAAATTTAATTTCAATCCCATTCCAAATTCAACCACAAATTCAAATGGTTCTAAAACAACTAATGGAGAAGTAAATGGAGATCAATTAACAACAACTACAACTACTAAAAAAGTAGACTTTCAATTCCCAACTACTGATTTAGTTCATGTTGAATTAGATAATGCAGAAGTAAACAAATATAAATCTTTATATAGCTTTTAATATAATAAATGTTAAACTTTGTTTAGATTATTAAACTTAGCCAAAGTACTATTCAATATCTCTAGTATTGTAATATTTCTTGACATTGCGACATTATCAACGGTGTAACAATTCACTTCAAATACTACCACATATTCATTGTACGACATAATTTAAACAGAATATGAAATTATATAGAAAAAAATAAGTCGTTTTTTGTTATCAATTAATTTTAAGCCTCTCCCCGTAAATTATTCTTAAAATCAATTTTAGTTCTAAGAACTTTGGTTTGTTATCACAGAAGAAATCTAATTCAATCATTCATTGAATCATCATATCATCTCATCAAATTTTACAAGTGATTACTTAGATTTTCAGAATTAATTTATATAATTGATATATTTATACCACTTCCAACACTTACTTAGCCCTTCAGTATACTCAAGCAACTAAAAACTTAATATAGATAATGGCCAGTCGTCAATCAAGACTAGAAGCTGAAAAGCTAGCAATTATACAAAAGTCAATGTCTAGAGGAAGATCATTATCACCTGGAGCAGCAGGAAAGGGAAATTTCTACAACAGTCGATCACCATCAGTATCAAATGAAGATTATAACAAGAATTTAAAATGGTCAATAGTAAATCATGACCCACTGGAAAGAATAATTAAAGAAGGTGAAAATCCTGATGAAAATGTATGGGAGAATGAAGTAAGTGAAGAAGAACATATAAGCGATGATGATGCTAATGAAAAATTTCAATATGATGATACTGGTAATATTTTACCAAACTATGCATGTCAAGATGAGAAGATTAATGAGATTAGTTCAATTTTGGAAAACTCAAATTTAAATGATAGATCTACAGTAAAAAAATTAGAAGAATTAACAGCAAATGAAAGAGCTTTAGCTGCTGCTAGAAATGCAGGTACAAAAATTGATCCTGATATTTTAAATAAATTAGCAAGTGATAAACATAAATTAACTGGACTGGAAGCTTTAAATTTAAGACTGTCTGATCAAGACGCATTTGCAAGAAGACAAAAATTGGAAAATTATCAAACTTATAGAAAGAAAATAATTGATCAAGAAAATGGTAGAGATGGTCGTAATGGTCAATATCCAACAGAAACACAAAATATACCTGCGGAAGCTAGGGATAAAGAAGGAGTTGAAGATGAAGATTTTATGGTACCTTATACATCAGCAGTTGAAGATAAACTTGATAGTGAATTTGCTTCACAATTAAATGAAACTATAAAAGAAGGTAAAATTGATTCAAATAAGTCTCATTCAAGAGTTATACAAACTATTACAAGAGGTAATTTTTTCCAATTAGTCAATCCAAATTTAAAACCAAAAATGTTTCTTGTGTGTATGGATTTTTCACCAGAATCTATATTTGCTCTTGAATGGTCATTAGGTACTGTATTAGTTGATGGTTCAATATTATTTGTTATATGTGTGATTGAAGATAGTGATTTGAATCATCACTTAAAAGGTAATACTTCAAATGAAAATGTACGAGAACAACAAAGACTTAATATGCTTAATAGGGCAAAACAACAAGTACTTAATTTATTAAAATTAACTAAATTACAAATTCATATAGTCATTGAAATAGTTCATCATCCAATACCAAGACATCTAATTTTGGAGTTTATAGATAATTTAAAGCCAACTTTAGTCGTTGTTGGTTCAAAAGGTCAAAGTGCTATAAAAGGGGTTTTGTTAGGTTCATTATCGAATTATCTTGTGACAAAATCTACAGTACCAGTAATGGTTGTTCGTGAGAAATTGAAAAAGATCAACAGATTCAAATCAGGCTCATCTGTATTCTCCAATAATATCAAACCATTGACATTATCTGAAGCAAGAATTGATTGATTCGGATATAAAGAGTTTTTTAATGATTATCATACGAGTTAAAGTGTTTTTTCTATATTTTTTTTTTTTTTTATTAATTTACCTAATATACAATTTCCCCATAAAAAATTTCAAATTTCGTAAAGATTAAAAACTAAAAACTAATGTTCATTTATTTCTTTATTCCACTTCTCATATATTTACCAACGACAACACAATGATCTCTTTCATAAGGTTCTAAAGTTAATTGTTCTAATGGTTTTATTCTTTCTTCTCTTAATTTTTGAACTTCTCTTGCAAAAACAGTTTCTGCATCAACTGTAGAATCAATACAATTAGCTTTGATTGATATAACTACTATACCTCCATCTTTTAAAAATAAATGTGAATTTAATGCAATAATACGAGCTTGATCTGGTTGTGCAACATCAGCAAATACACAATCAACCATACCAACTAACATTCTATATTTTTGTGGATGTCTAGCATCATCAATAATTGGTATAACATTTGGTCTCTTTTTAGCCATACCAATTAATTCTCTACCTGGTCTATGAGAAAATTCAACTGCATAAACTAAACCTTCTGGTCCAACAACATCTGCAACATGTGAAACTGAAGTACCTGATGCAGCACCTAAATATAATACTTTTTTACCTGGTGCAACTCCTAATTCATCAATACCTCCCATAATACCAGCAGCTAATTTTGATCTAAATGGATTCCATACACGATATTCAATTTTTGTTGGTGCTCCACCTTCTTCTTTACTTGGTTCTTCAACACTAATTCTTTTTTCTCCATATACTGATTCCCCGGGTGCTATATTTTTTGTAACTAATAAATCTTCTTTACCTCTTGCTATAAATACACCAGCATGTCTATGAGGTTCTATAACAACTTTTGCTCCACCTCTTGCTCCACCTCTTGCACCTCCTCTAGCTCCACCACGACCTCCTCTAGATCCTCCTCTTCCTCCTCTATCTCCACCTCTACCTCCTCTAGCACCACCTCTACCACCTCTACCACCAGCAGATGATCCACCACGACCTCCTCTGCCTGAAAAACCACCTCTTCCACCACCACGGCTTCCGCCTCTACCTCTTGGAGCTCCAAATGCCATTATTTAATTTGAATATGTGATATATATGTGATAAATTGATTAAGGTAAATTGTTGATAACGTTGTTGTTTGATCAACTTTTGTATAATTTATTAATGTTTGTAGAATGTTAGAAAATTTTTCCTCTTTTTTTTAATTTGTTAATTTTTAATTAATTTTTTTGGATGAGATTAAAATAAGTTATTGATGTACGGATGTTTGCCATTTTTGAGTGAATTATTTGATCAAAAGAATATGATCCTTATAAACCTAATACTACTCTGTGGGGACTTTTCCCGGCATCAAAGAAGCTTGAGAGTAAGCTTCTTATACTATAGTAATAAATTGATCAGTTTTTTTTGCAGATTTAGGTCAAATATGGCTGATAATTGGATTCATAAGTGTTTGCCATTTGGAAATAAGATGAAATTTCAACTCAATTCAACAATTTTCAATACAAACAAAAAGAATTTGGTATCTTAATAAAGCTGAACAGCTCAGCTTTTAAATGAACTATATAAAAACTAAAGCTAGTATACAAGTTTGCTCAGTAAATGGTCAGTTTAGTTAATGTTGTCGATGCCCATCGTGCGGCGCCTATTAAAGTCACGTTTTGTTTCACGTGTATCTGGGGTAGACAGAAATCCAAAATATATAAATTAAGTATGGTTGAGTAGAGATAAAATCGATTGTTCAATAATCCACTTAGTCCCTCAAAGTTTCTTAACTCAGTCATCACCTTAAAATTTGACTCACTTTATATTAGCTCCAATAATTTTACGATGAAAACGTTAAATTTTAACTTTTATTTAATTCAAAGGTACGATAGGATCACATGATAAAACTAATACCTTTGAAGTCTCATTTCTTTACATTAAGGAAGTCACGCTTGAATTACTTTGAATTTTCAAATCATAGACAGTATCTTTTGATGTATTTAGACCACCAAGATTAGACTTCCTTATTTTGTGTCATAAATGTTGTTTTTGTGTGATTTTGAACCTAAAATACCAAATTCTTTAATTACTCTTAGCTCCTCCAATTTTGGTGCTATTGGATATATCATTACTTCATGTCATTTGGAATGGCTAGAGTAACACGTTGTAGGCTTCAATTGATGTGAAATGACAATATCCAGCGCTTTTGGTTTTGTGTAATTTTTTCCTGTAGGTCAGTCATTTAATAAGTTTCGAACACTGGACCTTTCAATTTTTGAGTCAAAATTGCTTGCCACTACGCCAGGTAATTTTAAAAACGTGACTTCGGAGGTATACTTCCAATTTTGTGTAACTTGAGTTTGAGAAGTTTTTAAAACTAAAATGGTCCATATTATCTCACTAGCTGGGAACGATATCTACGCAGAGAATCAATTTTTGAGTTATTTAGATCAAGATCTAGATTATGCAACTAGTTTTAAGCCAGTGGCTTTTCAATTGAGCGAGTTATATGTTTTTCTTGATATCTTGGCAACCATGAGTGATTCATCAATATGACCTAATTCATTTAATAGAGGATGTCTCAGGGTATCCAAAAATGCAATAAAAAAAAATAATGAAAAAAATTGAGATGTCCCGGCGCAAATCAGAAAACTCTCAAAATTTTTGGAGGTAGTTTTACAGACTTTTCTAACCGTATTGAGAACTCTACGTACCATCAAGTACCAATAGGCGACATGTAAGCAGCACTTCAGTGTATTTGTGAAGCAGTTAATGCAAGTACTGAAGCTTTGCTAGTACATGTTAATTGATTTTGCAACAATAATATTGTTGACAGCTGTGAACTCCCCCATTTGAGGAATTTCACGGCTACGTTATAACAGCTAATTATCTGCTGAGTTATACTTTGCTCCTCGCCTAAAATGGGTTGATTGGCTTAAATTGGAATAGTTCTGCTGATTTTTCAAAATTTGATTTTTGATTGGTAGCAACTTCTGAAACATATCTGTATTTTCATTTCATGAACTTTTGGGCTGTCAAGTTTTGCGAAATTTCTGTCCCAAAAAGTTTTAATTTGTTTTTTTAATTTTGGTGAGCTGTTTCTTTTTTTGATAGCTAGTGTTAAGTCGAATTGGGGCTAATTTTGAGTCAAATCAGAGTCCGATTTAGACATTTATTATTTGCATTAGAAACTTTCAAAGATTACATTCATGATAACGAGGTTAAATAGACTTAAAAAAGCACAGTTTAAAGTAATAAATAAATATGTACATTAATTTGTATTAATACCAAGATCTTCAGGTCCAAAACTTAAAGGTAATAATTCATTTAAATAAACTTTTATAAACTCACCTTCTTTATTAAATAAAAAAATTACAATATTTTTATTGAATTCTCGTATAAATTGTCGACATATCCCACATGGAACTATTGGATTTTCAGTATCTCCTGATATTGCAATTGCTTTAAAATCTTTATATCCATCAGTCTATTTTAAAAAGTTAGTATTTTAAATGATGGGATATTGGTATGATGGGAGTTTACATACAATTGCTTTACTTATTGTTGTTCTTTCTGCACAAACTCCTGCTCCGTAAGATGCATTTTCTACGTTAGCTCCTTTTATAAATTTACCACATTTTGTTAAAATTGTACATCCAACTCTTAAGACTTGATGTTAGTACGCGTTAAATTGAACTACTTTTGTAATAATTTTTCATACCTAAATTTCGAGTAGGGACAGTAAGCAAATTCTTTGGCTGTATATGAAAATTTAATTAGTATATAATTCTTTAAAAATTTAATAAATTTTGTAGTATTGATAGTATTGATTAACTTTTTTGATTTTGGAAATTTCAACAAGTAAATAATAATTATCAAACCGATATTAATATTGACTAGACTAACCGTTCATGACCAGTTCTTTTAATTTTTTAAATTCGTCATCTGTTAATTCTTCATGATCTTTGTAGGTTTTTATTGTCATGATAGATAAATTATAAAAGAATTTTAGATAAGCTAAAGGTTTCATAACGTATTTGAAAATTATTATTTAATCTAATTTGTTAGTCGTGTGACATTTACCAAAAAAATTAAAAATTTATACTGTACTACACATTGTTAATAGTGGCAACAAGCTGAAACGTAGTTAATTCTTAACATATTGATCTAGTGTTTAACAAATTTATTCAAGACAACACAATTACTTGACAAAAAGTTCAATTGACATCATTAATACTTACCAAACTAATTTAAATAATCTACTATTTCACACGTTGGAGATAAAGTAATAACTTTCATCAACAAAAGTACAAGTTTTTTATTTCAAACATATTCAAATTCATTCACATTAATAAATAAAATTACAACAAGATGGTTACATTAGAAGAATTAGATAATATACCGGAAGAAGATAATTCTATTGATTTAGAAATTCTACAATCATCAACATCAGATATAATAAATAGAACTAAATTATTAGATAATGATATAAAAGTAATGAGATCAGAATCTCAAAGATTAACTCATGAAAAAACAATGATGTTAGAAAGAATTAAAGATAATCAAGATAAAATAAATAATAATAAACAATTACCTTATTTAGTTGGTAATGTAGTAGAACTATTAAATTTAGATGTTGATAAAGAAGCAAGTGAACAAGGAGCTAATATAGATATTGATGCAGCAAGATCAGGTAAAAGTGCAGTTATAAAAACATCAACAAGACAAACTATTTTCTTACCAATGATTGGATTAGTTGATCATGAAAATTTAAAACCAAATGATTTAATTGGAGTTAATAAAGATTCTTATTTAATATTAGATACATTACCATCAGAATATGATTCAAGAGTTAAAGCAATGGAATTAGATGAAAAACCTACTGAAACTTATTCAAATATTGGAGGATTAGATAATCAAATTGAAGAATTAATAGAAGCTGTTGTATTACCAATGAAACAATCTGAAAAATTTAAAAAATTAGGAATAAAACCTCCAAAGGGAGCATTAATGTATGGACCACCAGGTACTGGAAAAACATTATTAGCAAGAGCATGTGCAGCCCAATCTGGTGCAACTTTTTTAAAATTAGCAGCACCACAATTAGTTCAAATGTTTATTGGAGATGGTGCAAAATTAGTAAGAGATGCATTTGCATTAGCAAAAGAAAAATCTCCAACTATTATATTTATAGATGAATTAGATGCAATTGGAACAAAAAGATTTGATTCTGATAAAAGTGGTGATAGAGAAGTTCAAAGAACAATGTTGGAATTATTAAATCAATTAGATGGATTTGGATCAGATGATAGAGTTAAAGTATTAGCAGCAACAAATAGAGTTGATACATTAGATCCTGCATTATTAAGATCAGGTAGATTAGATAGAAAAATTGAATTTCCTTTACCAAGTGAAGAAGCAAGAGAATCAGTATTAAAAATTCATGCAAGAAAATTACATTGTGATAATGATTCAATAAATTGGAGAGAATTAGCAAGATCAACTGATGAATTTAATGGTGCTCAATTAAAAGCAGTTACTGTTGAAGCAGGTATGATTGCTTTAAGAAATGGTAAATCTATTATAAGACATGAAGATTTTGTTGAAGCTATTGGAGAAGTTCAAGCAAGAAAATCTAAATCTGTTAATTTTTATGCATAATTTATTAAAACTTTTCTTGATAATGTATTCTTGTATAATTTATAAAATTAATTAATACATTAAAAATGTTAATAAATTTGGAATTATATTAGTAATTAGAGGTGTTTCCAACACTCATCTTCTTTCAGTTTAGCCAGTCTTTAAAAGTATGATTATTTCTCCAGTGATAAATCACATTGACCAAACTTTGATTCAAAAACTATTTAGAATATTGCTTATTCTTTTATCCTTCCAAATATATGATTTATTAAATTATACAATATGTGTCTCAGAAAGTACATTCAAGCCGCACTATGTAAATTTACCCATTAATCCTTAGTAATTAGATTAGAATAGGTAGTGTAATATATCCCAATTATTATACTAATAGTTAAAATAAATAAATAAATAAAAAAATGACTTATGTAAATAGATAAGATAAACAAAATTATTATTTATTATTAATACTACTATTAATATATGATTATATATTAATATATATTAATATATTTATAATTTATTAATTTACAACCAACTTTTTTTATAGATTTATTATATCTTATCTTTAAATAGTTGAGTAAAGTTCACATTTCATTTCATTTCAATTTATAATATTATTATTATAATCAAATATAGAGATCTTTATATATTTGTTGATAGTTTTTTTTTTAGTGGGATTTAATAATTTTAAAGGGATCATATATATATATATATATATAAATTATAACCTGTGGATTTATACAAGGAATGGAAGATAATAATAGAAAGGATTATATAAATAGAATTAATAATATAACAATATCGTCTCAACAACAACAACAATTAACAAAAGAAGAATTAAAACAACAACAGCCACAATATCATTATCAAAAGAATCAACCAGTACTACATAATCAAAGAAATAATAATGATAATAATAAAATATCTTCACCAACTTCAACTACAACTACAGAATCAATATCGAGTAATATGAGTTATAATACTAATTCATCTTCCAAAAGATTAGAAACTATTGGTAATTATACTATTGGACCAGAAATTGGTAAAGGTTCATTTGCAATAGTTTATAAAGGTAATGATATTAAAACTAATAAATCAGTTGCTATTAAATCAGTTTATAGATCAAAATTAAAATCAAAAAAATTAATTGAAAATTTAGAAATTGAAATACTGATTTTAAAAACTATGAAACATCCTCATATTGTTGGATTATTAGATTATAAACAAACTCCTGCTCATTTTCATTTAATAATGGATTATTGTTCAATGGGAGATTTATCTTATTTTATTAGAAAAAGAAATCAATTAATTAAAACTCATCCTATAATATCAAGTTTATTAGATAGATATCCTTCTCCACAAGGATCTCATGGTTTAAATGAAGTTTTAGTTCTACATTTTTTAAAACAATTATCATCAGCTTTATTATTTTTAAGAGAGAAAAGTTTAGTTCATAGAGATATTAAACCTCAAAATTTATTGTTATGTCCTCCATTACATTCAAAAAGGGAATTTTTAAATTCAAATTATAAAGGAATGTGGGAATTACCAATTTTAAAAATTGCTGATTTTGGTTTTGCAAGATTTTTACCATCAACTTCAATGGCTGAAACTTTATGTGGTTCTCCATTATATATGGCACCAGAAATATTGAGATATGAAAAATATAATGCAAAAGCTGATTTATGGTCTGTTGGTGCTGTATTATATGAAATGACTGTTGGTAAACCACCTTTTAAAGCTGGGAATCATATTGAATTATTAAAAAATATTGAAAAGGCAAATGATGTAATTAAATTCCCCATGGCTGCTCAAGTTCCTGAATCATTAAAACAATTAATTAGATCTTTATTGAAATATAATCCAACTGAACGTATATCATTTCAAGAATTTTTTAATGATAATTTAATTACTTGTGATTTAGAAGATACTGATAAACCTTTGGAGACTTCGGAAATTGATGAAAATTTATTTATTAGTGAATATATAAGTCCTATTAAAAATAATGAAAGATCACAATTATTAAAAATGACACCAGTTAATGAAGAAACAATGGAGCAAGAAATTATAAAAACAAATACACCAATAATACCCGAAGAAAATTTAAAAAAAAGTAGTAGAGATGAAGAAATTAAAAACCTTATTAACAAGAATAGTCCAGATCCTGAAAATTTAACCCATTCAATAAATAATAAATCTCCAATTTTTAAACTGAAAAAAGATGATGTAATATTAGAAAAAGATTATGTTGTTGTTGAAAAAAGAGCTATAGAAGTTAATGCAATTGCTGATGAATTAGCTCATGCAGGAAGTGGAGCTGTTGCAATATCTGATCCTCGTAATAAACATTCATCTTCACAAAATTATTTTAATCAAAATCATCATCAACAACAGCAAAATATTCAACATCATCAACAACAATCACAACAACAACAACAACAAAACTCGCTACTGAATCAAAAGCCAAGAAGAAATTCAACTAATAGACGTCCAAGTTTTACTGATAGAAGAATATCAATATCAATATCTCCAACTAATGCTTTGAGTAAAGCTATTGGATTAGCATCACATAGATTATTTGGAAATACTCAATCAACAAATAATATCCCCATTACATCAACAGCAAATGCATCAACTTCAGAATTAAATCAATCATTTTCAAGTATAATATCAAGTCCCAATTTTGCAAATAATACGTTATTACAAAAATTAAATTTACCAATAATTCCAGATCCTTCAGAATCAGATCAATCTTTTGGAGATAAACAAATATCACCAGATGAAATATTATTAACTAAATTAGAAACTATTGCAACAAAAGCTCATGCAGTTAATTTATTTGCTGATGTTAAATTTTCTCAATTAATACCAAGTCCACCATCTTCAGATGATACAAAAGCTGAATTTATGAATTTAAATGATGTTTTGCCTCCCAAAATTATAAAAAGTATAAGTGAAGAAGGTGTAGTATTATATGTTAAAGCTTTAAGTTTATTAGCTAAAGGTATGGCATTAGCTAGTGAATGGTGGTATGATCAATTTGATTCAAATTTAAATGAAAATAGATTAAAACCTGATGTTTCAATAACTTCAAAAATTAATCAATTAGTTCAATGGATAAGAGAAAAATTTAATGAATGTTTAGAAAAAGCAGAATTTGTTAAATTAAGATTACAAGAATCTAAATTAGCTTTGAATAATTTAGTAATTGAAGAAGAAGAAGAAAATAATAGTGGGGTTATTGATAAATCAAGTACAAAAATAGTAGCAGAAAAATTATTATTTGATAGAGCTTTAGAAATGTCAAGAAATGCAGCAGTAAACGAGTTGGTGAAAGAAGATTTACATGGTTGTGAATTATCATATAGTACTGCTATATGGATGTTAGAAGCTGTTTTAGATGAAGATGAAATTGATTCCACTACCACAACAAATGAAAAAAAATTAGATGATGATGATAGAATAATGGTTGAAAAATTTATTGTAAGTATTGGGAATAGATTATCTGTTTTAAAAAAAAAAATTGAACTTTTGTAATTAGTGTTTGTGATTATGTGGTTATAAATTTTTTATAAATATATATATTACATTGTATAAGTTAATCTATATACATTGTTTGATTAATACTTTGATTATACTATGAAGTAGATAATATATCAGTTATGGAGATTATACGAAAGTGGATTTGACTACAATAGAAAATATCGTAAAGCAAATTTGTTAATTTATATTAAATCATACAATCATAAAATCTTTTTAAATAAATTTAATCTAAAACTACAGGATCATCCCAACTAGTCCCATCACCATTCTCATTCTCATTTCTAAAATCATTATAATCATTAAAATGATGATGTTTCCAAATCAGTAAATTTCTTTTTGAAATTTGATTTTGGTTATTATGATTATTATTATTTATAATATTCCCCAATTGCATTTTTTCATGTTGAGATTTTTCAATGGGTTCTTCTTCATCATCTGAACTTAATGAAATCACATTATCTTGATCTCTTGATGGAGATTTTGTTTTGGAAAATGTTGTTGATGAATCTATTGTTCTATATCGTTTAAGACCTATTAATTCGATTTTATCAACTTGTCGTGATGTTCTTTGGACGAAAAAATTAAAAGTTTCACTAATTATTAAAGCACTTAGTGGGAATTTAACATCACATATGGGGCATTTGTAGTTGGGAACTGATTGATATGGTGGTGTTATAAAATTTGATTTATATTTTTCTATGGGGATTTGCTGAATATGATTATTATATGGATTATATTGATTTTGTGGTGGAGGACGTGAAATTGGTTGATTTTGTGGGTTGGCAAATCCATCATTATTTAATACTTGAACATAAGGTGCTAATCTTAACTGTGGAATTACAACTTGTCTTTTTGGATTTGGGGTTGGGTATGATTGATTAGTTGAGATTATTGGGGTATGAGATGGGATTGGATTTTCTGGTTGGAAAGGTAATTGTTGTTGATGTTGATTAGATCTATGAATATCATGATGATGTTGATGTTGTATTTGATTGTGTTGGTATTGTTGTTGAAATCGTTGTTGTATCATTTCTTGTTGATGTTTTTTAATTTGATTAGCATTTTGTTTAATATGTTGTTGATATTGATTTGAATTTTTAAATTGGTGGTGTTGGTGTTGTTGAGTTTGTTGTTGAAATTGTTGTTGATTATTGCCATTTCTTGATAATTTTTCATAATTTTGTTGAATTAATGTCTTCTTAGTTAAATTTTTAATAATTTCTGGTAATTTATTAAAAAGACAAAAATTTTCATAATCAAAACAATCAAAATGTTTACAATATAATGATTTTATTGGTAATTTGATTCGACTCCCTCCTAAAGGATCTTTTAATGAAAAAATTATTTTATCAATTAATAGTGGAACATCTTCTTCTTCTTCATCATCTATTTGAGTATGTTTCATTTCTTCTTCTAGTATTGATAATACATTTGGAGGTAGTGATTTATATTCTTGATTTGATTGATCTGAGTTTGGCTGAGTTGTAGTAGATTGATTTGTAACTGTAGTATCACTTGATATTTGTGAATGATTTTTCTTGGGTTGTGGTGGATTTATATTGTGTTGTGGATGAGTTATTTTGATTTGTGGTTGATCCATTTCAGATTGTGATTGATTCGTTGATTCTTCTAATGCTTTAATCAATTCCTCATCTATTTTTCGTAGTTCATCTGTGAATGCTATTGATTTACTTCTAACAGTATGTGGATGTTTATTAGACAATGATGATGAATTATTATGATTTTCATTATTATTTTCAAGGTTTGATTCCTTGGTATTTGGACTCACCTCCTTTGATTTTGTTTTAGTAGTTGATGATAGTGGAACTTGATTATTTTCAGGTTGTACATTCTTTGAATTCACACTGGTTTCTTTCAGTTTCGATTTACTTGAAGTTGAGGATATAGATGATTTTCTCCGTTTTTTATCTGGTTGATTCTTATTTAGTGTTGATCCATTAGGTTTATCTGATGATTCATTAGGTATATCCAAATTTTTAAGAACTTCTGATGGCAATTTAATTGTAACTAATAATCTTTTAATTTTCTTTCTTGTATTGAAATCATTAATAATTGATACTTTATCTGTTGATATTTTTGGACCACGAATAGATTTTAATGTAGGCATTTTTTATCATATTATTATTACATGAACTTTGATAAAGTAAATTTTCATTTGATGATTATTGTATAATTTATCTTAAAATGATCTTTCTCAAACACACTAGTTGATTTGACTGTATTAAGATTTTAGAATATTACCTGCTTATTTGAACTGACGAGTCTCAAATTATTGATCTGCCAGTAGTTATGATGAAATATCTGAATAAATCTTTACTATAGTCCAAGTAATATAATGATTAAATGCTATTTAATTGAATATGGTTGTAAATTCAAAATTGATTAATTAAATCACATAATATATAATAATTCCTTAAGTATGGGTGATAATTTATATAAGTATGAATTGAAATAGAGCTACCAGCTCTGTACTATAAAAAGTCATATATAGGAAGTGATAATTATTACTTATAAAAGAGAAAGATGTAACTAAATATCGAAAGCAAATGGTTCAATCTTTGTTTCTTTACTCTAAGTTAATTCTCTTATTGCTGAAAAATTACAATCAATTAATCAATATAAAATTTTGATTAAAATTATAAGAATTTTGCAGCCAAACATAAGAAATTTTTGTTCATTTGCCATCATTGATTTAAACAATTATACTACTAATACTACAATAACTAAACATGAGTTTTACGTACTATAAGAGTTACCTCAAAATTGAAATTACGATTTAATTTACTCTCTATCGATCGGTACTTTAAACATTAACTTACTTAAATAAAAACATGTACTTTGAACTTAGAATTCTACTATCACTACTTTAGTAGCACAAAAAAAAATGTAAATTCCGTAAATCAATACAATTTGGAATTATTCATGTCAAAAACAACGTTTATTTTTTAAAATAGTGAAGGTAATTTTTTTAATTTTACCACTCAATTCATTCGATCGCTTGTATATAACGGATAAAAAACAAGACCAAGCATGTCAAACTTAGAGGAAATTAATAAAAAAGTTAGTGACCTTGAGTCTATAATTGATAAACAGTCAAAATTAATAGCAAGTACTGGTCAAAAATTAATTGAAATGCAAATAAATGATGTTAAATCAAGAATGAAACAAATCGATTCTAATAGTAATAGTACAAACGCGGGATCAATTGATACAGCAGATTATGTAAATAATGATGATATAGTTCAATTAGTAACTGAATTACAATCTCAATTGGATTTTTTAGAAGATAGAACTATACGTAGAACATATAATACATCATTAACTTCAGATAAAGATAAATTAGCTCCTTTATCAAACAAAGATGGTGATTTTCCGGAATTTGATACTCCAAAAACATTTGCTGAATTTAAAAATTTATCTAAGGAAAAGATATTAGAAATGGGATTCTTTTATGAAATTATATTACCAACAAAAGAAGAAATTGATGAAGTACTTCAAAATGATGATCAATCAAATGAAGGAAATAATAATAGTAAAAATGATATTATAAATATTAGTAAAAATAAAGATATACTGAAGATTGAATCAGAATTTAATGATGATCAAATTAATGAAATATTTGATGAATTAGCAAGATTTTTTGGATTGAAACTTAGAAGAGTTAGTGATGGATGGTAGAATTGTTAAAAATGTCATAATTCATTAATTCATAAGATCAAATAATAGTATTTAATTCCTAAATTATCAATAAAAAGGTTTATATTCATTAATCTATTTAAAATCCCATAAATTACTTAAATCAATAGCTCTATCATCTATAGCATTAATTCTTCTTCTTAAAGCTTCATTAAAACAAATTTCTTGAGCTAATGGGAAAAAAGTTTGTGACCAATTTTTTTTATAAATTTCAGTTTCAGCTACAATTTCTTTCAATTCTAATTCTTGAAATTTTATTTGAAATTCATATTGTTTAAACATATCATCACCAATTAAACCATTTTGATATAATTTATTAAAAATAGTTTCATTTTCTTTTAATTTCATACTTCTTCTTATTGCTTCAACTGCTCTACGTAATAAAGCAGATTTCATTACTTTTTCATGTGGTTTTTGATCTTTTGATAAATTTGGATCCATATATTGTGTTTTCAATTGTTGATATATTAATGCATTATGATTTTCTTTAAATATTGGTTCTATTTGTTTAAATTGTGCTACTCTTCTTTTTCTATAATACATTGAAAATATTATAAATATAGTTAAAACAACACCAACATATATTAATGGTGTGAATACCGATATTTTAATAATTTCTGGTTCTGGAACTGTAGTTTCTTCAGCCATTTTATTATTAATAACTTTATATTATTGATAATTGTTTAAAGTTGATTGTTTAATACAAGTTAAGAAATGTATAATTTTTCAACACGTCAATTTTTTGATTTGTTTTAATTTGGTAGCAGCGCTAGTATGAAATTTATATATTGAAAAAGTCTTTAATTTTACAACTGAAAGACAACCATTTTCAGAAAGTATTTGATATCTCACTTTATCGCCTCTCTAAAAATAAATCAAAAAAATGCTTCTATGATTCTGTAAATAATCTTTCAAGAGATAAGTCAATAAAAATCTGTCAGACTTGAATTACTTTTGAGTTTTATATAAAATTACGAAAATTGATTTTGTGTCAAAAATTTTGAGACAAAAATGTCAATAAAAATAGGTCTAACAAACTTATACCCCCAAGATTTACATCAGATCTTAGTACATCAATCTCAATTACCTTCATTTAACAATTCACAAAAACAATAAGGTGTTACAACAGGTTCTAATTTTTACATTATCAACAATCGTTCATTATAAAGTTGAAAACAAAATATTTATTTTCAAAATATTCATACATATGTTCTCAATTTTCACTTATTAAATGCAAAATCATTCAACATATTCTACTAGTTACTCCCATAGTAATAAAGTCCTAGACAATAATGTAAAAAGCAGGACAAAACAACCGAGTCCTACTTATATATCCAAGACAAATTCAAATGCAGATTTGACAAATTCTCCTACTTCAGATTCAGACATAGATGAAATAATAAAGAAAACTTCAAAACTACAACTAAGTCAAAATTCAAAAAGAAAAGATCTAATAATAAAAGTCATAAACCCTTTAATTTTAACAGCAATTTCAGCTTTTGTAAGGATACATAAAATTGATGCAGCAGATAGAGTAATATGGGATGAAGCTCATTTTGGGAAATTTGGTTCTCATTATTTAAAACGCGAATTTTACTTTGATGTTCATCCACCTTTAGGAAAACTTTTAGTAGCATTATCAGGATATATAGCGGGTTATAAAGGAGATTTTGCATTCGAAAGTGGGTTACAATACCCAGAAACAATGAATTATACAGTAATGAGAATTTTCAATTGTATGTTTGGAATATTGGTGACTCCTATGGCATATAGAACTACTGTACTACTAGGTTTTAGTCAATATACTTGTTGGTTTATTTCATTAATGGTAATTTTTGAACAAATGTCTTTAACTTTATCCAAATTCATCTTACTTGATTCAATGTTATTATTTTTTGTTGTTTTCACATTCTTTGGTCTTATCAACTTACATAATTTAATATCCAATAACAAAGAAATGTCATTGTCCGGTTTGAAATGGTTTGTAATTACTGGTATTAGTATTGGTTGTGTCTGTTCTGTAAAATGGGTTGGGTTATTTGTTACAGCTTTAGTGGGAATTTACACGGTTTTAAACTTAATTTTAGGCTTTTACAAATGTATTGCTTCAAACAAGCGATCAAGTTGGACCAGCTATTCTCAACAATGGGCACTCAGAATATTCACTTTAATCTTGATACCATCAATAATTTATATGCTAGCATTCAAAGTTCATTTTATGACGCTAAATCATACAGGTCCAGGAGATGGATCGATTTCAACATTATTACAAGCTTCTTTAAATGGAAATACTATACAATTTGGACCAAGATCTGCTGCAGGAGGATCAACAGTGTCGTTAAGATCACAAGGTTTATCGCCTAATTTACTTCATTCTCATGATCATACATATCCTGAAGGATCACAAGAGCAACAAGTAACAACTTATGGATTCAAAGACGACAATAACGATTTTCTCATAGAATATTTAGATCAAGATAACTCAAAATTTGTGGAAGATTTGGATACTATTAGACTAAAACATATCAAGACTGGAAATTACTTAAATGCAAACGCCGTTGGAGCACCGATATCCAAAGCTCACTATGAAGTCTCATGTTCGAATGTCAATCAATTTGATGACACCCATGAATGGGAAATAGAAATACAGTCTCATGAATTGTCACCATCACCTCATTTTATAAATGAAAGTAAAACAGGATTACATCCAATATCAACCAATTTTAGATTGAAACATAAAAAGTTAGGATGCTATTTAGCTACTACCGGTAAGTCATTACCATCTTGGGGTTATCAACAAGGAGAGGTTATATGTCGTTATTCATTATTTTCCAAAGATAAAAATACATGGTGGAATATTGAAAAACATGTTAATGAAAATTTACCCTTACCAGAAATAGATTATGTCCCACCTAAACCAAAATTTTGGAAAGAATTTATTCTTTTAAATTATGGAATGATGGCCTCTAATAGTGCTTTAATTCCTGACTATGATAAATTTGATAAATTAAGTTCGGAATGGTGGGAATGGCCAATATTGAATACGGGATTAAGGATGTGTGGATGGGGTGAAAGTGAAATTAAATATTTTTTAATTGGTAATCCATTTGTGACTTGGTTTTCGACTTTTAGTTTGGGTTTATTTGTCATTTATTTATTATTTAAAGCATTTCAATACCAAAGACAACAATTGAATTATAGCACAACTAATAAAAACAATTATGATTTCTTGGGTCAAGGAATACTTCCATTTTTGGGATGGGCATTTAATTTTATTCCTTTCATTTTAATGGGTAGAGTAAAGTATTTACATCATTATGTACCAGCTTTATATTTTGCAATATTTGTCAGTGGATTTATGATGGAAAGATTAGTTGGTCAAAACAAGTACATTCCAAGATTAGTTAAAACTTTTGTTTATGCCGTGTTGTATATCCTAGTCGTTTACTCGTATTGGTACCTCAAAGATTTGTCATTGGGTATGGAAGGTTCATCAAAACTTTATCAACACATGAGATTATTAAATTCTTGGATGATTTAAAGGACTGTTCATATGTTTATTAGACACTATTGTTATGAACATAGCATATTATAGAATTCATGTATAGTGAGTTAAATAAGAGAAATCAAAATCTTCAACAAGAGTACGATTTATTTCCTATATGTATTTGTAGATGCGATGTCTTGGGCCAGAATTAAGTTCATTAAACAAGATATTTTGTTTGACAAATTGAAAATAAAATTTAAAATCAAGGGTTGCAGGGGCAACTAATACAGGTTTAGGTGAAACTCTGAAAAGACATCAAAGTTAAACGCTGAAACCGATATAGCCAAGACAACAAGATTTAGCTATGTCTGTTCGTGAAACATATGTACTTTACATATCACTGCTAGTAATGATAGGTTTAGCAAATCTCTTTTCTCCATTTTACGACACGACGCAAAATCTAAGTAAAATAAAGATATGAATAACTTCTTACTTGAAGTCATGCAATTCAGTCCTTACGTTTAGCAACAACAATTAGTACCTCATTTTTACTTCAACTACTTCTATACATGCATATAAATTTAATTGTATACTAATACTATGAATAGTCGATCAACAATTCCAGAAAATAATCTGAGAAGGGCCCGAGGGTAAAATGGTCTAACTCAGGTTACGATTGTTTTGAGTTCGAGGAATGTGAAAGTCGTTCAGAAAGTAGCATTATAATTACTGTAAAGACAGGTAGAGGCATATAAGGTTAGTTGGGTTTGAAAGAGTTGTTTCGAACAATAACGATGTTAATATTTGGTCAAAAATTAGTATGAATTAAAAGAAAATTGACCATAGACGAATCAAACTTCCTTTATTCTGGCCCTACAATTCAAATCAATAAGAAGACAATAGATCCAGTGATGCTAGAAATACCATTTCTGATATTGAGATTAAATGTGGAGAATCAAAACATTTTTATGATCATAGACACAAATGCATCTAGAACCATTAAGTTGATCGAGCAAAGCGGTAAAGCAGCATCTTCATAAGCACTTGATTGTGTTATCAACTGTAGAGAATTAGAGATTGGAAGAATTAATGCACGAGGGGATTCAGAAAGGATAATAAACTTGTGTATATTATATCCTAAATGTCGTGTCGTTTGATCGTATTTCAAAACATTCGGGTTCGGCTGGAGATCTCGGGTGAATTTTTTTTAAGTAATTTTCCGCTCAGATCTTGATTCATCAGTGGTTAAGTAGTTAGAATGACAGAGGTTATAAAGCACACTTGTTCGACTCCATCTAAAGTCAGCACAACGTTCTAATTTGATATGCTGGATCTATGTTTTATGTTATGCTAGATCCAAGTTTTTTGTTATGCAAATTAAACGTTTTTTGATATGCTCAATCCAATTTTTTGTTATGCTAGATCTAAGATTTTTGATATGCTGAATCTATGTCTTATGTTATGCTGGATCTACATTTTTTGTTATGCTAGATCTAAGTTTTTTGTTATGCTAGATCTATGTTTTATGTTATGCTAGATCCAAGTTTTATGTTATGCTAGATCCAAGTCTTTTGTTATGCAGATTCCACGTTTTTTGTTATGCTAGATCTATGTTCTTTGTTATGCTGGTTTGTAAGATTTTGTTATGCTCAACCCAAATTTTTTGTTACGCTTAATCTTTTTTGTTACGCTGAAAACACTTCTATGATATGCTAACTCAACTCAGTGTTATGATAATGTATTTGGATATGTATGATGGGCTTTTTTGATTGCATTGAAGGAATAACTGCTATTCAAATGTCATGAAAAATAGAAGGTTGGACTAGGGGACGCAGAAACAGAATAACCAGATTTCAAATACAGAAGATCTGCATTTTTCCCCTAAACACCAATATTGTTTCTATGTATTGTTTAACAAAGCTGGGTCCTACATTTGTTAGTTTAATTGACATATTAGATTCAAGATAAAATCTTTATATTTAGACTCATCTTTTTGCAGATAAAAATTAAACCTTTACATCAAATCTCTAAATCTCGACTAATCTTTTTACATGTCACACCTCTAACTGGAAAACTAGCAGTAAGTCATTTTGACAAAATGTCGAAACGCTCAAACAACACGAAATTGAGATCTAACGTTAAGACCCAAATCTTAGATATTCGTTCAAAGATCTCGATCTACATCTCTTAAACTTAGATCCAAAGACAAAAACCCAGATTTCTAATGTACGACCTAGATCTTAAATCTTCAATATCAAATCCATGATTCAAATCTATAAATCTCGACTCGAATCTTTGCAAATCAAATCTTTAACTCTGAAACTCGCAATTTATCATTATGAGATGTTGAACATAGTAATACAAAGATCCGAGGGGCACGATCAAAATGGAACAGCGATTTTGAGCGAAGATATTTATGACCTAGATCCCAAATTTCCAAATCAGATATCTGGATCTCGACTCCATTTTTTAGGAAATCTGATCCGAAATTTTGAAACTCGCAGTACTTTATTTGGAGGTGCTAAAACTTGGAATTAAGTTACAAATGGCATAGACAACATAAAACAGATATTTAAATTGAAACATTATTGTAAAAACTCTATCACTTGATCATAGATCCCGACTTAAATCGCTTATAATTAAATCTTAGATTAAGTGTTCCAAATTTCAAACAAATCGCGTTTGTGTCTAAACTTCTAACTATAACTACAAACATGATTGCTTTTTTCGCAAATAACGACACCTATTTCAAAACCCTTAAAACTTCCAACTGGATTAAAAACCACAAACTCGAGAGGCCTAATTCGGATCAAAAGTGCCTCAAAATTCAAGTATAATATTATAAAACTATCCAACCTCTATATTCTCTAATTCTGCGTTTGTTATTTTTACAATATATATTCGTAGTATCAAACTGAACGATGATACATATAAAATGTGTTTTGTTACTTCAAATATTTTTAATGTTTTATTCAAGTTTTTTGACCTAATACTAAGAATAAACCTTGGAATAACGCGATTAATGTATTTTACACCGAGGTGCAAAAAAAAAAGGTTCAACCTTAGAATTGTGTGAAATTAAAGATAAATTAAAAGAATCATGAATAAATGCCAGGAGGCTCCACACTTGCTTAAGAGCATAAAAATCATAATGCCTAATAATGACAATCAACATAGACATGTAAATTTCATGATATGATTATTCTCGTTACAATAAATACTTGCTGTGGAGAAATTTGATAACAAAATTTACAGGGAGTTGGGATATACTTTTCTTAGACGCATTTTTATACTAAATATATAACCCGAAACACCCAATTGTTTTAATGTTAAGTAAAAGATATGGAACCTTCTAATTGTTAGAAAATTGGAATTACATTGATATGATATGAGCACGCAAAGCAAAAACATTTTCGCTTTGCTGCATAAACTTTAACAGCTAATTACGCAGCTTTGGAGACTTTCAAAATAATCGAGGGAAATGATGAACCCTTTTGATTTTGCAAGGTATGACAAAAACATAGGAGTCTGATTCTGTAAGGGTATTCCGTAAAATTTTTAATCAGGAGTTCCATCCCACTTGTTTTGAGGTATTATGTTTGATTATAATTGAGCATCAAGATTTTACAATCACATTTCTAAATGATCGCGTAAACTCTTTCTAATAAGCATATATAAGTGGCCATTTTCGGTGTTGACAACTTTAGTAACGCGTGATATAATGATATGTAGTTGGAGCTAAGTAATGAGACATGATCTATGATATTTATTTGCATATTTTAGGTATAACACTTATTTTGAAAATACTGAGTAGCAGAGTTGCAGCCATTCATCTGTGACACTGGTCATAAATTATAGTATATCTGAGAATTGAATCAGTTCTCTGAAGGTATGCAAGTCAAATTATATATTCTGAGCACTATCCATACTCTAAGCTTTATTAGCGAGTTTCATAGTTAGAGGTTTAATTTGAAAGTAAAAGCGTCAAATTCTAAAGATTTGATTTAAAGGTTTGAGATCTAGATCATAAAATCTAAGTGATAGATCCGAGATCTGGAGAATTATTTGAAGTCTTTTTTTAATTTTGATTGTGCCCTTCGAAAATTTGTACTGTGAGTTCAGCACCTCAAAATATAGTTAGAGGTTTGACATGCAAAAGAAGAGTTGAGATTTAAAGGTTTGACTCGGAAGTTTGGTCTTGAAATTCTGAGATTCAACAGATCCGAGATTCAAATCTTGACGTTAGATCTATGGATCTAAATATAAAAGATCTGGCTCAAGATCTTTCACTATCTGTTTTCACTTTAATTTTCTGTTTCATCTTAATTGAGCCCTTCTTAAGTTTATTCTGCAAGTTTCAGCTCCTCCAAATAATATACTGCAAGTTTCAGTGTTAAAGGCTAGATTTGCAAAGAAACGATTCAAGATTCAGAGATTTGGTTTAAAGATTTGTGATCTAAAAAATATTTTTAGGTGTTAGATCTTAGTTTTGGATCTTTATCTGAGATTTTTGTTTACTTTTGATAGTGCCCTTCGAAAATTTGTACTGCGAGTTCAGCATCTAAAAATAAATTTGTACTGCGAGTTCAGCACCTAAAAATAAGTTTGTACTGCGAGTTCAGCACCTAAAAATGATGTAGTTCGAGTTTCAAATTTAGAGAGGTTTGATAAGCAAAAAGAAATTTAAAGATGTGATTTAAAGGCTGAATTAGCTTCATCTGCAAAAAAAACGAGTCTGATTACAAAAATATTATGTAGTAGCTTAAATTTTGGCCATCGATAAAACGAGCATATCTTTTAATCCTAGTTTTGGGGTCATAGTTCGGTAATGCACTTGTTCGTTTAAACTATCAACTTTAACACCTCAGGTTTTTGAATTAATACATAGAAACTTTGATGGTATTCGGGGGAATCATACAGATCTTCTCTATTGAATTTCTGATTATTCTGTTTCTGCATCCCCTAGTCCAGCCTTCTATCTCTCATGACATTTGAATAGCACATGTCCAGATACATTGTCATAACATCAAGTCGAACTTAGCATATCATAAAAG